ACAGGTTCACTCTAGTGAGTTTCATGGGAGAAAGAGGCATGATCATCACAGGTTTAGTGAGCTGCTTAGTGAGGACGTGCGGGATTGCGGGGACGGCAGTGTACCCGTACAAGTGGGTGGTGTTCTTTCTGTGTATACCTTCTTGTTTCGGCGAGTTGGCCTTCCTAGCCATTTCTGCGCTGGAATCAATTAACTGTTCGGAAGAGGTACGCTGCACTTCTCCTTGTGAAGTCATTCATTATCTAACTATCTAGGTTTGCTACAGGAGCAAGGTCGCCTGCAAGGCGCGATCTACGGAGCTCGATCGATTTTCGAAGCGATTGGACCCGTCGTTTTCCCCGTCTTGTACGCTGCTATGACTCGAAAGTCAGTTTGGTCGCCAGCGCTCCCGTTTGTGATCGCTTCGTGCATTTATCTCGTCGGTGTTGTTATTGCCGTGTCGCTACCCGCCGGCAAGAAATCGAGCAAGCCTGTGGACGAGGAAGCTCATTTACTGTCACCAAGGGGGAACCAGCACCCTCACACTTTAAGACCGAGCCCGAAACTGAGGATGAAATTGGAGGTGACGATGCCATGGCTGTTGCTGGCAGAACGGTGCTACACGTAGATGACGACTACCGTACCTCACAGAAAGAACGGTTAACAGTTAGATTACCATTTCAAGACCTGGGGCAATCTTTTTGAAATTGAAATGTAATTTTAGCCAATCAAAACGCATATAACTGCTAAATATTAACAGGAAAGCATTTTCGAAGGAAATGAGAGCTTTTTAACGGTAATTTGAGTGCCAAATGAGAAAGACCAAAAATAATCTTTGTGTGAGGTACGGTACTTGCTTGCAGAGCCGTTGCTAGCCTCACAAGGCACGCTTTTTTCTGTAAAGCTAAGAAATATATTCCAGATTTCAATGCACTTCTAGCACTTCAACGCATCTGATCATATTTTTCCGATGGGGTTCAGACTAGAAGGGCGACCCTCAGTCAAAATGCAGCACCTCGAAGAGCATCTCGTCCACCCACAGGGAAGAGCCACGGCGCCACTGTTGCCGCCACGTCGCCCTGCAAGCTGCAGCGGAAGCGGGGCTTCTCGTGCAAGTTCGGCACCATCGTGGTGCTGCAGTTCCTGACGGAGGCGGCGTTCAGCATCATGAACCCCATCCTCTCCATCGTCATGACGGAGGTCTGCAAATGAGCAAAAATGTGTCAGTCCCATCGACAATCCTCACTCTATCCATTAATTGTATGCAGTATTTCGCCAGGCAGCATCGACATGGACTGCCAATTGACTGTGGAGCCAACCCACTCGACGCGGTACAGTCATTATGGTTAAGTACAAATGGCATGAATCATTTCGTGCTAATAATTGTTGCAATTGTTGCTAAAAAGGCGTGCACTGAAGGGTCAAGACAAGCGGCTTGGTTGTCGAGGAATGAATCAATACTATTGGTTTTGGAGTCGGTGAAGAATGTGGGGTGAACTTGACGCTATTGTTTGTGTCAGCCTCTTCTCGTCGCTAGGCTGTGTATTCATTTTTTTCCTGGCACCGATGCTAGGCCAAGCGTCAGACGTCTACGGACGCAAGGTTCGTCAGTTTGTGGGTCATTGGGAAATAATTTTGTGGCTTAGTAAATGTGAATGTATGTTTGTTATTGCTATTAGCCGTTTTTGGTGCTAAACCAGCTCGCAAGGGTTGGTACGCCATTCTCCATCATGTATTTCATGCAGCCACACGGATCCATCACGCCGTACCTTGTACTAGGCTAATCGACTATGGGTTTGGGTACGTATCTACGTTTCAGCTCGGTTTCCCCTATGTACTAACAGCCATATTGATCTTGACCCAGAACTGCTGGAGTTATGGGCGCTGCGGTCGCGACATTGTGTCCCCCGAGAACCGCGCAGCAGCAATTGGCATTCTTTTTGCGAGCTTGTCTTCAGGGTTTTCTTTTGAGTGCTTTCGCAGCCCCATTCTTCTCTCGAGTTCGTACTTGCTGCTCGGTTTATGACTGTATTGCTGACTGTTCGTTTCTAACGCGGATGATTTTTATTTATGTAGGAGCAAGTTCTGCAGATTGCCGCTTGTATTTTCGTGATCCGGGTGTTTTGGGCAGTATGCATTCTGCCCGAAACGGTACCGAAGCATTCGCGTATGACCAAGACGCATTGGGTGATGGAGAGTCCTATCAGCTCTCTGTCCATCCTTTTCCGCAATAAATTGTTCATGCGGCTGACGTGCTTGATCGTGATCACGAGTTTCATCAGGAACGGGATTTTCCAGATCCAGTCCTTTTTCCTGAATGTACGTCCCCAACAATATAAACGCAATTGCGAGCTGGTCTAACGCAGCCCATGATGGTGGATTTCAGACAATTGTGGGATTCGATGTGAAAGACTTTGCCAACTTGATGCTACTCGGAGGCGTCTTAGCACTGCTAGGACAGGGGCTACTGGTGAAGGCGCTGGTGGGCTGCTTCAAGGAGAAAGGCGTGATCATCATCGCGCTGATCGCCAGTCTGATGAAGACGGGCGGCTTTGCCGGTGCCGCGTTTTACCCGCACAAATGGGTCGTATTCCTGTCGTTCATCCCTGGTTGCATCGGAGACCTCACCTTCCCCGCCATATCGGCTCTCAAGTCAATGAACGTCTCGGAGAAGGTATGTTTTAGCATCTATTCACCTGAACAAGCTAAAACATTGACGGGGTTATCATAATTTGACTCTGAATCTGCAGGAACAAGGACGTCTTCAAGGCGCAATCTATGGCGCTCGATCAGTTTTTGACGCAATCGGCCCCATCGTCTTCTCCTCGCTGTACGCTGCGATGACCCGGCAGTCCCTTCTGTCCGAAGCTCTCCCGTACATCGTTGCCTCGTGCGTCTACGTCGTCGGGATCGCAGTGGCTGTCTCGCTACCCGTGAGCAAGACGCCCCCGTCGCGGAGTGAAGTCGCTGTTGAACCTGCTCCTTTGCCGCCACCCGTGTCGGACGAAACTCCGGCTTTGGCTTCCGTGTACTTCGAGACTGACAAGGATGAAGTGGAAAAGGGCGACAGAGTGGAGTATGCCACTAGCTCCATGCTGGATGACGACCAATTGCTCTCTGAGCCTTCGCTAGGAGCGAACTCCTCTGAAGTGTAAAAGTGCACATTAGATGCATATCGATACTAAAACACACGATAGAGCTACGTTTAAAACCCCTTTTGTCATCTTCAACTTTTTTCTGGTCGTAGTGATCGGTTTTCACAGGTTTTGGTATCACGTTTTCATTCCCAGTGAAGTATCCGACCGAGATGGACAGCACCACCGCCGCCGCTGACACCTCCGCGCCCCGCATGCCGCAGCGTAAGCGTGGTGCCCCGTGCACTGTGGCCGCGATCGTGGGTCTCCAGCTTTTCACCGCCGGTGCATTTGGCATCATGAGCCCCATCCTGTCAATCCTCATGACGGAGGTCTCTCCTGCAGCATTCTCCAATGCGCTGTAGCGCCGTAAAATATCTCTTAACTGAATGCACTGTAGTACTTTGCCAGACTACACAGAGATGGAGCGCCCATTGACTGTGGGGCCAATCCTCACGACGAGGTATTGTTGTTGTTGTTAAAGGAAATATTCACAATTGTTGGCTCTTGAACTAGGGCTCCGCGAAGGCTGGGATAGGAGAATTTTGGTATAAACCTGTCGTTTTTTAATTTTTTTTAATTATTTTTCTTACTAGCTACGGTCATCTCCTGCGCCTGCTTCGCAGCCGCAGCATCTGTCCGGATTTTTTCTTAAAAGCTGTAGATGCAAGGTATCAACCGGCAATGCTTTACGAAATTAAAAATGCAAATCTTGGTTGAGATCTGTTTTGCAGCTTGTAGAAAATGCAAACTAGTGCTATTGTACAGTCCAAGCGTTCTCTTTACCCTGCTCAATATATGCACTGATTCATACCGGTGTCGTCGGTAGCACACCGGTTCAATCTGCCCACGCATATAAACCTTTTGGAGGGCCCAGTGCGGCACCAGAGCCGTACCGGTTTCAAGAAATATACCAGTTAGATGTCAAGAGGGGTCATCGTTTGACTTGACGTACCACGGATAAAATCCTATTTGGTCTGCGATAGCAGCACTAACGTTGCTTCCTATCCCAGTAATATAAATATCATTTATGAGAACGAAGTATTACCGATGTATTTACAATATTAAGCCTCTGACCGGGGAGATATTCCCAGTATTAAAATACTGGGAATATTAAAATATCACCGATTTCGGGGTTAAAGGGCCCGGGGGGCCCTTCAACTTCAAAAGTCGTGATATGAAAGAGCCCCGAATCGGGCTCCCCTCGCATAGGTACGACAACGAGGAGCCCGCCTTCCTGCAGGGCTCCCCGCTTGGGCTCTTCGATGCTGTCGTTGTAGTTTGGCGGGCTCTTGACGCGCTGTCCTGATTAGTTTACGCTATCTAGGTTTATTCCTTGGGACCGGGGGGGGGGCTCTTAACGAGGGCTCTCACAGTTTTGAAGGGCTCCTTTCACTTAACCTATTTAACACACGAGCCCAGAACTTTTTGATTGGCCAAAATTTAGCTCCAAGTTCAGCTGCAAAAGAACTTTGAAAACACGGCTGCTGCTACCTTGAAGTTGGGGACAAAAATAGGACGAAACGACGCAGTGGACGTTATTGTAATCGCCTCAAGGTCAAGGTCCAGACTCTTGGAGGAATAGGATAGCTCTGGTAGGAATAAAAGGATGGAGACAGGACGAGGCACTTCGAGCCCCTCCTCTGCTGACTCGAGTGCTCTGCCGCCTATCTCTGCTGCTCCTCCAGCGCGTCTCCCTTCAGCCAAATCCCACCGACCTCCCAGCAAGCAGTGCCTTCGAGGTGGCAGCATGAACTCTTCAAGGCCAAGCAGTCCGCCAGCGAGTGTTGAAGACGAATTATTGCCCGAAGCGACGCAGTGCAGACGGAGACTGTGATAGAGCCAACTGGCAATGGAGACGCGCTGTCCGTCTCCCAGCAGGAGAAGATGCAGGTCTTCGCGACGTCTCCCGACCTCGAATTGCTCTGCAGGGAGAACGGTATCACAGCCGCTCAATTTGCGCGGAATAGCGAGGCAGTGACGAGTTTGGACTTGTTTCTGGGCTTTTGGACGTCCATGAGGAGCGTCGCGTACTTCCCAGCGCTGAGGGAGCTCTCGGTCATCAACCAGCCGACGATCTGCGAACTCGATGGCGTCAGCAACTGCATCAACCTGGAGAAATTGTGCATTACCGAGTGTGGGCTCACAAAGATCGCTAACATGGGGAACTGTACCAAGCTGAAACAGCTAAATCTGAGCTCGAACAAGATCCGACGACTTGAAAACTTGGACGCGCTGGTGAAGTTGGAGAAGTTGTGGGTGAACCTGAACCAATTGGAAAGGCTTGACGGACTCTGGAGACTCACGAAGTTGACGCAGCTCTGGGCGTGTCGTAACCGTATTGACCGCATTGACACGGCGCTCAATGGCTGCGTGAATCTCACGGAACTGAACTTGGCGGACAACCGGCTGTCGAGCTTTAAAGGACTGTTGTCCCTCATGAACTTGGACCAACTTGCTGTTCTCGTGTTGAGCGACCCTCACTTTGGTGACAATCCCGTGTGTAGGCTGTGTAATTACCAAACGTATTTGATGTGCCAACTTCCCCGTTTGAGTTTCCTGGATACCGTGGAGCTGTCTGCGCGCAACAAACAAATAGCGGAGGCCACAATGATCAAGAAGAAAATGTACTACATATAACATGCGGATTAAGGCGATAAAGCGCGATGTGCACGGAAGGATTCGCCATGCCGAGACGATCCGCAACCAGGCTGAGCATCACATGGAAACGAGCGTGTCGGCTCTGGTGCGACATAAGAAGGAAATTGAGAGGTTTTTGGTCGAGAACAGCGCTAGAAAGGATGAAATCACTGCAAAAGTGTCCCAAGATATGATCACTGCGTTGGAGAAGAAGCTGGAGTGTGTGAGCTCGTGTCTGCAGGACCGCTACAGTGGAGTGTATCGCATGAATCAAGACTTTGAGTGGTTAAGGACAAGTTTGACGTATACTTCCTGAGATGAGCATTGCGCGTCTAATGCTCTGGAGACCGGCGGCAGTTAACTGTCGGACGCGTGGTTCGGCCGAACAAAAAGGCCCAAGGTCAACGTAAGTAGTCGAGTCGGGCACATCAATCGTTCAGCTTTTTTTCTGATCGTTATGTATTTACCAACGAGCACTGCTCCGCACCTTCCTGACCACCAGCTACACCACCGCTAAGTAGCACCAGGTGCGAAGGAGGAGTCACCGCACGCAGCAACAACAACAAGGGTTTTCATTCGAAAGAATCATGCCCACCTCGCCATAGTGACACGCCGTCATCACATTGTCATTTCCGCTTAGGTACGATTGTGAGTTCTCTCCCTTTCTTCTTCATTCCAGAATCCGCCGCCTCGAGGGAAGATGGTGACGCTCTTCTGTGCGATCGTTGGTGCGGCGGGAAGCGCGTTCCCTGTGGACATTGACGAGAAAAAGTCCGTGGGCCACTTGAAGGACGCGATCAAGGCGAAGAAGCCAAACAAGTTGAAGGACATCGATGCAGGTGACCTGCAGCTCTTCCTGGCGAAGAAGGCAGACGGCGGATGGCTCCCAGACGACGATGACCTGGACAGGATGCTGCAGAACAATGTTGACACCTCGAAGATGGAGAAGTTGCGCGCGTCGCGGAATTTGGAGGAACTGTTTGGGACTGGCGCTTCGCTTGGAAAGAACGTGGTGCACGTGCTGGTGGTTGTTCCAAAGCCAAAGCAAGCGATCTCGGCTTCAATTGTCTCCCAAGATGGTGTCTTTGATCCCTGCAGTGATCCGTTCTTCGCACAATTCCCCACGGTTGAGCAAGTAGGCGATTGGCTCGAATTTTCGTCGTTGCTGCCGTTAACAAAACGTCAGAAGCTCTACATTCGCTCGTCGTACAGAGTGATCGCCGACCAAGCACTGCTGAATCCAGATCGGACCATGGTCAAGTATGCTGTCGTCACGGGCACGCCTGGGATAGGCAAGTCGGTGTTCGTCTACTACATGATGTGGAGGTTGATCAAGGAGAAGAAACGCGTGCTGTTTTTCTCCAAGAAGGGACCGATTTACTTTAATGGGTCGACGATGTTCCAGTGCGAGTTACTGCCAAATAAGTTTGACCAACGATTTTGGTCGCCTGACCTGTGGTGCCTCGTGGACTCGGTCGATCCAACCGCTATGACGGAATTACCGATAGAGGACTGCTCAGTACTTCTCGCAAGTACACCGCGACGAGACTGCATTGGAGAATTTAAGAAGCTCGTTCCAACTCCAGATGTATTCTACATGCCACTGTGGACCAAGGAAGAACTCGCGATAACTGCTCCCCTCTATCCACATGCAGCATCTGTGTGGCGAAATCGCTCAGACTGCTTGGGTGGTGTGCCTCGTCTTGTGTTGCAAGACATTGGAACTGACCCGCAAGTGTTGCTGGAGACCGCATGCAATAGTTGCTCTCTTGATGAGTGCAAGACGTTGGTGTCCATCAACTCGGAGATTAATTCGAGGACCCAGATGGCTCAGACTCTGATTCACATCCGCAGCCAAGAGCCATATACAGAGTACCAAGTTGTGTATGCGTCGGAATTGGCGATGAAAGTGATTGCTCGGACGAAGCTGATATCGAATCGCGCGAACATGGAAAGTTTTCTCAGCGCATGCAACGGGAACCCGCTGGCTCAATCGATGTGCGGATACATCTTGGAGCCTCACTGTCTGCGACTATTGCATGAGGGTGGGAGTTTTGAGTATCGAGAACTGTTGTCAGGCGCCATGCAGCGCCAACGCAAAAGAGGCCGCCGAGATATTGTTGAAACAGAAATTACAATCCCATCGTCATCGAAACCTTCTCAAATTGTGGAGCAGGTGGAAGCTGGTCAAGTTGCGAATCAGCTTTACGTGCCTCGGACATCGAATTATGTCGCTATTGATGCATGGATGCCGCAGTTCGGTGGATTCCAAGTCACTGTGGGAAAGACTCATGATATCAAGGCCGGCGCGGCAGATGATTTGGCGAAGTTGGGTCCGGATGGCAACCAACTCTTCTTTTTGCTTCCACCGCTGTACTACAAGTCTTTCACCAAGAAAGGCAAGGAGATTCGGCAGTTTGCAATTCTTGTTCCGTATCCCGAAGAGATTTAATGGCGCCGTACAAACGCGGTGAGTGCGAAATGGGAGGAGAGAAAACTGTGGTGCTAAGACAAGCTTGAAACTCGTGAGTAATTCGAGAAATCAACATATTACGTCTTCAATACTGCCATATCGGCGACTACTACCGACAGCTACTGCTACCATCACTTCAGCGGCGGATATACACTTTTTCCGACATCTTGTCTTCTGGCTGTCTTCCTCGCGTGCACTGACTTGAATCGCTTCGTCAGATACTGAATGCTACTTGTGCTTAGTGGCGCTTGAGCATCCTGTCCGTCTCGTTGGCTGCGGGCGACTCGCAGTTCGGGGGACTGTCGAGCCACTTGCGCTTCCGCCGCGGCCTCTACTCTGGTCCAATCGGCACCTGCTTGTCGTCGCTCTATGTTACATGATGATGCTCTGTGTTAGGACTTCTGGTGTCATGAGTGCCGCGCCGCGGTCACCGATGTCATCTCTCCAACTCATCGTGCAGCAGCGTTTGGAGTTCTGGCCGCTAGCGTAGCGATTGGGTATTGCGCAAGCGCATTTATCGCCCCGTTCTTCTCTCGAGTGAGTGCTTCCCACTCGCTTCATAACATTCCGATACCTGATAAACTGATATTCGTGCTATATCTTACGAACCAGGAACATATTTTGCAGATTGCTGTTGCTCTGTTCGCGATGCGCGTTTTCTGGGCGCTGCTGATCCTGCCCGAAACCTTATGGGTTGCGGCGAGTCCGATCCGCTCATTCTCGATCCTTTTCCGGAACAAGTTGTTCATACTCTGATCGCGTTAACGAGCTTCGTTTCCGAAGGAATTTTCCAGATGCAGCCATTTTACCTCAATGTAAGTCCTTTCAACAGTATGCATAGTCCGACTTTCTGTGTCATCCAACTGAGTGATTCTGTACTGCTCTGCAGACTGTTGTGGGGTACGACGTGAATGATTTTGGCAATCTGATGCTGGTTGGAGGCGTTCTAGTCATGCTCGGACAAGCTTGAACAGGTTCACTCTAGTGAGTTTCATGGGAGAAAGAGGCATGATCATCACAGGTTTAGTGAGCTGCTTAGTGAGGACGTGCGGGATTGCGGGGACGGCAGTGTACCCGTACAAGTGGGTGGTGTTCTTTCTGTGTATACCTTCTTGTTTCGGCGAGTTGGCCTTCCTAGCCATTTCTGCGCTGGAATCAATTAACTGTTCGGAAGAGGTACGCTGCACTTCTCCTTGTGAAGTCATTCATTATCTAACTATCTAGGTTTGCTACAGGAGCAAGGTCGCCTGCAAGGCGCGATCTACGGAGCTCGATCGATTTTCGAAGCGATTGGACCCGTCGTTTTCCCCGTCTTGTACGCTGCTATGACTCGAAAGTCAGTTTGGTCGCCAGCGCTCCCGTTTGTGATCGCTTCGTGCATTTATCTCGTCGGTGTTGTTATTGCCGTGTCGCTACCCGCCGGCAAGAAATCGAGCAAGCCTGTGGACGAGGAAGCTCATTTACTGTCACCAAGGGGGAACCAGCACCCTCACACTTTAAGACCGAGCCCGAAACTGAGGATGAAATTGGAGGTGACGATGCCATGGCTGTTGCTGGCAGAACGGTGCTACACGTAGATGACGACTACCGTACCTCACAGAAAGAACGGTTAACAGTTAGATTACCATTTCAAGACCTGGGGCAATCTTTTTGAAATTGGAATATAATTTTAGCCAATCAAAACGCATATAACTGCTAATATTAACAGGAAGAAAGCATTTTCGAAGGAAATGAGAGCTTTTTAACGGTAATTTGAGTGCCAAATGAGAAAGACCAAAAGTAATCTTTGTGTGAGGTACGGTACTTGCTTGCAGAGCCGCTGCTAGCCTCACAAGGCACGCTTTTTTCTGTAAAGCTAAGAAATATATTCCAGATTTCAATGCACTTCTAGCACTTCAACGCATCGGATCATATTTTTCTGATGGGGTTCAGACTAGAAGGGCGACCCTCAGTCAAAATGCAGCACCTCGAAGAGCATCTCGTCCACCCACAGGGAAGAGCCACGGCGCCACTGTTGCCGCCACGTCGCCCTGCAAGCCGCAGCGGAAGCGGGGCTTCTCGTGCAAGTTCGGCACCATCGTGGTGCTGCAGTTCCTGACGGAGGCGGCGTTCGGCATCATGAACCCCATCCTCTCCATCGTCATGACGGAGGTCTGCAAATGAGCAAAAGTGTGTCAGTCCCACCGACAATCCTCACTCTATCCATTAATTGTATGCAGTATTTCGCCAGGCAGCATCGACATGGACTGCCAATTGACTGTGGAGCCAACCCACTCGACGCGGTACAGTCATTATGGTTAAGTACAAATGGCATGAATCATTTCGTGCTAATAATTGTTGCAATTGTTGCTAAAAAGGCGTGCACTGAAGGGTCAAGACAAGCGGCTTGGTTGTCGAGGAATGAATCAATACTATTGGTTTTGGAGTCGGTGAAGAATGTGGGGTGAACTTGACGCTATTGTTTGTGTCAGCCTCTTCTCGTCGCTAGGCTGTGTATTCATTTTTTTCCTGGCACCGATGCTAGGCCAAGCGTCAGACGTCTACGGACGCAAGGTTCGTCAGTTTGTGGGTCATTGGGAAATAATTTTGTGGCTTAGTAAATGTGAATGTATGTTTGTTATTGCTATTAGCCGTTTTTGGTGCTAAACCAGCTCGCAAGGGTTGGTACGCCATTCTCCATCATGTATTTCATGCAGCCACACGGATCCATCACGCCGTACCTTGTACTAGGCTAATCGACTATGGGTTTGGGTACGTATCTACGTTTCAGCTCGGTTTCCCCTATGTACTAACAGCCATATTGATCTTGACCCAGAACTGCTGGAGTTATGGGCGCTGCGGTCGCGACATTGTGTCCCCCGAGAACCGCGCAGCAGCAATTGGCATTCTTTTTGCGAGCTTGTCTTCAGGGTTTTCTTTTGAGTGCTTTCGCAGCCCCATTCTTCTCTCGAGTTCGTACTTGCTGCTCGGTTTATGACTGTATTGCTGACTGTTCGTTTCTAACGCGGATGATTTTTATTTATGTAGGAGCAAGTTCTGCAGATTGCCGCTTGTATTTTCGTGATCCGGGTGTTTTGGGCAGTATGCATTCTGCCCGAAACGGTACCGAAGCATTCGCGTATGACCAAGACGCATTGGGTGATGGAGAGTCCTATCAGCTCTCTGTCCATCCTTTTCCGCAATAAATTGTTCATGCGGCTGACGTGCTTGATCGTGATCACGAGTTTCATCAGGAACGGGATTTTCCAGATCCAGTCCTTTTTCCTGAATGTACGTCCCCAACAATATAAACGCAATTGCGAGCTGGTCTAACGCAGCCCATGATGGTGGATTTCAGACAATTGTGGGATTCGATGTGAAAGACTTTGCCAACTTGATGCTACTCGGAGGCGTCTTAGCACTGCTAGGACAGGGGCTACTGGTGAAGGCGCTGGTGGGCTGCTTCAAGGAGAAAGGCGTGATCATCATCGCGCTGATCGCCAGTCTGATGAAGACGGGCGGCTTTGCCGGTGCCGCGTTTTACCCGCACAAATGGGTCGTATTCCTGTCGTTCATCCCTGGTTGCATCGGAGACCTCACCTTCCCCGCCATATCGGCTCTCAAGTCAATGAACGTCTCGGAGAAGGTATGTTTTAGCATCTATTCACCTGAACAAGCTAAAACATTGACGGGGTTATCATAATTTGACTCTGAATCTGCAGGAACAAGGACGTCTTCAAGGCGCAATCTATGGCGCTCGATCAGTTTTTGACGCAATCGGCCCCATCGTCTTCTCCTCGCTGTACGCTGCGATGACCCGGCAGTCCCTTCTGTCCGAAGCTCTCCCGTACATCGTTGCCTCGTGCGTCTACGTCGTCGGGATCGCAGTGGCTGTCTCGCTACCCGTGAGCAAGACGCCCCCGTCGCGGAGTGAAGTCGCTGTTGAACCTGCTCCTTTGCCGCCACCCGTGTCGGACGAAACTCCGGCTTTGGCTTCCGTGTACTTCGAGACTGACAAGGATGAAGTGGAAAAGGGCGACAGAGTGGAGTATGCCACTAGCTCCATGCTGGATGACGACCAATTGCTCTCTGAGCCTTCGCTAGGAGCGAACTCCTCTGAAGTGTAAAAGTGCACATTAGATGCATATCGATACTAAAACACACGATAGAGCTACGTTTAAAACCCCTTTTGTCATTTTCAACTTTTTTCTGGTCGTAGTGATCGGTTTTCACAGGTTTTGGTATCACGTTTTCATTCCCAGTGAAGTATCCGACCGAGATGGACAGCACCACCGCCGCCGCTGACACCTCCGCGCCCCGCATGCCGCAGCGTAAGCGTGGTGCCCCGTGCACTGTGGCCGCGATCGTGGGTCTCCAGCTTCTCACCGCCGGTGCATTTGGCATCATGAGCCCCATCCTGTCAATCCTCATGACGGAGGTCTCTCCTGCAGCATTCTCCAATGCGCTGTAGCGCCGTAAAATATCTCTTAACTGAATGCACTGTAGTACTTTGCCAGACTACACAGAGATGGAGCGCCCATTGACTGTGGGGCCAATCCTCACGACGAGGTATTGTTGTTGTTGTTAAAGGAAATATTCACAATTGTTGGCTCTTGAACTAGGGCTCCGCGAAGGCTGGGATAGGAGAATTTTGGTATAAACCTGTCGTTTTTTAATTTTTTTTAATTATTTTTCTTACTAGCTACGGTCATCTCCTGCGCCTGCTTCGCAGCCGCAGCATCTGTCCGGATTTTTTCTTAAAAGCTGTAGATGCAAGGTATCAACCGGCAATGCTTTACGAAATTAAAAATGCAAATCTTGGTTGAGATCTGTTTTGCAGCTTGTAGAAAATGCAAACTAGTGCTATTGTACAGTCCAAGCGTTCTCTTTACCCTGCTCAATATATGCACTGATTCATACCGGTGTCGTCGGTAGCACACCGGTTCAATCTGCCCACGCATATAAACCTTTTGGAGGGCCCAGTGCGGCACCAGAGCCGTACCGGTTTCAAGAAATATACCAGTTAGATGTCAAGAGGGGTCATCGTTTGACTTGACGTACCACGGATAAAATCCTATTTGGTCTGCGATAGCAGCACTAACGTTGCTTCCTATCCCAGTAATATAAATATCATTTATGAGAACGAAGTATTACCGATGTATTTACAATATTAAGCCTCTGACCGGGGAGATATTCCCAGTATTAAAATACTGGGAATATTAAAATATCACCGATTTCGGGGTTAAAGGGCCCGGGGGGCCCTTCAACTTCAAAAGTCGTGATATGAAAGAGCCCCGAATCGGGCTCCCCTCGCATAGGTACGACAACGAGGAGCCCGCCTTCCTGCAGGGCTCCCCGCTTGGGCTCTTCGATGCTGTCGTGTAGGTTTGGCGGGCTCTTGACGCGCTGTCCTGATTAGTTTACGCTATCTAGGTTTATTCCTTGGGACCCGGTTGAGCTAGATCCGGGAAAATCCTCCAGAAGATCGCGATCCTCGATGCCCTTCGCGCTCGAGCGTAGCTGCGCCATGCTCATGTGACCTGCACTGAAGAGATAGGAGCGAAGAACGTGGCGGCGACAATGTACAGCATGCTTCCTAAAGTCGAAGTTTGGACCTGAAGACCGCACACTACAGCCAATCGGTAGTAAGATATATTACTGGGATAGGAAGCAACGTTAGTGCTGCTATCGCAGACCAAATAGGATTATATCGTGGTACGTCAAGTCAAAATATTGACACCCAACTGGCACATTTCCAGAAACCGGTATGACCCCGGTGCCGCACTGGGCCCTCCAAAAGGTTTATATGCGTGGACAGTTTGAAACGGTATGGGTCAGTAGCATATACTGAACCGGATGGAGTGATGTAAGGTGAATGATTGAATTGAACGGACTACTACAGGACTGTAGCATATTTCTCTACGAGCTAGATCTCGAGCGAGGTTCGTTTCATTACTGTGTATAATTACTGCCTAGTCGTATCTTGCATCTTCGCCGTTGAGGTGAATGACCGGGCAGATGCTGCGGCTGTGAAGCAGGCGCAGGAGATGACTGTGGATCGTAAAAAAAAGTAATAAAGGAGTTATCCCAAAAGCCTCCTATCCCAGCCTTCGCGGAGCCCTAGTTAACCTGTAGGGGGGGGGCTCTTAACGAGGGCTCTCACAGTTTTGAAGGGCTCCTTTCACTTAACCTATTTAACACACGAGCCCAGAACTTTTTGATTGGCCAAAATTTAGCTCCAAGTTCAGCTGCAAAAGAACTTTGAAAACACGGCTGCTGCTACCTTGAAGTTGGGGACAAAAATAGGACGAAACGACGCAGTGGACGTTATTGTAATCGCCTCAAGGTCAAGGTCCAGACTCTTGGAGGAATAGGATAGCTCTGGTAGGAATAAAAGGATGGAGACAGGACGAGGCACTTCGAGCCCCTCCTCTGCTGACTCGAGTGCTCTGCCAAATTTAGCTCCAAGTTCAGCTGCAAAAGAACTTTGAAAACACGGCTGCTGCTACCTTGAAGTTGGGGACAAAAATAGGACGAAACGACGCAGTGGACGTTATTGTAATCGCCTCAAGGTCAAGGTCCAGACTCTTGGAGGAATAGGATAGCTCTGGTAGGAATAAAAGGATGGAGACAGGACGAGGCACTTCGAGCCCCTCCTCTGCTGACTCGAGTGCTCTGCCGCCTATCTCTGCTGCTCCTCCAGCGCGTCTCCCTTCAGCCAAATCCCACCGACCTCCCAGCAAGCAGTGCCTTCGAGGTGGCAGCATGAACTCTTCAAGGCCAAGCAGTCCGCCAGCGAGTGTTGAAGACGAATTATTGCCCGAAGCGACGCAGTGCAGACGGAGACTGTGATAGAGCCAACTGGCAATGGAGACGCGCTGTCCGTCTCCCAGCAGGAGAAGATGCAGGTCTTCGCGACGTCTCCCGACCTCGAATTGCTCTGCAGGGAGAACGGTATCACAGCCGCGCAATTTGCGCGGAATAGCGAGGCAGTGACGAGTTTGGACTTGTTTCTGGGCTTTTGGACGTCCATGAGGAGCGTCGCGTACTTCCCAGCGCTGAGGGAGCTCTCGGTCATCAACCAGCCGACGATCTGCGAACCTATTAAAATAGTTGTAGACGCAAAAAATGATGAGCACTTTCAAGCTCCAGGACTCCTTGGTCCATACGTCGCCGTGCGAACTTCTGGCAAAAGCACTTCAAAGCCTTATTTTTGACCAATCACATCCCTCTATCTATGCGTCACCTGGTCTGGTTACGGAATCTCGACACAAGTCAATCTCCAACTATAGTAACTTCAGTATAGGGATTTGTACTCCGGCGTAACCAGCTCGACTTACCATTTCTCATAACAATTTTGATCGGCTCAATACAACGATACAATCAAACAGGATGGTGTATCAACTTTTTTAACAGTGAAAGCGTAGCATGGGTTCGTTACGCTGGTTCTGCCTGTATGATTGGCTCAAATGTTTGCCCACTTCTCGCACGGCGGGCACCGCAAGGCAACAGCATACCGTCGCTGCGATGGCTGCCTTCGTCGTCATGAACGCAGGCGCCAATCTAGGCGGGAGCAGGTGCCAATTTGGGCGAGACCGCAAGCCGTCACAGCAGACCCTGTGGTCATGAAAACTACTTTATCAATCGGTAGACTCGGTGCTAACCGGTCGGGCCCAAGAGCTGCCACGCACGGCACTTGCAGTCAGATGACCAAGGTCGCGAGCGCGGATACGAAGTCTTTGGTCTGCTCGCCGCCAGCAGCAGGGGCGGGCTGAGAACCTTCGTTGCGCTCAACTAAGACATATTGTAGCAAGGGCTTTGTATTTGAGGTTGTTGCACGCGCCAGCTCGTGGTCCAGTCGAGGATGGTGTATCAACTTTTTTAACAGTGAAAGCGTAGCATGGGTTCGTTACGCTGGTTCTGCCTGTATGATTGGCTCAAATGTTTGCCCACTTCTCGCACGGCGGGCACCGCAAGGCAACAGCATACCGTCGCTGCGATGGCTGCCTTCGTCGTCATGAACGCAGGCGCCAATCTAGGCGGGAGCAGGTGCCAATTTGGGCGAGACCGCAAGCCGTCACAGCAGACCCTGTGGTCATGAAAACTACTTTATCAATCGGTAGACTCGGTGCTAACCGGTCGGGCCCAAGAGCTGCCACGCACGGCACTTGCAGTCAGATGACCAAGGTCGCGAGCGCGGATACGAAGTCTTTGGTCTGCTCGCCGCCAGCAGCAGGGGCGGGCTGAGAACCTTCGTTGCGCTCAACTAAGACATATTGTAGCAAGGGCTTTGTATTTGAGGTTGTTGCACGCGCCAGCTCGTGGTCCAGTCGCCGAGAAACGCGGACAGGAGCACGAGCTCGTCCGGAGTCCCAGAGCGGGGAGGCAATGCGAGCAGCAGGAGATGGACAAGGTGCTCAGCAGCGGCGTCTAAGTGCCCGCACCTACTAGAGGGCAATCGTGCCGCTGCTGGGGAGGAATTGCACCTAGTCCAGTGGTGGTAATATGTAGGAGAATGCACTTTTAAATACCTATTAAAATAGTTGTAGACGCAAAAAATGATGAGCACTTTCAAGCTCCAGGACTCCTTGGTCCATACGTCGCCGTGCGAACTTCTGGCAAAAGCACTTCAAAGCCTTATTTTTGACCAATCACATCCCTCTATCTATGCGTCACCTGGTCTGGTTACGGAATCTCGACACAAGTCAATCTCCAACTATAGTAACTTCAGTATAGGGATTTGTACTCCGGCGTAACCAGCTCGGCTTACCATTTCTCATAACAATTTTGATCGGCTCAATACAACGATACAATCAAACAGGATGGTGTATCAACTTTTTTAACAGTGAAAGCGTAGCATGGGTTCGTTACGCTGGTTCTGCCTGTATGATTGGCTCAAATGTTTGCCCACTTCTCGCACGGCGGGCACCGCAAGGCAACAGCATACCGTCGCTGCGATGGCTGCCTTCGTCGTCATGAACGCAGGCGCCAATCTAGGCGGGAGCAGGTGCCAATTTGGGCGAGACCGCAAGCCGTCACAGCAGACCCTGTGGTCATGAAAACTACTTTATCAATCGGTAGACTCGGTGCTAACCGGTCTGAGCAGTGGCGGTCGTCCTGGTACTGGGGCCCAAGAGCTGCCACGCACGGCACTTGCAGTCAGATGACCAAGGTCGCGAGCGCGGATACGAAGTCTTTGGTCTGCTCGCCGCCAGCAGCAGGGGCGGGCTGAGAACCTTCGTTGCGCTCAACTAAGACATATTGTAGCAAGGGCTTTGTATTTGAGGTTGTTGCACGCGCCAGCTCGTGGTCCAGTCGCCGAGAAACGCGGACAGGAGCACGAGCTCGTCCGGAGTCCCAGAGCGGGGAGGCAATGCGAGCAGCAGGAGATGGACAAGGTGCTCAGCAGCGGCGTCTAAGTGCCCGCACCTACTAGAGGGCAATCGTGCCGCTGCTGGGGAGGAATTGCACCTAGTCCAGTGGTGGTAATATGTAGGAGAATGCACTTTTAAATACCTATTAAAATAGTTGTAGACGCAAAAAATGATGAGCACTTTCAAGCTCCAGGACTCCTTGGTCCATACGTCGCCGTGCGAACTTCTGGCAAAAGCACTTCAAAGCCTTATTTTTGACCAATCACATCCCTCTATCTATGCGTCACCTGGTCTGGTTACGGAATCTCGACACAAGTCAATCTCCAACTATAGTAACTTCAGTATAGGGATTTGTACTCCGGCGTAACCAGCTCGGCTTACCATTTCTCATAACAATTTTGATCGGCTCAATACAACGATACAATCAAACAGGATGGTGTATCAACTTTTTTAACAGTGAAAGCGTAGCATGGGTTCGTTACGCTGGTTCTGCCTGTATGATTGGCTCAAATGTTTGCCCACTTCTCGCACGGCGGGCACCGCAAGGCAACAGCATACCGTCGCTGCGATGGCTGCCTTCGTCGTCATGAACGCAGGCGCCAATCTAGGCGGGAGCAGGTGCCAATTTGGGCGAGACCGCAAGCCGTCACAGCAGACCCTGTGGTCATGAAAACTACTTTATCAATCGGTAGACTCGGTGCTAACCGGTCTGAGCAGTGGCGGTCGTCCTGGTACTGGGGCCCAAGAGCTGCCACGCACGGCACTTGCAGTCAGATGACCAAGGTCGCGAGCGCGGATACGAAGTCTTTGGTCTGCTCGCCGCCAGCAGCAGGGGCGGGCTGAGAACCTTCGTTGCGCTCAGCTAAGACATACTGTAGCAAGGGCTTTGTATTTGAGGTTGTTGCACGCGCCAGCTCGTGGTCCAGTCGCCGAGAAACGCGGACAGGAGCACGAGCTCGTCCGGAGTCCCAGAGCGGGGAGGCAATGCGAGCAGCAGGAGATGGACAAGGTGCTCAGCAGCGGCGTCTAAGTGCCCGCACCTACTAGAGGGCAATCGTGCCGCTGCTGGGGAGGAATTGCACCTAGTCCAGTGGTGGTAATATGTAGGAGAATGCACTTTTAAATACCTATTAAAATAGTTGTAGACGCAAAAAATGATGAGCACTTTCAAGCTCCAGGACTCCTTGGTCCATACGTCGCCGTGCGAACTTCTGGCAAAAGCACTTCAAAGCCTTATTTTTGACCAATCACATCCCTCTATCTATGCGTGCCGCCAGCAGCAGGGGCGGGCTGAGAACCTTCGTTGCGCTCAACTAAGACATATTGTAGCAAGGGCTTTGTATTTGAGGTTTGTTGCACGCGCCAGCTCGTGGTCCAGTCGCCGAGAAACGCGGACAGGAGCACGAGCTCGTCCGGAGTCCCAGAGCGGGGAGGCAATGCGAGCAGCAGGAGATGGACAAGGTGCTCAGCAGCGGCGTCTAAGTGCCCGCACCTACTAGAGGGCAATCGTGCCGCTGCTGGGGAGGAATTGCACCTAGTCCAGTGGTGGTAATATGTAGGAGAATGCACTTTTAAATACCTATTAAAATAGTTGTAGACGCAAAAAATGATGAGCACTTTCAAGCTCCAGGACTCCTTGGTCCATACGTCGCCGTGCGAACTTCTGGCAAAAGCACTTCAAAACCTTATTTTTGACCAATCACATCCCTCTATCTATGCGTCACCTGGTCTGGTTACGGAATCTCGACACAAGTCAATCTCCAACTATAGTAACTTCAGTATAGGGATTTGTACTCCGGCGTAACCAGCTCGGCTTACCATTTCTCATAACAATTTTGATCGGCTCAATACAACGATACAATCAAACAGGATGGTGTATCAACTTTTTTAACAGTGAAAGCGTAGCATGGGTTCGTTACGCTGGTTCTGCCTGTATGATTGGCTCAAATGTTTGCCCACTTCTCGCACGGCGGGCACCGCAAGGCAACAGCATACCGTCGCTGCGATGGCTGCCTTCGTCGTCATGAACGCAGGCGCCAATCTAGGCGGGAGCAGGTGCCAATTTGGGCGAGACCGCAAGCCGTCACAGCAGACCCTGTGGTCATGAAAACTACTTTATCAATCGGTAGACTCGGTGCTAACCGGTCTGAGCAGTGGCGGTCGTCCTGGTACTGGGGCCCAAGAGCTGCCACGCACGGCACTTGCAGTCAGATGACCAAGGTCGCGAGCGCGGATACGAAGTCTTTGGTCTGCTCGCCGCCAGCAGCAGGGGCGGGCTGAGAACCTTCGTTGCGCTCAGCTAAGACATATTGTAGCAAGGGCTTTGTATTTGAGGTTGTTGCACGCGCCAGCTCGTGGTCCAGTCGCCGAGAAACGCGGACAGGAGCACGAGCTCGTCCGGAGTCCCAGAGCGGGGAGGCAATGCGAGCAGCAGGAGATGGACAAGGTGCTCAGCAGCGGCGTCTAAGTGCCCGCACCTACTAGAGGGCAATCGTGCCGCTGCTGGGGAGGAATTGCACCTAGTCCAGTGGTGGTAATATGTAGGAGAATGCACTTTTAAATACCTATTAAAATAGTTGTAGACGCAAAAAATGATGAGCACTTTCAAGCTCCAGGACTCCTTGGTCCATACGTCGCCGTGCGAACTTCTGGCAAAAGCACTTCAAAGCCTTATTTTTGACCAATCACATCCCTCTATCTATGCGTCACCTGGTCTGGTTACGGAATCTCGACACAAGTCAATCTCCAACTATAGTAACTTCAGTATAGGGATTTGTACTCCGGCGTAACCAGCTCGACTTACCATTTCTCATAACAATTTTGATCGGCTCAATACAACGATACAATCAAACAGGATGGTGTATCAACTTTTTTAACAGTGAAAGCGTAGCATGGGTTCGTTACGCTGGTTCTGCCTGTATGATTGGCTCAAATGTTTGCCCACTTCTCGCACGGCGGGCACCGCAAGGCAACAGCATACCGTCGCTGCGATGGCTGCCTTCGTCGTCATGAACGCAGGCGCCAATCTAGGCGGGAGCAGGTGCCAATTTGGGCGAGACCGCAAGCCGTCACAGCAGACCCTGTGGTCATGAAAACTACTTTATCAATCGGTAGACTCGGTGCTAACCGGTCTGAGCAGTGGCGGTCGTCCTGGTACTGGGGCCCAAGAGCTGCCACGCACGGCACTTGCAGTCAGATGACCAAGGTCGCGAGCGCGGATACGAAGTCTTTGGTCTGCTCGCCGCCAGCAGCAGGGGCGGGCTGAGAACCTTCGTTGCGCTCAGCTAAGACATATTGTAGCAAGGGCTTTGTATTTGAGGTTGTTGCACGCGCCAGCTCGTGGTCCAGTCGCCGAGAAACGCGGACAGGAGCACGAGCTCGTCCGGAGTCCCAGAGCGGGGAGGCAATGCGAGCAGCAGGAGATGGACAAGGTGCTCAGCAGCGGCGTCTAAGTGCCCGCACCTACTAGAGGGCAATCGTGCCGCTGCTGGGGAGGAATTGCACCTAGTCCAGTGGTGGTAATATGTAGGAGAATGCACTTTTAAATACCTATTAAAATAGTTGTAGACGCAAAAAATGATGAGCACTTTCAAGCTCCAGGACTCCTTGGTCCATACGTCGCCGTGCGAACTTCTGGCAAAAGCACTTCAAAGCCTTATTTTTGACCAATCACATCCCTCTATCTATGCGTCACCTGGTCTGGTTACGGAATCTCGACAAGTCAATCTCCAACTATAGTAACTTCAGTATAGGGATTTGTACTCCGGCGTAACCAGCTCGGCTTACCATTTCTCATAACAATTTTGATCGGCTCAATACAACGATACAATCAAACAGGATGGTGTATCAACTTTTTTAACAGTGAAAGCGTAGCATGGGTTCGTTACGCTGGTTCTGCCTGTATGATTGGCTCAAATGTTTGCCCACTTCTCGCACGGCGGGCACCGCAAGGCAACAGCATACCGTCGCTGCGATGGCTGCCTTCGTCGTCATGAACGCAGGCGCCAATCTAGGCGGGAGCAGGTGCCAATTTGGGCGAGACCGCAAGCCGTCACAGCAGACCCTGTGGTCATGAAAACTACTTTATCAATCGGTAGACTCGGTGCTAACCGGTCTGAGCAGTGGCGGTCGTCCTGGTACTGGGGCCCAAGAGCTGCCACGCACGGCACTTGCAGTCAGATGACCAAGGTCGCGAGCGCGGATACGAAGTCTTTGGTCTGCTCGCCGCCAGCAGCAGGGGCGGGCTGAGAACCTTCGTTGCGCTCAGCTAAGACATATTGTAGCAAGGGCTTTGTATTTGAGGTTTGTTGCACGCGCCAGCTCGTGGTCCAGTCGCCGAGAAACGCGGACAGGAGCACGAGCTCGTCCGGAGTCCCAGAGCGGGGAGGCAATGCGAGCAGCAGGAGATGGACAAGGTGCTCAGCAGCGGCGTCTAAGTGCCCGCACCTACTAGAGGGCAATCGTGCCGCTGCTGGGGAGGAATGCACTCCTTGGTCCATACGTCGCCGTGCGAACTTCTGGCAAAAGCACTTCAAAGCCTTATTTTTGACCAATCACATCCCTCTATCTATGCGTCACCTGGTCTGGTTACGGAATCTCGACACAAGTCAATCTCCAACTATAGTAACTTCAGTATAGGGATTTGTACTCCGGCGTAACCAGCTCGGCTTACCATTTCTCATAACAATTTTGATCGGCTCAATACAACGATACAATCAAACAGGATGGTGTATCAACTTTTTTAACAGTGAAAGCGTAGCATGGGTTCGTTACGCTGGTTCTGCCTGTATGATTGGCTCAAATGTTTGCCCACTTCTCGCACGGCGGGCACCGCAAGGCAACAGCATACCGTCGCTGCGATGGCTGCCTTCGTCGTCATGAACGCAGGCGCCAATCTAGGCGGGAGCAGGTGCCAATTTGGGCGAGACCGCAAGCCGTCACAGCAGACCCTGTGGTCATGAAAACTACTTTATCAATCGGTAGACTCGGTGCTAACCGGTCTGAGCAGTGGCGGTCGTCCTGGTACTGGGGCCCAAGAGCTGCCACGCACGGCACTTGCAGTCAGATGACTAAGGTCGCGAGCGCGGATACGAAGTCTTTGGTCTGCTCGCCGCCAGCAGCAGGGGCGGGCTGAGAACCTTCGTTGCGCTCAGCTAAGACATATTGTAGCAAGGGCTTTGTATTTGAGGTTTGTTGCACGCGCCAGCTCGTGGTCCAGTCGCCGAGAAACGCGGACAGGAGCACGAGCTCGTCCGGAGTCCCAGAGCGGGGAGGCAATGCGAGCAGCAGGAGATGGACAAGGTGCTCAGCAGCGGCGTCTAAGTGCCCGCACCTACTAGAGGGCAATCGTGCCGCTGCTGGGGAGGAATTGCACCTAGTCCAGTGGTGGTAATATGTAGGAGAATGCACTTTTAAATACCTATTAAAATAGTTGTAGACGCAAAAAATGATGAGCACTTTCAAGCTCCAGGACTCCTTGGTCCATACGTCGCCGTGCGAACTTCTGGCAAAAGCACTTCAAAGCCTTATTTTTGACCAATCACATCCCTCTATCTATGCGTCACCTGGTCTGGTTACGGAATCTCGACACAAGTCAATCTCCAACTATAGTAACTTCAGTATAGGGATTTGTACTCCGGCGTAACCAGCTCGACTTACCATTTCTCATAACAATTTTGATCGGCTCAATACAACGATACAATCAAACAGGATGGTGTATCAACTTTTTTAACAGTGAAAGCGTAGCATGGGTTCGTTACGCTGGTTCTGCCTGCATGATTGGCTCAAATGTTTGCCCACTTCTCGCACGGCGGGCACCGCAAGGCAACAGCATACCGTCGCTGCGATGGCTGCCTTCGTCGTCATGAACGCAGGCGCCAATCTAGGCGGGAGCAGGTGCCAATTTGGGCGAGACCGCAAGCCGTCACAGCAGACCCTGTGGTCATGAAAACTACTTTATCAATCGGTAGACTCGGTGCTAACCGGTCTGAGCAGTGGCGGTCGTCCTGGTACTGGGGCCCAAGAGCTGCCACGCACGGCACTTGCAGTCAGATGACCAAGGTCGCGAGCGCGGATACGAAGTCTTTGGTCTGCTCGCCGCCAGCAGCAGGGGCGGGCTGAGAACCTTCGTTGCGCTCAGCTAAGACATACTGTAGCAAGGGCTTTGTATTTGAGGTTGTTGCACGCGCCAGCTCGTGGTCCAGTCGCCGAGAAACGCGGACAGGAGCACGAGCTCGTCCGGAGTCCCAGAGCGGGGAGGCAATGCGAGCAGCAGGAGATGGACAAGGTGCTCAGCAGCGGCGTCTAAGTGCCCGCACCTACTAGAGGGCAATCGTGCCGCTGCTGGGGAGGAATTGCACCTAGTCCAGTGGTGGTAATATGTAGGAGAATGCACTTTTAAATACCTATTAAAATAGTTGTAGACGCAAAAAATGATGAGCACTTTCAAGCTCCAGGACTCCTTGGTCCATACGTCGCCGTGCGAACTTCTGGCAAAAGCACTTCAAAGCCTTATTTTTGACCAATCACATCCCTCTATCTATGCGTCACCTGGTCTGGTTACGGAATCTCGACAAGTCAATCTCCAACTATAGTAACTTCAGTATAGGGATTTGTACTCCGGCGTAACCAGCTCGGCTTACCATTTCTCATAACAATTTTGATCGGCTCAATACAACGATACAATCAAACAGGATGGTGTATCAACTTTTTTAACAGTGAAAGCGTAGCATGGGTTCGTTACGCTGGTTCTGCCTGTATGATTGGCTCAAATGTTTGCCCACTTCTCGCACGGCGGGCACCGCAAGGCAACAGCATACCGTCGCTGCGATGGCTGCCTTCGTCGTCATGAACGCAGGCGCCAATCTAGGCGGGAGCAGGTGCCAATTTGGGCGAGACCGCAAGCCGTCACAGCAGACCCTGTGGTCATGAAAACTACTTTATCAATCGGTAGACTCGGTGCTAACCGGTCTGAGCAGTGGCGGTCGTCCTGGTACTGGGGCCCAAGAGCTGCCACGCACGGCACTTGCAGTCAGATGACCAAGGTCGCGAGCGCGGATACGAAGTCTTTGGTCTGCTCGCCGCCAGCAGCAGGGGCGGGCTGAGAACCTTCGTTGCGCTCAGCTAAGACATATTGTAGCAAGGGCTTTGTATTTGAGGTTGTTGCACGCGCCAGCTCGTGGTCCAGTCGCCGAGAAACGCGGACAGGAGCACGAGCTCGTCCGGAGTCCCAGAGCGGGGAGGCAATGCGAGCAGCAGGAGATGGACAAGGTGCTCAGCAGCGGCGTCTAAGTGCCCGCACCTACTAGAGGGCAATCGTGCCGCTGCTGGGGAGGAATTGCACCTAGTCCAGTGGTGGTAATATGTAGGAGAATGCACTTTTAAATACCTATTAAAATAGTTGTAGACGCAAAAAATGATGAGCACTTTCAAGCTCCAGGACTCCTTGGTCCATACGTCGCCGTGCGAACTTCTGGCAAAAGCACTTCAAAGCCTTATTTTTGACCAATCACATCCCTCTATCTATGCGTCACCTGGTCTGGTTACGGAATCTCGACAAGTCAATCTCCAACTATAGTAACTTCAGTATAGGGATTTGTACTCCGGCGTAACCAGCTCGGCTTACCATTTCTCATAACAATTTTGATCGGCTCAATACAACGATACAATCTGTATCAACTTTTTTAACAGTGAAAGCGTAGCATGGGTTCGTTACGCTGGTTCTGCCTGTATGATTGGCTCAAATGTTTGCCCACTTCTCGCACGGCGGGCACCGCAAGGCAACAGCATACCGTCGCTGCGATGGCTGCCTTCGTCGTCATGAACGCAGGCGCCAATCTAGGCGGGAGCAGGTGCCAATTTGGGCGAGACCGCAAGCCGTCACAGCAGACCCTGTGGTCATGAAAACTACTTTATCAATCGGTAGACTCGGTGCTAACCGGTCTGAGCAGTGGCGGTCGTCCTGGTACTGGGGCCCAAGAGCTGCCACGCACGGCACTTGCAGTCAGATGACCAAGGTCGCGAGCGCGGATACGAAGTCTTTGGTCTGCTCGCCGCCAGCAGCAGGGGCGGGCTGAGAACCTTCGTTGCGCTCAGCTAAGACATATTGTAGCAAGGGCTTTGTATTTGAGGTTTGTTGCACGCGCCAGCTCGTGGTCCAGTCGCCGAGAAACGCGGACAGGAGCACGAGCTCGTCCGGAGTCCCAGAGCGGGGAGGCAATGCGAGCAGCAGGAGATGGACAAGGTGCTCAGCAGCGGCGTCTAAGTGCCCGCACCTACTAGAGGGCAATCGTGCCGCTGCTGGGGAGGAATTGCACCTAGTCCAGTGGTGGTAATATGTAGGAGAATGCACTTTTAAATGCCTATTAAAATAGTTGTAGACGCAAAAAATGATGAGCACTTTCAAGCTCCAGGACTCCTTGGTCCATACGTCGCCGTGCGAACTTCTGGCAAAAGCACTTCAAAGCCTTATTTTTGACCAATCACATCCCTCTATCTATGCGTCACCTGGTCTGGTTACGGAATCTCGACAAGTCAATCTCCAACTATAGTAACTTCAGTATAGGGATTTGTACTCCGGCGTAACCAGCTCGGCTTACCATTTCTCATAACAATTTTGATCGGCTCAATACAACGATACAATCAAACAGGATGGTGTATCAACTTTTTTAACAGTGAAAGCGTAGCATGGGTTCGTTACGCTGGTTCTGCCTGTATGATTGGCTCAAATGTTTGCCCACTTCTCGCACGGCGGGCACCGCAAGGCAACAGCATACCGTCGCTGCGATGGCTGCCTTCGTCGTCATGAACGCAGGCGCCAATCTAGGCGGGAGCAGGTGCATAACAATTTTGATCGGCTCAATACAACGATACAATCAAACAGGATGGTGTATCAACTTTTTTAACAGTGAAAGCGTAGCATGGGTTCGTTACGCTGGTTCTGCCTGTATGATTGGCTCAAATGTTTGCCCACTTCTCGCACGGCGGGCACCGCAAGGCAACAGCATACCGTCGCTGCGATGGCTGCCTTCGTCGTCATGAACGCAGGCGCCAATCTAGGCGGGAGCAGGTGCCAATTTGGGCGAGACCGCAAGCCGTCACAGCAGACCCTGTGGTCATGAAAACTACTTTATCAATCGGTAGACTCGGTGCTAACCGGTCTGAGCAGTGGCGGTCGTCCTGATACTGGGGCCCAAGAGCTGCCACGCACGGCACTTGCAGTCAGATGACCAAGGTCGCGAGCGCGGATACGAAGTCTTTGGTCTGCTCGCCGCCAGCAGCAGGGGCGGGCTGAGAACCTTCGTTGCGCTCAGCTAAGACATATTGTAGCAAGGGCTTTGTATTTGAGGTTGTTGCACGCGCCAGCTCGTGGTCCAGTCGCCGAGAAACGCGGACAGGAGCACGAGCTCGTCCGGAGTCCCAGAGCGGGGAGGCAATGCGAGCAGCAGGAGATGGACAAGGTGCTCAGCAGCGGCGTCTAAGTGCCCGCACCTACTAGAGGGCAATCGTGCCGCTGCTGGGGAGGAATTGCACCTAGTCCAGTGGTGGTAATATGTAGGAGAATGCACTTTTAAATACCTATTAAAATAGTTGTAGACGCAAAAAATGATGAGCACTTTCAAGCTCCAGGACTCCTTGGTCCATACGTCGCCGTGCGAACTTCTGGCAAAAGCACTTCAAAGCCTTATTTTTGACCAATCACATCCCTCTATCTATGCGTCACCTGGTCTGGTTACGGAATCTCGACACAAGTCAATCTCCAACTATAGTAACTTCAGTATAGGGATTTGTACTCCGGCGTAACCAGCTCGACTTACCATTTCTCATAACAATTTTGATCGGCTCAATACAACGATACAATCAAACAGGATGGTGTATCAACTTTTTTAACAGTGAAAGCGTAGCATGGGTTCGTTACGCTGGTTCTGCCTGTATGATTGGCTCAAATGTTTGCCCACTTCTCGCACGGCGGGCACCGCAAGGCAACAGCATACCGTCGCTGCGATGGCTGCCTTCGTCGTCATGAACGCAGGCGCCAATCTAGGCGGGAGCAGGTGCCAATTTGGGCGAGACCGCAAGCCGTCACAGCAGACCCTGTGGTCATGAAAACTACTTTATCAATCGGTAGACTCGGTGCTAACCGGTCTGAGCAGTGGCGGTCGTCCTGGTACTGGGGCCCAAGAGCTGCCACGCACGGCACTTGCAGTCAGATGACCAAGGTCGCGAGCGCGGATACGAAGTCTTTGGTCTGCTCGCCGCCAGCAGCAGGGGCGGGCTGAGAACCTTCGTTGCGCTCAGCTAAGACATATTGTAGCAAGGGCTTTGTATTTGAGGTTTGTTGCACGCGCCAGCTCGTGGTCCAGTCGCCGAGAAACGCGGACAGGAGCACGAGCTCGTCCGGAGTCCCAGAGCGGGGAGGCAATGCGAGCAGCAGGAGATGGACAAGGTGCTCAGCAGCGGCGTCTAAGTGCCCGCACCTACTAGAGGGCAATCGTGCCGCTGCTGGGGAGGAATTGCACCTAGTCCAGTGGTGGTAATATGTAGGAGAATGCACTTTTAAATACCTATTAAAATAGTTGTAGACGCAAAAAATGATGAGCACTTTCAAGCTCCAGGACTCCTTGGTCCATACGTCGCCGTGCGAACTTCTGGCAAAAGCACTTCAAAGCCTTATTTTTGACCAATCACATCCCTCTATCTATGCGTCACCTGGTCTGGTTACGGAATCTCGACACAAGTCAATCTCCAACTATAGTAACTTCAGTATAGGGATTTGTACTCCGGCGTAACCAGCTCGGCTTACCATTTCTCATAACAATTTTGATCGGCTCAATACAACGATACAATCAAACAGGATGGTGTATCAACTTTTTTAACAGTGAAAGCGTAGCATGGGTTCGTTACGCTGGTTCTGCCTGTATGATTGGCTCAAATGTTTGCCCACTTCTCGCACGGCGGGCACCGCAAGGCAACAGCATACCGTCGCTGCGATGGCTGCCTTCGTCGTCATGAACGCAGGCGCCAATCTAGGCGGGAGCAGGTGCCAATTTGGGCGAGACCGCAAGCCGTCACAGCAGACCCTGTGGTCATGAAAACTACTTTATCAATCGGTAGACTCGGTGCTAACCGGTCTGAGCAGTGGCGGTCGTCCTGATACTGGGGCCCAAGAGCTGCCACGCACGGCACTTGCAGTCAGATGACCAAGGTCGCGAGCGCGGATACGAAGTCTTTGGTCTGCTCGCCGCCAGCAGCAGGGGCGGGCTGAGAACCTTCGTTGCGCTCAACTAAGACATATTGTAGCAAGGGCTTTGTATTTGAGGTTGTTGCACGCGCCAGCTCGTGGTCCAGTCGCCGAGAAACGCGGACAGGAGCACGAGCTCGTCCGGAGTCCCAGAGCGGGGAGGCAATGCGAGCAGCAGGAGATGGACAAGGTGCTCAGCAGCGGCGTCTAAGTGCCCGCACCTACTAGAGGGCAATCGTGCCGCTGCTGGGGAGGAATTGCACCTAGTCCAGTGGTGGTAATATGTAGGAGAATGCACTTTTAAATACCTATTAAAATAGTTGTAGACGCAAAAAATGATGAGCACTTTCAAGCTCCAGGACTCCTTGGTCCATACGTCGCCGTGCGAACTTCTGGCAAAAGCACTTCAAAGCCTTATTTTTGACCAATCACATCCCTCTATCTATGCGTCACCTGGTCTGGTTACGGAATCTCGACACAAGTCAATCTCCAACTATAGTAACTTCAGTATAGGGATTTGTACTCCGGCGTAACCAGCTCGGCTTACCATTTCTCATAACAATTTTGATCGGCTCAATACAACGATACAATCAAACAGGATGGTGTATCAACTTTTTTAACAGTGAAAGCGTAGCATGGGTTCGTTACGCTGGTTCTGCCTGTATGATTGGCTCAAATGTTTGCCCACTTCTCGCACGGCGGGCACCGCAAGGCAACAGCATACCGTCGCTGCGATGGCTGCCTTCGTCGTCATGAACGCAGGCGCCAATCTAGGCGGGAGCAGGTGCCAATTTGGGCGAGACCGCAAGCCGTCACAGCAGACCCTGTGGTCATGAAAACTACTTTATCAATCGGTAGACTCGGTGCTAACCGGTCGGGCCCAAGAGCTGCCACGCACGGCACTTGCAGTCAGATGACCAAGGTCGCGAGCGCGGATACGAAGTCTTTGGTCTGCTCGCCGCCAGCAGCAGGGGCGGGCTGAGAACCTTCGTTGCGCTCAACTAAGACATATTGTAGCAAGGGCTTTGTATTTGAGGTTGTTGCACGCGCCAGCTCGTGGTCCAGTCGCCGAGAAACGCGGACAGGAGCACGAGCTCGTCCGGAGTCCCAGAGCGGGGAGGCAATGCGAGCAGCAGGAGATGGACAAGGTGCTCAGCAGCGGCGTCTAAGTGCCCGCACCTACTAGAGGGCAATCGTGCCGCTGCTGGGGAGGAATTGCACCTAGTCCAGTGGTGGTAATATGTAGGAGAATGCACTTTTAAATACCTATTAAAATAGTTGTAGACGCAAAAAATGATGAGCACTTTCAAGCTCCAGGACTCCTTGGTCCATACGTCGCCGTGCGAACTTCTGGCAAAAAGCACTTCAAAGCCTTATTTTTGACCAATCACATCCCTCTATCTATGCGTCACCTGGTCTGGTTACGGAATCTCGACACAAGTCAATCTCCAACTATAGTAACTTCAGTATAGGGATTTGTACTCCGGCGTAACCAGCTCGGCTTACCATTTCTCATAACAATTTTGATCGGCTCAATACAACGATACAATCAAACAGGATGGTGTATCAACTTTTTTAACAGTGAAAGCGTAGCATGGGTTCGTTACGCTGGTTCTGCCTGTATGATTGGCTCAAATGTTTGCCCACTTCTCGCACGGCGGGCACCGCAAGGCAACAGCATACCGTCGCTGCGATGGCTGCCTTCGTCGTCATGAACGCAGGCGCCAATCTAGGCGGGAGCAGGTGCCAATTTGGGCGAGACCGCAAGCCGTCACAGCAGACCCTGTGGTCATGAAAACTACTTTATCAATCGGTAGACTCGGTGCTAACCGGTCTGAGCAGTGGCGGTCGTCCTGGTACTGGGGCCCAAGAGCTGCCACGCACGGCACTTGCAGTCAGATGACCAAGGTCGCGAGCGCGGATACGAAGTCTTTGGTCTGCTCGCCGCCAGCAGCAGGGGCGGGCTGAGAACCTTCGTTGCGCTCAGCTAAGACATATTGTAGCAAGGGCTTTGTATTTGAGGTTTGTTGCACGCGCCAGCTCGTGGTCCAGTCGCCGAGAAACGCGGACAGGAGCACGAGCTCGTCCGGAGTCCCAGAGCGGGGAGGCAATGCGAGCAGCAGGAGATGGACAAGGTGCTCAGCAGCGGCGTCTAAGTGCCCGCACCTACTAGAGGGCAATCGTGCCGCTGCTGGGGAGGAATTGCACCTAGTCCAGTGGTGGTAATATGTAGGAGAATGCACTTTTAAATACCTATTAAAATAGTTGTAGACGCAAAAAATGATGAGCACTTTCAAGCTCCAGGACTCCTTGGTCCATACGTCGCCGTGCGAACTTCTGGCAAAAGCACTTCAAAGCCTTATTTTTGACCAATCACATCCCTCTATCTATGCGTCACCTGGTCTGGTTACGGAATCTCGACAAGTCAATCTCCAACTATAGTAACTTCAGTATAGGGATTTGTACTCCGGCGTAACCAGCTCGGCTTACCATTTCTCATAACAATTTTGATCGGCTCAATACAACGATACAATCAAACAGGATGGTGTATCAACTTTTTTAACAGTGAAAGCGTAGCATGGGTTCGTTACGCTGGTTCTGCCTGTATGATTGGCTCAAATGTTTGCCCACTTCTCGCACGGCGGGCACCGCAAGGCAACAGCATACCGTCGCTGCGATGGCTGCCTTCGTCGTCATGAACGCAGGCGCCAATCTAGGCGGGAGCAGGTGCCAATTTGGGCGAGACCGCAAGCCGTCACAGCAGACCCTGTGGTCATGAAAACTACTTTATCAATCGGTAGACTCGGTGCTAACCGGTCTGAGCAGTGGCGGTCGTCCTGGTACTGGGGCCCAAGAGCTGCCACGCACGGCACTTGCAGTCAGATGACCAAGGTCGCGAGCGCGGATACGAAGTCTTTGGTCTGCTCGCCGCCAGCAGCAGGGGCGGGCTGAGAACCTTCGTTGCGCTCAGCTAAGACATATTGTAGCAAGGGCTTTGTATTTGAGGTTGTTGCACGCGCCAGCTCGTGGTCCAGTCGCCGAGAAACGCGGACAGGAGCACGAGCTCGTCCGGAGTCCCAGAGCGGGGAGGCAATGCGAGCAGCAGGAGATGGACAAGGTGCTCAGCAGCGGCGTCTAAGTGCCCGCACCTACTAGAGGGCAATCGTGCCGCTGCTGGGGAGGAATTGCACCTAGTCCAGTGGTGGTAATATGTAGGAGAATGCACTTTTAAATACCTATTAAAATAGTTGTAGACGCAAAAAATGATGAGCACTTTCAAGCTCCAGGACTCCTTGGTCCATACGTCGCCGTGCGAACTTCTGGCAAAAGCACTTCAAAGCCTTATTTTTGACCAATCACATCCCTCTATCTATGCGTCACCTGGTCTGGTTACGGAATCTCGACACAAGTCAATCTCCAACTATAGTAACTTCAGTATAGGGATTTGTACTCCGGCGTAACCAGCTCGACTTACCATTTCTCATAACAATTTTGATCGGCTCAATACAACGATACAATCAAACAGGATGGTGTATCAACTTTTTTAACAGTGAAAGCGTAGCATGGGTTCGTTACGCTGGTTCTGCCTGTATGATTGGCTCAAATGTTTGCCCACTTCTCGCACGGCGGGCACCGCAAGGCAACAGCATACCGTCGCTGCGATGGCTGCCTTCGTCGTCATGAACGCAGGCGCCAATCTAGGCGGGAGCAGGTGCCAATTTGGGCGAGACCGCAAGCCGTCACAGCAGACCCTGTGGTCATGAAAACTACTTTATCAATCGGTAGACTCGGTGCTAACCGGTCTGAGCAGTGGCGGTCGTCCTGGTACTGGGGCCCAAGAGCTGCCACGCACGGCACTTGCAGTCAGATGACCAAGGTCGCGAGCGCGGATACGAAGTCTTTGGTCTGCTCGCCGCCAGCAGCAGGGGCGGTGGGTTCGTTACGCTGGTTCTGCCTGTATGATTGGCTCAAATGTTTGCCCACTTCTCGCACGGCGGGCACCGCAAGGCAACAGCATACCGTCGCTGCGATGGCTGCCTTCGTCGTCATGAACGCAGGCGCCAATCTAGGCGGGAGCAGGTGCCAATTTGGGCGAGACCGCAAGCCGTCACAGCAGACCCTGTGGTCATGAAAACTACTTTATCAATCGGTAGACTCGGTGCTAACCGGTCTGAGCAGTGGCGGTCGTCCTGGTACTGGGGCCCAAGAGCTGCCACGCACGGCACTTGCAGTCAGATGACCAAGGTCGCGAGCGCGGATACGAAGTCTTTGGTCTGCTCGCCGCCAGCAGCAGGGGCGGGCTGAGAACCTTCGTTGCGCTCAGCTAAGACATATTGTAGCAAGGGCTTTGTATTTGAGGTTGTTGCACGCGCCAGCTCGTGGTCCAGTCGCCGAGAAACGCGGACAGGAGCACGAGCTCGTCCGGAGTCCCAGAGCGGGGAGGCAATGCGAGCAGCAGGAGATGGACAAGGTGCTCAGCAGCGGCGTCTAAGTGCCCGCACCTACTAGAGGGCAATCGTGCCGCTGCTGGGGAGGAATTGCACCTAGTCCAGTGGTGGTAATATGTAGGAGAATGCACTTTTAAATACCTATTAAAATAGTTGTAGACGCAAAAAATGATGAGCATTTTCAAGCTCCAGGACTCCTTGGTCCATACGTCGCCGTGCGAACTTCTGGCAAAAGCACTTCAAAGCCTTATTTTTGACCAATCACATCCCTCTATCTATGCGTCACCTGGTCTGGTTACGGAATCTCGACACAAGTCAATCTCCAACTATAGTAACTTCAGTATAGGGATTTGTACTCCGGCGTAACCAGCTCGGCTTACCATTTCTCATAACAATTTTGATCGGCTCAATACAACGATACAATCAAACAGGATGGTGTATCAACTTTTTTAACAGTGAAAGCGTAGCATGGGTTCGTTACGCTGGTTCTGCCTGTATGATTGGCTCAAATGTTTGCCCACTTCTCGCACGGCGGGCACCGCAAGGCAACAGCATACCGTCGCTGCGATGGCTGCCTTCGTCGTCATGAACGCAGGCGCCAATCTAGGCGGGAGCAGGTGCCAATTTGGGCGAGACCGCAAGCCGTCACAGCAGACCCTGTGGTCATGAAAACTACTTTATCAATCGGTAGACTCGGTGCTAACCGGTCTGAGCAGTGGCGGTCGTCCTGGTACTGGGGCCCAAGAGCTGCCACGCACGGCACTTGCAGTCAGATGACTAAGGTCGCGAGCGCGGATACGAAGTCTTTGGTCTGCTCGCCGCCAGCAGCAGGGGCGGGCTGAGAACCTTCGTTGCGCTCAGCTAAGACATATTGTAGCAAGGGCTTTGTATTTGAGGTTTGTTGCACGCGCCAGCTCGTGGTCCAGTCGCCGAGAAACGCGGACAGGAGCACGAGCTCGTCCGGAGTCCCAGAGCGGGGAGGCAATGCGAGCAGCAGGAGATGGACAAGGTGCTCAGCAGCGGCGTCTAAGTGCCCGCACCTACTAGAGGGCAATCGTGCCGCTGCTGGGGAGGAATTGCACCTAGTCCAGTGGTGGTAATATGTAGGAGAATGCACTTTTAAATACCTATTAAAATAGTTGTAGACGCAAAAAATGATGAGCACTTTCAAGCTCCAGGACTCCTTGGTCCATACGTCGCCGTGCGAACTTCTGGCAAAAGCACTTCAAAGCCTTATTTTTGACCAATCACATCCCTCTATCTATGCGTCACCTGGTCTGGTTACGGAATCTCGACACAAGTCAATCTCCAACTATAGTAACTTCAGTATAGGGATTTGTACTCCGGCGTAACCAGCTCGGCTTACCATTTCTCATAACAATTTTGATCGGCTCAATACAACGATACAATCAAACAGGATGGTGTATCAACTTTTTTAACAGTGAAAGCGTAGCATGGGTTCGTTACGCTGGTTCTGCCTGTATGATTGGCTCAAATGTTTGCCCACTTCTCGCACGGCGGGCACCGCAAGGCAACAGCATACCGTCGCTGCGATGGCTGCCTTCGTCGTCATGAACGCAGGCGCCAATCTAGGCGGGAGCAGGTGCCAATTTGGGCGAGACCGCAAGCCGTCACAGCAGACCCTGTGGTCATGAAAACTACTTTATCAATCGGTAGACTCGGTGCTAACCGGTCTGAGCAGTGGCGGTCGTCCTGGTACTGGGGCCCAAGAGCTGCCACGCACGGCACTTGCAGTCAGATGACCAAGGTCGCGAGCGCGGATACGAAGTCTTTGGTCTGCTCGCCGCCAGCAGCAGGGGCGGGCTGAGAACCTTCGTTGCGCTCAGCTAAGACATATTGTAGCAAGGGCTTTGTATTTGAGGTTTGTTGCACGCGCCAGCTCGTGGTCCAGTCGCCGAGAAACGCGGACAGGAGCACGAGCTCGTCCGGAGTCCCAGAGCGGGGAGGCAATGCGAGCAGCAGGAGATGGACAAGGTGCTCAGCAGCGGCGTCTAAGTGCCCGCACCTACTAGAGGGCAATCGTGCCGCTGCTGGGGAGGAATTGCACCTAGTCCAGTGGTGGTAATATGTAGGAGAATGCACTTTTAAATACCTATTAAAATAGTTGTAGACGCAAAAAATGATGAGCACTTTCAAGCTCCAGGACTCCTTGGTCCATACGTCGCCGTGCGAACTTCTGGCAAAAGCACTTCAAAGCCTTATTTTTGACCAATCACATCCCTCTATCTATGCGTCACCTGGTCTGGTTACGGAATCTCGACACAAGTCAATGAAATGAGGACAGCGTTAGCGACAAGAGAATGCAGGATGACCAATCAGCCTACAACTACACGGTATTCCATACATGTAGTTCCTAGTTACTGACGGATAACTGAGGACGTCTTACGTCCACACAGCTAAGCTCTTGGCCTACAAATTAGACCTGTCCGCCTGGATCTCAGGCAGTCTCGCTAGCATATAAAAATGGTGGTCGGCGCTGCAAACGCTTACGTCCTTAGCTCTTGGCCTACAAACTATACAATCTGTCCGGTAGGCAGCTTCGCCGGTAGTAGATAGTTGGCTCCATATAAAAAAGGAAAATTCCGGAATATGACCCAAAATGAAATTTTGTGCAAAAGGTGATACAAGGCTTTGTGCCAAGCGCATTTGGCCACCGATAGCGGCCAGCACCTGACTGCCATGCACGTCCCTGAATGCACCAATTGTGTCAGTATAGCACTGGGTAAACGCGAAGGCGATGCCGGTGTAGGCATCGCCCTCTGCCTAATAGTTGTTCTGGTGGAGTATGGTCGCCTTCTGTGTCGCTTAAGCGACACTGCCCACGCTGCATAAAGCATGATTGGATGCCTTACTCCCCATGCCGCCGCTGGAGGCAATAATGTCGTGACCCAATGCCCTAGCAAATGCTGCTGAACCTGAAATATGTGCTCTCGACACAAATCCTTCTATCACCTTTTGCACAAATTTTAATATTGAGTCACCTTCCTGAAATTTCAGGCACTGCAAATGAGGGGCTTCGCCCCTCATTTGCTACTTGCATGTGAGCATAGTACGTAACCACTGTTTGGTACTGCTAGCGCATGTATTGATGGTTGTTGTTTTGGATTTGGCTTAGCTTTGTAGTGGCGCCAAAACACTCGACCACTCAGTAAGCGAAGTAATAGCACAACACTTGGCTACTCCGTAGCCAAACAAGGCATCTATTAGTTTCTTCAAAGTGCTTCAGTATGGAAGATATAGCTGTACTCGAGTTGGTAAAATCGAGCTAACGTTAGATACAACCGAGCAGACTTTTTGGAATTTAAAGTATTCCTCCCAGCCTAACGCAACGCACCCTTGTTCATTCATTGCGTTGCTCATGAAAAGATGTTCGACTAAGCAAATGCATTAGCCCACTCAATTACAGTTCTGTTGGGTCGATCTCGGGTGTCACAGCTCTGCTTTGATACCCTACATGCATGTGTGATGGTACGATATCGGGCTCAACTACATTATTTTGAGCTAGTTATCGTTCATTATGTATGTTTCCTTATTGCGCTCAACGTGCATGAGGTTATCTACCTACGCGTGCAGACTAACAGCATTGAACAGCCGTGCATGTCATAATCGCGGCAGCAACATTGGCCATTGCGACTGAGTGTAGATGACATCTGGAGGAAGAATTTCAACATGGATCGCGAAAGGTTACTGGAATAATTCGCTCGTATTTTCACTCTGAAAATGAACACACCACGAAATTGAAACATCGAAAGTTAACCCCTTAGTCACTTTTCGTTGTGCCAGTGTGCACATTCTGCTATTACACTTACCTAAGTAAGTAAAATACAAGTGTTCTGGCATTCGAACCACAGGTAAGGTGTATCAGTCTACCGTTAATAACAACGTATGAATGGTACTTATGTTGTTTGCAAAATAGCCAGCAAATCGGGGAGCGTGAAAGGGGAATTAAAGCGCTAGAATCTGCAAGCGGCTTTGTACTCAAATTCCTCAAGTGGGGACGTCGTCCATAACTCTGTGGTCAGCATAGTTTTGGGGGTCGACCCCTAAAGCAACATGAGCGCAGCGACCGTGATGCTCCGCTAGTTATTTGAATATCATCGCTGGCCTGAATGTTGGGAAGTGGTGGCGCTTTACTATTCTTTGCCATTGCCTCCATAAATCATCCAACACTTTCCGTGCGTCTTCAACTTCATAAAGATACTGTAGCCATGTACCCCTCTCATCGGTACACCTCCAATGTTGTATCCATCTGAATATCCACCAATCAGCTTCTGCCACTTACTTCCCCCTTCAAAGGATCGTCATTCGCGCAATCCACGCAGTCGCCCTCCCCATCGATCATGGTACGCCCGCTTCCTGCTCGTGTATCTCCGCCCCTAGAGGCCTTCACGCCTCCTTCTGGGCCTCATAACGTAGACCTCTCCCCCCTCTTCCCGCCCATCTAACTGTCGCCCCGTATGACCACCTGCAGCCGCTGCGCCTGGACATCAAACGCAAGCTCAGCTCGCGCTCCGAGCGCGTCAAGAGCGTGGACCTGCACCCGACGGAGCCGTGGGTGCTCTCGGCGCTCTACTCGGGCAGCCTCATGATCTGGAACTACGCCACGCAGTCGCTGGTCAAGACGCTCGAGGTGTCGTCGCTGCCCGTGCGCAACGCCAAGTTCGTGGCGCGCAAGCAGTGGATCATCGCCAGCTCGGACGACATGCAGGTGCGCGTGTTCAACTACAACACGATGGAGAAGGTCACGAACTTCGAGGCCCACAGCGACTACATCCGCCACATCGAGGTGCACCCGACGCTGCCCTGCTTCCTCACGTGCGCCGACGACATGACCATCAAGCTCTGGGACTGGGACAAGAGCTTCGCGTGCTCGCAGGTCTTCGAGGGCCACGGCCACTACGTCATGATGGTCAAGTTCAACCCCAAGGACGCGCACACCTTCGCCAGCGCCTGTCTGGACCGCACCGTGCGCGTCTGGGGGCTCGGCTCGAGCCACGCGCACTTCTCGCTCGAGGGCCACGAACGCGGCGTCAACTGCGTCGCCTACTACCCGGGCGGAGACAAGCCCTACCTGCTCTCGGGCAGTGACGACCGCACGGTCAAGGTCTGGGACTACCAGACCAAGGCCATCGTCCACACCCTGGACGGACACGGCAACAACCTCACGTCTGTGCTGTACCACCCGAGACTGCCGCTCATCATCTCTGCCTGCGAGGACGGCGCTGTGCGCATGTGGCACTCCACCACGTACAGGGCGGAGACGACGCTCAACTACGGCATGGAGCGCAGCTGGTCGCTCGCGGCGCTGCCCTCGGCCAACACGCTCGCTATCGGCTACGACGAAGGCACCATCGTGCTCCGGCTTGGACACGACACTCCCGTGGTCAGCATGGATGCCGGCGGCAGCGGAAAGCTCATCTGGACGACCAACAACGACGTCCACACGGCCAGCGTCAAGGGCGTGGTGGCCGAGATGGGTCTCCAGGACGGCGAGAAGCTGCCGCTGGTCTCGAGGGACCTCGGAAGCTGCGAAGTGTACCCGCAGAAGGTGCAGCACAACAGCAACGGCCGCTACGTCGTGGTCTGCGGTGACGGCGAGTACATCATCTACACGGCGCAGCAGCTTCGTAACAAGGCCTTCGGAGCCGCGCTGGACTTCTGCTGGTCGCCAACGGGCACGGGCGACTACGTCGTGCGCGAGAGCATCTCGAAGCTCACGCTGTTCCGCAACTTCAAGGAGGTCAAGAGCGAGAAGCCGCGTGTGCTGTCTGCTGAGGGCCTATTCGGCGGCACGGGAGCTATTGGTGTTAAGGGCAACGACGCCATTGCCATGTTTGACTGGGAGGAGCTGCGTCTGATCCGCAAGATCGACGTTGTCGTGAAGAACGTCTTCTGGTCGGAGAACGGCAGCCTCGTTGTGCTCGCGTGCGAGTCGAGCTTCTTCGTGCTGCGCTACAACAAGGAGCTCGTGGCGCAGGCGTTCGCTGCGGGCACGAACTCGCCCGAGGAAGGAGTGGACGGCGCCTTTGACCTGCTGCACGAAATCTCCGAGAAGGTTGGCACGGGTACTTGGGTGGGAGACTGCTTCCTGTACACCAACGCCGGCGGCCGACTGAACTACTACGTGGGCGGTGAGGTTATGACGCTTGCCCACCTCGAGCAGAAGATGTACCTGTTGGGCTACCTGCCTCGGGAGAACCTGGTGTTCCTCATGGACAAGATGAAGAATGTCGTGAGCTACACTGTGTCGCTGGTCATGCTCGAGTACCAGACTGCCGTGGTGCGCCGCGACTTCGAGAGCGCTAATGCCATCTTGCCCAAGATCCCGGCGGACCAAATGGATTACGTGGCTCGGTTCCTTGAGTCTCAAGGCTTCAAGGAAGAAGCCCTGGCGCTAAGTACCGACCCGGACCAGAAGTTCGATCTCGCTGTGCAGCTCGCCAAACTGGACGTGGCACGCGACATCATGCTGCAGGAGATTGACAAGGGCGACAAGGGCAAGGATATGGACATTGAGACCCAGCACAAGTGGAAGCAGCTGGGCGATCTTGCCCTCAACGACTGCCAGCTCTCTCTTGCTGAGGACTGCGCGCTCCGTGCCGATGACTTCAGTCTAATGCTCATCCTGTACACAAGTCGTGGAGACAAGGAGGGCCTTGTGCGTCTTGCTGGGCTTGCTCGTGAGAAGCGTCGTTACAACATTGCATTTATCTGTTGGCTGCTGCTTGGCAAGACCACGGAGTGTGTTGAGGTGCTGAAGGAGACCAAGCGTTTCCCTGAGGCTGCGTTCTTTGCCCGCAGCTACTGCCCGTCTAAGATGCAGTTGGTTATGGACAAGTGGCGAGAGGACTTGGCTGCTGTTAGCTCTCGTGCAGCCAAGGCACTGGCCGATCCCACGCGTAACGCCGAGTTGTTCGAGAACCTGGAGGCATCCATGCAGGCCGAGGCTACTCTTCTCGCTCAAAACGGCGGTGAAGAGGCTAGTGCCCCTGCCTCGTCCTACCTGGCAAAGAAGAAATTGCTGGAGAGCGAGAATATCCTCGAGTTGATTTTGAGCGGAGGTGCTGCTATGGCTTTTGCTGGAGCTGTTGTTGGTGTGACCGAAACATATCACGACAGCATGGCTTCGAATGCAGAAGCCGAGGCCCAGGCGCTAGCCCTGGCACAAGCACAAGAACAAGCACAAGCTGCTGCTGAAGCTGAAGCACAAGCTCAGGCTCAGGCTGCGGCTCAGGCACAAGCTCAAGCCGAGGCGGAAGCTGCCGCAGCCGCGCAATTGGCTTACGAACAAGCGCAAGCTCAGGCAGCAGCTGAAGCTCAAGCTGCTGCTGAGGCACAGGCACAAGCCGAGGCCCAAGCTCAGGCGGAGGAAGAGGCCCGAATGCGTGCTGAGGCTGAGGCGCACGCTCGTGCCATGGAGGAAGAGGCTGCTCGCGTGCGTGCCGAGCAGGAAGCCGCTGCAATTGCCGCCGCGCAGGCCCAGGCTGAGGCGGAGGCTGAACTTCAGAGACAACAGCAAGCAGAAGCCGAGGCCGAGCTTCAACGACAGCAGCAAGCCGCAGCGATGACCAGTAGTTTCGGCAGCGCTGACGGCGGCTTCGGGTTTTCTTCGTCGGCGGGCACGAATGAGTTTGGATTTAGCAGTCAGGATGCGTTTTCGTCCTCGCAGAGCTCGGGTTTCGGTATGGCAACTACGACGACGACGACAACCACCACCGCTACCACGACGACCGGAACGACCGGCGAGCTGCTGGACTTCGAGCTGGATAACGCGGACATTCAATTCGAGGATGATGACGACGCGGATTGGGGCGAGATGTAACTTGAGTCAGTAGTAGCCCTCAGGCGCTGCCTCGTGTCGTTCGTTCCCTTCACTAATCCTCATAAATCCGGAATTTCCATCGCGTGTTGCTATTTGAGCCCGTGACATTAAGACAAGATTTCCAACTTCTTTGAATGAACTCACTACCATGAGATTTCTCAGGAAGCTGTTCCCATACTTGCTGTCACTGGGGTTGCCATCGAAGGACTTTGGCCCAAACTCGAGCAAGACCTCCCAAACTTTGGGAGGTCTTGCTCGAGTCGACGATTATAGACGTGGCCCAATCAAATGCACTCATCCTTGCTGGAGGTCCTCCAGCAAGGATGAGTGCATTTGAGTGCATTTGATTGGGCCACGTCTATTATCGTACCTGTACTATAGTACCTCCACTGGAGGTCAGGTACCCCGGTACATCGAGATGCATTGCATTTGCCTATCAGCCAGCACGATCATTGTATTAAGTGAGAAAAAAAGATCTTCCTGTTTAAGCGATCGTTGAAGGTCTAATGATGATAGTCTATCATCATTGATAAATCTCCAATAATGTACCTAGGAATTCTTGAACTTAGTACTGAGCGCGGGTGCTTTCAGCACGTTTGTGTACACCATTTCAAGGCCAAATTGAGAGAAGTCGTGCTTCAAATTGAGAACCGCCAAAAGCAAATTGAGAAAACCTGTATTAACGTATACTTATCATTGAAACGAGTAGTCCAACACAGCTGCTTAAGAAATAACAAGAGTTTTATTGCATGAAAGTAAAACCACGCATTGTAAATGATAAAGTGTAGGTATTATTAATAAAGGTTATATTATTATTATTATTAAAGGTTATGGGTAACCGTGAGCTCGCCAAAGCACATTCCGATTAATCTCAGGCTTTGCTCACCGGATGTACACTGCGACACATCTGAATGTGCCTACCGGTGTACACTACGTGTACCTACTTCGCTGGAAACGGCTTCACTTTGCACCTTTCTGCCCAGCACTCAAAACGTTCGTTCGACTTCTCTCTGTCTACCTACCGGTACAATGCGGGTGGGATACGTCCCCTTGGTGGTTGCTGCCACTCCTTTCGCGAGCAGCGAGGTCTCAGCGACCCAGGCGAAGCTCACTCAATTGACAGCCCCAGCTGATGCGCAGTATGCAAGCCAGCGGTTTCTGAGAACGGTTACTGCGCGTGGCGACGAAGATGAGGAGAGGAAGTGCCACCCAACCGGTTAGTTTTTTTATGATGAGGGGGGGGCTATTGTGGTCTCTTATACCCCTTTTCCGGTGGTCATGCACATTTGTCCTTGAACTTCAATGCGTTTTTAAAACAACCTCGTCTTCAGAGTGTTGTCACGCGAGCTCGTCACGGTGCAAACTCACAGTCAATGCTACTGATCCCAACCAAGTAAATTGGCTGAACCGTTATAATAACGTTTTCTGATTTTCCTAGCATCAACAATGTATCAATTTTCTGACTATTCATGGTGTGTGCAGCTTTTCAGTACTGTACATGTTTAAGGATTAAGCCTTACAAGATTCATGCAGGTATTAATACATGCATAGGCAACCCGGAGCGTTGCTCCGGGAGGGTACACAGGTCGGCGAATAGTTTCATGGACGATGATAACGGATAACAATTGAGTAAATCCCAAAGTTGTGTTGTTTTTAATCCTTTAACCCCCGCACTCGCGGATTTTAAAAGAGCACTACCAGCCGAACTCTCTAGTTGATTCTAACGTGGGCATATACTGCGCCTGCTTCGCAGCCGCAGCATCTGCCCGGGAATAACACCCTGGTCAGCGTCCAATGGCTGCGTTGACGCCAGCAACGAGAGAGCTATTTCATTCAGTTTGCAGGTAAGGTATACTGTGCTCATTTAGTACTATGTTGTGTGCTAACGATCAGTGTCACTGTCGAGTTGAGCTGGTTGGTTTGGCGAGAGACACGAGGTTGGGCATCTTCGGCTAAGTGATTGAGTATAGAGCAAATTGACATGTGAAAAATGCAGCCTGCAGCTAGACAAGTCATATTGGCCATCTTCAGCTAAGCTTGGTCGAGTATGGCGCAAATTGATACGCCTTCAGCGAGGCCATAGTGGATCCTACGTAAACCTTTAACCCTTCGCCGCAATCCCATCTGTTAAATAGCCAGCTCACAAAGATTTCACAGCACTTCGGGGGCCACCAGATCGCCTCACTTCGCAACTTGCTACCAAGTACAAGGTATCTGCCAACCAACAATGCGCCTGAGTCACGTCCTTTTGGGGGTCGCTGCTTCTTTCCTAGCAACCTGTGGTGCCACGCCTGCGTCAACTCAGACCAAGCTCTCTCATGAGACCGCAGCGGACCATGTTCAGTCTGTGGAGATCGACAGCCCAAGCAAGCGCTTGTCTGAGGACCACCGAGACGGCCGCCGCCGTGGAAAAAGACGAAGACAAAGACGAGGAGCGCGCCTTTCAGGTTCAGTTCCTCAACAAGCTGAATCTCCCGACGTACTTCGGCAGCCCAGTCGGAAAAGATGGAACGTTTATCAAGACCTTCGTGAAGGCGCTGCTGAAGAACAAAAAACTCCGGAAGAGGACATTCCAGGATTGGGCAACGGCAAACCTTGACGGCAACATCTTGAAGCAATCGCTCGGAGGCTGACCGACAAGTACCGAGTTCAGCTGTTCAACAGATACACTGCGTTTACGGGAGAGCTCGTCCGTCGGCCAGGTAACGATTTGGTAGGCGAGGGATGGATGATTCTGGCTCGCGTTGTAGCTAAATAAAATAAGAAAGCGGTAGCTTTCATCTAGCGACTTCTGCCATACCTTTCGCCTTTCGAGCGTTTTTTTATATTTCTCTTCAACCATTTCCCACTGCTGGTGCACTGTACATACTCTTGATTAATTAATCAGAGTCTCTGATTCAGAGACAGCCTTTTCTGCTTCCATTACAAAATTTGTGAAGTTAATTGGCGAGCTCCACGCGCCACTTATCGGTAAAGAAATTTGCTGGCATGTACTATAGGACTGCTTTCACAGCATCAGCACTGATCACGGTGCATGTATTGCTGCAAAGCTCACCTGCAGTAGTCGACTGTGAGAGGCCCTACTTGCCAAGGTACTTTAAACGCTGAGTAGACGAGCGATGCGTCCGAGTAATGTCCTACTGGTGGTGGTCGCCGCTCTTGCTGCAAGCTGCAATTCCTTCTCGGCGGCAACAACCGAGTCGACCCAGAACAACTTAACCCCCCCCCCCCCCCCGTTCGAGACGATTGAAAACCTAAGGGCAATGGTCATGGATGCCACCGACGCTGAGGAGAGTAGGAGGCTCCAGCAACTTGCCTGTCACCGTTGTGGAGGGCCTACTGATGAATGAGAGCCATCGAATAACCTACTTCCGAGAGGCCAAGCTCAGCGGGGCAGGCCTCGTTGCTCGACGACCTGCTGGACCGCAGCATGATGGAGCAAGCTGCCGTGTTGAGGTACCGTACATACCAAATCCAGCGCTTAGCGTGAAAGAGAGGAGGGAGTAGAAGTGTTATGCGTTGCTGTGTTCGTATCGATATCGTATTACGGGGATAAGAGTCGTATTTTGCGTCATGATGAGGTTCTCGCCGCGCGACTGAACAGAGAGATAGAACGGTAACTCTCCATCCACAGCACGTGCCTGCATGGGGGCTTGCAAGGTGACGAAATTGGTCCCCGCAGGTCGGTTGATGTGTTGATGTTGGGCGTGTCGAGAGTTTCTTTACAATAGAATCGATACACTGTAGTGACGACCACAAGGTTGAGTCGATCAAATCGTTAGGAAACGACGCAGCTGGTGGCTCAACCGTGGCTGCTGCGACGAGCGCCACGATGTTCACGATCCCGGATCGTTTACTTTCCTGCGTGCACCGCGCTCGTGCATTTGTTCATCTCCATAGGCGCTACACACCCGACACTAACGGATGGATGGGACGTTGAAGCTCCGCTAATAATGCTTGAGCCCAGCCACCTGTTGCTCCCCTTTCACCTTGGCCCAGGGTTTTCGAGTGTTCTTATCCGTGGACAGCGGTCTTCAGGCTTAATAGATAGACTGCAGCGTCCTGGTCACTTATCGTTTGGCGACTCGCGAGAGTCGGAGACTATTGTCAGGCGCCAGCCACTCCACCACCGGAATGAAAGGTGTGACGCCGTTCGCCGCCGTCCACGTGACGCCGGACCAAGCGCGACGCTATGAGCGCCAAGCGCGTCAGCTGCTGGACGACACGATCCGGGAGTTCGACGCGCACGTCGCCGCCTGCGGGAGCGGCAAGAACCCGCTGCACAACAAGTGGCAGTGGAAGCCGCTCAAGACCCAGGAAGGTCTCAACGTGTACAAGGAGCGACAACCGACGCACCCGGAGCTCAACCCGCTCGCAACTCGCAGCACCAAGACTTCATCCATCGACTCAGCGTCCAGGGGGAGCTCCACCACCAGCTCAACGACCGACAGAGTAGCGAAGCCAACGAAAGCCCTTGCGATGGCTGCGTACGCGCCGGAGATGGCTACTTCTACGTCGTCCGCAGCAGTGCCCGGGGCCTCGTCGGTGGCCTCCGCGGTCATCACCGGGCGCATCGACGGCAGCTTGAACGACGCCATGTATGGACTCCATGCGACGGATTCGCCGGAGCTGCAGCTCCGCCTGCGTTACATGCCAGACGCGGAGGTGCTTGACACAGCCATGCTCAGCCTTATCCAGTCTCCTACTGCAGCCAGCCCCTTCCAGTTCATCGGCCTGCAGTGGGTCCTTCGCGGCGAGAAACCTGCTCGAGCCAAGTCAAGTTCGCGACGACCGCGAGACTTTGTGGTTCTGGTGTCGTCGGGGTTTGTACAGCACAAAGTATCGGGCACTTCGGAGCCGCAGGAGATCGGCTACTACCTGTGCCAGTCGGTGGAGGTGTCGGAGTGCGGAGAACTGGCCAAGCAAGGTTTCACGAGGGGGTGGCTTTCGACCTGTTCACTGTTTACCTCAGCACAGGGCGGCTCGGCGCAGGTAGACGTGTTTTCGCGTGGATTCGTGGACTTTAAGGGCAAGATGCAGGATTACCAGGCCACGAATATGATCACGGCGCTGCTGCTCGCTGGAGTCGCGGATTCGGCCACCTGCGGCCAGAACAAGAAGCTGGGCTGGCTGCTGAATTTCAAGGGCGCAGCGGCAGAGTTTCGACGCGCACAGCCGGAGTCGAAGGCCTCGCCAAGTCGCTGCGGCATCTGCGAGCGCAAGTTCGGCGTATTGCACAGCGCCGCGTCCTGTAGCCTCTGTCGGGTCAAGATCTGCTCGCGCTGTCGGGTGAGTCGCGATGTGAGCTTCGTGAAGCGGCGAGACGCAGCGATAAGCGCCACGCAGAGCCGAAGTTGGGATGAGGGCCACAACGCCACGGCCCAGGTGCGCTGCCTGAACGTCATCCTGTGCAAGAACTGCAAGATGAATGCCAGCCACTTGGACGCGCGCGTCATGGCCCGACGAGAGATCGAGGCGGGCTACGGACTGAACGAGATCGCACACAGTGCCCCCGTTAGCATTGGTGAGATTGTAGTCCGGAGGAACAGGAACTCGTTCTCCTCAGGAGACTCGTGCGATAGTTCTACTACGTCACAGATGCGCGTCTGGACTCCTGGCGCCGACACAGCCAAGCTGCGAGGGCGCGAGGAGATATCGAGTGCTGCGGTGGTCTGGAAACCGGTGCCAGGCACCGACGCTAACGTTGGAAACTGCGACGACGAGCCGTCCGACGATGTGTTCAAGCCCAAGGCCTTGATCACCAGGATGGACAGCGGCAAGTCCAACTTCTCGGACTGCTCCGGGGCCAAGACGGTCTCGTCCGTGTGTTCCTTTGCGTCGACGCTGCCGTCTCCACGAGATTTAGAGAGATCTAGCGAGGAGCCGAGCTGCGAGTTGACTACGTACCAGCCGCGTCAACAACACCAGCCTCAGTACGCGGGCGAAGACCCCGAGATCATCTACACGCAGCGGTCGGCCAACATGGCCAACTCTCGAGCAGACTTGGTGCGGAGGATGCAGGAGCTGCAGAAGAGCGCCGAGTCGGTGTATCAGTTCACGAGTCAGATGAACGCCAACACGCGCTACCGCCACCAGCCGCCCGAGTCTTCGTACACCAGCACCTTTATCTCGGAGCTGGACTAGAGCACCGTGGCCGTACCGAACGAAGGAATCGAGGCCTATGTATCCGTAGAGTAGTGTAGCGTAGTGGAATGCTGTTGCCCTCGATGGACTGGGTAGCGTTATTAATTCACTCTAAAGTAGTTGTAAGGTGTTAGCTGTTAGACCTCCTTGTCCAGAACGCGCTCCTTGATCTGCTTGAGCTTCTGGTAGACCTTGCCGCCGATGGGTTGGTACGCCAGGTTGGTCTTGATCACGGCCCACCAGCCCATTTTCCCCTGCAGGCGTCTTGTTGGCGATGGCTGGTTGATGCGGAGGTGGCGAGGCGGGATCGAGCTGGCATTGCCGATAGTCGCGCTGAGTAGCATGAGCGCGAGTAGAGCGAAGAGTTTGAGACCGGAGGAAGCCATCGTTGTGTTCCTAATAAAATGTTAAACTGAACGGTAGCCAGAGTCGGCGCCTCGCTTTGTCATTTCGATTGTCCACTCCTGGCATCATTCCGATCCCAGCACATCCGAAGCCAAATCCTGCTGTGGTTTTGACCGTCGGCCTGAAGCCTTCAGTGAAGGTGGCCGAGCTTGGAGGACTTCCTGTGGGCTAGCAATCACAAATGCAGCGATTTGCTCAGTGTGCTTGGTGGTGCTTTCCCTTTGACTCGGCCTGTGCCACCTGTTCTACAGATTTCTAAACGTGCCGGTTGCCTGCTTTCATTCATCGCAGCGAAGGGGAGGTCTTGAATTTATGCTCACGTCAATACCGACATATTCTGGGTTGCCAAGAACGAGTCTCGATTTCGTTTCTGAAAGTCGGTTGATCGGTTTGGTAATGAACGTCGTGGTCCGACGACTGCACATGTATGCACTGGACGACAAGGTGCCTAAAAGAATGTGGACAAACTGTCCCAGATAGGCTTTACAATTTGAGGATATTTTTACCGCAGAGTGATCGAGTCCAGTAAATTCATGTAGCCATCCTGTTTGTGAGCGCTGGTGGTGGCGGTGCAGTTTCGTGTCCTGCGTCTTCTCTTCACAAGCGCCGAATTCCGATCACTTCAGAATTTACGCCGACGCAGCTTCGACCACCTATGACGGCCTTCTTCACTCTCCTCAAAACCTTCACCCTACTCGCACTGTTGACGGTCGACGTGGGCGCAGCCAGTTTGGAGCCATCTCGAGTCCTCCGCATCGAGCCGCTTGGAAACATGAACGTCGAATTGCTGCCGACAAGAAAGTTGCAGGGGACATTCGGAGCCTGGTTTCGCATTGTCAAGACAAACATTGTTCACCAACCTGTCGGCGACAAGACATACGAGAAGGTCAAGCAACTCAAGGACAGAATAACAGGAAACGACAATTAACAGGCGCTCTTCCTTCTTCGCGCAATATACCTTGGTATTCCCATTTTCATGTATTGTCCTTCAGCAGGCAGGTGGACAAGAGGTCGCTCCTCAAAGTTACTATCAAGGTAGGAAGTAGTATGCAATAATCTTGGCTACGGCTGTACATGTACCTCTTGGCTTCTCCTTCCTTCACAAATGCTTGAGTCCCTACGTCTCCCCAATGAATGCAGCGGCACTATCGTCCCTTTGGGAAGGACTGTCCCAATCTCTGAACATGATTTGAGTTTGCAGCACGTGGCAGTCTTTTAAAGATCGACTTTTTCGATCTCAGTGATAGCAGTAACCTGTGCATATCCCGACCATCATCTCCGGTGGAACGAACCCATTCGTTATTAACGAATGGGTTCGTACAGATGCACGAGCAGAGGTAATAACGAATCGTTGTCAGCCTCTGCTCGTCCTGTGTGCTGCATCTGTACTTGACCGAACTGTCCCAATTGTGGTAGGACGGCGTTGAAATACTCAACACTGCAGTTCATGTGTTCGGCCGACTTCGAGGACAACACCTCTGTTGTCCTCGAATTGTCACAACGCCATGCATGCATGAGTATTCTGGCAATGCGCCGCCTTTGACAAGTTCTTGGTGGCCATGCATCGCTGCCATGAGATCGAAGTTCTACCTTGTATCGAATCGCGTGGCAACCTAAACTCTGAAGCACAGGCAACGTCGAGCACGAGATGGCTACATTCATCGTTGCACTTCTTGGTCCCTCAAGCCATCGATGACACCATGACTGACACGTAGACAGCCAGTCCAGAATGAAGCGAAGACCCATAATGTCGAAAGCATTCTTCTCTTCCTCAGTCTTGCGCGTCTTTCTCCTTAATCATTCCCCAAACTGCCAGCCCTGACGCACAACCACGGCGACGATGAAGTACGTCCTCACAGCCGTGGGTGTCTGCGCTGCAGTGACGCAAAGCTGGCTGTACTTGAGTCCTCTCTTCATGGCCGACGACTACGCTCCACTGCAGCTGACAACCGACGATCTGCCTGCCGACGTCTGCTTCAACTCGTCCACTTCAACGTGCAATGACTTGACCGATGTCTCCTCCTCCGCCTTCCTCAGCATCGCCCACACGTCCGAGCGCGCTGCGGAAATCGAGTTCATGGCCAAGAACCTCCAGAACGAGGAGCGCGCGTGGCCCATCGACGGCCAGGACATCCCAATCTACATGGGGCCAGTGGCCCGCCCAGGCTCAATAGCCGAGCAGCTCCAGTACCAGGATCTCAAGGAGCTCAGCGCGTTGAAGCCAGACACGCCCGAGCTCATGGTGGCGCTGGCTGGGCGTTGGCTGCCGCAACTCAACTCGACCGACGCGTACACGCGCTTCTACGAGTTGTTCCACCCCATCGCGGACGCCCCAATGGACTCGGTGGACCATGGGGACGTCGGCTTCGGCGCCTCACGTCTCAGTTTACGCGGCTTCAGCTTGAGAGCTATGAGAGAGTCCGACGACGACCCGGAGGACGAGACGCTCACTGCGGAGAACGTAGAGCGAGTCTGTGGCGATGGAGCGTCCGTGCAGTCGCTGCGAGCCGACAAGAAACTGTTCGTAGTGGACTTGGACACCATCGGGCAATGGGGAGACCCTACCGTCTCCAAGGTCGAGTCGATGGAGGAGAGTGAAGTAGAATACCCACCGACCAAGTACCTGCCGTCGGTTGTCGGCTACTTCTGCTTCAACGAGCAGCTCCTGCCTCTGGCCATCAAACTCGTGGACTCTGGTATCACGTACACGCCGTTTGACTCGCCTGCAGAGTGGCAATTGGCCAAGACGGCCTTGAACGCTGCCGAGGCCACGTTCCAGCAGATGCAGCACTTTGCTGAAAGTCACACAATATCGATCCCCATCCGCGTCGAGCTGTACCGAGCTTTCGCGGACATACATCCGGTCAGGGCCTTGTTAATGCGCCACTTCGCTCTCGACTTCGGTCTGGAGCAGCAGGCGGGCATTGTGCTCTTCAATACGTCCACGCCGTTGGATAAAACCTTCGGCATTGGAGCGGCAGGCTGCGTGCGCTTCCTGGAGGACGCTCGAAGTCGCATCTCGCTGTTGGGCGATATCTACAGCGACGTCAAGGCGCGCGGCATCCAGCACCTGCCACACAAATACGCGGTGTACGGAAAGATGCACGCGGACGCCATCTCCCACTTCGTCAGCGGGTTTCTCGACGTCTACTACGAGGATGACGAAGCTGTGAGGACGGACGTTGAGCTGCAGCAGTGGGCGGCTGCGTGTGCCCAGATCCCGCATCTGCACGACTTCCCGGCGGTCTTTGGAGGCAAGGGCCAACTGCGCCAGCTACTGACGAGACTGGTGTTCCAAAGTGTCGTCAAGCACCACGCCATGAACGGAGAGGTGACATGGACCACGGTGGCCATGCCGTTCAGCGCCGCGGCGCTCTGGAAGCCGCTTCCTCGTCGCAAGGAACGCGATGGGCACCCGCAGATCGATGTGTTTAACTACCTGCAGCCGCGTGAGCTCTTCCCCGCCATGATCTTCCTTAGCGCGCTGTTCAACCGCCCGCGGCCGGAGGCGACGACGCTCAAATCCGTCTACAACGTGGCCCCGTTCACTGATGACTCAAGACTGCAGCCGGCCATCAGAGCGTACGACGCAGAGCTGCAGGCCATCGACGACTTCATCGTGGCCAACGAGGAGCACGAGGCCCAGCCGTACCACATCCTCCGCCCCGGGAGCCTGCCGCACAACACTTGGATTTAGCTGCACTTGAAGTGTTAAGCGCGACAGATGAAAACCGTTACTTTCGCTAGTCGCAAGTCGCTTCAACTTGATTTTACTGTTCGAACTCCGTTGATGGACGTTAGTTATGCGCGATCTATGCTCACACTCTCATTTTTCTCTTGCTGTCACTTCACTGCTTTACTTCGACATCAAATAATTAGGGGGATCAATAGACAACTCCGTGCCAGAGCTGCAGTGGCTTAGTTGCCGCGGTGCGCACTGGTAGCCGACGCCTTGCGGTTGCGGAAGTCGAGCTTCGTGGGGCGCTTGAATGCCACGCCGCTCGGAGACGGGCCGGGGCTGTCGCTGTCACTGTTTTGGGCCGAGAAGTTCTTCATGAGCTGCGCCACCTTGCTGCTCGTCACACCAGGCGTGGACGCGTTCGGCGTGTGGGACGTGCTGGACGCCACGGCGCTCGCGTAGCGGTCTGTAATCTTGCCGGTCTGAACCGGGGGCGGCGGCGTCACGCGGCGAGGAAGCGACGATGGTGCCTTCTCTTCCATCTCCTCGGTCTCGGGGATCGAAGGCGTGCGGTGGTCGCGGGCCGTTGCTCCAGGGAGCTGCACATTCTTGCCCAGAAGTGACATCTCCGTCACCATTTGCTGCACGATGGCTTCGAGCTCGTCGCGCTCGCGGATGGCGACCGTCACACGGGCTCCCAGCTTTTCGAGACGCTTCGCTTGTTCATCGTTGCGCTGGCACAAGTTCGCGATCTCGTTCTCGAAGCGCTTCACCTTGTCGGTCACGTCCTCGATGTTACCAGGGATGCTGGTGGACTCGCCGCTCGAGCCGTTGCCTGGGCCGCGCAGGCGTTCAAGCTCACGCTCCGCCATCATCAAGGCAGCGGACTTTTGGTCCAGCTCGCGCTGCATCTCCGTGAGCATTGCAGAGCTCTTGGCGTCTAGCGAGGGAGCGATGAAGCTGCTGTTGTCCGTGTTAATAGTGCGACTGCGCTGCTCGAAAAGCTGGCCCTCCAGCGCCGTCAGCTTGACCTCCAGCGTGCGCTTCTCCTTGAGCGCGTCTTCCAGCCGCTCGTGGACACTTTCAAGCTGGTTGCTGCGGAATCGGAGCTGCATGACTTCCTGCTTGGATAGCTTAAGCTGCTTCTGCACCTCGGCCAGCTCGTCGTTCTGGGCAGTCGAGTCACTTGCAGCCGAGTAGTGCGAAATGAACGACGTGGAGTTCGTTGTAGCAGGAGGGGCAATGGCAGACATCGAAGCCAACTGGTTCTCGAGCTGCGTCGTCGCTTCCTGCGCCATCTTCAGTGTAAGACGCACGCCAGCGAGTTCACTCTCTAGTTCAGACTTAGCGTTTTCGCCTGCGCGAGCGCGAGCTTCGGCGTCCTTCAGCTGCCTCTTGGTTGCAGCCAGCTCCGACTCGTTCGACTTCTTTTCCTTTTCACGCAACTCCAGCAGTCGTTCGAGCTCCGCGATGTGTTCATCGATCTCAGCCGAGGTTGCTTGGCCATGGCTGCTGCTCTTCTGGTTCTGAAGGTCTTCAATCTCACTGCGCAAGCGAGCATTTTCCTCCGTGGCGCTGGCAAGCATCTCGTCCAGCTGCTTGACGCGCTCCTCCAGCACCAGCTTGGCCTTGCCAACATCAGCGTAGATCTTGTCCAAGAAGCCAGGAGCTTGCTGGGGCTGCGCCTTTTCCTCCCTGTACGCGCTCTCATTCTGAGCTGTTTCGAGCTGGTCCTTCAGCTTCTCGATTTCGCTCTTGGCCTTGTCCAGCTCGGTTTCGAGCGCTGCCGACCTACCTGCCTCAAACTCGTGCTGCTCGCGAATACGAGAGAGCAGCACCGAGTCCTCGTTCTCAGGCTCTTCAATGTCATCGCGGCTTGAGGAGCTCGTGGTTTCAGACACTTCAGCAGTCAGCGAGAGGCCAGACGTCAAGCCCGACGGAAAGCCGCCGGAGTGCTTCTTCAAGGCGCTGGCAGCGTTGGCCAATGCACCTTCGAGCTCCGCCCGCAGCTTAAAGTTTTCGCGCTCTAGGTTATTCAGCTGCTGCGTCATAGTGAGAGCCTTGGGGCGTTCTTCGCACTCCACCGTGACGCTGCCACTATGCGCAGACGAGATCGTAGTGCCAGATGCATCCGTGGCTGAGCGATGTGTCCGTGTGCTTCCCTCAATATTTTCGCTATCGTAGTCCATCGAACGGCCCAAGAACTCCAGTTGCTGCTGCAGTCGCTGGTTACGCTGAAGCGCGGCTTCAGTCTCGGCCCGGAAGTCAAAGGTAGACTGCGACCCATGAGACGCTCGTGAAGTTTGCGAGGGCCGAGAACTCATCGAGTGTCCTCGCAGCGGGTCCACCTCCTCGTGGAACTTCTTCACGCGCTCAATGAGCTCGCGTTGGGGCAACAACGTCATATCCTGAACCTGCACCTGGCTGTTGCACAACTGCACAGCTGTCTCAAGCTCCTGCAGCAAACGCAGACTCAGAGCGCGCTGTTGCGCCGCGTTGCGCGTCTCAGCCTTTTCACGAATTACCAGCTCCTCGTTCTCCGCCGACAGCGCGTCGATGCGCTTCTGCGACTCTTTCAGGAACGACTCGAGCTGCAGCACCTGCACCTCCTTGCGGTCAAGTCTCCGCTTGGCAGAGCGGCAGTTGTTGCATGTCGAGGATGAGAGCTCCTCCAGCAGGTCACGCTCGCTGCCGGCCGAGCTGAGACTCGTCGTCGTTCGTCGACTCGAATCGTTAGCGGTGCGTCGAGACCTGTTCGCCTCGCGGGACCGCGGCGTCTGTGCCTTGGGTGCCTGTGACTTCGAAGCCTGCTGCGAGCTCTTGTTGAGCAGAGTGGAGGACGGAGGCAGCCCGGCCAGCCCCGACGCGGGGGTCGAATGCATCATCATGTTGGTGTTGGTGTTGGAGGAGCTGGAGTTCACCTGCGAGTTGTTTGGCGACTGGACCAAGTCCCACGTAATGTCAAACTCAAGCGTGGCCGCCAGGTCCCGACACTTGAGTGGCGAGATGCGGAAGGATTTACGTCGGTCCTGCGGGCTGGCGCCGAGCTGCACGAGCGTCGCGAAGTCCAACGAGAAGAGTGCGACAGCGGAATGACTCGGCAGCTACACAAGGCACAACACAAGGAGTCAGAGCTGCTAGTCAGAGACCATTTCGGGGCGGTCGGAGCTGCCCACAAGTTCGGACACGCGGGCCAACTGGTGCAAGTTGTAATGGGCGCTCGGGGCATATGGCCGACCGTCGCGCGGGCGCCTCCGGCACGAATGAATGAAGGAAACTCACCGCCACGAGCACGATCTCGTACTCCTTCTTGAGGAACTCGTTGGGCGCGCCGCCCGCCTTCTTGTGGCGCAGTAGCGATGTCTGGATGCCAACGTGCTGGTTCCACACGGCGCAGTGCTCGGCGCTCCAGTGCGCGGGCTCGGACGTGACTTCCTTGCTGTTGCGGCGGAAGAGCACGATCAGGTCCTCGTCGTTCGGGCTGATGTCGCGGCCGATGTTGGCCCGGTGGATGTACACTGCGGCCGCATCCGAAACAAAGGTTGACACAGGGTTAGTCCAGCGTGGCGCGCGTCTAGCGTAGCGGCCGGGCACGCACCGTCGAGGTTGACGAGGATGGTCCCTTGCGCGGCCGAGCCGGAGCGCGTGGAGCGCGGCGTGGTGGCTGTGGACCGCTGCGAGCGCGGAGTGGTGGCCGTGTGCGTGGGGCGGGGCGCCCAAGTGTCGTTGCCCCCTCGCCGCATGCCCAAAGTGATGTCCGGGGCGTGGCCGGCAGAGCGGAGCAGCGTTTGGCAAGAGGTGCGCGAGGCAGGAGCTAGCTGACCGGCCGACCGACGTGGCCCGTGGTTAGCTCGAGGCGCGGGGAGTGAGACTGGGGGATAAGAGCCGCCAAGAAGCAGAGAGAGCGGGCGAGCAAGTGGAGAAACCTGTCACGGCCAGAGACCGGCTGTAGATGACATGCGTCGCCAGCTGGTATGCGTGCTCGCTCGCTCGCCAGGTTGTCGCGGCGCCGCGGGCCGGAGCTGAACCTGCTCGTAGTGGCGCCGGCCCTGCAAGCACCAGTGCGTCTCTGGACGTTTGAGCCACGCGCGTGGCTGGCCGCTCAAGGGCCGGAGCATTGCAGCGCATTGGGTGGAGGAGGTGGTGATCTCCACCGCAAGACGACTTGAGTCGCGCCTCGCGGTGGTTGACGCTGGACCGGGCAGGTGCCCGTTGCTGCGCTTCCGCCTTGACAGCTTGGCTCGCATAGCCCACGCGGGATTCTGGTCGAAGGAGCGGCAGCGGAGACCCAAAGGCTCGCAAATCGCGAGACGCCATGGCGCCGCCGCGAGACCAGATGACAGAGTTACAGCGGTAACCGTACCTGTACGTTGCCCCGGCCGGGCCGGCCATAATGCCCGCCGTCATCTTCCGACGCGACAATAAAGCTAAGGCCCCTGACTTCCTTGCTGCAAGTGTCCGCTGGCGGCACACGCCCAAGGGATACTTTGACGCAAACGTTGCGCTGCTCCTCCCTCTCGTGTTGATGTGGCGACGACCAGCAGCATCGTCGACATGACTTCAACTTCCGCTACGTATTGGCCTGCAAGCGTCAACAACCGAGACCTTAGTCTTGAAGCACTGCACTTGTTATCCTGGGTTATATGCTCTTCTATCTAAGCAGTATGCTGGGCGTTCGGCAGCCTCCCTCCCTTCCGATCGAGGACGCGTCGAGGCTGCCAACGCCCCTCATTGCAATTGTAATACTCGAGACTCTTTGCGTCCCGAGTCACGGTTTAATCCGGTTCACACACGAAGACACACTTGAGACTTGCTGACAAAATTGTGCTCCTGCGGATGCGAAGCTCGAATAAATACATCAACTGGCCGGCCAACTTGAAGCTGACTCATACGCTTTACAGATCGGCCACGGACACAGCCATCACGGAGCACGAGCTGGGCAGCGAGGACATGTTCGAGGACAGCTCGGAGCTTGACAGACTGCTGAGTGCGCTGGTGGAGCTCAGGTAGCTGGGTCGAGCCCAGTTGGGTGGCGCCTGGCCCGTGGTGGTCAAACGTCCTTCCAGCACGCGCACGAGCTCTTCTTGCACGTCGATGGCGTCCGGGCGCCGGCTCGGTACCTCGTTCCAGCACCGACGGGCCAACTCCTGCAGATCCAGCGGGCAGTCCGCCGAGAACTTCAGCAGGTGTGGGTCGCCACCCGCGCCGGCACCAACCCTCGAGCTGGCCAGGTCCTCCTCCACGGCAATCATCGTGTCCAGCTCCCACAGGAACGTGCCGAAGGCGTACACGTCGTCCCGCTGAGCCGCCACCGTGGCCGACCCAATGCCGCTTGAATTCAGCGAGTTCTCGTCAAACTCGTCGCACTCTTCATCGAACGCGGGGTTGTCGCCGTCCAGCGTGACGCTGCTGGCCGCGCTCACTCCGCTCACATCACTCTGGCCGCTGTTGTTGGCGTAGCGGCTGCGGCCCAAGTTACCACCAGACCCGTTGCGCTTCGCCTTGGACGTCCGGGTCCCACGAAGGCCCGTGATCTTCTGCATTGTCCACATCGCGCTCTCCCTCAGCGAGCCGCGGAAGTCGTCTGTCATGCGGTGGTTGTCATCCTTCTTCGTCGGCACGAGGTCCGAGGGTAGAAGCACATCCATCGCACTAAGCTTCGCCTCGCCCTGCTCATTAACCAGCACCTTGCGCGCGCACACGCGGCCGTGCGCGCAGTTGTTAGCATGTAGGTAGACAAGACCCATCGCCACGTCCAGGGCGATAGACAGCTTACACCTCCAGTCGGCGTTCGGGTTCGCGTTCACGCTGGCGCTTGAGTTTGCGAACACCGGGTACCAGCTGAAGATGTTGCCGTTGCCGCTGCCGATGCTCGCCGCAACGCTGCTGTTCGGGTGGAATCCCTTGCCTTCGCGACGGTGACGCTCCGACTCAAACATCGTAGCGAGTGAGCCGTGCTGCATGTACTCGAACACAACACCCAGATGCCACGATGGCGCCCCCATGTTCGGGTATCGGCTCTTGGTCGTAGCGCTCGTGCTGTTGGTAGGTCCGTTGGCATTGTACGGATGTGGCGAGGCCACGGCACTGCTGCCTCGCCGACGGCTTGCCGTGGTGCTGCAGCCGGTGGTGACTCCAATGAAGTGCACAATTGACGCGTGATCAAATGACGCAGCGAGACGGATCTGCTCGACGAAGTGCTTCTCGAGGCGCTTCTTCGAGCGCATGAGCGCTTGGATCACCACCTTGTAGCCCTGGTATTCAGCCAGGAACAGCGCGCTATCCATCTTCTTGCGGGGATTACCTACTCCCACGGTGCTCAACGCCAGCGCAGTCTTGCTGTTCGTCTTGGAGGAAGACATGTGCAGCGCGCGACGCATCTGGATCTCCTCGGGCGGGATCTCGTACACCAACAGATCGTCCAGGTTGATCTTGATTTTCAGCTTGCTGCGCGCCTGAAGCGAGGCCGTGCTAGCACAGAGATAACCATTGTTCTTGGGGCTTGGCTCCAGAATGGCCACCGGGTTGTACTTATCCAGGGGACTTTCGTGCAGCCCCCACGCTGCGTCTCCAGGGGTATGCAGGCCGCTGCCTCCGAAAGTGCTTTGGTTCTCGTTCTTGCTGTCTGTATCGCGGTACTCGTCGTTGCCGTTTCCACGGCTAATGCGGCCACTGCCTGTGAACACCATGAAGTTCCCACCGCTGCTACCCAGACGACGGTCGCGATTGATCTTCATCACAGCCCGTTGCGTGGGGTCATTGTTGCTGCTGTCGCTGTTGCCTCTCCGCTTGTTCCAAATGAAGCCGAACACCAGCGCGCTGAGCAGGACGCCAACGAGAAAGAAGGTGCTACCGATGACCCCAATGGACTCGGCCGAGAAAATGGACGAGTCTGAACTCGTTTTTGACGCCTCCGATGAGGGCGCGTCGCTGGAGCTCGAGATGTCGTTGATGTCTGCCTGGGCCAGACTGCTCGACTCGGATTCCGATACGGACGCGACGACGCACTCTTCGTCGTCCAGAACGCAGAAAGAGACGCCCTGAATCTCCTCAAGCGTTGCCTTGAAATTCGAGCACGTGCTCGAGACGGAAGACGGCGCTGTAAACTCCGTAAGACTCTGAAACACGCTCACGTCCGAGCGGCAAATCTCGATCGTGGAAAGCGGGTTGTCTGCTAGGTACACTTTTCGTAGTGTCGAAGCGAAAGTCACGCCGCTGACCTTTTTGATGCCGTTCGACTCGAGGTTCCTGCACAAGTGTAGGTAGGTGTTAGTCAATGGCCGCAAAGCAAAGTGCAGGTGTCGAAAACGTACAGCTCCACGAGTGTCGTGAGAGATGACACGATCGTCGGGAACGTCGTGAGCAGGTTGGAGCTCAAGTCCCTAGAGAAACAGCACGCATAAGTTGCCATTCAGTCAGAATCTGCTTCATCCAGCTACGTTGGCGTGCATATATATGGACGCACAGGTACTGCAGGGCTGTAGGCAGGTTGGTAAAGTTGGTCGAGGCGCTCGTAAACGAGTTCTTGGTCGCGTTCAACGTACGCAGCGACACTGGCAGCATGAGGTCGTCCAAGTTGGTAATACCCGTATTCGAGAGGGACCTGCAGCGTCCGCCTAAAAGTCAGCAAATCAATAGCAAAACCCCTCGTCCAATTTCCAGCGACGTACAGTGACTGCAGCGCAACGAGCTTCGTGAAGGTGTCGACTCCTACCGAGCTGAGCGAGTTGCCGTGCAGCAGCAGCGTCTGCAGCTCGCCCGACTCGGGCCAGGGGGTCGACGACGACAGCGTCGTGATCGAGTTGGCGCTCAGGTCGAGGTAGTTGAGTCGGCGCGGGAAGTTGAAGCTCGACAGGTCCGTGATGAAGTTGTCCGCGAGCTCCCTACAGATACGAGACCCTCGTCAGTCTCAGCGCCTCTGAGTCTCTATCTCTATTGTATTTCTGCACGTACAAGTCCTCCATGTCGTTGTCCGAGTCCGCGGGCGCGAACGTCTCGAGCTCATTGTTGTTGAGCAGCCTGCCGCAATCGATAAGTACCCATACACACACAATGCTCGTCACTCACTCCTCTGTGACCGACCACCTTTCATTCCGAACTGCTCGCTTACAGCTGATAGACGCGCGGGTAGCTGCGGACTTGCACGACGTCGAGGTTGGACAGGTTGAGGCTGCGCTCGACCGTGGAGCTGACCACGACCTCGAAGCTGCGCGCGTTGCAGTCCGAGTCGTACACGACGGCGGTCGAGTCCTTCTCGCCCTCCACGAGCGTGCTGGCGTTGGTGCACGCCTCGGCCGCCGCCCTCGAGGCCGCGACGCTCGTGACTAGCAGCAGCACGAGCTGGAGCGACCCATTCATGGCCTGGCTGCAGAGAGGGGGGGAATAAAGGTCTGCGCCAGTTGGAGAATGGAGGCCCCGCCGAGCTGGGGCCTTTACAACGCGACGCGACGCGGCGAGAGAGATCCCGGGATGCTGCTGGGGCTGCTATCCACCGAGTCTTGGTGCGGTAGCGCTGCTCAATAGAGCGAGTGTACGTGGGGGAAGGTCCGTCCTCGGTCTCTGCTGCCTTGATGGAGTGGCCCTATTTTGTCCTTTTTTTGTTGTTGGAGTGGCCCTTTTTCCCGCGGATGAAAAGCGATATGGGCTTTGTCTGATCGTCTTATACAAGGATATTTCTTTAGAGAGGTACCATTTTATACTCATTCTCGTCAAATGGATAACAGCATAGTATGTCGATGAGCAGAGGTTTTTCTGACTTCCTAGCCCAAAAAATAAAGTCAGAGCGCTTTTGCCCCTTGGCCCAAAAGCTCATTGACGTGACGCCTTATCTTGTCTCCCGTGGGCCACGGGCCGTGGCGAAGGCTGGCTTGTCTCCTCTGTGCAGAGCCTTTTTGGGAAGCCGAGGGGCGGATAGGCAACAGGACATGTCCCTCCGTGCTGCGTGGCTGGATTAGCTCCGCCATCCTGCTCCGTAGAGGCGTGAACGCCGCGGAAGCCGCCTCGGCTCAAAGAAGAGCCGGCGATCCGAGCACGAGCTCCGGCGGGGGCCGCTGCGACGTGTATGGTGGCGGTGATGGCGGGAAGCTCCTTTGCCCGCAGTGCTCGGTCCACTCGATCGCGACCGGCTCGGTGGGTCTCCGCTGGGCACCGCCGAAAGATTAAACAAGAAAATCTTCCGTAACTGGAGTGTGTGGAGCACTGCACAGCCCAGCACAGTGCTTTTGACGCACGCTGGCAGATCGCCCCGCGCAGCACCTGTTGCGTGACTAGGGTAGTAATGCTGCTGTGCATTCGCGCCGGTGGATTAGGTGGGCTCGCTCGCGTGGAGAAATCGCACTTTGGCGAGTGCCCCACTTCAACTTGAAGTGGTACGGATTCGTAGCTTTTTGGAGATCATGAGACAGTAGCGCTGCTCGAGGCTCTTCGAGGCTCTTCGCGCACGAGGTCTCTCAGCCTTCTGCATGCCCAAGTCAAACTTGCGTTGCTCTCATTAGATTAGCCCCGTAGCAATTGCATCACGCGAGCCCACTAATCCATGCGCACAACTCTACCTCTGTTGACTTCCACAGCTAAATACTTCTGCTCTTTCTTTCAAGGTGCTACATGCCTCCGTCACTAAGAAATTGCAGTTATCTTGGATCTCAATATGTGAATTTTGCTTTTTCTCGTGCACATGTGCATTCTTCTTTACCAGAATTGTAGTCTTCCGGCAGCTCTTTTGGTCAATAACTTGGTGCTGCTCAATGCGAAAGCTACTTTCCTCCTGCCCAATGCAAGAACTGCTTGCCTCCCCGACGGCGAGTGTGCGGTACACCATGTTTCTAACTCATTTAAAAATGTCTGGGGTGTACCAATTGAAGCTCAAGGGCCATAGTGAAAGCCTCTCACTTCTCTTCCCAGCTGCAACTGGTACAGCCCCATATTTTGGGCTGAATCTCATTGGCCGAAAGGGCCACTTAAACGGGTGACCTGTGTACTTTAACAAGGGAGGTGGGCGTCCCTTCGTGCGAGTGGCCCTACCGCTGTTTCCCGTAAAGTGTATTTCTATAGTGCAATCCACAATGGCCGTGACAAACAAACCATGAACTTAAGCCAGGGTAGTACCGTACTTTTCTGAAAAATATTCAAAAGTAAATGGCTTCAAAGCGAGATTCAATTGAGAGGTGGAATTCTCTCAGCGAAAAGCTGAGAGCCAGCAGCTTTCCGCGGAAGACCATCAGTATAAAACTGGTTAGTAAGTATCCACTCAAAAATGGCTTGCATAAAGTATGGGTTTAAAGCAGCTTTAAGTAGGTAGCACCCCATATAAAACCTCGCACTTAAGTAAGCATTCAGAGCAACTTGAATAAAGTATTGGCCAGAAGAAGTTTCATTCACTTACACGTAGTTTCATTCAGCTCCTCTATAGTTCCGAATCCATAATTTGCTAATATTTCCACTAAAAGCTACTGTTACCCATTAAAAGCTAATGCTTACGCTGAAATATCAAAAACTGCTTTAGCTCAGAGCGCCGCGCGAGCACATTTACCGCGGGGGGGGGGGGGGGGGGGGGGGCGAGTCCGCACCAGGACAAGCTCCAGCTCATCGTGCCGGATACGGACTTCGATCAGGTGCTGGGCACGCTCGGCACGCTCAAGCTGGGCTTGTAAACGGTGTATTTTCTCCTCCGCCTGGAAAATCAAGCCCCCGACACCGTCATCGTGTACGGAGACGACGACCGCAGCTACTCCACGCAGCTGTGAGAACGCGCTCTGCACGATACACACAAGTGTAGCTATAACTTGACGCTCAGGTATTGGGAGTATGCGCGAGCTTTTACTTAACTGTAAAAGATCTCGCTTCGCCTCATTACATGCACCTAAACTCACGGTTGCTTCACATTACTGCGAGCATATACAAAGAACCTACTGTTGTAAGCAGGTATATTAGCAGGCTCAGTGTACAACGTACAAATTCACCACACCGTTGCACTCGATATCATACGAGCACGCGCTGCACTGTACACACAAGTGCAGGTTATAACTTGCCGCTCACGCCTTTCTCAGTATTGGGAGTCTGCGTGAGCTAATTGCTGGTAGCAACGTCAAAAGACTCGCTTCACCTCATTACATGCGCCTAAACTCGCGGTACAAAGAGCATCGTTGCTACACCTTACTACAAGCATCTACAAAGAGCATGCTCGTTCTCTGCGATGCCTGCCGTTGTAAGCAGGTATATCAGCAGGTTCAGTGTACAGCGTACAAGTTCACTACCACAGCCCATTGCTGTCGATATCACCCAGGTGCGTAAAGCTTCCACAAGATGCATAGCAATATAGTCTTGCTAAATTGTCCTTGCATATATTATCCCAAAGCACTACTTCTACATGCAATAAAGTAGTGACAGCTAAGACAGAAACGTGATACTGTATTATTTACACGGAGAATGAAAGAGTACAATATGTCATTTTATTGCTTGCGTCTAGATCACGATGCTTTACCAGTATTTCTATTCGTGCACTAGTAGTATACTTGCTCCTGCTTCTACTACTGCAATGATAGATAAGATTACTATTTCTTCTCATATTCAAATGTACCGGAAACAGGCGCAGTCGTACTATTAGTGCGGTAGACTTTGTGCGATGTTATAACAAGCAAACTTCGCGCGCACACGAGTTCAGACTGTCAACAGAGTACATGATACGTTTAAAGTACTTTCACGCGACATCAAGACCATACATAAGCGGAGGGGGCGACGACACAGGCAACATTCATGTAATTTATGAAGTTTCTAAGGTTTTAACTATGGAAAGTACCACTGTATCACACAAACCACACCTTTATGTAATTAGTGCTTAACCCTTTCGCGAGTATCCTCAATAAATTATAGTATACAACTCATTGATACTTCCTTCTAAAAGGGCGCTCTAGGCGTCCTTTTACAAAGCTACGGAGCCTTTTCGGTGTGTCTCATGGAACATGCCATCTACGGTGATTTGCAGGATACATAGAGTGTATGCGTATGACTTATCATTTGTATAGACAATGATTACATGATGATTACTCTGCGTACCGATTATGATTTGTTTTAAAAGAAGGTTGATTACTAGCTTGAACTTGTGTGAAAGGGCACAGGATGCGCCCTTTAAGAGGGGGTACACTCTACCGTGTTTTGGAAAATCATCTAAAGGGCGCTTTCTGTATCCTTTTACCGCGAAAGGGTTAATGGACTATCTCGTTTTGCTCGCTACCACAATATAACTTGACTAAGTTGTTGCGCTAGTTATTGGCGGGGGATCCAAATCCGACTGGGGTGGAAGATTTTTTTCATGTCCGTATTCCGACATGACATGGATTTCGATCTGGCCCTCCCCAATACAATAATCAATATAGTCCCGGTGCATCAAATCGTACATATGCGAACAGGATAGGCGACGTCGATTGTAGCGACGTAACAACGATGTAGCATGACAGTGTGAGCAGCGCTAACTGCGAGCTTGGTTGCTGCATGCACAAGGTTTCGACGCCAAGCAAACCCCACATAGGTGGTAGACAAGGTGAGGCCAATGGACCCGTTAGCTCATGTGTTTATCTGGGTACCGGTCAACATAGAGCGCCTTCAGGCTCAGCTTTAGCAGAAAAGTGGGTCATCCCTCCCACAATTTTCAGACCAAACGTCATGTCATGTCATAATAAGACCATAGAAAAAGCTAACCGACTGGGGTGAATACTGGTAATAGCTCACAACAATACTACTATTGTGCCTTTCACGTATTTTGGCGGGTGAGATGTTAATTTAGGCGGAATTAGAGTCATAAAAGGGCGATCAACGCTTATTTAGTGCTAATTCTGCCTAAGATTGTGAGCGCTTCCCCTAACATCCGCGATCAGCATTTAAGAGCCAATCGACGGAGATACGAGCAGAATGGCATGGATTGGCGGGTAGGAAACCGCCAATCGCTCTGTTTCCGCCTAACGCAGACTGGATTAGCTTATTCCGCCTTAACTCGGCCTCACCATCGCCGCTCCTAATTTGGCCACGAATGGGCGACCCGGAATTAACATGGAAATTAGCTAACTCGGGGCATAATTAAGGTCGATAAGGGATTAGAGTTATGCCAGAATTATCATGGCAGAATAAGTGAAAGGCACAATACTACTACAGCTACTATTATCACTACTATAACTACTATATACATCCAAGCAAGCACCGACAAAGTATTGTGAGAACCGGCTAAAATGCCCATCTGTAGCAAACCCTTATTAAATTTCAACCGCTTAATTAATCAGAGTACAAATCGGGGCTGAAATCGATCGTGGTCTAGATGCATCGCTTGGCTGCGCGATTGCCCAGTAAAAGGTGGGCATTCTGCTCCAAACGCGGCTATACCGACTTGACTTCAATTAAACGATCGCCTAATCTGCACAGCCACTCACGTATGCATCGCAGGACGCGATCGATTTGGAGTTAAATCAGGGTGCTAATCGATCGATTTACGACCAAAACAGGCAAAAGAAGCGGTTTTCACAATAGCATTTGCACAAAGCCAACTTTTAGAAGCCCAGCATAAATCGTCTTACTAGCCGTGTCTACGCTCGCGAGTTCAAACAGTAGAAATTGCTATGAACATGAGTTGAGGATAAAAACGTTACACTCGGTCATGCTAAATAACAGAGTGCTACGTGCATTAATATATTTGGTGCAGCTAAAAGAATAGTTATAGTGACATTGGCAACTACAATTTTCAAATCTTGCAAAATAATGTAGCACATTCTACTACAACACTAAAAGGTGGCGTACAAAATCTCATAGGGTCTCCAGCGAAGCACATAGATCCTGATAGTACGCGTCGTAGTATTTGCGTGATACAATGACAACTTGTAGTTATCATTCGCTGAGAGAAGCATGCGTGCAGAGCGCGCCTTAGTTTCTGAATCTGCCAATTCACAAATATGAAGGGTCGAAGTCTTCCGTACGGGCAGATAATACAACTACCAAGACAACGAAAGAAACAGTATAACACATTTCCATATTTAGTGGTCCAGATTTCACAAATATGTTTAAAACACCTCCAAGTTGAAGCAGAAACGAAAAGTGAGCGGTATACTCTCAGCCCTTCAGGCTGAGAGAACAGTAGCACGCTTCGCGCGCGAGGTCTTAGCTGTACTACGCGAGCAGTACAATCTTGTCACTAATATGGAATTTCTTCTTAGTGAAAGAGCGTCTCGCTCATAATTAACATACTCGCCCTATTAAAGTCCGGACTTTATTTTATAGTACAGGTCTAAAAGCTTGAAATTATCAGATATTATGTCAGCTCTAAAAAAATATCTTGGATTTTGTATGTATATGTACAAACCGTTAACTACCGGTATTTGTTGCGACAGGCTTATATTCGGGAGGGGGCTTATATTCGGGCGAGAACGTTAGGAGTCGGCGAATCGAACGTTAGGTAATGTTGCTATCGCTGTATAATATAGCTATATATTTATTATATTGTTAAAATTAAAGCGTTAACTTTTGCTTGCCCTTCCATTACTCAAACGCTGATGTTTCTCCATCGAGTGCGTAGGGCGGTAGCTCGATAAACCCAATAAGCCGCTGCATCTGGTGCTCACACAAAGTTACGTCAGTGTGTATACTTTGTATCGTAAAGAAGCACAACGTAGAGAAGTGAGCTCCCGAGGACATGCGAAATCTCTTTCATCTGCTTCTTAGTATGTGCAGTTCAACTCCGTACAAATGTATAACCAATTTTGTCGACTGCTGCCAATATCATAGCAGAGCCCCACGAAACATGCCAATACGACGATTGCTAGCTTCATATCCGAGGCTTACTACTGCTACTGAAAGAATTGGAATCGGGTTCGGCTTGTTCTGATCGTGCACGTGGTCTAACTTCTTGAACGACAGCTTCCGCGTCTTTGAGACGAAAGCCCGCCCTCACGGTCGACCTCTTAAAAACGCCGCCCGTACATGTGCCAAAGTTTGTCTGCTCCGGGTTGGACACGTCTTGGCACACGTACAGCCCCGCGTAGCACGCGTCAGCTGCCAGCGTAGGCTTGATGAGGCGCACGCGAAATATCGCTGCAGGTTGTGACTGTGGTTGACTACGTGCTTCAGGCGGAGCTGGTACCGCCACACGCCGAGCGACGCTGCTGCTACGTAGAGTGATAGGGCCATGAGGGCAGCGTGGAGCTTGGAGCAATGGCCACGCACCATTCGACGCTGGGTAGACCTAGGCTAGCTCGCTGGCATTAGTATAGAGTTTGATCGTGGCCGGCGGTGAAAACTGCACAGACCGCTCTGCACAACAACAACAGCAACAACAACGGCACAATGCGTAACACGTCAGTACAGTCGGTGTATATCGGGTCCGCAGTGGCTGAGAATCAGCTGCTACTGAACCGGCAGTGATATTCCGTACGAATACTACGCACCTCAAAGGCCGATGGCAGTGACTACGGGTGCAGACGGGCGTCTGGGGGTACGAGAGGTTGCTGACACGTGGATAAGCACCAAGCGACCCAATCCGCGACAGTCGAAGCGCTCTTGCAGCTCAGTTGGAGGCAGACTTGGCTACGACTCGCAGCTGGGTCGACGTGTAGCCGCGCGATACATGATCTCAATTGCAGCACTTCCTGGACGCCATCAAGCAAGCCACGTGCGACCCTGCTGACGATGAGTTAATACCGATATATCTTATGAAAGTATACAATATGCGTTAACTATCCATCATTTCTTTTCTATTTCTATCGTTTCTAATTTGATAGTAAAACGAAGTCGGGTGCCTTGCCCCATATTTTGTTGTGATTGACTCTCATTGGTGTAAAAGCAAGCACCTTGTCTGCATAAATAGCTCTGCGACTAGTCGTTGGTATACAAATCGACACTTAATCGCACACAATAACGTGCCGTTGAGCTGCGATCAAGTTTTGGGTTAGCACCGGTTTACACCGGTTTAGACTGTTGCCTCGCATTTCTTTTCTTAGCCATTAACTTAAGCCGGGCAATTACCGTGACTTTTCACCAAGGTACACGAAGTAAATGGCTTCATTTGTATACTTAAACGATGAAGTTGGGACCTACGTTTGAGCTTTTCAAAAAATCTAAAAGTGTCCCATGTGAGTTCAGAGCATAATGAAACGCAGTCAAGGCCCCTGCACCGGCTGCGCCACACCTCTCTGCTTGCACTTGAGCCCCCGTTTTTCAGAAATACCGAGCGGTAATCGTTTCTAAGCTCGGTACTTCAACGTCAGACCCCAGCAGCTCTCAGCTATGCTGAGAGAACTTTGGTCTGGGATCATGAGACTTTGATCGCAATGATCCAGTATTCATAGGATCTAACCTAGTCCGCAGTTGTCCTAGACGTGAGGGATGTATAGAGTCAATCGTTTGTCTTGGGATGAAGCAGAGAGCAGCTATTCTCATCAAGCTCGGGAGGCGCCAAAACCTTCCGCTTGAGTTTCCCCACTTCGACATTTGCCACCTTATCAGCACCAAGCTACGATGGTCTGCGTCCAAACTCTTCTCAAGGTCCTAGCGTTCTGCGCGCTCAACGTGAGCCTCCTCCCGCGGGCGCAGGCGAATATCGTCCTCGTGCTACCCGACGACCCAGCGTGCAGGTCGACGCCCGACATGGTCTACGCAGGGGTGATGGCCATCACGGACCCGGCATGCCTTGACTCAAACGAAGACCCTGGCTGCAACCTGTTTGGCATCCCGGACTGCCGCGCGTGCGCTCTGTTGCCCGAAGCCGCCTCCCCAGACACCCCGCCCTGCGAGTTGCTGGTTGTCTTCAACCAGGAGAGCATCGACAATGCATTTGGAGATGAACCGCCCGTCAGCACTGAAGACTGCAGCGACTGTGAGCCTGACGTCCCACCACCACTCGTTCCTTCCAACCCTGTAGACCCCATCGAGCCTGTCGAGACGCCTGACGAGTCGAGTGAGCCGGAAGACTACGTGCCCATTGTGATCGTCCTGCCCACTGACGTGTTCATCGAGACCGAGTCATCCATTTGGGCGGACAGCGATAGTTCGGCGGACTACGACGACGATAGCGATGGCGGGGGCGAGCAAGGCGGAATTGACACTGGCAGACGTCTCCGCACGCAGCTCTAGCCGTACGGCATGCCCTTTGCGCTGCCATTTGCTTAGCTACTATTACAGTGCACGCGCCTATTAAGCCTTATCAATACACAATTATCTAACCACAATTTCTGCACTCTCAACTGCTTCTCACAGAGATGGTCTTCTCGTGCTTAATAAAACATTGGTTAGGGTGCGCTTAGCTTATTAACTACAAAAACGCTAGTTTGGAGAAGTGATACAACTGAACTGTACCCCAACCTATGTGCTATAGTATGAAGTGATTGAGATGCATTTATTTCTTCCAGGTGATACGCCTCTGGACGGTAACTAAAATGATGATTCGATAAGCTCGTACCCATGTACTGCGTTCTGCACTTCAGCACTCTACTCCGCCCTAGTACCGCCATCGCAGCTCGAAGTAGCCCGTACAGTTCGATCCCAATAATCGCAGCTTGGGAAAAGTGATAACACCTAGTTAAGGCACTGACCGACCCAGTCAGGTTGCTCGAATTTCGAAAGCTTCCGGTCGCGTGCCACAGAGACTTGTCGTACCATTTGCTCGTCACGAAGGCTTTCGCGTAAAAGCTGAAGCCACTTTTGGCATTCCAGCGCGTCTTCACAATTTCTTTAGTGTTACCAAGACGCCCAACCCACAGGGCTAACACTTTTAGCCATTGCTCTTCTTCCTGGCAAGCAGCGACAGCAGCCGTGGTCGCTGCTGATGGAGCGTTGCTATGCTGGGAGTCAGCTTCACGAGACTTTTTCGCGAGAATTTGACCGTATGCATCAATGGTCTTGATGTCGTATTTCACGCACCATTCGGGGACAAACTGAACCTGTTCGATCGCTCTGACCACTCTGTCTTGGTAGTGATTCGAGCTCGCTTCATTCTCCCCCCCCCTTGCTGTTCTGGTAGTGCCGGAAAGCCCCATTGATCCCCTGCAACCAGAATTCGACTGGGAGAGCCTTGTAAACAGCCAGCCCCATCGCGCCGAGTGACTGTAACACGATGAACGTGTACGCTCCCTTTTCCGGGACGTCTTCGGAGCTCCAACCGTAGATCAAGTATAGCTCGTCGGGTGCAAATACATCCGCCGGTGGGTGATACACCGTACTCCACATATTCTTGTTCGGCACAAGTTTCTCGGCCAAGGTACAGAAGCGCTGAAATCACGCTGCTTCCACGTCAGCGTCTCTAACTGGAGGCAATTCGCGGATGACACGTGCGTTTTCGTGAGGCTGCTCTTCGGCTGAGTGCTCAACTGGAGGGGCTTCAGAACCACTGCCGCTGTCGAGGTCATCGGTTGCCTGAATTTCGACTTCAACGTCACTCTCTGGCTGAACACTTGCAGGCATGGTTGAACAGACGACTGATGTCTGGTTTTCGCTTTGTCAGTTTTGGTTGGGCTCGGGTGTGCTGCTCGGGGAGAAATCTTGACTGTGAGCACGGAGCCGGCTTAGTGATGAGCACCCAGGAGTTGTGAATGGAGCGAACGTCCTTCATCTAGGCAATGCGAGGTCACCAACGCCCTGCAACTGCTATAGCGGTCGGACTGTTGGAGACGCCCATACCACCGCGGTCGTTAAGGCGACAACAGCCTCACCACATTCGCAAGGTCGGCTGAAGAGCACGGCACCTTCCCAGCCCAATCACAGATTTTGAAAAGTCGCAAACTGGGATCGAGCAAGAAGTGTGTACATATCGCGAGTCCGCAGCAAAGAGAAATGTCGTCGTGTTCTTCAGTCCGATGCGTCTGCAGTCATGTCGAAGAGAGCATCAGATGTCTGGCAACAAGCGGGTCGGGCAACATCTACGACTAGGATCTTCATGTTGCATGAGTTACCTGTACGCCTTCAATCCAGCTAGGCACTGTATCGTCATTCTACTCAGTATTGCACAAATGGTCGTTCAAAGAAATAAGGTTAGATGTGGAGCTCCTGGCCCCGGAACTGCGGCAGGTCGTTCGAGAGTCTGCGCAGCTCCTGCAGCAGCGGCGTCTGCTCGTCCGCCTTCGTGATGCCCCAGGCCGGTGGCGCGGGCTGGTGCTGCCGCTTGACGTTCATCATGTAGATCACGAGCGCACCCGGAATGAGCTCCGGGATCGCGTAGAACAGCCACGGGTTGGACACGTGCGGGTCGAAGACGTCGATGGCCGGCATGGAGAACAGCAGCAGCAGACTGCGGTAGAAGAAAAGCAGCGACGACACGGCACCGATGAGCGAGAGCCTTGCGGCGATGGTCGCGGCCAGGGCCGAGAACTCGATCTTAAGCAGCACGGCGCGCAGCTGCAGCGCGCAGCGGGCCAGCATGACGGCCAGCAGGAAAAAGCAAAGAGCCACGAAGCCATACTCCATCTCAAATAGCACCATCTTCTCCCCCGGGAAGAGCGTCTTGAGCACCAGCAGCGCGCACTCGACGAGGTAGATCCAGACGTTGGCCACCAGGAACAACTTCCGGGACCGGCCCGACCGCTGCGCGCCGGCTCCGCGCGTGTACTCGGCGATGACGGACTGGTTGGCGGCCACCCTGGCCAGCGGCTTCTCGGCGCGCCGCGCCTGCGCGCGCACGTCCTCCCAGAAGCGCAGCAGCAGCGTGAAGGCCGAGAAGTAGAGCAGCGTGGCCAGCTTGCCGAAGGACGTGACGCCCAGCACGTAGATGTCGATGTCCGTGGGCAGCAGCGGCGTGACGAACACCATGTGCTCGTAGCGGAAGTCGGGCGCCGAGCCCTCCACCCACTGGAACATGTGCATGTTGCTCAGCACGAGCCACGCGATGCGCGAGAAGTAGGCGAACGTCAGGAAGGTCGGGAACCAGCGCATGCGCTTGACCGGCAGCAGGTGCGTCGCGTGCCCGTGCTCGCCCAGGCGCCCGCGCTGGATGCTCACCGACAGCGTGTAGGCCAGCACGGCCGCGTAGCAGTAGGCCGCGCCCGCCGCCGCCGACTGCGTGTAGAAGCAGTGGCGCGCGCCGAACAGGCAGATCTTGTCCAGCAGCTCCATCTTACGCCCCGCCGGCGGTCGCTCTGTCGCTCGATAGCGGAGACGTTCGATTTCTCTGCCAGATGCGCACTTAGCAAAGTCGGTAACGTTAGGTACGATTGGGCGGACCCTACGTCCACAACGACGATGGGAGACGATTAGCATGTAAAGTGATGAATAAGGTCTACATGGAATGTCCTGCTTACTGTACTAGTACTGTACACTGATGATACTTTACTGCTCTTCTATCTCTCTACACGTCGTAGCACACGCTCCTCCGGCGCGAGGCCGAACGTGGCGACTCTGGCTCCGCGTCGGGCTCAACCGGGGCCTCTTCGCCATCACCGCCGCCGATGGGCACGCCATTTTCCAACGTCTGGTAGGAGCCGCGCGCACTCGACGCCACCTTTGAATCTGTGGATACTTGCTGCTGCTGTCTCCGTCGGCTTCTCTCGCTGGGGCCAAAGAACCAGTCGAGCACCTTCTCAACCTCGGACGACGGCACCACCAGGATCAACCACAGCAGCGCGAACGCCACCACTAACAGCAGCACGCCGACGCCCAGATACACGCGCGACCAGAACACCCAACCTGCTCGCCACGTCGAGGCCTCGGCGTCCGAGAAGTGCGTCGAGTGGAACTGAAGCTTGGGCGCCCAGCCACCGGAGCAGACGTTGGCACCGCCTGAACTACTTGACGCAGACGACTCCACGCAAGCAAACCCCACGGTCTTGAGCTCCGAGTCAAACTGCACGTAGTACGCGCGAAGGAACGTCACTCCGAGCACCACAACCTCCTCGTACTCCTTGCCCTGTGCGATGTTGGTGGTCATGGCCGACGCGACGGGGGTCTGCTGCTTGCTTTTGTTCTTCTTGGACGTGAACAGCGCGTGAACATCCAACTGCGGGGCGCAGATGAAGTCGTCGCAGCGCGCGTAGTCCGTACCCTGCAGCACGAGGGTTTGCGTCTTCGGCGGCATGCCGCCGGCTGACGCTTCTTCTAAAGCAAAACTAAACCTGAGCGCGGGGAACATCTCCGCCGTGCAGTCTGCACAAGCATATCCGCTAACAGCGTGCGGGTTCGCACGGAGTTCTCGACGGTGCTGTACGCGCAAGTGCTGCTGGATCTCCGCGATAGTAGCGTCGAACGCTCGTCGAGGCAGCAGAAGCAGCGAGGTGCCCGAGTCCACGATAGCGACAGCCGCCGAGACCGCTACGATTCCTTCTCCGCTGCCTGCTAGCTGCTTCGAGCTCGAGTCGGATCTAGAGTCAAAACTCCCAACACTGAGTCGATTCAGTCTGATGGCCCAGAAGCCGTGCGCGCGTCGACTGGACGGGTACCTGACCACGGGAAAGTGGTGCCAGGCCACCTTCGCTCCAGACTCCAGCGGCGCGTGAGCTACGGGCAGCGTGTCGTCCACTCCGCCGAAAATGAGCTGCGCCGGCGGCAGCGCGCCCGGCAGCGGGTTGATGTAGATGGAGAAGCGTCGCAGGCGCGGCTCGGACTGCAGCAGGCTGGGCTTGGTGATGAGCGCCAGCGCCTCCAGGCCGAGCCCGACGATGCCGTCGGCCTGGAAGCGCTGCAGCCGCTTGGTCGTCTTGCTGGCGCTGCCTATGTGCACGCCGGAGAGCGTGAGCACGTCGGTCTCGGCGTCGCCTCCAAAGAGCGAGATTTGCTCGCGTACGACGCGGCCGGACGCGTTACCGCTGCCGTACTCCAGGCGGAAGGGCTCGTCCAGCGCCTCGTGCGAGAGCGACACGGCAGCGCTGTAGCGCCTCGAGCCGGCGCAGTCCGCGCAGTTGGTCTCGGGCAGCCAGATATCGCTCGAGCCCGTGTCGAAGATGACCTGGAAGCGCTGCGGCGGCGACCCCACGCCGATGGAGCCGAAAAACTGCATCTGGTCGAAGTTCTCCAACGGAATGCGCAGCAGCTCCGCAGGTGCAGCAGCCGCGCGGGCGCCCATGAGCGTCAGCGCCAAGCCCGCGGCCGCGTGGCGGAGCCTCCGGTGCGGCACCATGAGCGGTCGACTAGCCTACCGTTATTGAAAGAGACTAACGAGGCTGCTGACTCTCCGGCGGAGTCGGAGTCTCCGAGATCTGGGCAGGGGATGTGCGGTTCAAGACTTGGTAAATGTATGCACACGGTACAGATCGTCTCGGATGAACTTCAAACAGAAAAAGGAGCGGACGGTCGCTGGAGTACGTGCTGCTGCGCCCGACCGATACAAAGTTGCCTTCTTTCCTCGCGACATCACGACAGCCGGGTTGAACTTGGTCGGTCAGAGATCACGTTGCACTCGCGCCGTCCATCGGTGTGCCCCTCGGCGACGGTGAGCTTCGCGTTACGCGCGCCAGCTTCAAGCGCCCACGCCGGCCTTTGCAAAAGCTCGCGGCACTTTAAGCCTGAGGCAGTGCCCATGCCATTAGCGTCGCGTAGTGGATTTCCTCGTAAGGGCTACGAATATACAGTAGTATCGTTTGAAAAAGCGCACTGGTCCGCTATTTGTCGATGGAAGTTGAGGAGCTACAGAATTCTGCCCGAATAAGGAACGGGTGTACAACTAATAGCCTCACATATTTAATATTATTTTCCAGTCGATGTGGCGATAGGGGGATGTGCAAGGTACTGCAAGGTACTGAGGTACTAAGGTGAAAAATCCAGTGCCAATCATCAGCTAGCTCTCCACCCTCGTTTGAAAAATGGCACGCATTTAGCGATCTTACTAGACTTCAAACTACATGTACCGTAGTGGTAGACTCGCACTGTTGCTTTTGCACCTCGCCCCACAAGCCCACCTCCTCCCCCATTCCACCCATGAAGTCCACACCGTCCAAGCGTCTCCGTCTCACTTGGTCTGAGAAAGTGGGCATCCTCGACAAGGTGAAGGGCTAGATAATCCCTACGAGGTCGACCAGTTGACAGCGCTGTTGTGGTGCGAGGATGCCTGGTCAAAGGTTAGTGCTTCGACCATACGCCACTGTTGGAATCATTCCGGACTCGTAGGTAAAGCTGCTCTTCAGTTCATTTTTAAATAACTAAATCAGTACATTGGAAAAGTATACTCAACTTAACATCAATTTATATATTCTGCGTCTTTATAAATATCAGGCGTTCCTTACTCGGGCAGATTACTGTACCGGTAACCTATCACCGCGCCATACATGTACATGTGCGATGGTGACGGTCGTAGAATTGAGAGTGACTATCGTCGAATTGAAAGATACTGTACCCAACAACTTCAATGTGATGTTCGAACGCGCCTGCGTTGGTTGAAAAGGTATCCTTTGATTAAAATCTCGTTAATGCGGTTGTATCGATATAGCGAGCGCTCCTACATCGCGAAATGGTGTGCGTACATGCGCCCCTCGTCGGTGCTGGCGGCCATGCGTACCAGCATGAGGTTGGTTGCCGTGTTGGTGAGGGCCTGCAGTCTGGTGATCAGCAGCATGATGCCTCCGAGCTCGATGGGCGTGGGTGGCAGGTCGCTAACGCCGCAGAATCCCTGCCACACCGTAAAGAAGAAAACAACAGTCGACTGGGGCACTGCCGTGTCTCCAAGACTAGCGATCAACGAGTAGCCAAAGACCCGCGCGCTGTTGCTGAAGTTGAGCGGAAGCGCACACTCTCCGTAGCTCACCGTCCACATGAGAACCACCGGCAAGACGATACCCTGTGCGAGACGATTGCACGCAGCCAGTACAGGGAACAGCGCGCCGAAGACGGCAGGCGGAACTTCTCGTGAACGCAGCACGCTCTTGGTGGCGATTGCCAGCGGCAGCAGAGGAGACTGCAGCAGCACGCTGTAAAGCAGAGGCGGCATCATCTTGAGCATCCAGCCGAACGGATGGCGGCGAGTTACCATGTAGAACAGGATCGGACAGAGCACGAGGCATTGGATGGCGCACACGAACACGCTCGTAAGACACCACCTCCCTGCAAACGACGCGAGCCTCGAGTTGGCCGGATCAATAAGCACCGACCCGATAGTGAGTGGCAGGATGGCCACGAGCGCCAGCGACTGCAGCCAATCCAAAATCGTGAAGAGCGCGGCGTACATGTGCACGAAGAGTCTGAGCAGCGGGTTGCGTCTGGCATCGCCGCGATCGCGACCAACTCCTCCACCGCGGAAGCTGCGCGTGACGGCCACACCCAAGACAGTGGCTATCGCCATTGAGCTGATGTAGTAGTCGGCACTAACCGCCTGCACCGCATTGTTTGGAACGTACCGCTCCGCCAATAGGTAGATGTGTTGTGTCAAGGACAGCTTCGTGATGGTCTCCGGCAGCCCCAAGACGGAGTTCACGTCCACGAAGCTCGGAAAGACGGCGGCTGTGCTGTTTGCATCGTTAAACGTATCCGAGGCACAGGCGAGTGACGTGCCGTTGAGCCCAAGATACTTGGAGTTGCTGCATTGGAACCCGAAGCGGGTGTCCGACGCCTCGAAGATGAGCTCGTCGGTCTGCTTGAGCGAGTGGCGGAAAGCACCGGCGATCACGATGGCTACCATGGTTGAAAACAGGCACAGCACTACGTAGAAGGCCAACGTTTTAAGCCAAAGTCGCCAGAGCGCTCCACGCGCAGTCAGCGTGGACACGGAGAAGATGACTTGGCATATTCCCATGGGCACAACAGCGCAGTTGACGAGTCGAACGTAGAGCGTGCCAATTTCGTTGAGCCAGTACCCGTACGCCTCGGGTGGGTCTGCTGAAAGCGCCGCAAAGCCGACGCCGAACCCGACGGCCATGAGCAAAGCCAACATGAACGAGTTCATGGATCGAGGGAGGTGCTGCAGCGCTTGGGAGTGGATCTCATCGAACGGAAACGAGTCTCTGGACTGCTCCGACGAAGGTGGGCGTGAAGGCCGCAAAGCCGGTGGTTCACCGGGCGGCGTGCCAAGTACATCATAAGAGTCGTTGGGCGTCCCCAGTGGTGCCTCCCGCGACGAAGCGCTGCTGAAATTCGTTCGCACGTTTGCCTCGGAACCCGCGGGAGCTTTAGAGGTCCGTCCATACGAAGTGTTGAGGTTGAATGCTGCGCCTCGAGACGAGTCTGTCTCGCCACCGAAGGTACCAAAGGTGTCTCGAAGATACTGGTAGAATGAAGTGGCTGAAATGCTTGCAGCCTCATAGGCGTCAGGGAAGCGCTGTTGCTGTTCCTGGATCTGCTCGTGCTGCTGGCGCTGGAGGTTCTGAAGCCTCTGGTTTTGCTGCTGGAGCTGCTGGAGATGCAGCGGTGGGCCTCGAGGCGCAAGGCCCGCTGTCGTGTCAACGCTCACAAAGCTGTCAAAGTCCGCTCGGTTGCGCGGCGCCGGGGTTGTGATCTCTTCGTCCACGTCCTCTTCGTATGGGATGGGCGAACCCGACAAGATGGACCCAAACGAGATGCGGTAGCTGGGGCGCTCCGAGTCCTGGATCTCGTCCGTGTCATAGAGACTGAGGTCGAGCTCGCTGTCCCGACTGTCGCCGTCGCCGGCCTCGCTGTCCTCGTAGATGACGTGCCGCGGTTTGCTCCTGCGTAGCCCGCTGATGCTGTCGATGCTGCTGGGAGCGATGCTGATCTCAGACTCGGACTCCGACCCGCTATCGCGGCGGGACGAAGTGCTTCGCCCGCTCATGGCCCTGTACTTTTGAAGTCTAGCGAGCCGCAACGCCCAAAGCAAAAACCAAAGCCAACTTTGGCTTTGGCCAACTGCCCATTTGGGATGCCAGCGTAACCGACACCGAGACAACTCGGTGTCCACACGTTTGTGTGACCTGTCAACCAAGTTGAAGTGACCGAGATGGCTACATTCGATTGACAGGCTCCGCTTCGTTGCGACGATCGCCATCATGGGTGCCGCACGACTCGTGCGTCGAGAGCAACCACACGACGTACATGTACATGCGTGATTCAGAGAGAGAGAGCATCACGACCGAGACAACCAGGTGATCGCCGTCGTGGATCGTCGACTGCCAAAGATATGCATGGACTCGACCGCGCTCAGCAAGCTACTCGCCGTTCGAAGGCGAGGAAGATGACGACCAGAGCCCGATGGCGGTGAAGGAGCTGTGAGTTTTTGGTGGATCTGGCCTGAAGAGAACTATGAGAACTTCAACCAGTACCAGCTGGCCGTTCCATTAGGGCTGAATGTGTTCGCAAGCGAGCGAGTCACGCGCGACGTGAGTCGCTCCCCGCTCGCTCCGGATCACTAACTGACCGTTCCAAGGACTTGTGGAGAAGCAGAGCCTCATCATGGAGTGCCCGTCCTCACTGTTGGGGGCTCGCAGTGCGAGTCGCATCGAAGACGATGGATCTTTACAGACGCACGACGGCAGGCATCGCGTCCCGATCCGTCCGCCCTATCCGTGCGAAGCCAGCCTGCAAAGCTCTCAGCGACCACGTCGTGGAAGACAAGGCGCGTGGTTGGGTTTGAACACCGAGAGAGAGAGAAAGAGAGAAAGAGTGACGGTCGCCGCAGCTCTGCGGCAACGAGGGACTTTGGCCCCGCGCGGCGCTTGTCAACGTCTCCGCAGCAGGAATCCGGCCAGCGTTGAAGTCGAGAAGTCAGAGCTGGTAGTCAGTCCACGCAGGGCAACTGTAGTCGAGCGGCATTTTTGCAATCGCGTGGGCTCCACGCTGGCGGCTTGTCGATCGTTCGTCGGTCGTGGCGCGGCTGGTTGCACGGCGTGGATACTTGCGCGGTCGGGCTCGTCCAGACGCAGATGGCGACGACGCGCTGAGGCATGCGAGCCATAAGGACGTGTTCGCAAGGGCCTGCAGCTACGGCGGAACGTTCCCCAACAGCTAGGCGAACGGTGAGCTAACGACGGCAATAAGCTCAGCGCCGACCCGGACTTTGCTGGCGGATCTCCCTAGCGGCGAGATGATACCGACCAACATGATCCGTGTCAAGCATGTTGTTGATACATATCCGTTATTTGCATTTGCTAGATCTACCGTATCCGAAGGTGATGGCAACGAGCCGGAAAAGGCCGACCCTCGCGCCATTTGCGGACACTTTTGACCCGATTGCCATGATTGCCATCGACTCAAGCTCCGCTCGAGCTGAGCTGCCAGCCGGGCCGGCGGAGCCACAAGGCAGTGGCATCTGTTGCGTTCCCCTGGCCCACTTATCCTCCTACGACGCGGCGAGGGCGCGTTGTTGAGCGCAGCATTGCTTGGCCCGAGTATCGCAGCCCTGACATGCGGCACAGGGAGTCAGCGGCTGGACTCGTCCATACACATGGCGTGCACGAGTAAAAGATAGGGCTCGGCCATAGTGAGACCGAGTGCGGTCTCTCCAAAGATAAGCGCGGCAGGCAAGAGAGCGTCAAAGCGCTCCCTGCCGCTCCCCTGCATCGTCGGCTCGCGGTGCTCAATGCGCGCGGGCACGCGAGTTCCGGTCATTCCCCAATTTCCTCCCAAGAGCGAACAGCGCAGCTCGCCCCTGGTTGGAGATTCCCGTTCCCCGTGCTAGACCATCAACAGCGTGTTTCATCGTCCCCTGTTACAGTAAACCACTACCATGAAGGTGTACACGACCATCGTGCTCGCGGCCATGGCCATGCAGGTCGTGCTCGGCGGTGGCGGCGGCGGCATCAACTTCGACAACGCCGGCAGCTACTCGCCCGGTGGTGCTAACCAGGGCTCGGCCGACAACTACACGAACGACGGACCCAAGACCGGCCTGAACACGCCGGTGCCGGCGGCCTCGACTGCTCCGCCCGCCCCGGCTGCTACGCCGGCCATGACGACTCCGACGTCAGAGCTCGGCAGCCACGCTCAGGAAACCCCCGCTGCTACCCCCGCTGCTACGACGCCCACGTCGGGCACTGGCTCTGGCTCGTCGCCCTACCAGCAGACGCCTGTGTCGACCCCGGCCGCCACGACGCCTACGTCGGAGCTCGGCAGCCACGCGTCGGAGACCGGATCGGGCTCCTACCCCGCTCAGCAGACCGGCTCGGGCTCGTCCCCTGCTCAACAGACGCCCGTGTCGACCCCGGCCGCCACGACCCCCACATCGGGGCTCGGCTCCTCGTCCACCACTGGTTCTGGCTCGAGCCCGGAGCAGCAGGTGCCTGAGGTGACCCCTGCCGCCACGACGCCGACGACCGAGCAGGGCAGCGGCTCTGCTCCTTCGACTGGCTCGGGCTCGTCGCCTTCGCAAGAGACGCCCTCGACTGGTTCGGGCTCGTCGCCTTCGCAGGAGACGCCCTCGACCGGTTCGGGCTCGTCCCCTTCGCAGGACGTCCCCGTGTCGACCCCGGCCGCCACGGCCCCGACCTCGCAGCTCGGTTCATCGGACGAAGACACGCCGTGCCCGACGCTGGAGTACAACTACCCTGTTGGCACCCCGGCTGCTACGACGCCCACTATCGAGCAGGGCAGCGGCGCGGAGGACACTCCGTGCCCCACGCTGGAGTACAACTACCCGGTTGGCACTCCGGCTGCTACGACGCCTACGGTTGAGCAGGGCAGCGGCGAGGAGGACACCCCGTGCCCCACGCTGCAGTACAACTACCCCGTTGGCTCGGGCTCGTCGCCTAGCCAGGAGACTCCCTCGACCGGCTCGGGCTCCACTCCTTCACAGGAAACCCCATCGACTGGATCGGGCTCGTCCCCTAGCCAGGACATCCCTGTGAGCACCCCGGCAGCTACGACGCCAACCGCTGAGCAGGGCTCTGGCTCGTCGCCTTCGCAGGAGACTCCCTCGACTGGTTCGGGCTCGTCGCCTTCGCAGGAGACGCCCTCTACTGGCTCGGGTTCGTCCCCTTCGCAGGACGTCCCCGTAACCGGCTCGGGCTCCTCGCCTTCGCAGGATGTCCCCGTGACCACCCCGGCCCCGACGACGCCTTCGTCGGAGCTGGGCTCGTCGGACGAGGACACTCCGTGCCCGACTCTGCAGTACAACTACCCGGTGTCGACGCCTGCTGCTTCGACCCCGACGACCGAGAATGGTTCCGGTTCATCGCCTTCGCAGGAGACGCCTTCCACTGGCTCGGGCTCGTCGCCCTTGCAGGAGACGCCTTCCACCGGCTCGGGCTCGTCGCCCTCGCAGAACACTCCTACGACGGAGCAGGGCAGTGGCTCGGAGGACACTCCTTGCCCGACGCTTGAGTACAACTACCCGGTTTCGACGCCTGCCTCGACCACGCCTACTGCTGAGCAGGGTTCTGGCTCGTCGCCCTCGCAGGACACGCCTTCGACCGGCTCGGGCTCGTCTCCCTCGCAGGAGACGCCTTCCACCGGCTCGGGCTCGTCTCCCTCGCAGAACACTCCTACGACGGAGCAGGGCAGTGGCTCGGAGGACACTCCTTGCCCGACGCTTGAGTACAACTACCCGGTTTCGACGCCTGCCTCGACCACGCCTACTGCTGAGCAGGGTTCTGGCTCGTCGCCCTCGCAGGACACGCCTTCGACCGGCTCGGGCTCGTCTCCCTCGCAGGACACGCCTTCCACCGGCTCGGGCTCGTCTCCCTCGCAGAACACTCCTACGACGGAGCAGGGCAGTGGCTCGGAGGACACTCCTTGCCCGACGCTTGAGTACAACTACCCGGTTTCGACGCCTGCCTCGACCACGCCTACTGCTGAGCAGGGTTCTGGCTCGTCGCCCTCGCAGGACACGCCTTCGACCGGCTCGGGCTCGTCTCCCTCGCAGGACACGCCTTCGACCGGCTCGGGCTCGTCTCCCTCGCAGGAGACTCCTTCGACGGGCTCGGGCTCCTCGCCCAGCCAGGAGGTGCCTGTCACTACCCCTGCTCCCACGACTCCTACGTCCGAGCAGGGCTCTGGATCGTCGCCCAGCCAGGACGTGCCTGCCACGACGCCTGCCGCCACTACCCCCACGTCGGAGCAGGGCAGCGGCTCGTCCCCCGCTCAGCAGTCCTCGGGCTCGGCTCCCTACGCTTCGGGCTCGGGCTCTAGTCCCGCTCAGGAGACCCCTGTGAGCACCCCGGCTGCCACGACGCCCACCTCTGAGCTCGGCTCTTCGTCGACCGCTGGCTCGGGCTCCAGCCCGGAGCAGCAGATCCCTGAGGTGACCCCCGCGGCTACCACGCCTACCTCGGAGCAGGGCAGCGGCTCGTCGCCCGCTCAGCAGTCGTCTGGCTCGGCTCCCAACGGCTCGGGCTCCAGCCCGGAGCAGCAGATCCCTGAGGTGACTCCGGCCGCCACTACCCCGACTTCGGAGCAGGGCTCGACCACGGGTTCCGGCTCGAACCCCGCACAGCAGACTGGCTCGGGCTCCAACCCCTCCCAGGAGACGCCTGTGAGCACCCCCGCCGCTACTACCCCGACTTCGGAGCTTGGCAGCCACGCGTCGGAGACTGGCTCGGGCTCGAACCCCGCTCAGCAGACCCCTGTGAGCACCCCCGCCGCCACGACGCCTACTTCGGAACTCGGCAGCCACGCAGAGGAGACTCCTGAGGCTACCCCTGCCGCTACCCCGTGCGCGAACGAGAGCGGCTCGGGCTCCAACCCCACTCAGCAGAACGGTTCGGGCTCTAACCCTGCCCAGCAGACCCCTGTGAGCACCCCTGCCGCTACTACGCCTACTTCGGAGCTTGGCAGTCACGCTTCGGAGACCGGCTCGGGCTCCAACCCCGTCCAGCAGAACGGTTCGGGCTCTAACCCCTCCCAGGAGACCCCTGTGAGCACCCCCGCCGCTACTACGCCGACCTCGGAGCTTGGCAGCCACGCGTCGGAGACTGGCTCGGGCTCCAGCCCCTCGCAGGAGACCCCGGTGAGCACGCCTGCCGCTACTACCCCGACTTCGGAGCAGGGCTCTGGCTCGTCGCCGGCCCAGCAGTCCTCGGGTTCGGCTCCTCACCAGTCTGGCTCGGGCTCGTCTCCGGAGCAGCAGAACACCCCTACTTCGACTCCGGCCGCTACCACGCCTACCTCGGAGCTGGGCTCGTCCTCGACTGAGCACTCCGCCTCGACTTCGGCTTCTACCTCCACCTCCGGCTCGGGCTCGAACAAGTCCGGCTCCGGCTCGACCCCCGCTACTGAGACCCCGGTGACGGAGGCTCCTTCCACGACGGCCCCGGCCACGACGGCTCCTGCCGCGACCACGCCTGCCCCGACGCCTAAGTCCGGCAAGACGGGCAAGATTGGCGCTGGCAAGCCGACCACGCCGTCGACGGAGAGCCCGGACGACTCGTACCTCCAGACCCAGCAGCAGCAGTCGCGCTTCCTGCGGGCCTAAGCAACCATTCGACGTCAACGGGAGCGTCCGTCGAAGTTTTGACCAACACTGGAACAACTTGTTGTATCTTTGTTCATGTCCGGCCAAGTAGCTGCCTCTTAGCTGTGGACTCGCGCGTAGTAACTCACTAGCGAATACAGCTAAGTCACTTGACCAATACACATCGTAGACTACTTCATACTGCAGGGCAGTGCAGTAACTGCACTGCCTTCATTTACTGAAAACTCCATGAAGTCAGGTATAAATCACATGAAACCAGTATCGAATCACTTGGGCCAAATCACTTTGACCCATGTGTCAAATCACTTTGGCCCGCTGCCCCCATGACGAAGCCCAAGGTCGAGAAGACTGTGCACGGCGGGCTACAGGCCCCAACCGGCCAGGACGCCAACGGCATCACCGTCGGCGGGTGGTCCAGCCCTGTCATCCCCGATGAGCCCGAGAGCTGCATGGCCTCCAACTTTAACGTGGAGATCTGCTGTCCGTGTTTGCCCCTGGCCCAGATCGAAGTGCGGCTCGGACTAACGTCCTACGGCTCAGCCCTGACCTGGTACTCGGTCGCCTACGGCCTGCAGGGCCTGGCCGTCGCGGCCATGTGGGTCTTCGTGGCCCTGTGGATCAACTCGCAGGCGTACCGAGATAGCACGAGTGTTGTGCTGCGCCTTGTGCTCGTCCTGGCGGCCGTCGCGTTGGCCGCGCTGCCGTCACTGCTGCTGGTGCAGCGCATCTCGACGCTGCGTGCGGCGGTGCGCGAGCGCTTCGACATTCCAGGCTCACTGCGCGAGGACCGCACTGCGGCCTGGCAGGAGACTTCACGCGCCATCCGGCAGATGCGCCGACACCTCAAGATCGACCGGGCCAAGAGCTGCGGCCCGGTGAGCACGCTGCCGGCCTATGTAGTGTAAGTCATGGGCCTCACAGTCCCCGCTAAGCCGTGCGCGGCTCAATATATGAACTTCTTGGCGTCCGTTTCGCAGTTTTTAAGGTGCTGGCCAGTGCGCATGCGACGGCGAGAGAGACTTGGCCAGCAGCTGGACGGCGTGCTACCGACAGCGCTCGAAAGTCTGCAGCAGCGGCGCGAGACGACCAGGAACCTCCAGCAGATCGACGAGTTGCTTCGAGATGAACCGGACGCGTTTCCGCCTGCGACTGCGTCAGCGCCGTCTAAAGCGACTAGAGGCCGCAGCTTCGGCTCGGGCCGCCATCCGACGAAGAATCCACGCTACTGGCTGGCCAAGTCTTGTTCAGGTCCTGGCCCGGGCGCGTACATTGTGTCAAGAGCTGATAGTCTCGTCAAGCCGAACGCTGGAGGTGGAGGAGCTCTTGGACTTCGCAGCGGAGTTTGCTGTCGCTTCCAGCCTTGCGAGTGCCGGAAGCCGCGAGATGAAGCAATAGAGGCGCCTGCAAGTGATGATTTAGATGAAAAGCGGCAGGACACCAAGCAGCCTCGACGCTCCAGTCCGCCACTGGTGGCTTATCCACGACCGCCGGCCACGGAACCGGACTTCCACACGCGCGAGCAGCAACGGCGTGTTGCTGAGTTGCAAGCTGCTAAGCGGCGGTGGGAGACCAGGGGAATGGACACGTCGCCTAATTATCGCTGGGCCGAGCGTCGATCAGGAGCAGGAGGAGCGCTTTCCATGAGCAGATGCAGCAGCCGCGACGGAACAGGAGCTACAGCAGTCAAGGCGCGGCTTCGGAAGCTGTTTATCGCAGATCAGAAGACCCAAAAGTGCGACTTGGAAGGTGCTCGAGCAGCGACAGCAGCAGTGACCGACACACAAACCGTGTCACGCACCTGTGTCGTCGACATGAAGAAAGAACCCGGCCGGGATAACGTGCGTTGCAGACGCAAAGCCCAGCGAATTGTCACCGCATTCAGCAGATAAATGGTGCTTGATGGATGGAGTTTCAAGGGTGGAGGGCCCAAAGTTTTTTTCAAGGCAGATACGCAAACGATTCAATCAGGACCGAGGAACTGGACTCGCGTTTATCGACACAATTGCGACTTAGTATTTTTTTTCTGTCGCGTCTGGCATATCATTCTCTCCAGGTCAAAAAGTGTGCTCTGTTATGCGAAAGGCACAGAACTTGCAGATGCCGAGCATCTCGGAGGTGCTACGAAAGTGAAAAGAGAACGTTCCCGCCTTCTCGCTGGTCGATTCATGATCTGGTGCTCACGAAGTATCTCGGAATTCTGCACAATCGGAGATGGTTGCACTTGGTACTCTCGATTTGATGGACCCCAACGACTTGGCAGATTCTACCTGAAGGAATGGCTCGATTCATTCCTGTCGACATCAGCGTCGCATTTGGTCACTGCATTACTGCGTTAACGCTAACGTAAACGAACTTCGAAGGCGATGTCAATAAAAGATCAGCGACCTTGAAGAGGCCTTCTGTCCCGAGTCGGAACGGCTCGGACCGTTCCAACTCTGCGTGGGCGACGATGAGTGCCTGAGGTCGTCCACCTGCTGTGGCCGCGGGCGAGAAGTAGTGGGCCGTGGGCCGGGTTGTCTCGAAGGTGGAGACCCGTGGGCCGCTACCCAGAGGTATCTTGGAGGGATGATGTGCCTCGCAGTGTCGTGGCGGGACTTCGGGGACGGATGGCATGTTGGGCGGTTTTGAGGGCCGTCAAGGTGAACGGATCAAGTCTTTGGGAGGGGTGAGCGGGAACGGAGTCACCCGAAGGCACTGAAATGCAAGGATCTGCAGAGGTACAGAGGAAGAGTTAGGAGTAGAAGGAAGGTCAGTCGTGAATTTTGCTTAAAAGGACCACACAGGTCGTAAGGAACACTTATTGCATTTTGCTTAGTGATCTCCTTGCTATTTGTGCCCCATAAACCTATAAGCACAGGCAGCACTTACTACTCCAATACAGCGGCGGCCGGCCCCAAACCGGTCCGACAAAGCGACTCGCGACACGTGGTGGAGAAGCAGGGTAGTGCTGCCGACTGTGGAGTGAACAGTGCTGAGAGCCTGTGCCCGGAAGTGAACAGAGTCAAGAGCCGAGCGTCTGGACCTGGTGACTGGACGTGTGACCCCCCTCCTCGCGTTTAAAGTGTGCCAGGGAAGGACCCAGGAGTCCGCACACGAGTACACGCCGCGCGGGAAAAGCGGCGTCGAGGAGCAGTGAGAGGAGCGATCCAGGCCGGTAGGACAAGGGAACGGTAACGTAGACACAAGAGCCAAGTGTGCACGGTCAAGAGCAAGAGGTCAAGTGAACAAGGAACGGTAAACTGAGAGTGGACAAGGAACGGTAAACTGAGAAGAGAAGACGCCAGGAGGACAAGGAGGACTATGAAGAGAAGGAGGCGGTCAAGACGGAGACCGCGACTGGAGTCCAGCCGGTGACCTCGGCTGGAATGAAGACGGAGACCGTGGCGGAGGCCAAGGCGGAGCCCGCCGTGAAGGGCGAGCCGGAGCCACCCGTCTCGAGTCCGATGGGACGGTCGAGTGTGGGGCAGCCCTACGCTCAGCCGACGGACTATGGGTACGGCTACGGGATGAACGCCGACGACGAGGAAGACTACCACGACGCGATGGAGGAGCCGGTCCCGACGCAGCGAGGCCCGAGTGGGTTCATCACCCGCTACACGGGTCCCGAGGCCGGCCGAACGGATCGCCCTGCCTTTGGATGGAGCTGGAGCGCTCAACATGGTTCGGGGAAGGCCCCCGAGTACGGAGGATGGAGTGGGAGTGGAAGCGCGGTGAAGTCGCCGACCAAGTCGCCCCCTCCGATGAAGAAGTTGCAGTTCGCCGGCGGTCCGGCTGGGCTCTCGAAGCCGCTCGGTGGCGGAATGCCCATGCAACCTACAACGGGCCCTACGGCAAGTCGAACGCCTGGAACGGGTACGGCTCCGCCGGCTCCGACGGCTGCACCGTCGACGAGTCGGCGCGGTGCCAGTGGACTTTCGCCGAGTGCCTACAACCTGTCTACGATGGTCTCGCACGCCGTGAAGGTGCTGCCGATGTTCCATTCGGACACGGCCACGGTGGAGAAGGCGCGGGACTTCTGGGAGCTCTTCGAGGACCACACGGACGGTTTCCCCAACCGGTCCAGATTGCTGGTGTTCCGTCAGAAGCTGCGAGGCCGCGAGGCTGACCGGTGGTGGAACAACTCGAGGATCAAGTCGTTCAGAACGCTCAAGGTGCAGTTCCATAACCAGTTCCTCAGCCGGACGGCTGACGAGCTGTGGGAGCTGCTAGAGAACACGAAGAGGCAGCGCGGAGAGTCCGTGGAGGAGTGGGGTGACCGAGTCTCGGACCTGTGCGAGTCCCTCAACTACCCGAATCCGCAGATGCGGTACCAGCTCTTCCGCCGAGGACTGCGGAACAAGCGCATGCTGGCGACCTTGGACGCGAGTCCCGCGTCGGACATTCCGGAAGCGTGCGAGCGGATCATGTTCAAGGACATGCACCGTCCGATCGAGGAGGACGACGAGTTCTCGGACAGCGAGTCCAAGAAGAAGAACAAGAAGTCGGAGGAGGCCCCCGCGACGACTGCGGTCGAGGCCCTCGCTGAGCAGATGAAGTCGTTCATGGAGCAGCAACAACAGTGGCAACAGCAACTTATGCAGCGCCAGTGGCAGCCGCTTAGGTCGCCTCGCAATCGAGCGCCGGTAGTGGCCGCCGCCCCTGTCACTCAGCCCGCTGGAAACGGTCGTGAGCCAGGGAACGCTCAGCCATTCCGGGGCATTCGGATGGGCGATGATAGTCGCACGCAGGACGGTTCGCCTGTGTGTGGTCGCTGTAACTTCATGGGATATGGTCGCGCCACATGCAAGCGCGCGTCGATGAGTTGCAGGCGCTGTGGCGCGTTTGGTCATATCGCGGTCGAGTGTGACAGGCCCCAGAACGGTGGAGGCCAGACTGCAGCCGCTGGGGGTACTCAATCTCCGTCTGGTTGTGTTTTCTGCCAAGACGCGAGCCCCTCCGTGATGCAGTGCTCCGTGTCGGCTGCGCTTCGTGATGCGACTCCGAGTTTGCTGAACGTGGCCGCCCAGAGCAATCCGACCCCTCGACAGTGACGGGGGCGGGAGGAAGGAGACTCCTTTCTCTAGTCTAGAGGATGGCTCAGGGGTGATCGTAGGAGGCAGGCGAGACGAAGGCGTTCTGCGGTCACGGCGAGGAAAACGGTGGACAAGGTTGTGAAGAGTAGTGTGAATGAAGGGAGCGTCGAAGAGGAACGCGTAGAGGCGCCAAGAGCGGAAGTGGAAGTTGAGACGGTTGCCGGGGCCCGGGAAGAGTGGGTTGTACCCAGCGGCGTCTCCGTCGAAGAAGAGTATGAACGAGAGCAGGGGCGGACGGTGTTGTCCGTGCGGGAAGAAGGTGAAGCTGAGTGCAGGACGGAGTTGTCTGTGCACGGCGAAAATGAGGAAAGCGTGGCGGAAGAGCCTGCATACTGCTACGAGGAAGAAGCGGCGTGGGCCGTTGCGAGTGACGAGGAGGAAAAGATGTACGCTGCGGGGAAGACGGCGACCGAGGAGAGCGCCGAGCAGGACAAGCCGAGTGCAAGGGTGAACGGGGCGTGGGCCCGTGATGGGGCCGCCCTCGATGGTAACGATGAAGAGACTAAAGAGGCCGAGGTGGCCAAGCTGGACGCCCCCGCGGGCGATGGAGACCCCGCGAGTGGCCCAGACCGCAGCCCCGAGCGTGGAGTAGGCAACGAAGAGGGGACGGCGGCTGAGACCGTCGACTCGGCGTACGACGAGGACCGGTCCGTGAGGTCGGAGGAGTCGGCGTACTCCGAGGAGGAGGAAGTCGACGGTGATGTGTTCTATGCGGCCAGTGCGGACGATGAAGCGTTCTGTGCTGCGCCTCCGAGCGCGAACATACCCTACAAGGTGCCCACGGAGGAGGTGCCGCCGCCGACGGAGTTGAGAGCGGTGCTGAGGTCAGTGACTGCGGCCCCTTTGCGAAGCATCCTGAAGAAGGAAGGCCCCCGTCCGCGTTGGATGACGGAGGAGCCCTCCTTCGAAGGGTGGGGCGGCGCTGTAGATGTGTGGGACACACTGTTCGCCGAGTGGAACGACGACGGAGGATCGCCGGCCGGCGAGCACATCGCCGAGGAGAACGTCAACGTAGTCGTAGGGCCCGAGCCGGTGGCAGGGCCCGCCACCGAGTTGGCTGTCGCCGAGGAGGACCGAGGCGCTGCCGCCGAGAGCAAGGAAGTGCCCGAGAGTTCCGAGGTGGTCGAGGCGGCCGAGGACGTTAAGGAGCCGCCCCGCCACGCTCGTCTCTTCACGGACGAGGAGCTGGACGCCATGGAGTGCGAGGCACCGAAACCCTCCGTTCCAGGCATCAGTGAGGAGCTCGAGGAGTATGACAAGGAGCTGGAGGACAGGCTCCACCCCCTCGATGAAGTGGAGTTGATGCGCAAGGTGAAGGAGAATGCGGAGAGGGCCAAGGGCCCGTCCATGGAAGAGATGTCGAAGTTTCTGGGCGTCCCGGTCGAGGCGCTGACCAAGATGAAGGACGCCTCGCCCGAGGGCACGTCCTCGCCGAGTACTGGGAGGACTGGTACAGGAACACACTGGAGAACTCGGCGGAGGCCAAGCGATCCAACCGTGACTTCAAACAGTCACTGGCCAGCTGCGTCTCTCTAGAACACTCGACCGAGGAGACAACGTATGAGTCGTTCGGCCTGTCGGAGTCCGACCTGGACCCGAAGGCCTCGACCGTCTCGGTCGATGGCTCCGTGATGGAGGAGAGCGTGACTGCGAACATTGCGGTCCCCGTGGATGTCTGTGAGGAGAACAGCGAGGAGATGGTCACTGCGGTAAGCGTGAACCCGCCCGTGGACGCTCCTGAACCGAGTTCGAGCGCTTCTCCGAGCGAGAGGTCGGAGGCTCGCAAGGCCGTGTACTTCTTGCTGAAGGAGACCAAGGACGAGATGTTGCGTGCGAAGAAGTCGGTCGTCGACCCGCTCGGAGAAGGCGGCACGGTCGAGATCCCCCCGATTCGTGATAAGCCACCTGATCTAGACTGGGTGCGCCTCGTGCACGATGGTGAGCAAGTTGCTGGTGAAAATGAAGACAAAATCGGCTGGCGAGAACCTGTGGAGAAATGGACGAACGAGTACTACAATGAGAACGCTACGTATATTTGGAATAAGCTACTAGATCGAGTTCGAGAAGCCCACTCAGCGAGTGCGAAGCGTCGGTTGCGGCGTCGCTCGGGGCGTCCCGTATGCTTTGACTTCACGGCGTTGTACCGCGATTCGGCCGAGGCGCTGGACGGGGAGCTCCGTCCTGAAGAAGACGACGACGCGACACACTTCGTGCAAGTGGTCCGTCCCGAGTGTCCACCGCCGGAGCGTGGACGGAAGACCGGGATGGTGGAGGTGGTAACCGTGAACTTGCCGGACGACTTCGGCGTCCGTGCCGATGAGGACGATGATGAGTGTGGAGCCGAGCTCCCACGCGTAGTTGCCGGTGGTCGGCGTGTGGTGTGCACTGTGGGGAACTTCGAGGCGCTGTCGTGCGGGTACATCGACTGCCTGCCTTCGCAGATGTTGGCGGACACGGGCGCAACGCTCAGTCTCGTCGACTTCCGTGTTCTGAAGCGTCTGGGCCGAGCTGGTGAAGCTCTGGGGGCCTACGACGGGCATGTACGCAGTTCGTCTGGACACCGTCTGCGCATTCGGGGGTGGATCACTCTCCCCCTAATGCTGGGCAAGGTCGGGGTGACCATGCGGATGCTCGTGGCCAACAAGTTGCATGTGGACGCTAGCTTGGGCGTCGACGCGCTGGGCGCGTTTGGAGCAGTGATTGACGTGGCTGAGCGGACGCTCATGCTGAAGAGCACGGGCGAAGTCTTATAGTTGGGCGTGATGGTGGTCCACGAATCGTTCATGGCCACGATGGCCGTGTCCGTCTGCTTGCCGCCAAGGGGGCCCTGGTGGTCACGGATGTGGTGGGCGATGCCCCGAACGCGACCGTCCTCGTCGACGGCTCTCTCAACTTGCCCCCTTCGCTTTGCGTGGCGAGAACGCTCTGTACTGTGGACGACGGTCGAGTCGTCGTGGAGGTCTGCAACGCATCGACAGAAGAGTTCTGGATCAAGAAGGGCACGGTGGTGGCCTCGACGTCCGTGGTGCCCGAGTCGGCGTTCGGCTTTGAGCAGCCGTCGGCTGAGAAGTCCGAAGAGGCGCCCTGCCGTCCGCCCGAGACTAGCGGGGCGGCCACCGTTGCTGCCAGTCGTGAAGAAGAGGCAAAGGGGCCTGATCTCGGCGAGACTGTGAGGGCGTCGAGGCCCGATGTGCCGCCCGACAAGGAGGTGGCGCTCGAGGCCGACTTCTCCCAGTCGAGGCTGTCGGATGAGCAGAAGTCGCTGTTCCGCAGCGAGCTGGAGCGCTTCCGAGACATGTTCGTGGAGTCGTCCAACACGCCCGGCAGGAACGACTTGCTGAAGTTCCAGATTGATACTGGGGACAGCAAGCCGATCAAGCAGCAGCCCTACCGCGTGTCGTTCGCCGAGGGCGAGGTGATGGAGGCGGAGATCCAGCAGTACCAGAAGCTGGGCTTCGTCCGGCCCTCGAACAGCCCCTGGACCAGCCCCGTGTTGATGATCAGGAAGCCCGACGAGGGCATCCGTTTCCGCATCGATTATCGCAAGTTGAACGCCGTAACGGTCAAAGATTGCTATCCTATGCCGCTGATTGACGACATCCTGGACGTGCTGAGTGGAGCCAAACTGTTCTCGACCATGGACATCGCCTCAGGCTACTGGAACGTGCCCATGCATGAAGACAGTATTGCTAAAACGGCTTTCACATGCAAATACGGTCTATTCGAATGGTTAGTCATGCCCTTTGGAATATGCAATGCTGTACCTGCTTTCGAACGGTTGATGGAGACCGTGCTTGTCGACCTCAAGTGGCGCGTGTGCTTGGTGTACTTGGACGACTGCGTCATATTCAGCGAGGACTTCCCGTCGCACCTCGTTCGCCTTCGGCAAGTGCTGACCCGCTTTCAACAGGCCGGCTTCAAACTGAAGATGAAGAAATGCCACTGGGGCAGGAGTCAGATCGCCTTTCTCGGGCACATTGTGACACCCATGGGCATCCTCCCGAACCCGAGAAGGTGAAGGCCGTCATGAACGTGCAGAGGCCGCGCGATGTGCATGATATCCGTTCATTTTGGGGGCTGACGAGCTACTTCCGCCGGTATATCCCGGGGTACGCTCTGATCTCTACGCCGCTGGAACGCCTGAAAATGAAAGACACTCCGTTCGTCTGGAACGAGGACTGTGAGGTGGCGTTCCGCCAGCTGAAAAGGGCGCTAGTCACTCCTCCTATCCTAGTCTACCCGGACATGAAGAAACGATTCAAGCTTTACGTCGACTCGTCGAGGTATGCTGTCGGTGCTTGTCTAATACAGGTGGTGGACGGTCGAGACCGTGCTGTCGCCAATGCTAGCAAGTTACTGACAGGCTCTCAGAAGAACTGGATCAACAACCACGACGGAATCTCTGAAATTGAATGCTGGGGCATTGTCGGAAGTTCCGCTGCTACCTAGATAAGCGAGAGTTTGATCTCTACACTGACCATCAGGCGCTTACCTGGATCTTCAGTCCTGGCAACCGCACGACCAATGCTAAGCTCGCTCGCTGGGCGATCGAGCTGTCCAATCTACAATTCCGAGTGCATCACATGCCCGGGACGAGCATGGGGCACGTGGACGGCTTGTCTCGCCTCCCTACCGCGAGTGTGAACGCGCTGACCATGGCGGACCTGCTGAACCCGGGGGGCTCGCCTGTGGGCATGGCCGACTTGCTGAATCCGGACGACTCGCCCGAGACCGTGGCCAACGACTCAGTCGGGGAGCCGACCGATCGAGCCGTGGCTTCCGACTCAGTCGGGGAGCCGTCCAACGTGGCGCCCGAACCGATGACTAGAGACGGCGGCGGCGAGATGGGCACGGAGACCGCGGTTCCGTTGCCGGAAGACGCTACTGAGGACGAGTCCGCGCCGACGGACGTCCCTCCGTCGTTCGTGGACTTGTTCGGACTCGATATGGAGCAGTTGAAGGTGGAGCAGCGGAAGATCCCGTGGGTGATGGCCCTGATCGCGTTCCTGACGGGTGGAGCGCTGCCGCTGGCCCCTAGCTTACGAGTGAAGGTTGTGAGGATCGCGTCCAAGTTCGCCGTCGAGAACGAGCTGTTGATGCGCAGAGTGAATCTCCCCGCGCGCGTCGGGCCCGCTCGATCGCTGACCGTGCCCGTGATACCGCTTCCGTTCGTTGAAACAGTCTTACATTTTTGTCACGCTGATCTACTGTCGTCGCACCTCGGCCTAAGACGCTCGAGAAGGTGAGGCGACACGTGTACTGGCCAGGGTGGCGACAGGACGTCGAGGAGTATTTGCGCGAATGTGATAAGTGCGGAAGTGGCAAGGGTGCGCGTCCGTGGCGCGCTGGTCGAATGCAGAGAATGCCCATCGTGGATCTGACGGGGCCGTTCTCGTTGCTCGTGGTGGACGCCGTGGGGCCTCTGCCCGAAAACGAGCGTGGCAATCGCTATATTTTAGTTTTCGTTGATTACTTCACTCGCTGGGCCGAGGCGTTCGCCGTGGAGCGCTTGGACTCCATGACGTTCGTGGAGGTGATGGTGAACGGCTCGAACTTCACATCTGAGGTGGCCAAGTCCTTCTATCAGACGTTGGGCATTAAGAAACTCTTTGGTGCTGCCTACCACCCTCAGACTCGAGGACTCGTCGAGAGATTCAACGGAACGCTCATAGGAATGCTACGAATGCATGTGAGTGAGGCTCAAGATGATTGGGATATTTATCTTCCTAGAGTGCTTTTTGCCTACAGGACGGCCTACCACGAGGCCCTGGGAGATTCGCCGTTTTTCTCGCTGTACGGGCGCGACCCAGTGCTTCCGATGGATGTGGCCTTCCTCAATCTTGGCAAGAAGTGGCGGAATAATGAAGTGGCTCAGTATAGGCGAGAGCTGTACAGCTCTCTCCGTTCCTCGCGACAATTGGTTGAGCGTCAGTTGTTGAAGGCGCAAGATCGGGACGAGCAGCGCCTGGAAGGGCAAGTCGAAGTGAATTATGAAATAGGAGACCCGGTGTGGGTCTACCAGGTGTTCAGGGCGAAACGCGGCGAAGTGCGCACGAAGAAGCTTGTCTTCGCTTGGCACGGTCCCTATCGGGTCGTAGCCAAGGTCGGCGAGAACGCTTATCGGGTCGACATCCCGACTCACCCTAACAAAACGGTGACCATGAACGTGAATAGGTTAAAAAGGTATCGTGGCAAGTGGACCCGGCCTTGTATGGATGAAGTGCCCGAGGGTCTGGGCACTAGTGATGAAAACGAAGAAGAGGGGCCGTTGGAAGAGGCCGACCTCCCTGCGTCGAGCTACGCCGAACGGTTGACACGACACTGTTATTGTGGGCGTGGAAGCCCCCATCGTGGAAATAGTGGCGAAGATGAAGGACGGTCAGGGCGTGAAGTACCTGACGATGACCAGCTCGTATGAGGTGTTCTGGCTGCCCAGGGAGGCTTTGATGCCCGAGTATGCGTCGTTGGTGACCGCTTTTGAGCAAGCGGATAGGAGGAAGAAGGGGTTGCCGGAGCTTCGTCGAAGTGCGCGTTTGGCGGACGCTAACGCCCAAGTCGATGATGACTATTTGCTGCTGGCGTAGTTGGTGATGTTCTTGAGCTGAAGAACCTGTGATTGTGGATATGGATTTACGAGCAGCTCAAGAATGGTGGATATGCATGTCAAGTTCGTGTTTTTATTTGGTTTTACCTGTAAAATTAGTGCTGCGGCTGCACTAGACTCGACTACAACGAAATGAAGAAGATAAACGGAGATCCGAGGTGTGCGCATGACTCACTTGGCCTTGTCGACGCTTGCGGAACGCGACTTGAGCTTCTTGGTCGGAAGCTCGCTCGCTATCTCGCCGTCGTCGTCTGCTTCGTCGCCCGGCAGCGTCTCTTTGGCCGCGACGGGGGCCTTGGTGGTCTTGGGTTGGGCCTTGTCGTCCTTGTCGCTGTCGTCCTTGGTCGCCGGCTTCTTCTTGTCGTCGCTGGAGTCTTCGGACTCGCCTGACTTGCTGGAGCGAGAAACTGGAACTCCTGGCTTGGACGGAGTGGTAGCTCGCTGTTTGACGGCGGGAGCCCGGTACTGCACGGGGGGCGTCGGAGGCAACGCCGTGAAGGCTCCGTCCTCGTCCTCGAAGTCCGAGTCATCGTCGCCCTGCTCGTCGGGGTTGAAGGGCTTCTGGTCGTACACGGCCACCTTCATGCCCAAGTCCAGGAGCTCGACCACCTCCTCGATGGTGTCTTTGAGCGACGCGTCCCACAAGAGGGCCTTCCACGGGCCGCGGGTTCGGCCTACCCAAGAAGGCACGGGGGGTGGCCCGCTGGTGACGTCGAGCTTGATGCGAGCGAGGGCCTTGTCGGAGAGTCGCAGGTGTGGCGCTCGCGTGGGGCCGATGAGCTCCGCCTCCTCGAGGAGCTCCGGAATCGAGGCGTAGCCGTGTTCGTCGACGATCTTGGGGTCGAGAGCTCGCTCGATGGCCCGCTCGTAGAGAATCTTGTCCTTTGCGAAGACAACGCCGAGGTCCTCGTGCGCCGCGCCCTTGCTCTTAGCCGCGCCGGCAGAGTGCTTGACCGCTCTGCCTCCCAACCACATGAGCGTGTCATGAGCACCGTTCTCGAAGTCGTCGAGAAAGCCGAAGTACCCTCGCTCCTCGATGTTGTAGCTAATGAGCTCGTTCCGCGCTCGGCACGCATTCATTTTCTCCTTGCGCCGCTGGTCGACATTCAGACAAGGCGCGTACAGCGCCCACAGGAAAAACAGCTCGCGGAAGCGCATGTTGGCACGGTAGTGGACGAGGTGCAACTCAGGATACTCGGATGGCGGATACCAGCACCGCTGTTTGCGCCAGGGGTACGCCAAGTGGAACGGAGCGAGGCCCTTGCTGAAGGCGCGCTGCGCAAGTGCGGCCAGGTCGATCATCAGTCGCGCGGGCGCCGTCGTCGGCAACCGGAAGTCGTAGGCCTCGGCCTTCTTCTTGGCCGCGGCCTTCTATTTCTTCTTCGATGGCGGTCTCGTCTTGGAAGACGTCCGTGGCGGCGATCTGGTCCCTGTCGATGGGCGCGGTGGCGGTGGCGTCGACTCTGGCGTGGGCACCAACGGCGGCAGCGGGATCGACAGGACGTAGTGCTCGGCAGGTTCGCCGGCCTGCATCTGGTCGGGGTGCGGCAGGATCACGAGGATCTGGTTCAGGCGGCGTGCGTCGCCACCCGACAGGACGTCCATGGCCATGGCGTCCAGGACGTCTAGCCCCTGGGACGCATTGTTGACGGAGAGACGGGTCCGGAGGCACGCCCAAAACTCGCGCTGCGCGATGAAGACGTCCCCCTCGTCGTCGAGCTCGAGGGCCATGTCCAGGCTGCCCACCTGGTTGTCGAAGTCGGTGACGTCGGAGTTGGTCTTCTTGACCATGACGGACGCGAGGCGAGGCGAGGCCTGGGAGAGAGCGGAGAGATGCTTGGTGACTGCGGAGTGCGCGGCCCGGCGAAAATTGCGGAATGAGGCAACTTTCTGTGGGGCGGCTACGGCAACTTCTGATTACCACGTGGCTTCAAGTGAATTGACGAAATGTGACTCACCTTGTGGATGGCTGCGACCATCTGAGAGAGACGCCCAACTGGCTGGTCACTTTCGAAGAACCCGCGAGCGACGCTGGTGACCAACTGGCAGTAACGGGGCCTTGGCTGCCCTGCGCCTCTGCAGGTCGATGGTGACCGCCAAGGGCTGCCGCTAGTGGCGCGCGCGGACGGCATCGAAGTGGCCGTCATTATGAATTAGTGCTGCTGGAACGATGGAGTGGCGACGGACGTGGTGAACGGCCTGGCGGCAATAGTGGTGGTCGCTGCTGAGGCAGCTTGTCAAGTTGCAGTGGAGCGTCGCTGGGAGCTGGCGTGGCTCACTGCTGGAGCAGTGTCGTGGACGGTTACGGGCCCCCTGCGAAGCATCGGCTCACGGATCGCCGCTGCGTTCGTCGACTTCGCCCCGAAGTGGAGCGTGCTGGCCAAGTTATGCGTCATGCGCTACTGCAGGTATGTCCGTGGGCCTGCCGTGCAAATGCAGCCGCTCCGAACTCGCGTGTGGAAGTGTTACGAGGCCCTGCTGGCCACCCCGTTGGTTGTGCTGGAGTCCAAGGGCGAGCATGACGACGGGCTGGGGAGGTTGCTCTACAAGTGGCTTGACGCCCTCCACGAGTGGTGGTGCGTCTTCTTGCCCGAGACTTGGGCGTCGGGACGGAAGGCGTGCTCTAAGTACTGCACGGGCGCGAGTGTGGAGTCTGGCCGTTCGGTCGCCCGTGCCAAGCTTGTCGCCAAGGTGGTATGGACGCTGACGTCCCTGATCCTGTTCTCGGTGTTCTACGCCGTGCTGTTCACCTACGAAGTCGTCGAGTGGATCTGCCAGGGCGTGGCCGGCGTGTTCGCTGTAGTCGTGGTCTTTGATTGCTGGTTCGCCTCCGAGGAGGGCGAGCATGCAATAGTGACTAACTACTGGTTGCTGGTGGTGAATGTTTGGGTTGCGCTGGTATGCATAACCAGTAAGTTGTGGAGGTTGTACGAGGCGTCGGCGGGCGAGCGTTCGCCGCTGACTATGGCCACGGAGGGCTACGCTGCGTGGTACGCGGCTCTCGTGGAGCAGGAGCAGGCTGAGCGTCTAAGTGAGGCATTTTGGAGGATGGACGGCGAGGACAATGCGCCGAGAGTGCAGGTGCGGACGCGAAGTGGATTGCAGACCGAATGGAGGGCCTGGCAAGTAAGGAGAGAAGTGGATCAAGCTATGTGCGCTCGGCGAGGGCGCCGAGATGCCGTCGGGGAGGATGTCCCGAGTCGGAACGGCTCGGACCGTTCCAACTCTGCGTGGGCGGCGATGAGTGCCTGAGGTCGACCACCTGCTGTGGCCGCGGGCGAGAAGTAGTGGGCCGTAGCCGGGTTGTCTCGAAGGTGGGGACCCGTGGGCCGCTACCCAGAGGTATCTTGGAGGGATGATGTGCCTCGCAGTGTCGTGGCGGGACTTCGGGGACGGATGGCATGTTGGGCGGCTTTGAGGGCCGTCAAGGTGAACGGATCAAGTCTTTGGGAGGGGTGAGCGGGAACGGAGTCACCCGAAGGCACTGAAATGCAAGGATCTGCAGAGGTACAGAGGAAGAGTTAGGAGTAGAAGGAAGGTCAGTCGTGAATTTTGCTTAAAAGGACCACACAGGTCGTAAGGAACACTTATTGCATTTTGCTTAGTGATCTCCTTGCTATTTGTGCCCCATAAACCTATAAGCACAGGCAGCACTTACTACTCCAATACAGCGGCGGCCGGCCCCAAACCGGTCCGACAAAGCGACTCGCGACACTTCACGCCTGACGGTGATTACTGAAAAGCTTAGCTCGCTAGCGTCGGAGTGAATATCTTGAGTTCATGGGGTGTGCTGGGCCAGTTCGTCGCTTGTATTATGTATGACATCGAGGGCCCGGCCCAGACAAAAGGCCGAAATCAGCCAGCTCCGATTGATCGAACATGTCATCATTAGTCGGGTCTTCGACGCCATACATGGCAGCAGCACACTGCGAGAGCAACGCGACGCACCTCGCACCACGTTGGTAAGGTCTGGAGTGAGGTGGTTGTGGCCAGTAGGTACGTCGGAGCAGAGCGGCCTCTTCAAAGCGGTCTAAACGAAACGCAGTCCACTTGAATCACTCTGGCCGGGTTTGGAATAGCTGATCCCACGCGTCTGCTTCATCTCGCTCTCGTCTGTCGCTCGGGTTTATTCTAACTGTTGGGAATATGTCGTCCCGGACGATCACCAAAGTTAGTTGGACGTAGCTATGGAACAAGGTCCAAGAGCTTGCTATATTTTGCCGAAGGCGAAGGTGGTGGTTGCGTTTGAATTATTTTTAACAGGCGTCGCCTCCGTGCAGGAACCTAAAAGTAGACTTTTCCGTGCAACTCAAAAATGAGGCCCTGGAATACGGCCCCAATGAGCTCGAAAGCGGTACTAATCCAAAGGGCTTGTTCTCACGAGCACAATGGTAGCCGACATAGTCGCTTACGCGAAGTAGTTATCGCGTTATGTCGTCGTAAATTACAGAATATATTTAAATCCGGTAAGATATCAGAAACGTCTTGTGGTGGTAAATATGACTGACTGGCCTCGTAGTGCTTAGCTCTTTATTGGTCGCAGACCCTCGGTATAATTCATCCACATGATCCTACGGTGAGGCATACCAAAACACAACAACTGACAGAGCACGCGTATCACCAGGGTCCGTTGGTGTCATGGAAGGCGCTTCTTCCCCCTTCCTTCCTTTCTCCCTCCCTCCCTTCCTCTCCCCTCTCTCTGGTGTCTACAGCGAGTAGCAACCGCTCTAAAATGACGTTGATAATATTATCAACCCAACAGTAGCTACAATACCAACTAGTGCCCGTGCATCTACACCTTTACCTTGTATGCAAGGTAATCTAGTGGCTTTCTTCTCGTATATTGTTGCAGATATTGGACGGATACTCTATTGCAAGTATCCCTCCTATAGATTGAAGCAAAAACGAAAGCGGGAAGGCAGTAGCAGAGTGAGCGCGCTTAGCAGCTTCGATTTGATAGATTATGGTGACTCTAGAGAGCTATTCGCAGCCTGACACGAATCTCTCATTCGTTTGTATTTACCTCGTGCTTTTCCAGAAGTCGCATCGGAAAGGTCTTCCTCAAAACGTAGATAGAGTTGTCAATGTAAGTGGGGCCATCGTCCATGTGACGCGAATTCATTTCGCTAGGTTAAACAAGTCCCGACAAGATCCATTGGAATGCATGTCCTGTATTTTGGCACTTTGTAATCCGTTGTTGGTGCAAGATCGTGATATTTTTTATACTGAGGTTGTGAAGACCAAGCTACTTGCATTCAAACTGTTATTGTTTAGCCATTGATTGGCAGTGAGTTTACGATTGTGGGTCTAAATAAAGTGTTGCTTCTTATACCTTCCAGTTAGACGTCTCCACCTTCGGTAGCTACACTTCCATTGACCTGGCTTTGGCTGAATTGCTTGGAATTCGTCGGTCTCCTAGGTGGCAATGCCTTGCCAGATTTCTTCTGCTTCTGTAGAAGGGCCGATATTCTTGAGCGTATTTCGTTTTCGCCTGGCAAATTGTATCGTCGAGGATACGCTTTTGTAATAAATTCTCGCATTCTGGCCGGTCCCATCTTGGTACTGGCATCAGCCACCCCGCGATTGAAGAGCTTCTCCACTTCTTCACTGTACAGAGCAATATATTTTGCACCGTACATGTACCCTTTCTTCTGCCTGCGAGCCCATCCTGGCGCTAATTGTTTCTGCTCTCGAGTCATTTTGACGCACTTCTTCGCCGCTGCGATTACCTTTCTGCCCAGACCGGTTGACTCAATTATATCCCTAAAGCCCCCCCCCTGTTTGCATGTCCATAAGACTCCGCTTTGCATACTCTTCGACGTCTTTTTCAGAAAAGTCACGGCCGTGGGGGTCATTACCAAGTGTGGGGCGCTCACATCTCATATCGCTCGTCCGCATTCGTAGTTGACCAAACCGAGTAATTTGGATTCCTGATAAAGCACCAATAGAACCACCAGGAAGCGCCACAACTGTTGACGTTTCACTTGTGGCTTCTGCATCATTCCCAATTGGCTCAAACTGCTCACATTCATCTTCACTGTCACTACTAAAATTACCTAATTCGATGTCACTGTCCAAAGTGTCATCACGAAGATCCAATTTCTGGCGATTACGGTCATGAGTCGTATTGCAGTAGCACCGACCAAGTGTCGGACACACACACACTATGCATCCATCTCCAACGCCAGAATATTCAAATGTCGTGAGTTTGAACGATGGCCACGTTTTGACGTCAAAACGCTCTTTCCATAGCGAAGGGGACGTAAATGGCGGGTGTTCGTAAACGACCTCATTGAAACGAGTAAAAAGTCGGCCTAACGACTTCGCCAACGGCTCCACCGCTTCGTAAACAAACTTCATCTTGGCGCGATTGTATTCCACTAACTCCACTATACAATTCGGAAGACCGCCATCAGACGTTAAAGCTGTTACCACTTCCTGCGGGGTTGTAGCGTCGTGGCCTTGACAAACCCAAGCTTTCACTTTACGCGTTGCAGTTGCAAAATGGGCATCTAGGACGCACTTCCCATCTTGGGTCTCAGAGTGGATTAACCGAACGACCTCGATATTGTTCAAAGCGCCAACGAGAGGAAGCATGAGCGCTAGATACGTGTTTTGATAATACGAAGCATTATCGGACTGAAACGTCACGCGCTTGATAAATGGGAACGCTCGGTGAACCGACAATAATATCCCCTCAACTAGTGCGACCACAGATTCTTTATCCTGTTTGTTATCCCCGTTTGAAATTTGATCGACGTACACTTTATTTTCGCGAGCAGAACCACTGGCAGCATCATACGTCCAGTAACGAAATAGGGCTCCATGCCACGACATTCCTCGTTTCCCATAGTGATCAACAGTCTTTTCGCGGAAATAGATTGGCTCAAGTTTCATTTTGAAATCAATGATAATGATCGCATCACTACTGCCCCTTTCATCCATACACTTGGTTTTTATTAGTTCAGCAGTTTCGTGAATCGCCCGCTGCTGGTTTGTCACCCGTACTCTGTGACCCAAGTAGAGCGCCATTTTTTCGTAAGCATCGTCCACAACTTCAAGTGTCGTTGGATCGGGATTTGTTGCCTCCAACTGCTGCCGGAGGTCAGTAAAAATGGTGTCCATGGCGATACACTGCTGGCAACTCACTGCACGTGATAACGTTTTAGTAGCGCCGCTTGATGCGTTGAGCCCATTTGCCGCCTCTGAGATGGTTCTTGCCGACGACTTCGTTTCAGATTGAGCTGCTTTCGCACGCGAATGTTTAGGTGCCTTCTTCTTGGGTTTCTTCGGCTTGGTCGTGTCTCCCGTCGACACAGGAGGGGTCGCAAGCCCAAATTGAATTAAGTGCCGGGGGCGGTGACTCTCTTCCAGACGTTGACCATTCTCGAACGTTTGTTCTCCACCATACTTAAGCCACTCACGCAAAATAGCAAGACGTTCGAGCACACTCGTGCTGGTTGTGGGAAGCAGATCACGGACAATACGATCGAGTAATTGAAAATTATCGTTGATCAGAAACCCAGTGACGTAATTTACTGCCTTCCGAGGCTGTGACGTACCATGCGTCAAGATGGCGGCTAGTCGATAATATGTTCGTGCGGACATCATATTTCCAGGGGTTCGTTGGTGCCCATACTGGTCAAACATTACATTTATCGGTTTACGCCTCTGTATGGCAGGAACAGATACCCGCTCCCCGTCCAACTTGACCGATTTCGTCCCCCAAGACAGAAAGGCAACGTTTTCCATGGAGAGGATGTGGCGGACAGCTTCAGACACAACTGCTGGGTCGAATCTTTGCCTTGTGACTTTACTCACTTCCAGCGCACCTTCATATAAAAGGATCTGAAGATCTCTGCAACCCGCTAAGTGAGCTTTCCGTCCAATGCAAACTCCATTAACATCGATGCAAATATCTTGGAGGCTCTTCAACGAATATGAACCGCACAGTAGCGCGCGCACACTTCGGTATTCGAGAGAGCCCTTCCGCGTTTTCGCTAATACGTTCACAGACGTCGTCACCAATCTATCGTTAGCACAAGTCACCGGGTTTAACCGGGTCGCAAAGATCTCTAAAAACGCACTAGATGCACTGGTACCGCACAACGTTTCTGAAATACATTGCAGTAATCGAAACACGAGATTGGACGCCACAGTGCGCTGATATGCTGCATCAGTCGTGCTGGAGTCCGAATCCGTCCAGAATTCCGCTGTTGATCTTGTTTTCTTTGACGGTAGATGCTTTAGAAAGGATTTCACTTCACTTTCGGGAAGAGAAAAAAACTTGAGGAGTGCTCGAATTGTTGGAAGTGTCCGGCGGACAGCGGTTGGCGTTAATGTCGGCGGACTCACAAACATTCGTTCGACTTGAATCCGATTCGAACATCGCAAACGCGGGGATTTGAAGGGGCTGGAATTATTATAACTTTGACCTTGCTCGCAACTGTTATCAGCGGTGGCATCGATTTCAGCAGCATGTATCACCTCGCCGTACGACTTTGGGACACTCTCGGCTTCATTAGTACCAGCGACATCGATAAGCAAGTCTCTATCAGCATTTTCCGTCTGCATACCAAAGCTTAGTGAGCGTGACGCCTGTGATTTCCGTTCCGCTGTCGCCGCGAACGCTTCAATTGCTACTGGAGTACTAACCCCAATTCGAGGCTCTATTGCGACAGATTTTCCACCCTCGACACGGGGGCTGCATGCGTGTGGCAGGTCGTGCTCGACCACCGAGCCATCACATCTTCTCCACTTCAATCCAGTATTATCGGATTCCCCACGTTCATACGCCACACAACACAGCTCACTACCAGTATCATTACCCATATCCCGTAAAATCTGCTGCGAAACCTGCAGCGAAGACCACTCTTCAGCTTTATCTTCTTTTCGTGCGCCGCATGCAGCATCCTTCTGGTGCTGAGGCTTCCGAGATTGTGCATTGCCTGCACTACAAACCACAGCAAAGTCGATAGGACGTCCTGCATAGCATTTGATGTCTGCTACAAGGTTATCACACACGTCTCCTCCCATGTGATCGACGCTTCTCTTCGCCGCTTTCTCCGACGAGCACCCCTTTTGAATATCTTGGTCAGCTTGAAAGAGGTCCGAATTCTCGCGTGCTGACTGCTTCCTGCTGTCGGTACATGCTGCAGCAAAGCTTCCTCCACCCCCAGCATTGCGTTCCGTGCGGTTAGCGCCAAAATCATTCGCGCGGGCAGCCCTCTGAACGCGCGATTTGTAGCCAGCGAGTGCAGCAGCCTTGATTGAATCCGCTATCAGGTAAGAATAGTGATCTGGACCATTTTTGCGGCGTTCCTGGATCTGTGCTTGGGATGCTCGCCGTGCACGAGCTTCCGCACCAGCTTTGGCGGCATTAGCAATTGCAATTGCCACGTTGACGCCTTTGCTCTGGTAATTACAAAGAGAGAGAAATAAAGAGTGTGTTCATTAGCTCAAGGTTAGACCTCAAAAAGTATAATTCAGTAAGCTATTAGTGATTGAGATCTTTTAGCGTACCGGATAGTCGGGGTTATTGCAGCTTCGGAGACGCTTTGATCCAGCTGCAGCCGCAGCAGCATCAGACTGCAAGCTCTCATTTCCTTGTTACATATTACACCTTGCCCTAGAGACTGCTTGCGCTTTCTGGTGCGCACTAACAGCAAACCATCTTCTTCTTTATCGGTCGCCATTGTGCAGATGCCCAGATGAGGGAGCTGAAAGCAGCGGCGACCGTTCAGTTATGATAAACTTGCAATAAACCTCTGACTACATTCCAGTATGGCGTGCTGATCTTGTGTTCATTGCACCTGGAGCACAAGCACACTTCTTCCCAAACTTTCTAATTACCTATCCATGACCAACCAGAGCTTGTTGCCAAAGTTTCAGGTCGATCCGAGCCATATTAATAAAAAAAGAATTTATGATGTGCACGGAAAAATGTTCCCTGTTCGAGGCGACGCCTGTTAAGTCTTATAAGAACGAGAAGGCATCAAGTACTAAAAAATGATATGCATGAAGCTCAGAGTTCCTGAGAAGCAGCCAATTGCTTCCCAATTTGAACAATGCGATGCTACCGAGGGACCAATCGATCAACCAACGTGGAACAGCCTGAAAATAGTGTGGCCTTCGCCTCTGGCGACGCCTCCAGCGCTCATTTCGATTTCGGGTTGACTTCGAGTCTCGTTTTGCGAAGTTTTGCTGAGTTTATGAAGCACATTCGGGCCTCGCTCAGTAGCATGACCTGGGCCAATGCTCAGAGCAAACCGGCGCCCCCCGACCGCTCCATGTCGACGTGGTCGATGCACTACTTCGAGCAGCAGAAGCAGCTCAAGTGCCAGCAGAAACTCACAAGCAAATTGCGACCGGCAGCTATCGGCGCTGGCGTCGCCGTGTTCGGCCGCATCGTGCTCATGCCGGTGATGCTCATGTCGGTGTTCGGGCTCACGGGCTATCTCTCGGACGGCACGTTCCTCATCGAGTACAAGGACAGCTACTTTGCCTACAGCCAGATGGACCTGGTCATGTCGGGCGGCTGCACGCCGTGCCACACGTACTGCAAGAGGGTCTTGCTGCAGATGAACACGTTCAACCACGAGGCGCTGATGAGCAAGCCCACTTTCGAGGATCTCTACACGGCCACGTCCTGGGACTACGACCTTCTTAGCAGTGAAGCGCTCGCACTAGCCGAGAGACTCGAAGCGAGTGGGGCCATTTGTTCGGGTGGCGTGGACGAGTGGGGTTCCCCCCTCTCGATCATCACCGGCACGGCGGCGGAAGTGGTCGAGATAATTGAGACGCTGAACCTCTCGGTGACCCCCCTGGAGCTCGCAGAAGCCAAGAAAGGGATCGAGACCAAGGACGAATGCATCACGAAATGGGCCGTCGAGGGCCACTTGAGGCTCTTCATGTTCCAGGCCGTGAAGAACAGCATCGACTACTCCTCCATCCCTGCCGCAGACTTTAATGTCTACCCGGAATACGCCGACTGCCGCCCTCCGGTGAACAATGCAGGGATTATTGGAGAGAAACTGGCGCTCTCCACCGCTGGAGAAGACCTTGTGTCTGTTGTGCCCGATATTCTCAAGCTTTTCCCGTACAGCTTCGACAGCAGCCTGCCGGTGATCTCGAGGATGCTGGCCACTACCAGTCCGACCATTTACCACGTTGCGGCCGTTAACCAGTCGCTGTTCCGAGGCTACTACGGAGGTTGCCGAGTGCGTACAGTGAACACGACGGGCGTTTACATCGAGGACACGTGCACCATCAACAAGCACTGGCAGAACTATGGCCTGATGCTGCAGGCACCCGACGACATTCCGGCGTGTACGACCGGCAGCGACAGTATCTGCATCCACAACTACTATAACTCGCTCTGGGAGTGGGTCACCGGAACGGACAGCACTCCTGGCCGCGCGCTCATGAAGATCAGCGTGTTTCGCAATCGATACGCGGACACCGTCGCGTTGAGCGTTCTACCAGGGATGGTCATGGTGCAGATGCTGCTCATGGGGGTCATCAGTCTGTACCAGATCATGTCCCACAAGCGCTCGGTACTGTTGACGCAGATCTGGGCGTACCGCTGCCAGAACGGCCGCATGCAAGTGCTGTACCTGGCCCAGATCACGTACCACTTGATCTACAACTCGGACTTGTACTACGTGGGGCTTGTCACGGGCACGTTGACTGTCGAGTCGGTGGCCAACCTCACCTTTGGCTTCTTCATCTTCTCGTACTCGTTTATCAACCTGGCCAAGGCGCGGTCGGGCGAACAGCAGCTCGATCGCTACTTCCGCCTCACGTGGGAGATCATGCAGATCTTCATCACGACTTGTGTGGCTGCGTTGCTGTACTCGATCCGATCCACGTCGCTGAGCTGGATCGTTGACTACAATGGTCAGCTGCTGCGCAAGACGACGACGCTCGGCAAGAAATACTGCGGCCTGCACGACTCGTGCTTCCTCATGCACGTCAACCTGGCTGTTGTAGTCGCGGTTATCTCCACGGCTTTAGGATTGGTGGCGCTGTCGGCCTCCTTCTTTGCTCAGAAGCGCTACGGCAAGAGGCTTGCTGTAAGGCGTCAGTCGTCCTATAGTTCGGCTACAAAGGTGGCCAGCTTGGCCAAGGGGGCCAACAGGTACATCATCCACAACAGCAAGTCGGCCAGTTTGTCCAGGAAGGAGAAGATGGAGGTAGTGGATGAACTCCCTCCGCCACCTCTCACGACGTTCGAAGAGCACTGTCTCGGCTCGCCATTTACCAGACTTTTCAAGGACTGTGACGACTTCGCCTGCATGCAGTACATGGGCAAGCGCTGCACGAGCGTGGAGGCGTTGCTGCTCACGGGCTACCTCTTCTACGGCCAGCACGTCTACCAGGCTGGATCAGTAGTGCTGCTACTGCTGGCGCGACTCATACCGAGAAAGCTGTTGCGGACTTTCAACGTGCTGCTCATCCGTTGGTACATGGACCCAGACCATGGTACACTCACGCACGCGCTGTCCTGCACGTGGTTCAAAGCGAGTGAAGAGAACTACAGGATCTCAGAGGCGACACCAGTAGCCTAAAGACAGATAATACTATCCTAGGTTTACTCGAAAATGATCTTTTTGAGATCTATCTTGACCTAGCCAAAGTGATCATCAGAAAATGCTTTACAATTGATCACTGTATTTTCATTGCTTGGATTTTCTTGCAGCTCACGACAATGGTGTGGCTTCCGACAGTTTGTAGTTCTCGTTGCTAGCGTGGAACCACGTGCAGGACAGCGCGTGGGTGAGTGAGCCGTCCTCCGGGTCCATGTGCCAGCGGATGAGGATCACGTTGAACGTCCGCAAGAACTTGCGAGGGATCAGCCGCGCCATGAGCAGCAGCACCACAGACCCGGCCTGGTAGATGTTCTGGCCGTAGAAGAGGTAGCCCGTGAGAAGCAAGGCCTCGACGGTCGTGCAGCGCTTGCCCATGAACGTCATGTACGCGAAGTCGTCGCAGTCTTTGAAGAGTTTCGTGAAGGGGCAACCGAGACAGTGCTGCTCGAACGACGTCAGCTCATGGAGAAGAACAGGCTTGGCTTCCGCTTGCTCGGCCTTCAGATCCTTGTTGGGGAGAATGATGGAGCTCTGAGACTGGTGTCGACTGGCGTACAACGAGGCAGTGCGGCTGGACACCGAGGACGCGAAACTCTGGATGTTCTCCCAGTGTTTACTGCGCTTCTGGATGATAAAGGACGTCGCGAAGGCGATGAGCCCCAACACCGTCGAGATGACCAGCACTACGACGGCCAAGTTGACGTTCATGAGGATGCACGAGTCATTGAGTTTGCAGTATTTGGCCCCGCGCGCGGTTGTCTTGCGCAACAATTCTCCGTTCCAGTCGACGAAGAACGAGAGCGACGTCTCCCTCACGGACAGCAGCAACGTGGCCACACACGGCGTGATAATAATCTGCATGGTCTCCCAGGTCAGTCGGAAGTGGCGATCCAGCTGCTGCTCCCCGGAGCGAGCTTTAAGCAGGTTGATGTACGTGTACGAGAAGACGAAGAAGCCAAAGGTGAGGTTGGCCACCGATTCGACCGTCAACGTGCCGGTGGCCAGCCCCAGGTAGTACAGATCCGAGCTGAAGGCCAAGTGGTAGGTGACCTGAGCCAGGTAAAGCACCTGCATGCGGCCGTTCTGGCAGCGGTACGCCCAGATCTGCGTCAACAGCACCGAGCGCTTGTGGGACATGATCTGGTACAGACTGATGACCCCCATGAGCAGCATTTGCACCATGACCATCCCTGGTAGAACGCTCAACGCGACCGTGTCCGCGTATCGGTTGCGGAACACGTTGATGTACTCGGACACCCGCCCCTCGACGCTGGAATCTACTTCACTGATCCACTCCCAGAGCGAGTTGTAGTAGTTGTGCACGCAGACGTTCGTCGTACTGCACACTGGGATGTCGTCGGGCGACTGGATCATGAGGCCGTACGTCTCCCAGCGCTTGACGGCAGTGCAGCTCTCTTCAATGTACACGCCCGTGGTGTTGACTTCCCGCACTCGACAGCCAGCGTAGTACGCGCGGAACAGCGGTTGGATCACGGTCTTGGCTGGGTGGTAAGTGTTGTGCGCTACCATCACGCGCGACACGGCCGGTAAGCTGCTGTCAAAGCCGTAGGGGAACTGCTTCAGTAGATCCGGCACCACTGCGAGTAGATCTTCTCCGTTGGTGCTGAGCGCGAGCTTGGAGCCGACGATGTTGTCGTTCGACACAAGCGGCCGGCACTCAGTGTACTCGGGGAAGACGTTGAAGTCGGCCGCCGGGATGGACGAGTAGTCGGCGCTGTCCTTGACGGTCTGGAACTGGAACAGGTGAATCAGCGCGATGATGGCCCACTTGGTCGTGCACTCGTCCTTCAACTCGACTCCTTTCTCGAGTTCCGCGATCATTTGCGGTGCTACCGAAAGGTTCAAGACGATAATGACCTGTAGAAGCTCCTCTGCGGAGGTGGTGACGACTGTATTGGGGGAGCCCCATTCGTTCACGCCTCCGGTGCAGATCGCGCCGTTGGCGTCAAGGGCGTCGCCCAGCGCCAACGCTTCGGCGCTGAGCACGCTGTAGTCCCAGGTTGTCGCAGTGTACAGGTCTTCGAACATGGGCTTGCTCTTGAGCGCCTCGTGGTTGAACGTGTTGAGCAGGAACATGGCCCGTCGACACGGGATGTGGCAGCCCGTGCAGCCCCCGGTCATGACGAGGTCGCGCTCGTTGAAGGCGAAGTAGCTGTCCTTGGACTCGATGAAGAACGCGGCGCCGTTCATGTAGTTGGTGCTCGTGAAGATGAGCAGAACGAGCAGCGGAGCCAAGACAATTCGCCCCGTGACGGCGAGAACGGCGCCGATTACTTGCAGCCCGATCTTCCGGCCTCCTTGCTTCTGCTTGGCGCGACGGCTTTTACGCTGCTCAAAGTACGCGGTCGCCCATGTCGATGGTTTATCCTGAGGTTCAAGGGTTGGTGCGGCCTCGTACTGGACCGACTCCGTCATGATGATAGTCAGCGAAGAACACCAAGTGCAGCGTCCAAATACTACCAAGTGCGTCGACAAGTACGTATGATAGTCTAGTAGTGTTGTTCCGTGCCGCCAAGATAGGTAAGTGTCAGCCCCTATATTTGCTTCACTGCTGTCCCAGCTACATGGAACACGCGTCAGGCAGGACCTTGTACTTGCTCGGTGACTTATCCCGTGAAAATAGGCGCCCAGTTCCTGATAAACGGCTCCGTCCTGCACATGTGGAAAACGACCTCGGATATTGAGCGCATGGTCAAGATAATGGTAGAGATTGAGGAGGGGGGAGGTAACAACTCAAGCCTACGAAAAAAAATGGTGATGCGGCTGCTACTTGCCAAACTTTATTCAACTAGCGGCCCCTCTGCGATCCCATTAACTTGCTCATAGCGGTAGTCGTGCGCTATAGTACTTGGGCGAGGGTTATCCCAATGTTTCCCAAGAATATTTCCAAAACTTGCATTTGTTGTGCTACCAACGTCCCCCTAGGTGCGTCCAACGTCCTCATCAAAAATATTGCCGCAGATGAAAATACCTAGGTTGTTCTCTGCATTTTGTGCCGTCTCGTCGCTATTTATTCCCTCAACATGTTGGCCTGTGTGCGCGCAGTGCAGCTCCCAACAGTGAGCTAAGTCGTGGTCAATGTCACAATGGAGACAACAAGAGGTAAACAAATCCGAGGTTCCGCCTCGAAAGCGCTCCTTCTTGCACGATTCGTTCTTCCAGAGCCCCACTCTGGCCTCCATCACAGCCGAAGAAGGCTCGTGCCGACCGACGCCGTTCCTCAAGCGTTCTTCCTCCTTAAACCAGCAAGCGACACCCAAGCGTGTGACTGTGCGAGACTCACTCTTCCAAAGCCCCACTCCAGCCTTCATTACAGCCGAAAGCTCCTCCCGAACTACAACAGCTTTAACGTCTCTCACCGATAGTGTAACATTCGTGATCGAAACCGGAGATCAGTCGCGTACTAGTTCTTTTCTTCGAGGATCATTCTCAAAAGCAAAGATGTGGACGAGAGCAAACACAATTCACCCCCAACGAACCGATTCAACGTGGTCCGCGACGTATTACGAGCAAGAACGAGAGCGGCGGAGTAAATCCGAGCGATGGTATCGCCAGATCCGACCGGCTTCAGTCGGTGCCTACCTCGCTATCATTGGGAGGATCGTGGTGGCGCCACTGATGATGTTGTTCGTCTTTGTGTTCACGGATTACCTCACAACCGGGACGTTTCTAATCGAGGCCAAGGACAGCTACTTCGCCTTCAGTGAAATGGACCTCGTCATGTCTGGCGGGTGCACGCCGTGCCACATTGAGTGCAAGAAGGTGTAGCATCAAATGGCGACATTCCACCACGAAGCGCTCATGAGCAAGCCCACTTTCGAGGATCTCTACACTGCCACGTCTTGGGACTACAGTATCCTCAGTGCTGAGGCACTCGCACTGGCCGCGCGACTTGAATCTAGTGGTGCAATTTGTTCCGGAGGCGTGGACGAGTGGGGGTCCCCCCTCTCGATCATCACTGGAGAGGCCGAGGAGATCGTGGAGATCATTGAAACTCTCCAGCTCTCGGTCGATCCGCAGCAGGTCATGGAAGCCAGGAAGGGCATCGAGCTGAAGGCCCAATGCGTCACCAAATGGGCCGTCGAGGGCCATCTCCGTCTGTTCAAGTTCCAGGCCGTGAAGAACAGCATCGACCACTCGTCCATCCCAGCGGCGGATTTTAACGTATTCCCAGAGTACACTGAGTGCCGCCCCGAGGTGCCGAACGAGGGCGTTGTGGGCGAGAAACTCGCACTCGCGACTGGAGGCGAAGATCCCGTTTTGGTTGTGCCGGATCTGCTTAAGTTGTTCCCCTATAGCTTCAGCAGCAGCATCCCGCCGGTCTCCCGAGTCGTGGCCACGTCCAGCCCCACCGTCTACCCGGCCAAGACCGTCACGCAGTCTTTGTTTCGAGCCTACTACAGCGGCTGCCGCGTGCGCACAGTCAACACGACGGGGATTTACGTGGAAGACACGTGCACGTTGTCCAAGCGGTGGCAAAACTACGGTCTCATGCTGCAAGCACCCGACGATATTCCAGTGTGTAGTACCGGCACGGAAAGTATCTGCATTCACAACAACTACAACTCGCTCTGGGAGTGGGTCACGGGCACCGACAGCACGCCAGGCCGCGCGCTCATGAAGATCAGCGTGTTCCGCAACCGATACGCGGACACGGTCGCGTTGAGCGTTCTACCAGGGATGGTCATGGTGCAGATGCTGCTCATGGGGGTCATCAGTCTGTACCAGATCATGTCCCACAAGCGCTCGGTGCTGTTGACGCAGATCTGGGCGTATCGCTGCCAGAACGGCCGCATGCAAGTGCTGTACCTAGCCCAGATCACGTACCACTTGATCTACAACTCGGACTTGTACTACGTGGGGCTTGTCACGGGCACGTTGACTGTCGAGTCGGTGGCCAACCTCACCTTTGGCTTCTTCATCTTCTCGTACTCGTTTATCAACCTGGCCAAGGCGCGGTCGGGCGAACAGCAGCTCGATCGCTACTTCCGCCTCACGTGGGAGATCATGCAGGTGCTCATTACCACTGGAGTGGGCTCGGTCCTCTACTCGTCGTACCTCACGTCGCTGCCCTGGATCATCGACTACAACGGCAAACTGCTGCTGAAAACCACCGTCGAAGGCGCCAAGTACTGCGGGCTGCACGACTCGTGCATCGTCATGCGCCTCAACCTGGCCATCATGGCCGTGATCGCCTCCACTCTGCTAGGACTTGTGGCCCTGTCCGCCTCGTACGTCGCGCAGAAGCACAGCAGGCCGTGGGAACGTGTTGGTCAGTCGCTAGCGCGCATCCGGTTGGGAAATCACATCAGGAGCTTTGGAACCCCCCGAACAGCGCTGGAGAAGGTGGCGAGAGGTCAAGCGCCTCACTTTGGTGTTCTACCTCGTGCTCGGTTCGCCATTCTCGGAGGGAAACACAAGCGCGTTGGGCCCACGGATCACCAGATCACCACGACGCTCACTACATTTGAGGAGTTTTGTCTCGGCTCGGAGTTCACCAAACTCTTCATGGACTGCGACGACTTCGCCTACGTGACGTTCATGGACCAGCGCTGTACTAGCGTCGAGGCCTTGCTGCTCACGGGCTATTTGTTCTACGGCAAGCACGTGTACCAGGCGCCGTCCGTGGTGTTGCTGCTGCTGCTGGCGCGACTGTTTCCGCCCAAATTCCTGCAGACTTTTAACATCCTTTTGCTGCGGTGGTGGGTGCACCCGGATCACGGCACGCTCACACACGCGTTGTCGTGCACGTGGTACACGGCGAGTGAAGCCGAAGCCACGCCCATTGCGTAGCCGAAGTTGGTATTCGTTGAGGGTGAGGAAGCAGCAAGATCGAAGGAATAACAAACTCTGAACCTACAGGAGGCCAGCTTTCAGGCTTTTAGCACTTCGAAAGTCTGGCTACTGTAGTTTTCGTAATACACTGCACGAAAGCTACACACAGATACAACTACGACATCACGAATGCATAATGCTTGACACTAATTCTGCAGCGCATCGAAGAGCAACTTCTTTATCACGACGTTGGCTTCAAACTTCTCCAACCAGGGCTTGAAGACAACGAGAGCCTGCACACAAACGAAAAAAAGGTGAACCTGGCAAGCTGAGTCGCCTCTTGACGAAAATAGCATTAGAAGCACCAAGATTAAGACTTTCTGGGTGTAGCTAGACCAGATGAGAGCAACGAGCACTCGTCGGAGCTGTGTTCGTCAATGTGTTGAAGCCGAGGCGTGAGAATATTGATGCAATGCAACTTCGATTTTCCAGCCTCCTACCTCATTTTGAAGCACGCAGTCGATGCCATTGACGAGTTCCTCAAGCATTTCGCTGATGCCGTCAGGGGCGACAGTGTAGATGCAGCTGGCCAGAAATGGCGCGATCTGCCGGCCAAATCTAAAGTATGTCAATGAACAACTTGACAACCAGATGAGTTTTAATTCCCGCACCGCATCGCGACTTTCGGTTGTGGGGAACTCGAAGTGCGCTCCGTGACGAACCAGCACTTCCATGCTCTGCAGTCCCCACGACTTCATGGTGGGAGATAGCTCGGATGTCGACGTGTCCTGGCCAGCAAAAGCACCCGCTAGCTGAGCTTACCACAAAGTAATTCGTCGGTTGCAGTCTAACCATGCACTTACCTTGTCGAGAAAGTCGAATTCGGGTTCGAGTGGCCCAAGAATTTCCATTGCGATGCAGCCGAGGCGCAACGTGGCGACTTTGGTGGGAGGGGTTTCCTCGATGCTCGGACACGGGCCATTATTCATACCCTCGTGGTCCAATAGTATGTCCAGGATTTGTGGCCGTCTGCATGCCAGCGCCAGTTGAATGGCGTTCTCCCCTTTATCATTCGTCCAGCACGTCGATACCTTTCTCCCAAGCAGATACGCGACGGAGGAGGGCGCGTCGTATTCCACTGCAGTCTGCAGCAGACGCCCACCGAGCTGAAGGAGATGCAGCAGTAGGAAAGACAACCGTCACAAAACTGAGGCTGAAGTTGTGGGTGGAAGGCAAAGATGAACGTACGGAAAGGCGATCACCAGGTGCTAATTCCCTCTGAAGACGTTCGTACAGAGCTTCGAGCACTTCGGCAAAATCATGATGGACGGCCATCGTCAGAGCCAGCTCCTGCCATGAACAACGAAAACAAAAGCACACACACATAATGAGTAAGCGGAGATAACCTCGTCACGACAGGTACCAAGCCAACTTACGCCGTCTGCGATGACCAGGCTCGGGAATTTATCCGCCAGCAGCTCCACAATGTCCACGAACGTTCGAGCCCGCTTGCGAGCAGCCTCGACGTGGCTCGAGCACGCTTATCACTGCCACGAACGTCTCATGAGAGGGGCGATACTAGACACGCACAGCAAGTTGATAATGTGCTGTGCCATCCAGTTTGCCCTCCTATTTAGCGCACTAGTTGGTGTTCGCACACTATTACGCTGGGAGGGGTTCATGCACTCGGCCATTGGCGATGTTGTTCCGCGCGCGCAGAGAGTAGTCGTAGCTTCGGACGCCACGATAGCAATGGTGCCGGCGATGATCATGGCCAGCATGTCGCTGTCGGACTTCAAGTGTAGGACGGCACGGAGAAACTTTTCTAGTCGTGGACAGCTATTGTGCCTTGACAGCAAGGCCTTCTTACGGACTTATCCAAGTTACAAAAAGATTTTCGGCTGACACGTCGATCGAGGTTTGACGCACTCCACACCAAATACTACATTTAACTTGGCTCAATCTTCACTACGCCACAGGAGTCGCTTCTTCCAGCCAGTAGTGCTCTGCACTCGCGTGGTACCAAGTGCAGGACTGCGCGTGGGAGACAATTCCCCTTTCAGGGTCCACGTACCAACGGATGAGAAGCACATTGAACGTCCTCAATAATTTTCTAGGCAGCAGCCGAGCCAGCAATAGCAGCACAATCGATGAAGCCTGGTAAATGTGCTTTCCGTAAAATACATAGCCGGTCAGCAGCAGCGCCTCAACACTCGTGCAGTGCTTCCTTCGGTAACAAACATAGGCAAAATCTCCGCAATCCTTAAACATTCTGCAGAATGGCGAGCCAAGACAATGTTGCTCAAAACTTGTGAGCGGGACTTCCTGGTCAAACGGAAGGACACTTGACACGCACACGACAGACCTTCTCGATCGGGGCTCCGCTGCATTTGATGTCGACTCGGGTCGGATGATAGCCGAGTTTCGCGGTAGTACCAAAGAAAATACCGAGGATGCTCGTCCGAGGGTGACTCCGTCCTGACGCAGCCTCCCATGACTAAGCCGAGCCATGTAAACCTGTAAGGTGCTGTGCGCGGCAACAGCTTCTCTGAACCAGGATGGAGGCGGTCTCAGCGGCCAGCCCCAATACAGCGGAGATCATGGCGATTGTGACGGCCAGGTTGGCCTTCATTAGGATGCACGAGTCGTTGAGTCCGCAGTATTTCGCTCCTCGGTCCGTCGTCTTCCGCAGCAATTCGCCATTCCAGTCAACGACGAAGGCCAGCGACGTCACCTCACCGAGAACAGGGCCACTGCTACACAGGTCGTGATGACCACTTGCATGGTCTCCCAGGTCAGTCGGAAGTACCGATCCAATTGCTGCTCGCCCGAACGCGCCTTCACCAGGTTGATAAACGAGTACGAGAAGGCGAAGAAGCTGAACGTCAAGTTGGCCAGCGACTCCAGCGTCAGCGTCCCCGTGGCGAGGCCCAAGTAGTACAAATCCGAGTTGCGGGCCAAGTGATACGTGACTTGAGCGAGGTAGAGCACTTGCATCCGCCCATTCTGGCATCGATACGCCCATGTCTGAGTCAGCAACACCGAGCGCTTGTGTGACATCACTTGGTACAGGCTGATGATCCCCATGAGCAGCATCTGCAGCACTACCATCCCTGGTAGGACGCTTAGCTCCACAGTATCAGCGTAGCGACTTCGGAAGACGTTGATGTACTCGGCGATCCTCCCTTCCACGCTGGGATCAACCTTGCTCACCCACTCCCAGAGCGAGTTGTAGTAGTTATGGACGCACACACCGCTAGTGGTGCATACTGGAATGTCGTCGGGCGACTGGATCATGAGGCCATACGTCTCCCACCGCTTGATCAGAGAGCAAGTGTCTTCAATGTACACGCCCGTAGTGTTGACCTCTCGAACTCGACAGCCTCCGAAGTACGCGTGAAACAAGGACTGAGTGACAGTCGTGGCCTTGTGAACTGTGTTGTGCGCGGGCATCGTTCGAGACACGGGCGACAAGTTGCTCTTGAATTCGTACGGAAACTGCGTCAACAGTTCAGGGACAACTGCGAGCGGATCGTCCCCATCAGTGGCCAAAGCCAGCTTCACCCCGACGATGTTGTCATTCGAGACAGCAGGCCGACACTCGGTGTACTCGGGGAACACATTAAAGTCGGCGGCGGGGATCGACGAGTAGTCCAGGCTGTCCTTGACGGTCTGGAACTGGAACAAATGGATCAGGGCCATGATGGCCCACTTAGTCTCGCACTCGCTCTTGAGCTCAATCCCCTTCCTCAGCTCTGCCAGCATCTGCGGCGCCACTGATAGCTTCAGCACGGTGATCACATCGAGGATCTCCTCGCCTGTGGCTGTGATGACGATGTTTGGAGACCCCCACTCGTTCACACCACTCGTGCAGATGGCTTCATTGGCGTCCAGCGCATCTCCGAGCGCCAAGGCTTCAGCACTGAGAGCCGAATAATCCCACGACGTGGCAGTGAACAAGCTCTCGAAGTTGGGTTTGCTCTTGAGCACCTCGTGGTTGAATGCATCGGCCTGGAGCAGAGTCCTTTGACACGGGAGGTGGCATGGCCGCAGCCTCCCGTCATGACCAGGTCCATCTCGTTGAAGGCGAAGTAGCTGTCCTTGGCATCGATGAAGAACGTGCCGGTGGTGAGGTAACCAGTGCTGGCAAACACCAGAATGAGCATCATCGGCGCTAAGGCGATGCGCCCGACCACAGCAAGAGCGGCCCCGATCACGGCCGGCCTCATTCTTATAGCCCAACATTGCTCCTCGCTTAGAGCCTTCTGCTGCTCGAAGTACAGTGCCGCCCAGCTTGAGGGCTCTGATTCGGGCGGATGATGCCTCCGAACTCGGGATACCAGCCATCGAAGCCAACACGCGAGTACTGGAGTTGGACTGAGGGTCTGCACGTGGACATCGGCCGCCTCTGTAAACTGGGGGTGCGGATTCATCCGGCGCTTGCGGGCCCCATGCAGCTTCCGAAGTCAAACTGTAGAGTCCCCATTTTGACAATAAACATCAATCGCCGTGCTGTTTCAAAATAGGCAAGGCGAAGGTTTAAGACTAATGCAACCTCCATCGACAATGTCCGATGGTTTTGATCGCTCTTTGAAAAGAGTAAAAAGAATCATCCTCGAAGTCAAATTGATTGATTGAAGGTAAGACCTTCTGCATTTCGCGACTCCCCATTCGAGCCGAGCAGAGATGACGTTGGTGAAGTTCATGTGCGGCGTTGTCGGTGTGCCACGACGCGCGTTCTCAGTGGAAGTGGATCCGAACGACTTTGTCTACGAGCTGAAGAAGGCGATTAATGAGAAGCAGAAGTTCCCATGTCCTGCTTCCAGACTGAAGCTCTTCCTGGCGAAGAAACTTGACGCCAAATGGATGACGGAAAAAGACGTCGAGGACGGCGTGGGTGTCAGCGCCCACTTGAAGAAACTTGAGGAGCAGTCACGACTGCGCACGGTCGGGTTATCGGCGGCAAACGTACTGCAAGAAGCTACCAATGACCGAATCCGTGAGGGACTTCGCGAAGTCCACGTGCTGGTGAGGCTTCCCGCGACGCTACCGATCTCCTGTAGTATCGTTGGTGTACCCGAGGACGTGTTTTCTGTGCAACTCAATGAGAACGAGTCCGTGCATGACTTGAAGACGGCGATCAGCGCGGAAAAGCAGGATGACTTGAAAAACGTCGCTGCCTACCGGCTGCGGCTTTTCCTGGCAAAGAAGGATGACGGCGAGTGGCTGACGATAAACGACGTGAAGAACGGCGCGCGAGTCACCAAGCACATGAAGGAACTGGATGAGATGACATGCCTCAGCGATGGGGGTCGGACGGCGAAAAGCGTGTCTTGCGTTACCAAAACTAACCAGGACGCAGGGTTGCGCGATGTTCACGTGGTGGTGAGGCCCCCCACGGTAGTCATCGTCTGTGGCGTTGTTGGTATGCCGGGGAGCGCGTTCTCTGTGGAATTCGACGAGAGCAGGTGCGTCGGCTTCCTGAAGCAGGCGATCAGAGACGAGCACAAGTACCCGTTTCCTGGCTCCGCGCTGCGGCTCTTCTTGGCAAAGAAGGATGACGGCAACTGGGTTACAGTGGCGGACATTGAGAACGGCGCGGGTGACGCCGACACGAAGCACCTGAAAGAGCTTGATATTGTGGAATCGCCGATCAGCAGTGTGGGGCTGTCGGTCGAAGACGTAGGGCCCAAAGCTGGGTCTGGCGACGTTAACGTGTTGGTGAAGCTCCCCACGTCGTCGTCTATCCGAGTCGAGAACTCCGCCCAGAGGCCTCTCTACAACGGAGTGGCTGGGAGACTCAAGGCGTCAGCGGAAGTGCAGAACCTGGTGGCAACTATCAAGACAATGCAGAAGGGATCGGAGGGCTGTGACGCCTTGACGATGCCCTTTGTCGTGCTGGAGAACTCGTCGGGCACTGGCAAGACGCAGAAGACCTTTAACCTCCAGGCCACGGGTGAGTGTGACGTCTTCTACATGGTGTGCGTGAGCCTCGGGGACGTGCACCAAGACATATATGGCGGCTTCATCAGGAGATCGGGAGGGTTTAGAAGTTGCATCCGACAAGATGCCAAGACACTGGGAGAAGGCTCGGTGGCGGACTTTATCGCATCTCCAAGGCTCTTTATCTACAGCTTCGTTATCGCCGCGCTTCACGGATTGGACGTGGCGTCAGGGCTGGAAGCCACGAGAGAAGACGTGGAGCGTGCCCGCGACTACCGCCGAAGGAAGACGGACAAGCCTTTCGTATTCTTCCTGGACGAATTTCTCCGCGTGGGCAACTACGAAGGCGAGGAGAAGGAGGCGAGAATGAAGCAGGAGAAGGAGGCGAGAATGAAGCAGTGATGCTGAACGCGCTTCGATCTTTTCGCATTGTGGTGGTGGCCAGCGCCACAAACGGCTCAGCGCGCCATCTCCTGAGCCCAAGCTCGAGTGGGAACTCGAGGGCCATCTCGTCGTCGTCCGGGCTCGAAACTCCGTGGTGTGTGATGGTGCCGTGTCTTCCTGCGTTTGACACCACACCGTGCGTGGACCCATGCTTCCTGTGGATCCTCCAGCATAGCAGGCCTCTGTCTGCTTTGCGAGCCCAGCTCTACATGGAGCGGAACCCGTTCGCATCCAGTGGGAAAAGTCGACTTGGGTATCTGACGGACATGGCGAGAGAGTTGGCGCAGCAGTTCCGATGTTTCAAAAGGCGACCGGACTTTGAGCTGGAGCAGTTCTGCGTGCTCTTGGGCTCCAAGTTCAAGGAGATTGACGGCCACATCACGTTGGTCGATGGCCACTTCGCTTGTCTGGAGGACAAGGAGCCTTTCAAGTTGCTTCTGGACGGTACTGCGGGGTTCTCCGAGGTGGGTCTGGATGATACAGAGTCACCCAAGAGCAGCGAGAAGTGGGGTTTCAGCTGCGGCTTCCCAGGCCCAGAGGAAGACATGCTGCTGCACTTGACACTGATGAGCGACCACCAACTTCCTGTTTGGCGTCGAGACACAGGGAAGACGCTTCGCCCACTTCGATTCCCAGTGTACAAGCAGTGGCGGCAGTTCAGTGTGCCATGCGATTTCTACGAGTCCAAGCAGAACCCCAGGAACGGTATGTCGCTGGACGCTTTAGTCACAGCCGCAGTCGTCCTTGCCAGTCACTGTGGGGGCTTCAGTGGAGTAAGGTTCCCCCAATTTCTGGGCCGTCTGCTGTATGAACTGGGCGTTGAGCACGATGTGGACTGCGTCACAAGTCTGCCGAACCAGCTGAGGCAGAACACGGTTATCCCCTTTGTGTCGATGCCGAACACCAAGTGGCCGAGGGAGTTTGTGGATTGTTGGCGGGCTAGCGGTGCCAGGTTTGCCAACATGATTCGTAGCATCAGCGATGAAGACCAAGTTGACTTCATTGTTCGGTCGGGCAGGGATATGGGCGAAGTATCGAGTGACTGCGGCCGAAGCACGGACCACGAGCTTTCCGACTTCGTGGATGGGGACATGTTTCTCTCGGGTGAGTCTAGTATATTATTATCTGTTGCTAATCTACTGACGCATCTGTTGTAAGCAAATCAACGGAAAACCTGTTGCCTGTGTCGGGTTATCTGTTGTGGGTGTAGGGGAGCTAAGCAACAGGTTTTCCGTGATGAAAATGCGCAACAGATACTATGAATGAGCCTCCTGGATTATCTGTCACATCGCACTACACCATGTAGTCGAATGACAGCCGGAGTGTTTGCGTTGTAGTATATTTCTATGGCCAAGATATGCTGATACTACATTATCAACGTGATGCCCTTCATACGTCGAGTCATATCGGAATTTATTTTTGTGTGTATATTTAGATGCGCAGTAGTCCAGTGGTTACAAAGCTGTTGTCTTCTCCAGGTCTCACTTTCCAGCCTGAGGCATCATGGAAGGTAGCGCTTCTGCGGCCGTGCCTTGCACTAGCTCAGCTACAACGGGGAACGCACGCTACGTGGAGGACAACGTTGGTGACAGCGCTGATGAGGATGAGCAACTGGACTCGATTTGCCAGCAGCTAGATTTTGGGGACGACGACGAAGTTGAGATCAACGTGGGTGTAGATCACGGTGCTTTAGAGTTGGTGGAGGCTACCGTAGCGAAGTATGTGTCGATGGGGTTCTACGATTCGCTACAGGAGGCGACCATGGCACTACAGCAGCACAATGAGTTTGAATACACCTACAAAACATGGTACACCTCCAAAAATGTCACTGGGACTGAGTTCAAATGTCGCTCGCATGCTATGTGCCCCAGCCGCCTCAAAATTGTTGAGCGGAAACTTGGAGCTAACTTAGTTCGATACGAGTTGTTGCAGAAGGGTGAGCACGGTGATGCTTCTGGCTCGCGCACGCGGCATGGTATTGCAGCTGTTCACAAGTCTGAAATTGACTCACTATTGGAGTTAGGTATGGGAGCAGGTCGAGTACGCAATATGTTGTTGCACAAATATCGACGCGATCCTGACCTTTTGAATTTGGTGCCTGAGGTTCGTAAGATCGAGAATAGAAAAGCGACTATCAAGAAAAATATGGAGGAAGGCTGGGATATTGACGACTTCAACACAATTGACATCTGGGCACACTCGCGATTGTGTCAAACCCGTGAAGTTTTCGACTCTGCCGACGAGTCAGACTTCGCAAAGATGAACGAGTTGCTCGTGCTCGAGCGCTTCCAGCACAATTTTGACGACAACGGAAAAACGAAAGCTTCGCTCGGCTTAATCATGACCTCGCGAGCGCTATTTCGTAACGTGGCAAAAGCGACAACCTCTCAGAGAGGCAGTCTTGCGATGTCGACGGACGGCACATACCGAATTCCATTGTGGCAACTGGACGTTGGTGGATTGCGGTAGGATCTCTGTTGAATGGGAGACAACTCACCATGTTCAGCGATTTAGGCCCTGGCTGTACATGTTTGTCCGGTCGGAGTGCACTTTTGCATACGAGCAAATGTTCGGTGCGCTCATTAAATACGGACGCATGTTTCTTGACGTTGACGTGAATTTAGCTTGCTGCAGTATCGATCACTGCAGTGCTATAGCTCGTGCGCTGGAGACCGTCTGGCCGGAAGTGATCATTTTGTCCTGTTGGGAACATCTTCTGGGGCAGGCCAGAAAGCAGCGCTCAAAGCTAGTCGACAAAAGCTTCTACAAGAAGTACGCACTTCCTCAGCTGAAGTGGCTTCGCGAAACGCGCTCCCTAAATCAATTTCGCAATCTCTCGAAGTGCGTTGTGCGGTGGTGGAAGTTAAAAGGAGAGACCGCGTATGCGGAGTGGCTAGAAGATATCTACCTCACATCGCGATGGGAGCGGTGGAGCGTAAACAGCAGTCCGATACCAGGAGTCTTGCCAATACAGCAGGCCATTGAGAGCCACCACAAAGTGATAAAAGAGGTGATCACAGCCTTTGAGAAGGCCCCGACGATTCACGTATTAAACTCTGCTCTGGCCAGACTCTTAATTCTTGGTTCGGATACGTTATCGGACGGCCCTCAGGGTCATTTCTGCGAATGTGAGTAAATTACATGCTTTGAATTGTGACATTATACTAACGCGTGCTGCTAAATTACACTTGCACAGGCCCTTTGCCGAAGGATGCAGTCTCTAAGGCCAAGTTGTTACTGACGTTGCCAGAAAATCATCGTGAAATAACGGAGCCCGGCCAACGTGGCATTCCCGTTCGAATCGTATTCAACAGTGGTAACGCCATTGTGCGTTCGAAGAACTTGGCTGGGTCTACGGTCACTACCACGCGCTCGAAAACGTACGTTTAAATATTGCGTTTACTTTCTACCAGGTTCATTATGCTAATTGATGATTATATACAGCTTTGTTTCGTCGCTAGAAGGTAGTACAGGAAGACTGCGCCCATCTTTGACATTTGGATGAAGTTTCTTTCATTGCAACAGGTGTCGGTCAACGTCGAGCGCGCACGAGCGATGCCAGAGTTTCAACTTCGCCCTACTTGGCCTTTATCCGACGTAAGATTCATGTTCCATCTGAATTTATTGTTTCTGAGTCTAATATCTTACGATGGCACCTGAACAGATTGAAATGGTTCGAGATACACTCCGATGCACCTGCAAGAGGTACATGCACTCTGGCTGGGTCTGCTCGCATGTGATTGCCTCCCTCAAACTGCTGAAAAAGCTAGATTTGGAGCTTGCAACAGAAGTTATCCAAGCACGGAGGTCTCCAGGCCGACCTCGAGCACCGGTTGGAGCCCGTCAACAAGAGCAGGCATCTACCAACTTTTGGGATCCCGATCGGCTTGAAGCCCTTCTTACCAAAGAGCCTTACACTCCTTTGCAGTGGGCTTTCATTACACAAGTTGACGTTCAAAAGGAAGGCCAAGCTTCTACTTTTCGCGAAGATCGTATTGGTCCAGTTGGCGGTGTTCGACTGTCGGAGAAAGACGGGGTTTTCGAGTGGAGCGTGGCCTTCGTTCACGGCGACGTGCAATACTACCAAGTAGACGACTTGGTGCCCGGACTGATACGTGCACACGAGCAGCGAAATATTCAGGAATCTACTCTGTTGCCGCCACAGCCTCAAATTGCATTTCGATTAGCATTCATGGATACAACACATGTACCGACTACACTCTACCAGTCCGTTCCAAATCTATTGATATGTACCACTATTTAGCTTGTTCCTAAACTATACTACCTCTGAGCGGAAAATAACGCACCTAGCCAATCAGATTGCATCCTGTTCAGAACGATACCCTTGTAAATCCGATCGTTTGAATTGCGAATCTCCCGCCCATTTTTCTGGACCGCACAACTTCCTCTAGTGCTCATTCGAAGAGCTACAGCCTCCCGCTCAAGACGCAGCCTCCTGTTCAAGACGCACTCTCCTGCCCATGAAGCAAGCAACCGATGAAGAACGGCAAGCCGTTTGGGAGACGCTGCTCCTTCGCAGCACCAGAGGTGTGTTGAGCCCTGGGGACATTGTCCAGACTGCAGCACACTTTCACTTAAGCCGTTTCGTCGTCGCGCGCATTTGGGAGAGAGGGATTAGTTCGGTGGGCGACCGCGTCGCTGCAGTTGTCAAGTCAAGAAAGAGTGCGCGTGGCAGAAAGAAGCTAGACCGAGCCGTCCTCTGCGAGCATGTGTCAGCCGTGCCCGTCAACGAGCGTGAGAACCACCGCAAGGTCCAACAGACGTCGAATACAAGTTCCTACCTTGTCCAACAGTTGATCAAGGAGGGCTACATGAGGCGGGCCCTGAGGCACACACGGCCCCTGCTTACGGCATCGCATAGGGTGGCGCGCCTGAAGTTCCCCGTGAACCACGTGAAGCTAAACGGAGACGGGCAGTACTATTTCGACCCAATGTTCGACGTAGTCCACATTGACGAGAAGTGGTTCTACGTCAAAAAGATCGGCCAGCGTGTGTACGTGCTGACGGGCAAGGACGGCACACCCCTGGAAGAAGCTTCCGTGCAGTACGTTCAAAGCAAGCGTCACATCAAGAAGGTGATGTTCCTGTGCGCTGTGGCGCGGCCACGCGGCGACTGGGACGGCAAGATAGGGCTTGGCCTGTCGTGGAAACCTACATTACACAACGCTGGAGTGTCAACCGCCCCGCAGGTGTCGAGGAGATAAAACCCGTCTCTATGAACCGTACCTTGGCGCGCCGCATGCTCGTGACCGACGTTATTCCTGCCATCAAGGCGAAGTGGCCTCAAGATCAGAAGGCCACTCTCATTCGCATTCAACAAGACAACGCGAGGCCACATGTGCTTGAGGAGGACGCTGAAGTGCTCGCTGCTGGACGCGCCGACGGATGAAATATCCGACTCAAGAACCAACCTGCCCAAAGCCCAGATCTCAATTGCCTGGATCTCGGCTACTTCTGCAGTATACAGTCTCTCCAGTCTCACACCAGCCCACGGACCACGGAGGATCTCATCAAGGAAGTTGAGCTCGCGTTTGCAGAGACTACGGCAGAGACTCTCATCAAGACATTCTTAACGCTGCAACTTGTCATGAAGGAGGTCATGACCAACGAAGGGCGCAACAACTACCGGCTCACGCACATGCACAAGGACAAGCTGATCAATGCTGGCCAACTCCCCACCACTCTGATGTGTGATGCCGAGATCCTCTTCAGCGCTCACTCAGCAATCGCAATGCTCTCTGTAGAGCCGATCTACGCAGAGCAGCTTCGTGCTGCCCAACCTCGTCCGGTTAGTTGTGCTGGGCAACGTCCCTCTCCACCGCAGCTGATACCCCAGCACCAGCCCTCGCTACTACCCTCTGCATTTGAGACTTCAGACTTGGATCCTTTTCTTTTGTAGGGCACTTCATTAAACCTCTGCAAATCCTATATCGGTGAAAAAAACGAGGCGGAGCTATGCGCAAATATTTTTTGAAGGTGCGTTATTTTCAGCACAGAGGTAGTAGGAAAATACTAGTACTAGTTTCACTATGGCCAGAATCTGTAGATCGATCGATAGGAGGCAGAAATGAGGCAGTAGTAACAGAGCACTTGATGCACCGTGGAAGTCGTCCCTCCCGCGCAAGCTTCGACTTCGACATGTGTCGAATCTTGAATGTGTTGTCACCACCAGCAGCAACACAATCGTTCATCACGCATTGGAGCGTCAAGAAGCCCGCGTCCAGTGTTGCCGGCGGCAGCTCGTCCAGCGCGACCTTCACGTTGGCCACCAGGTCGTCGAGGGTGTGGGCGGCCATTCGCTCTTGTCGCGACTGTAGGGCGTTGAAGACAGCAAGATCTAATACGTTCATATCAGGGCTGTTAGACGGTTGGAACCGCAAGTGTACATCGCACCCGGAGGCGTTTACTGCCTGCCTCCACGCCACGTGGTCTGGCTGGATATGCGGTGAGGCGTTGTCTTGCTGCACGGTGACACGCCTCCCGTCCGCCTCACCCGGAAACTTTGCTTGGATGGACGGGAGCACGTGCTCCACCAGCATCTTGCGGTAGGTCTCCTTGTTGACGGCCACCGGATATGGCACCAGCGTTCCAGCGGGGCGATTGCGGCTGCTTCGTTTCGCTGGCTCGTGTGTCAAAAACGACCAGACCCCCAGCTTTCCATCAAAGAACTTGCCCGTGATGGGGTCATGGCGCGGGCGGGCTACTGCTGCTAGCATCACCACCTTGGGAATATGACGCTTGCTCTTGAGTCGATGAAGAGGGTTGGGCTAGTCCAGTAGAAGCACGAAGCGACGCTTCACCTTGCAGAGATAGAAGAGTTTTTCATCCACGTGGACTACATCTTCCATGTCACTGAAATGATGCGTTCCTGCATTTACGTGCCCCACACTAAATGCAATCCTCGACTTCGTGTCGTCGTCCGACAGCATGGGCTTGACAACGGACGTCTCCACGCGGAGCTTCCCGATGCTCACCTGTCGGAACAGCGTGGTTGGTGGGAGGAAACAGGCTTGGGCGGCTGCACGGATGGTGCTCCGGCGCTGCGGATCGACCGCGCGGAGGCGCTCCAGCTCGCAGGAACGGTCGACACGTCTGCGCCCAGTGCTGCGCATTCTTGAGGGCGATGCGTACACCCCGGTGCGTTGAAAGTTGCCCAGGGTCCGGCGCCAGACACGGCTGATGGTCTGAGCGCTGACCCCGAAGGTGTCTGCAACAGCAGACAGCGCACCACGCGGTAGGGCGCCGACTGTCGCTCGGTTGAGGAGGGCCGACACCACGAGGGCACGTTCCGCGTCCGAAAGGTGCTTGGTCTTGGGGTGCGAGGTCTTGTTGGGGTGCGACATCGAGTAGCTTGTTGGGTTTGGTAGGTGGGTGCTTGGTAGGGGAGGGGCGAAATCGTTAATGGCAGTGGTGGCTTCTTCATCGATGAAAGCATCATTGGAGCTTAAGCGCTTCCCCTGGCGCCAATTTTTCGAGCTGTGCGGAGCTCTGCACACCAGTCAAACCGCTATGAGCAGGCGGTTGCATTACTACCAATCACACGGGCATACAACTATTTTTAACCAATTGCGAGCCAGACGTGCTCAAACCTCCAGTAGATCTGGAACGGACTGGTACTTGTTATCTGTTGCGCATTTTCATCGCGGAAAACCTGTTGCTTAGCCCTACACCCGCAACAGATAACCCGACACGGGCAACAGGTTTTCCGTTGATTTGCTTGCAACAGATGCGTCAGTAGATTAGCAACACATAATAATTATGCCCCAGTCTAACGATCATGGGGTCTTGGATTTCGATACTTTGAAGCAAATTCTACAGCGTGTGCCGACAAAGACGGCCACTCATTTGGTGGCGATCCCAGAGCTCCAGCATAGCTACTTCACGTCTGACTTATCGATGGCGTCGATGTCGGCGCACGAGTATTTGGAGCAAGTTGGGCTGCAGCACGCGGACTTTTACCGCATTTCGCGCAATGGAGGGGTACAGGAGTTCCAAGAGCTGATGGGGGCAAAGGCTGCGGGTGATGGCACGAAGGAAACGGGCGCTGGCAAGCTGATTCTGTTCATCGAAGTGGGGTCTATCGGTGTGGAGAAGAAGAGGGGCTTGGGGGAAGACGAAGAGGCAGAAGAATCTACCAAACGACGGCAATGTTTTCGGTAAGAGTTGTCGTGGAAAACCTGGCGGAGGAATCTTTCGAGCTGGAAAAGTAGGCTTTCGAAGACGTGAAGCGCGCCAGGCTGCTGATCGAAGGACCACAAATCCTTAACCGGCCGATGTCGTTCCGAGAATGGTTCGTTTGTAAGCACCTTTTGATATGCACCGTTCTTGTTGGTATTTCAACTTCCTCGGCCGTGCGCCCTGCAGACCTCGTCTCCTCTTCACGATTGAAGGCCCTTGCGCCAATCTAGCAGACCTTTTTGCATCAACTCAATCAGACCGCCTCAGACAACGAGCATCGTTCTGGTCGTGGTTGAAGCTGTTGATGGGCACGTTGAAGACGTCCATTGTCGAGCCTCTTCCCAGCACTCACTTTCCGATTCGCGCTCAACCTCACGCAACTCCATGATCAATGGCTCCGCAGGTGCGCTGGCTCACTACACCAACCACCCTCTCTCCATGGCCATCATTCTAATTGATCTCATTCCCCGCAGAACCTCTCTTTCGTGCTCGAGAAGGTGGGCGTGGTCACGTACGAGGACCGCCCCGTGTCCGAGATCAAGGACCCGCACGACTTGATCGTCAATGTACGGGCATCTGTGGTAGTGACGTTCACTACTACACGCACAGCCGCATCGGGCAGTTCGTGGTGGAGAAGTCCATGGTGCTGGGCCATGAGTCGGCCGGCGTCGTGCACGCCGTTGGGTCAGCTGTTAAGTCGCTCAAGCCGGGTGACCAAGTGGCCATGGAGCCCGGTATCCCGTGCCGGCGCTGCGTGCGCTGCCTTGAGGGCCGCTACAACCTGTGTCCGGGCATGGCGTTCGCGGCTACTCCGCCAATTGACGGCACGCTGGCCAAGTTCTACGTCATCCCCGAGGACTTCTGCTACAAGCTGCCGCCCCACGTGAGCATGCAGGAGGGCGCGCTGCTCGAGCCCACGGCCGTGGCCGTGCACTTCTGCCGCCTGGCCAACGTCCGGCCGGGCAATATCGTCGTGGTCTTTGACGTCAATGAGGCCCGTTTGGCATTCGCCAAGGAGCACGCGGCCACGCAGGTGTTCCAGAGTAAGTCGAGTCTCACCCCAGAGGAGACGGCCAAAGAGATCATCGCCGAGTGCGGGCTCGGTGAAGGCGCGGACGTGGTGATCGACGCTAGCAGGGCCGAGCCGTGCATCCAGACTGCCGTCTACATCGCGCGCAACGGAGGCTCGTACACTCAAGGCGGCATGGGCAAGGTACGTGCGTTGGTCGGCTGGGCCGATCACCAAAGGAGACTAACTACGATAGTGTTGTGTGTGTGTGCTTGCAGACGGACGTCATGTTCCCGATCGGCATCTTGTGCGGCAAGGAGCTCCACGTGACCGGCAGCTTCCGCTACTCGGCGGGCGACTACCGGCTCGCGCTCGACATGATCGCGAGTGGTAAGCTCAGCGTCAAGGAGCTGATCTCCAAGACGGTTCCTTTTGAAGAAGCCAAGGAGGCGTTCGAGAACGTCAAGCGCGGCAATGGCATTAAGTGGCTCATCGAAGGACCCAAAAACTGAGTCGACAAGCAAGCAGCAAGAAGTCCAGGGTGCTAGTGCGTTAAAGTGCGGTAATGATTGAATGACGTACTCGAACGCAAGTCCACATACCTCTCTCAATTTCGTCTACATATTGTACAGGGTATTTCAGAATCTGCCCGCTCGAGGGGGGGGCGAGAATCTGGTGCGGCATCGTGGGTGTCGCGGGGAGCGCTTTCTGTGTTAGGATCGACGAGGACGACTACGCCTTGCCTTCGTACACTGCAGTGGCTGAGCAGCTCAAACTCGGACGAAGTGACGCAGCTAGTGGCAATAATCAAGAAGATGCAGGCGGAGGTCGGGGGCAAACGCAATAGCTCGACTCACATGCAGTTCGTCGTGCTGGAGAACTCGTCAGGCACCGGCAAGACGCAGATGTCGTTCAATCTCCAGCCACGGACGAGTGTGACGTCTTCCACGCAGCAGTCTGTGTATGAATCCTTCGCAATGCGGTCGGCAGCGTTCAGAAGTTGCATCGACGATGATATGACACAGAAATTCAAAAAGCAGGAAGGCTCGATCGGAGATTTCGACTGCGCCCAGTCTACTGGTCTACAGTTTTATCCTCGCAGCGCTCAGCGGTGCAGCCAATTGTTCTGGCGCGACAAGACGTGGAGAATGCTCTTGAGCAACGCCGTAAGAATACGGGCAAGCCTTTCGTCTTCTTCCTGGACGAGTTTCCTTTTGTCGGCAAGCTGAAGGGTGCTAACATGGAGGAGAGGAAGAGAGCTCGAATGATGCGCAACGTGTTCCGTTCCTTCCGCATTATCGTGGTGGTCAGCGCCTCCAACGACACTGCTCGCGGGCTCGCGACCACAAGTGAATACTCGAAGGTTGGTTCCTCGGTGCGTTGTGGTTCCATCACTTCCTGCTTTTGACGGCACGAAAGACTGAGAATTTGCATCAACCATTAATGCAGACTGTTGTGAGTCCATTTCAATCTCCTGCTCCTTCAAATTCTCCTCTGTGTCTTCCACTTACTTTGCACCAGCAACTGCAACCTGCTGGGGCTGAGCGGCCACGGGCGTTGAGACCAACTGCGAACGCTTCGGCGCCGCGATCACCACCGAGAGATGGCACACATTCGCGCAGAAGCAGAGCCACGCCTGCATGTCCTTGGGTGACGGCTTGGCCGACGACTCATCGAGCTTGATGTGACGGCGGACGCCATCCGCACTGCAATACCAAAGAGAGATAGGTGGCTGCTCGCCGACCTTCTTGCGACGCTGCTGCTCCAGCCAACGCTGCGCTTGGTGCGCCTCCATGCCGAAATGCTCGCGGGTGTAGCGCGATCGCTTCCCCAGAGCCTGTACCAGCCTTGTGCGCACGACCTCTTCCAGCTCGCGAATGCTGTGCAAGCTCAGCAGGTCCAGAATCAAAAAGGCCGGCGACGCGGACGATGCGTTCTTGCTGAGATGATCGCACTGCGTGGACAGCTTACCGGTCTCCTCGTCGACACTCTGCACGAAGCACTTGATACTGCGCTTGTCTTGGCTGACCAGCAAGCGGCTCACAGCGTCGATACCGGGTCGACGCACACCGCTGTGGCCCAACATCACTGTGGGTCTGTAGAACGCAGGGCGGAAGCTCGCGGCCCGTGCAGCCCACGGGAAGGCATCGGCGTCAACTGGGGCTGGCGTCGACTTCTTCTTGCTCAGTCTCTCGGCGTCATCCAGGTATCGCAAGGCCTCGCGCTCGAGCTGCTCCAGCACCAGCGTCGGCATGTCTGCTAGCAGCTTCTGCTTCCGGGTCAGTTGCTTTCGCTTCTGGGGAAGCATCGTACGCGCGCTTGAAGCCATCGGCGAAATGTGCAGTGTAGCGGGAGCGGACGCACTGCTCAGGGTCGCTCCGGGGACAAATCCGCGGAAATTGGTAGGCGTGAATACGGCTGCGCTCAACTTCGCGGGCGTCTCGGTGTTAACACTGCCAGCCTCAGCCTCAGCAGCGTCGGACGGCCGTTTGTTGTTGCTGCTATTCATGTCGGAGCTAATAGGGGCGATGCCCGATGGGATGGCAGGAGCGTTTTTCGAGACGACGGGGGTGGCCACGTCGACTGTACCGGTGCAGGTAGCTTGGGACCAGCTCTGCTGCTCCTCGTCATGTTGTGTGTCCTGCGTACTCGCCGTCACCGTGTCTTGTGTGCTGCTGGTTTGTGACTGCTGCACCGGAGCCAGGGAATTCGCTTGGCTGGTCGCAGGCGACTGGGACAGGTGCGTGTCGAGCGCCATCACGCTGTTCTCCGCGACGGGCGCGTCACTAACGGGCGCATCACTGGGCTTCTCGGCGACTGCTTCATGAGGGCTCTTTCCAGCACTGCTCGGTCGAGATGGCGCTCTCTTTGGCGTGCTACGAGTAGAGCCGTTGGCACCGGCAGCGCCACCGCTGTCTGTGTCGTCAGCATCGGTCATTGGCACGTCTCCGTCTGCATCCGCCGTCACCGTCTCCGAAGTGCCGGCGCGGCCTGCAGGTTGCTGGCCAGGACGAGAACCACGCGTATCCACGTAAAGATAGCTGGGTGCCGAGTCTCCGAGTCCGTCGTAATGGCGAGGCTCGGGTAGCGCCTGGAACCGACGCCAGCGCGCGAGGCCCAGCTCCGCATCCCCTCTCGCTTGGGCTTCAGTCACGCCAAGCGCCTTTAGGCGTGCGGCGAAGGTCGCGTTGCTTGTGTTCAGGATACGCTTGGCATCCGTGTCGTCGACATTGTGCTCCATCTGTCGCAGTTGAAGCTCCACCATAGCGTGGCGCTGCAGGCAGTGACGGATGAGATCCACGGGTCGAGGGAAGTCAGACGCCAAGGCGACGCGCAGCGCGTACTGGTTGGGCACGACCAGTACGTTGTCGTCTGCGAACATGCGCACACTCAGCAACTGGTTGCCGTGTCCGTGCGGCTCCGTCTCCTCGGCCGAGGTCACGACGCCCCAGTGGTTGGCCGCGTCGGGCGCCGCCGTCTTGGCCGTGGGCGGCAGCAGCGCGTTGTTGAACTCGAGGATCAGCACCACGTCGCCCGCCGCGAGTCGCAGCCGCAGCGAGTTGCTGGCGTCGGGGCTGCTGGTCGGCGACGTGGACGTCTCGTCGTCATGACGCGGGCACACGAACAGGTTGGTCGGGTCCAGTCCTCCGCTGGCGGTCGCGCCGCCAGCCTGGCCCGCGCCTCTAGGACAGCGGAAGTGGGTCATGTGGTGGCACACAGAGCAGCTCTTGCATCTGCGCATGTCGGTCTCCTGCGCACCGCACGTGGCGCAGGTGTGCCGCGGACACACGAAGCCCGCGTGCACGCCCTCGTCCTGCGCGGCGTCGGGCAGACACTGCGCGTGGAAGTGGTAGCCGCAATCGAGCACCGAGCACTTCTTCATGCCGTTGCTCTCGTGGCCCAGGAAGCCGCAGCGCTGGCAGCGGTGCAGGCCGCGCAGACACTGCGCGCACTTCCAGCGCTCGGCCGCCTGCTTCTTCTCGGCCGCGGACAGCGGCTGCCCCACCACGGGCGCCTGCAGCTTGTCCACGCAGTGCTGGTGCGCCGCGCGCGCGCAGCTGCCGCCGCAGTGCAGCAGGCCGCGCCCGCCATTGCCGCACAGGAAGCAGCTGGACGGGAACAGCGTCACGCTCGGCGGCGCGGCGGCCGCGCGTGCAGCAGCAGCAGCGGCAGCGGCTGCTCCGTTGCGCTGACGCTTGGGCTTGCGCGCGGCGGCGGTCTCGTCCTTCTCCTCCTCGTCCGGCAGGTCGTTGACGCGCGCGCACTCGTGTTCGTGGAAGGAGATCTCGTGGGGCAGCGCGCCGGCCGTGTAGACGTGGTAGCAGCGCGCGCAGTGCGCCGGCGGGGCGACCGACGATGGAGAGGCCGGCGGCGACGGCGAGGCCGACGCGCACGAGGCCACGTGCAGCGCGAAGGCGGCGCCCGCGTCCGCCGCGAAGACCTCGAAGCACAGGGGGCACGCCAGCGAGTCCGACATGATCCCAAGGTCGCAGCTAAAGTGACGGTGGAGACGCTGCATCGAAATGACCGCAGCGTATTGGTGTGCGAGCTGTGTACAGGTACACGCCTGCATTGAAGCGTGTGGCTGAGTGAGTGCCAATTAGGGGTCGATTAACATGGCGTCGTCCCGCGCGACCCTCTCGTGCGCGTGGCACCTGCAGCAGGCGCTGCGCCGCTCGCTGCAAGCTTCGCTGCCGGCGGTGGACGCGGCCGCGCTGCCCGCGGGCTCGCTGGGTGTGCGGCGCTCGGCGCAGAGCGACGCGGACTACCAGACGAGTCTGGCGCTGCAGCTGGGCAGCCGCAAGTCCAAGAAGAGCAAGAAGAGCAAGAAGGATGAGGCCCCTGCACTGCAGGCCGACGCGCCGACGCCCGAAGTGCTCGCCAAGACCCTTGTGGACAATTTGCCGACAGTTGGGGAGCAGCAGCGGCCGCTGCTCAAGGACGCGTTCGTCACCAAGGGCGGCTTTGTGAACCTCGTGCTGCACGACGAGTGGGTGGCACGCCAGGCACTGCAAATGGCCACGGAGGGTGTGAAGCCCTGCGAGCTCCCGCGCGCACAGCAGAAGGACATCCTCGTGGACTTCGCGGCCCCCAACATGGGCAAGAAGCTGCACGTGGGCCACCTGCGCTCGTCCGTGCTGGGCGACACCATCTGCAACCTGCTCGAGTTCCGCGGCCACCGCGTGGCGCGCGTGAGCCACACGGGCGACGTGGGCTCGGCGCTGGCCACGCTCATCGTGGAGCTCATGGAGCAGCGCGTGCCGCTGGCCACGCTCACGGACGCGGAGCTCGGCAGGTGCTACGAGGCCGGCAAGCGCAAGCTCAGCGGCGATGCGGACGCCGCCTTCAAGCAGAAAGTGGACGACGTAGTGCTGCAGCTGCAGCGGCTCGGAACTGATTCGGGTGTGGACCCCAACGTCCGCGAGACGTGGACGCGCGCGTGTCAAGTGAGTCGAGAGGCCTACCAGCGCATCTTCGACCGACTCGGAGTTAACGTCACGGAGCGCGGAGAGTCCACGTACATGCCGCTAGTGCCGGGTGTCGTGTCCAAGATGGAGGAGAGTGGCTTGGCGGTGCCGTCGCAGGGCGCGTTGGGCATCTTCCTGGACGGACCGGACAAGCCTCCCATGCTCATCCGCAAGCGGGACGGCGGCTTCCTCTACGCCACGGTGGACCTGGCCTGCCTGCACTCCCGCATCCACGGCTACTCGGGCGTGGACTCGACGCAGTACGACGAGATCGTGTACGTGACCGACCAGAGCCAGCAGTTCCACTTCCAGCACTTGTTCGCGGCGGCGAAGAAGGCTGGCTGGACTAGTCGACAAGGAAAAGAGGACGTCAAGCTCACGCACGCCCCCTTTGGCTTGGTGCTGGGCCACGATGGTACCAAGCTCAGCTCGCGCAACGGCGCATTCGACTACCTGGAGGACCTGCTCGACGGTGCAGCTGCAGAGTGTTCGCGTCAAGCGCTGGCCTCGGCCACGACTGGAGTCGTAGCCAGCGAGCTGAGCTTGACCCAAGAGCAAGTTGACGCCCAGAACCGCGTGGTTGGAGACGCCGCTGTCCGCTACTTCGAGCTGGCCCAACAGCGCGAGCGCAACTACAAGTTCATCATGAGCAACGTGCTGAACCTGAAGGGCAACACCGGTGTGTACCTCATGTACGCGTCTGCGAGGCTGCAGGGTATTCTACGCAAGGCCGGCAGACTGAATAACGACCAGGCGTCTTGGGACAGCTTCCTGGGTCTTTCAAGTGACAGCAGTGCGGCTCAAGACGTATTGGCACTCGCCTCGGTTGACTGGCACCCGTCTGAGCGTGCGTTGGCGTTGCTGCTCTCTCAGTTCGACGACGAAGTGGCTGCCACATTGGCGCACCTGTACCCGCACTACCTGTGCGACTACCTGTTCCGCGTGGCTGGCCATTTCCACGGTTTCTACGAGAACTGCCGCGTGCTTCAGGACCCGCGTCAAGATAGTCGTCTCCTGCTGTGCGCCGCAACGGACGCCGTATTACGCCGCGGTTTGCAGCTCGTCGGCGTTGAAGCTGTCGACCGCATGTGAGTGAGGTAAGCCAAATAGAATGCCAGTGGGTTTTGCCATAACATTTTTTTCAGTGAGCGGTTGTTAATAGCGGGATTAGCGTGAAGACTCAGGGAACCTTATGCGAGCGAGGATGCAAGGATGTTTATTCACGTTCGATTCATGGGGACTCGCATCAAGTGAAACATGCACAAAGTTTGTGGAGGACAAATGCGGCGGTCTGAGCAGTGGCTGTGGGGTGACTTCAACGCCAGCACGAGCATTGCATTTCATCGTTCGTCGGGCTGAAGTGCGTGGCAATGGATCTTCGTTTCGCGCGACGCAGACGCGCTCACGAGGTCTATTTTGCAGGATGGCTTGGCATGTCTTCATTGGCAAGTCCAGTGTGCCTGACACCCACGGCAAGAATAGGTGTGGAGTGATCGAAAACGGTGGCATCGCGGCGATAAGGAGGTCAATGGTGCGGACGCTCAACAGTTTCGCAAGCGAGGAATGGGTCTTTATTCTCCCGGTCTCGAGACGATTGCCACGCAACACTCGCTCGAATGCATCTCGGCAAAGTTCGCCACCTGACCGTGAAAACCGCTCCTGGCGAAGGTTTTAGTAGTGGAAGCGCTGGAATAACCAGTATGTGGGACTATGGCATCGATTAAACCCCCGAGGTCTGTACTACACGTACAGATACCCCCTATTGCCCTGAGGCAATCCTGCGTTGGGGGTCTAGACGGAAAGACGTCGACCTTATCAAACACCTGAATGCTTTGGAGACTTGGCAGGTTTCGGTTCCGGCTGCCCCAACAATAGAGATCGCCTGGAAGGAGGCATGCGTGCCTGTCATCAGTGGTGCTCACTTCTTTACGCAGCAAATAAATAGCCGAAGCTCAGATCGAGGAAGCGAAGGCGCTGTGGCTGAGTAGCATGCGTTTCTCCATGAGATGGGCTCGCTGTGGTGGTGACATGGCTCGCCTGAAAATAGGGCTCCAAGCTGCTTCGTGAAACGACGTGAAATTTGCCACGGGATGGTTCACCTTCAGCTTTCGCAGCGACGACTGCGATGGAGGAGAGGAGATTCTCAAAACCCAACATTCCAGTTCCAGCTCAAACCAACTCAATCGAGTCCCACCCCAAGTGCGAGAAGAACCAAGCGAGCACAATGTCGGCCGAGGGCGACAAAGTTCTCACTCCCGATGAGGTAGAACCCAGCGTGCCAGCGGCTGATGTAGAGTCCGCTGTAGCTGACGTAGGGCCCAATGTTCCAGCGGGTGATCATCCCGAAAAGGACAAGGAGAAGGACTCCCCGCCGACGTCTCAAATCGCCAGCGATGCGCCCTTGAACCCGGCCGTGGAGAAAGACCACTCGATCAAGGGCGTCGCGACCCGAAACCTGCCGCGCCACTTCTCGCGCGCAACCGTCGTCCAGCCCAAGTGGATCCTGTACACCAGCGTGCTGCTCGGCGTCACGATCTCCATGCAGTACGGCTGGTCCACCTCGCAGCTCAACTACGCCAAGTTCAACAGCGAGAAAGATTGCAACGCATACGCCGCCGCGAAGGCAGTGGGCAATTCGACGTCCCCGGAGTTTGATAACAAGTGCACCATGTTCCCGGGCCACACCAAGGCGCAGTGGACAGTGGTCGTGAACGCGTGGGTTGTGGGCGGCATGGTCGGAGCGCTCGTGATCGGCGTGATCTCGGATCGAATTGGCCGCAAGCGCGCGCTCATGTGCAACTGCGGCTTCATTATTGCAGGAGCTGCGATTCAAGCCGCGGTGTCCAATCTGTGGGCGTTTGCCTTCGGCCGCTTCCTGGCCGGTATCGCGTCGGGCGCCAGCACGGGCTGCGTCGGCACGTACGTCAATGAGATCGCTCCGCCTCACCTCCGTTCCAAGCTCGGCATCGGCCTCCAGGGCGGCATCAACCTGGGTATCGTCCTGGTCGACACCACGCACTTCTACCTGGGCTTCGACCAAGGCTGGCGCATCATCGCAGGCTTCCCGATCGTCTTGGCGGCGCTGTTCCTGGGACTGTCGCACTTCGTGATGGTCGAATCCCCTGTTTGGCTCATGCTCCACGGACACCGCAAGGAGGGCGAGAAGGTCCTTGTCCAGCTCTACGGCGAAGAGAACGTCAACGCCGCGCTCGCGTGGATCAAGCCCAAGAAGAAACCGGTTGACGTGGAGAAGCAGGCGCCGTGCTGGAGCGAGGTTGGTCACCAAACAGTCATTAAAGGCAAAGGCGTCTCGTTCAGCGAGCTGTTTGCCGTCGAGATGCGCCGTCCGCTCGTGGTTGGCATGGGCCTCGCCTGCATGCAGAAGCTCACGGGTATCAACTCCATCTTCTACTACTCGTCCAGCCTCTTCGGTGGCGTTGGCGTGGCGGACGGCCGTGTCTGCAACATCATCGTGGCTATCGTGAACCTGATCCCCACGCTCTGCTCCGGCATGGTCGCGGCCAAGTTCGGCAACCGCCCGATGATCCTCTTCAGTACCGTCGGCATGTGCCTCAGCTCCATCGGCATCACGCTCTCCCTCTACTACGACGCCCCGCAAGCGACGGTCGCTCTTGCTGCCGCGTTCGTCTTCTCGTTCGCCATTTGCCTCGGCCCCATCATGTTTGTGGTCGTCGCTGCTGTGGTCCCCGACCACGCGCGCGGTTCGGTCGTCTCCATCGGCATCTTCGTTGCTTGGGCCGCCAACCTGGTTGTCGGCATCGGCTACCCGTTCCTGGCCACGGCGCTAGAGACCTACAAGTACGTCCCATTTGCTGCCATTTCCGGGTTCTCAACGGTCTTCGTGTACTTCTTGGTGCCGGAGACGTCGAACTTGACGACGGCCGAGATCCAGGAGGTCTTCAAGAAGATTCGTGGCAATGGCCGCTTCTAAGGCAGCAACAACAGCATAACGCAGCATCATGGTGAGCATGATATCTCCACTCGCATCGCGATCGTCACGGAAGTGAAGAACTGCCATTACAAAGCCAAATACATTCATATCCATTTTGCATTCAAAGGCGGTAGCCTCGACACTGCTCCCTCTTCTATAAACATGAACAGATTACAACATGGTTCCCAACGCACATTCACGCACAGCAAGTGTCCGCGCCAAGGCCTTTACGCCTCGTCAGACAACTTGTCGTGTACGCCGAGTTGAACCTCGTGACACGGACACTACTCACGGATGCATTAAGCTCGCGGCATCTCCGCGGATTACAGGGGCGAGAACGCTGTGCAAGTCGCTTGCGCTCGTGGTCGTTTTGAGACCCTCGAGATGCTACTGCAACTGAACGATTCCGACAAGAGCAGTAGCACGGATCCCGCTAACGTTCGCAACGATGCAGCCGTACTGAGCCATCCTTTCATCAAGATGGGCGTGCTCCAGAATTGCGACAATAGCGTCAGCTTCCTCGATCACAATAACCGGGCTTCCACCGCGAATCCTTATGATGAATACTGTCGATACGAGCGTCAGGCAGGAGAATAAACAGAAGGTCGACAGCAGTCAAGTCACAGGCCGATCCACGGAGACTCTACCTCGTTGGGCTGATCCACGCAGGCGTTGTGGTCCAGCAGCAGGTCCAGTACGCTGGTGTCGATGTCCCGATACGTGGACCGGTCGCGCTCTTGTAGGCGCTTGGACATGGCCACCTACAGGCAGCGGCAGCAACAAGAGCAGAGGGCAGCGGGTTAGTCCGAGCCTTAAAGGTGCAGTGGCAACGGCAGTGAGGAGGCGGTACCGCAACGGGCGACTGGATGTCGATGCAGCGCGAGCGCAGCAGCAGCGTGAGCCGCATCTTCTGGAGGCAGATGCGCATGACGTCGATCTGCAGCGCCGTCATGCCCGCCTAGTAGCGGATGGATGACAACCGAGGTAATAGTCACTTGACTTTCCACTTAGTTGCTCGATAGACAGGCACCTGGTCTTGCAGCTCGAGGTCGGCGCCGTGGTCGATGAGGAAGAACTCGACGGCGGCGCTGTGGCCCCTCCAGACGGCGAGGTGCAGCGCCGTGGAGCGCTTGAAGGTCTTGCGGTGTTGTGTCACAGTTGAGTTGATGCAACGTCGGACAAGTAGAAGTACATGTCGTTAGTCGGAATTGGCTTCACTTCATTCTTCCTCCCCCTCTGTTCGTTGCCAACCTGGTGGTGGAGCGGCGCGTTGAGCAGATAGGGGGTGCCGGCCAGCAGCGAGCGCAGTGTGGCCACGTCGCCGGCCTCAGCCGCCTCAATCCATCGCTGCCCCACGCCGGAGTTTGGTGAGTGCGGCGCTGTCGGTCCGGTGCGGATACCGACGGGTTGCAACTGTTGGAGCGTAATACTCGGGGCCCTCTTATCCGTTAGTTTCTGTAATTTCGGGGGAAGCCCGGCTTCCAGCCGATACTCGCAAGGCTATTGTAGTAGAGCTAGAGCTCGGTTCTTTATGCCGCAGCGTTGGTGCTCGCAGGATTTATTTCTTGAGCGATGAAACGGTGTTGGAGCGGATATTATTTTTTAAAATAGTAATTGGGCACGAACGAAAAGGTGGCGTTGGAGCGGATACTAGTAATTCTAGGTGACGAACGAAAAGGTTTGCCGAGTTGGTTGCGCATAACGATAGTGAGACTTGCTGTAGACACATACTCGAGTATCGATACCTACATCACCATTGAGTAGCGAATGAATGTCTATGTGTGAATCAGTCGTTCGACGCCACAACCGTCTCCGACCTGCGGGTACAGTGCGGCTGATGACGGTTTTCTCTCGTGTCCGAGCTCGGCTATCATCCTAATCCTTGCGCATATCCTCCCCCCGTTCAAAGCCATCCACGTGGATCCCCAGCGAGTCGAGCATCCTCCCAACGCTCTGCTCAATGACATCCTCAATCGTCTTAGGTATCGTGTAAAACGCTGGCACTGGAGGGAAAATCGTCGCTCCGGCCCTCTGCACGGCCGACATGTTTTCGAGATGAATCGCACTCAAAGGAGTCTCCCGGACGACGAGGACGAGCTTCCTTCCTTTCTTGAGACACACATCAGCAGAGCGTGAGATGAGGTCGTCGCAGTAGCCCGAGCGAACCGCAGCGAGAGATTTCATGAGACGATAATCATGCCGTCGCGGAGAAAGCTTCCCGACGAAGGCGGGGCCGTGAGATCCTTGAGTGCGTACGTATACGTCGCGAGCTTCCTAACGTGCTCCGCAGGTATGTCGGTCTCGTACTTCATCGTCGCGAGCGCCCATTTGGAGAAAATCAGGTGAGTTTCGACGTCGAGGCTGCGGAGGATCTCTAGTAGCCGAATGGCGAGGACTGCGCCAGTGGCACCAGTGACGCCGACGACAATCCTAGTCTTGCGCGGAGTCATCGTGTGGACGGGTCGATGCTCGGGCGTGGTGGTGAACAGCGCTGACGACGACGGGATTCTCGTCTGCCCAAGAGAAGTCCGAGCGCCAAGACGGGCAGCCTTCGCCACAACGGAGGGGAAATTCGATGGAGCCATCACTGGAGACAAACGAGGAGTGAGGATCGATCTGAAGAGGCGAGTCGAATCGCCCGCCACCGAGGCGCCTGAAGGAGGGGTGCAGTGCACAATGTACACTTGATGGGTAATGATGCGTAAATTTATCTTACTTTCAGCGGGCTTCCCGCCAGTCAGCGGGAATGTTGGCCCAATTTGGGATCCAAATGGAGTAAGCTTTCCATTCGTCAACTGGCCGTCCGGCAGCGTGTTGTTCTCGTCTCCTTGAGTTGCAATCCTACACGATGCTTTCGTCTCACCTGCGCGGAAGGCCGCGTACCTCTTGTCGGCCAACGACGGAAAGCGCTTCACTCGGGTCGGGCAGAGCTTTCTCCACTCGGGAGCTTCTCCGGACCACGATGCCGCGCAGGACTTGCCCCACATGAACTTCCGCTCGTACGTGGAGGCTCTCAAGGCCGAGGGTGACATTGCGGAAATCAACGCGGAGAAGGACCCGATCCTCGAGGTTAGCGCGATCATTCGTCGCTCGAACGAGCTCGATGACAAAGCGCCGCTGTTCAACAACGTCAAGGGAGCCAAGAACGGACTCTTTCGCACTCTGGGAGGACCCAACTCGCACCGGCAATCGTCCAAGGGCAAGTACGGGCGACTCGCGCGACACCTCGCCTTGCCTCCTGACGTCGGCATGAAGCAGATTCTTGACAAGATGGTGGCGGCCAAGGACGCGCAGCCAATTCCGCCTCGTGTGGTCACGACTGGCGCCTGTAAAGAGAACAAGCTTGTGGGCGATGCGATCGACCTCACTGCTCTTCCTGTGCCTCTCATTCACAAGGACGACGGCGGCAAGTACATCCAGACGTACGGCATGCACATCGTCCAGTCACCCGACGGAAAGTGGACGAATTGGTCCATTGCTCGCGCTATGATCTACGACAACAAGCATCTCGTGGGCCTGGTTATTGAGCCACAGCACATATGGCAGATCCACCAGATGTGGAAGAAGGAAGGGAAGGATGTTCCGTGGGCCCTCTGCTTCGGTGTTCCTCCCGCCGCCATCATGGCTTCGAGCATGCCTCTTCCAGATGGTCTCACGGAGTCAAGTTACATTGGCGCTCTGACTGGCCACGCCATCGACGTCATCAAGTGCGAGACGAACGACTTGCTCGTGCCTGCCAACTCGGAGATTGTGTTTGAGGGTGTGCTGTCGGCAACCGAGACCGCACCGGAAGGTCCCTTCGGTGAGATGCATGGCTACGTGTTCCCAGGCGACTCCCACCAGTGCCCAAAGTAAGTCTCGCACTGCACTGCGTTTCCTGTCATTGAATGGTCCTAACTGATGTTGACTTGCAGGTACCGCGTGGACTGCATCACCCATCGCAACGACGCGATCCTCCCTGTGTCTGCTTGCGGCCGTCTCACTGATGAGACGCATACAGTACAATGATCGGTCCTCTGGCGGCCGCGGAAATTGGATATCTGTGCAAGCAGCATGGGCTTCCGATCATCGACGCGCACTCGCCGTTGGTGTCGCAGGTGACGTGGGTCGTGCTCAAGGTGGACACGGCAAAGCTGCGAGCGATGGGCACCGACTCGAAGACGTTCCGGAAGCAAGTCGGCGACCTCGTGTTCAACGAAAAGGCTGGATACACCATCCACCGCATTGTGCTTGTGGGTGATGACATTGACGTGTTCGACGAAGCCGATACCATGTGGGCGTTCTCCACCCGCTGCCGTCCGTACGACGACGAGACGTTCTTCCCGGTAGGGGTGTCAACGTTTGGTCCCAACTCGAAACTCAGCGAGCCATCCCGCGGGGAGTTGGAGTTGGCTCCGAACTACAGACAACGACTTACAAAGCCGGCAGACACAAAAAGCCGGCAGGCGAAGTCAAGCAAAGCTTAACATAAGCAAACCAGCCAATCAGATTCAATCAAATGACTTCATCTTTGTATACCATCTGGTTTTGTGTACTTTATATGCTTTTTGTGTACTTTATGCAACACGCCGTGTGTTTTATGACAGTTTTACAGATTTGACGGGAGGGAATTTATCGTTGTTTTTATATAGGAGGATGGCATTAAGCATGCCGGCTTTGTAAGTCGTTGTCTGTACCGCGAACTGCAGAGAACTCCGGCTATAGTGGCGCCGGGTATAAGAGAAAATCGACTATTAGAGCGCTTTCGCGGATATCCCAAATTCTGACCATAGTAAAAGCAAGTCAAACCGGCTATTAGACTGTAAGAGTGTAAGAGAGCTCCCCCACCAAACCAAAACCACACATTGTAAGAGGAGTGGGGGACACGTGGCCCACGTGTCTCCCACTCCTCTTGCAATGTGTATTTTTGGTTTTTTAAAAGTGAGCCACGTCACGTGGCTCACTTTTAAACACGATCAAGAGCACAATAATGGTCTCGTCATGTCAGCACCTCACTATCTACGAAAAAACGAGCTCCGCCAGTATCATCAGGCGCACCCCAGTCTCAAGCACGTCGATCTCCAGCGGTGGGTTGCCGTACGCCTCAACAACAGGATTGGCCTGTAGTGGGGAAAAGTATCAGACAGCCACTTGATTGCACTCCCAATGGGCACCTTAAAAAGAAACGCAAGTCGCACCATGCGTCTATTGAAGACAAGCTGATGGAGTTCGTGCATGCTCAAGAATCCAAGGGTCTCCTCTCGGACGAGGTGCTGCGAACAAAGGCAAATGAACTCGTCGGAGAGGAGACAATTTCCCTGTCGTGGATTCAACGGTTCAAGTTTCGTCATCGTGTGACGCTACACAAGATGCATGGGGAGGCTGGATCGGTTGACACGGTGGACCTCGGCCAGCAATGTGTAGAGTTAATGGAGCTACTCGACAAATACAACCCCCAAGATATTTTCAATATGGACGAGACAGCTCTGTTTTACCGGGTACTGAAAAATTGGAGCCCGTCGTGATCAATCGAGCTGCGAAACCGCGCTACTTCAAAGGTGTCAACGTTGGCGCGATCCCTATGGACTATTTTTTGAACCAAAAAGCATGGATGACATCTGAAGTGTTTTTGAAGTGGGTGCGGGCGCTAAATCTCAAGATGCATGGACGCAGAATACTTTTGCTGCTCGACAACGCTGCCGGTCATGTTGACATTGGACCGAACAATGTGTACATCCATTTCCTACCAAAAAATACTACGTCGCACCTGCAACCAATGGACGCCGGCATTATTCGAAACTTCAAGCTGAAGTACAAGAAATTATTTGTGCAGTGGGTGATTGAGCAGACCGGTCTACAGAAGCGGTTAGATTTGTTGACGGCAATAAAATTTGTCGCGGGCGCATGGAACGCGGATGCGGATGCGACAATTCGACACTTACTAGGGTTGTGTCAGGAAGCATGATAGCTAGGCTTGAGCGCGACAGTGAGCCGATGACAAGAGAATCGGAGCTGGAAGATCTAGAAGCGCTGATATCTAGATTAGATCTATTGGATCCATTGCGTGCGGCACGCTACGTTGACGTTGAAGATGCTGTTGACGATAGCCCACACAGCGACGACGCAAGCGAGCAAGTTTCAAGTGAGAGTGAGAGTGATTGTGGTGGTGAGGAGGAACGACCGTTTTCGCACAGCGAGGCACTAGAAGCAGCTCAAAAGCTTCAAGTCTACATGTTTGCTCACGGATTACAGGACACCAGTGTACAGAACATTGTCAATGCCACGAGGAGAATGGCAATTATCTCTAAGCGCCAGACGTCAATCACCTCGTACTTCCATGCTTTATAGTACTTTGAATGTTCAATAATAGGTTCCCTCTTATAACAGCAAAAATCTATAAGAGAGCTTGTGAAGTTGATGGCCAAACACCTCCACTATAACTGGAGTTCTCTGTACCTCCAAACTCTTCTTTATCCCCTTCTAACTTGTTAAAACAGTTGTGGTCCACAGAGGACTCGCCATTATCAAAGCCGTCTCATGGTCGGTACAAGTGCGCTCATATCCAAATAACTTGAGTCCACTTGTTTGTATCTACAGATTCAAGGGCTGACAAGGCACGCCGTAGTCGCCCTACATGCTGGTCCAGCGGACGCTGCTGCAGCGGCGTTGACAAGACGCTGCGCATCCCCACACATTGCTCTGTGTAATCCGCCTCTAGGTTCCAACAACTTCCTCGTGACCGGTGTCATGGCCTTTGAGGCGCGTGTGGGGCTGTGCGTCCCCGCCATCGGTGGCTTCGTGGGCTTGGAGTGCGCGGCCATCTTCGATCACGAGCACTGGATCACGGCAGGGTGGCGCTGGGCGACCACGGACAGCATGGACAAGTTCATTCGGACCCAAAGGTCCCAACGTTGACATCCCTACTTCCCGGACGTGCGCGCCGACCGAGTACACGAACGGCCGGGATTGGGTGGCTGCAAGCTTCAAGGAGAGTTACCCCGAAGATGTGAAGAACAAGGTCCTGTTCGAGTGGAAGTGCATGGGCTTCGAGACATCGGACAAGTAGGCTGGGCGTGATTCCTCCCATGCGCTGGATGGAGCTACGTTGGCGTGAGAGGAATTTTCATACTTCTTTGTCCCACCTGAAAATGCAGTAAACTTTTAATCATCGATATCTCGAGAAGTAGTGGTCGGATTAGATAGCTGAAAGCAGCATTGTATAGCTCGCAACGATAGCTTCGTCCTCTATTTTTTTCAGATCACCAGTACCAATGTTAACGGGGATACAATGAGATCACTGCCGCGTGTCAGCGGTGATCACATTTTCCTCCGTACTTCGTCGAGGATTCATGTTTGTTGTGATGTAAAAGTATGTGCGTATTCGTCGTCATCTTGCGCACTCAAATAAACTGGCACGGTCTCTGTAAGGGCTGTTTTACGCGAGTGACAACGCTGTTTTAATTGGCTTCGATCCAGCGTTCTCGACTATATTTATAACCAATCAGGAATGACTAGCTCCAAATCCTAAGATTACGAAAATATATACCCACATTTCATTAAATGGCTACAGAAGCTTCTAGACGTAATTGGCAGGTGTTGACTTGCGATCCTTCCAAACTGCCCACGCTGCCAGGGGCTTGAGAGGAAACGCCTCAACAGAGGCCGCAACCGCTGCGGAGGCATCTATACCTCGAGCCGCCAGTTCGGCGTGGGAAAGTTCAACGGACACTTTGCTTATATGTGGTTCCGCATGTACGTATGCTGTGTGTAGTCGAAAGCGCGTAACGATTTAGAAGTCGGTAAGCTTAAAGTTATTTGAGATATTTTTAACCAATCAAAATGCATATGTGGACCACATCAAATAAATCGTGTGGTAACCGCAGGGTTCTACTGCATTTTCAGGTGGGACAGAGAAGTAGGTCAGTAAAAACTACTGAGGTTTGCATTTTTGGATTAGCACCAGGAAAAATTGAGTACTGGAGCGATTCCCGCAGCGTTTTGAATCTTATTTTCATTCTGGGATAGTTTCAGTTTGTATTTGAGGATTGTATAAGCAACGTCTACCTGCTAAAGGAACGAGCTAGATACCACCGTCGCTTCTGAGCCTACACATCTCATCAGCCCGCTGCATGGTTGAAACGGCCGAGGCAACTTCTGTCTAATTTCCCCGTGGACAGCGTCACGGTCCCTGTGCCCCCGAACGGCATCGTCTTCCCTCCGAGAACCGAAGCCCTCTCCACTGCACTTGTCCAAGCAGATCTGCGTTCCTTGCTGCCGTGTATGTTGCAGGCCGTCTTGAAGCGCTCCAGCAGCGCTGTTGTTCCCCCAAGGCGCTCCGTATAGCTGCCTCTCCACTGCGTTTTCTTCGCCCCGCCGCGCCATGAACTTTACCGATATTCCCATCCACGTCGCAGGCCTGCTACGTGTGGCACAGGTCACATTGACACTCAGCCGAATCCCGCTCGTCACTACGGTGCTGAGAATGGGCTGCGCGAAGCACACCCAACGACCTGGTGACCTGCCAGAGTCGCACGCATGCCATGAAGGCACCGACGTCCCGTTGGGACCACGGTGTTACCCGTGGGCTGGTTTCTAATGGGAAACGGCCCGGTGGACATGTAGTCCACCGTGGGCCCCCACAGGCCCCGCCTTCCGGCTGACGGTAATAAACCACCGCAATACGTCGCCGCGTACAGCAACTCAGACATCCAGCTTGGTCCGCGGTGTCACCCACGAGCTGCCCGGCCAAACATACACGCACGTCGGCCAGGTGCACGCCATCCATTGGAGCCCAGGTCACCAGGAACGAGAGGATCCAAAGGGAGGAAACGTCGTCCAATAGTGGCCAATCAGAGCGCTCTCGGTGCTCACCGTCGCTCTCTGATTGGCCAGACCGCTGGGTCAGCTGGCTCTATCGCCGCGCTGCCCGCTGATTGGTCCCCCTGGTGTCTTGAGCTCCACGGCGCAGATTGACGAGTGTTTTATTCTGAGATAGCTGTGGCCAGCCCACATATTACCGGCTTCAGCGATAGCTGAAGCTGGTAATACTGAAGCCGGAAAACTGGCCCCGGTAACTGAAGTTAACTGATTGTCGCCTATGCTCTCCATCTCAAATCCGAGTGGAAGACGTACCAGTCCACGCATCGGTGAACAGCGGTGTCGGGGCCGTCAGTGGTGCAAATTCAACTACGTCTATTAATATTACTTGACAGGTAAGGAAGTACAACGCGCGTTTTCAGTGCTGCACCTCCAGCCGAACACACGCACCAAGTACGCCCCGAACGCTCCGTCACCTCTTTAACCCCCTCGCACTCAAGTGCATCTAGTACTACGTTGCTGAGGTGGCTACTAAAAGAATAAAGAAAGAAAAGTTTGCGTCTGCAGAAGATGATAATGGTCGACGAGCGAAAAGCTCCGATTGAAGTGCTTTCTTGGAACTATCCCCCAGTGTTGATAGTCTGCTTTATCTGTAACTGTTGTGTACTTTGAAGTAGCTGCTTTGTTTAGCAAGCTGCATCAATTGCTTGGTCGGTTTTGCGGACCTCCATCTTCTGCTACTCCATCCTCTTGCAAGTACGGAGCCTCAATCTTCAACAAAAAGCGGCACAAAAGACTGACGCAATACACGTAGTGTAGGGCGTTTTGCTGTTAGTGAAATTTCCTAGACACTAACTCACTGTTAGCTGTACGATTGCTGACTGTTAGTTGACGAGTTAGTAGCCAGAGAAAAAAATATTAACCTTAAGGCTGATTGCAGTTACTGTCTTTCTTACCTACTGAAGAGATCTAAACGTTCTGCGTCCTTGAGACCCGTCTTCTAGCGAAATATATTCGGGCCAGGCTGAATTCAGCTCTGCGTCTTCAAATTCGCCGATCATCTCGATCGGAGTGTGACGGGCCAGGTTCCAGGTCGGTCTTTCCCACCCTACCCATTTTATCAGATACATCCGCTGCATATCAACAGTATTATGTGCGTAGAAGCTTTCAACAACAAATACAGCACCGCCATCGCTGCTAATAGAGGATCTCGCCTCACTATCAGTTCTGTCTGCTACGGGAGAATCCAGAATGTATATGCCAGCAGGGGGTGACTCGTCATCGCCACAAAACAAGTCATATAGAGAGGTGACCATATCGGGGTCAAGTCTTGGTCGGGCTCTTCAACACCACCCGACAGGTGAAAGTCAGGCTCCTCGATTTCGGGAAGTTGGTGGCCGGGGGTCTCGAATTCAGGGTCGGAATCTCCAATTTCAAGAAGGTGGTTGGCAGGGCTTTCAATCTCAGGCGCACGATCTTCGTTGAGTAGTCTTCCGCTTTCAGCGTCTCTACGTCGCGCCCGCGCTGCCCGCTGACGACGACTAGGCCGCGCCATGGTGGGAGTTTTGTGATTTGTGAAGTGACTTATGCCATAAGGCAACTCGGTAGGTACTCTATATATACTATAACTATTTGAGCTCGACTCCGATGTATTTGTGCGTCTCGCAGAATATATTATTAACTTGTGTCCGTACGTGAAGACGGACTGCACCGTATCTCGAACGGTGGCGGGAGTAATACCGTCTAGCTCTGTATGGTATTGGACGCTTGGCAGCTGGACCATCACGCACACAAAGTTCGCGTAGCAAATGGGAACAAACGACCCCAATTACTCGGTCAGTGTTAGCGTTGTGAAAAAATTTCATCGTTGTGATTGGGTAATGACTTCAACTTCAACTAATTGTAAGATACTTCTCATCTGATTGTAAGATACTCATTACGATCCGACTTATAACTTCGCTAAAACTTAAGCTTTTTAATATCTTGTGACGGTATCGGAAAATTTAAAGCTTATATATTAAGTTCTATGGCTTGTATGCATGCAGAGCCTAAACCTAAGAGTTTAAAGCTGTGTTGAGAATACTAACTCCTTAAAGACGCAGCTCGAACGCTTGCGCCCCATTCTCTTCATTCTCCTGTTCGCCTTGATCTTCATCTTCGTCGGTATCTTCACCCTCTAGGTACGCTTTGAGGTAGTCGTACTTGTCAACTTCATCAAGTAATGAGTGGTTGATGTACCCGAACACCAGCTTTTCCAGCTTCTGCATCGACATGCGATTCCTGCGCTTGGTGTGCAGATAGGAGAAAATACTCCACACGCGCTCAGCAGCGGCAGATGAGGTGGGTACTGTGAACACTCGGACTGCGATCGATACCAGCAACGGAAACTCCGTCATCCCATACTGCCCCCAATATTGCATCCCCGACAGCGTGTTGTACTCATTCAGTTCCACGACGGAGCGCTTAGGATACATCGACAGGAACGCGTTCAATTCTTCAACGCATGTTTTGGCGTCATCCCCATCGAAAACCCCGTTGATGTACCCAATGAGATCGTTCTTCGTGTTGATCTTGTCGTCCGGAACCCCATTGAGTCCGTGTCCAGAAATTTCCACCTTGCTTTCCCAGCCGCCTCCGGTTTACGTGCCAGCTCGTTCTCGAGGGTCAGCTTCTTGTCCCACGAGGCTTGCAGCTGTGTGAAGTAGTAATAAACCTCACAGAGATCGCTGTCGTCCTTTTCGAACTTCCCGATGGTCTCGCTGGGAACCTTCAGAACCGACGTCAGCTTTCGTAGCCGAGTCCATAAGCCGGGGATTCCAACAAGCAGCTTAAACTTGGTCACAGGATCCTGGTTTTGGATAGCGTCCAGTATAGACCCTCTAGCAAGGCTTGCACCGCAAACTTAGCCGTACGGAGATACTGACATGCGTTGTAGTGGGAGTACCACCGCGTTGGAACCACCTTAACAAGGTCGTGCTTGATCTGGTACTGCTCGCGCTTGGCCTGAAATGCAGCCAGCACGTGTTGATGGTTTCGCACGAACTTGATCACCGCCATCGCGTCCGCCACCGTTTCACGGAATTCTTCCATGTTGCATATGTCCTTGATCAGCAGATTCATTACATGCGCCGCACAGCCGTTGGCAAACACGAGAGGGTGTTCTTGTTCGATGATTTTCCAAGCACCGCGCATGTTTGGAGGGTTGTAAGTGATCATAGCGATACATCTAGACGCCCCCAGCTCCTTAAGGACTTCCAGAATGTCTGCCGCAATCCGCTCCGAGGTTTGAGGAATCCCAGCCATGGATACGCTTTTCAAGAAGAACGGCTTGTGACCAGGGATGATGACGATGTAGTTTACTTGGTGTTCGTTCCTCGAGTTTGACCATCCGTCACTGATCAGTGTGAACGAAGTCGCGTCTGCAATGAACGTCTGGCCCACCTCCCACAGCTCCGTGTACTGCTCGAGAAGAAGCGACCCTGATAACGTCGCTAGCACTGACCATAGGACTCGAGCATCTGCATAGCCCAAAGCTGACAATGCGCATTATGGCATTTGGGCGCTGTTTGGCACTTGATATTGGAGCACCGCCACTCCGCACCTTAATTATCAAAATGCACGATTGCCCCAAAGCTGTAGTGTTGATTGTTGGAAACCATGCTTCTAGAGTTACCGTCGAGGACAGATAAATTTGCATACCCCGCCCTAAACAAATATATCATACGACAGGCTATGTGTTTCATTGGTCTGTGATGAAGAAGTTCTCAATGCGCCGACGTGGGATGGCTGAGAACGCGTACATCGCTGGACGCATCACTGAGCTGGCAGAAGAACCGCGGTCGGTTCGCATGGTCAGTTCGCTTTACGGACGGCAAGATTGCTTACATGCAGTGTCAAGAGCTCGCAGAACTCCTGCCATTCAGTTTCGCAATGGGGTTAAACATCGACGGGCTTCCGCAGTAAGGTCTGCGAGCTGATCGAGACACCTCGACAATTGCTACACTGCACCACTTACGCTGAATTTCATTCGTTTACCCTGCAGACCTTCGCTAGGCTGCGTAGCGAGGCCGGTTATAGGTTGTTTACGCTCAATGCATCCCATGTGATTTCGTTCACAATCATAATTTTTTTCTTACTTGAGGAAATCTCAATTATGGCTTTACTTGACACCTATCCGAAATATACTCGCTGGGAATCTTTTCCCTTTCAAAATCGATCAGAGTACGCTGAAAGTAGTTGTACTTTTAAAAACGTATGGGTCGTTTTAATACTGGTAGGCAATTGGGTAGCAAAAGGACAACAAGAAGAATAATGCTTATTTGACACTTGCATTTGCTATCATTTCGTGGCCAGTTAGTATCCCCGAGTTGACGTGTATTTAGCGTACTCCCTATACACTAACGGTAGAGTCAGCTGTACGTGTATCATGCACCTCGCCGCGTCAGCATCTCCTCACCACCTTTAAACCACATGCGCACGGGTAACTAATCCGCGCACACACCTCTCGCCAGCAACTTGGACACGCGTCAGCACAAAGTACACAGCGCAACGCCATGACTTGCGTCAATGGACTGGATAATAATAACAGTTAGTTAGTGTCTGGTAAATTTTGCTAACATGTATTTGCCGAACGAGCATCACTAATTCTTGCACAAATATGGAAATTACTAAGATTTTTACACTTCAATAACTTTATCTACGCCGATCCGATCCTTCTGGTTTTCTATATTTTATGAGATAAGACGCTTTTGATTCGATATTGTGGCCCACATTGTCCCAACTCAACGGTGCTGTCGCATTAGATGCTGCCAAGTCTACTCTACATGCCAGTGCAGCGCCAGAGCCGTAGTTACTTGAAGTGCCAGTCTAGAACGGATAGTCCCATCGGTTAGGTTGTGTTTTATTTTTAAGGACCAACTCGTTCGTTACATTTTTTTCTCTTCAGGGTGGCCGACCCCCGCCAACTAGCTCTCATGCACAGTTCATTCTTCAAATGACCCCCCCCCCTCTGTCTCAAGCCCCAGCTCCACTGCTGTGCCAATCGTCATGGTGCTGAACGTGTTCAACCTTCTCCAAGGTTCCAAGAAGGCCACGGATCCCTCCCAGTTCGACATCAACGTCTATCTGCAAAATAAAGTCGGTGCCAAGGGCAAGTGCCGTCATTGTGGGCGTGTCGTACCCTGGGCAAGGGCTCGCGTCATCTCGCACAAGCGTGCGAACTGTTACGGTATATCGTCGGCGGAGAAGGCATTCTATCATGCGCAACATGCGCTGAAGGTGATTACGCCGGCGAAGCGAGAGCGGCAAGCCGCGGAGTCGTTGCCTCGCAAGCAAACCTGTGCCCAGAAGCCGACGGCGTCATGGGTGGATCAAATGACGGTTGGAGAGCGTGATGCGATAACAAGAGCGCTGGCCACGATGTTCTTCCGGACTGGATTCCTTTTCGAGTGGTCGAGTCAGCTTCAATGAGGGCGTTGCTGATGTGTATGCGACCCGCTTACACCAGTCACATTCCCTCAGCCAAGACTGTGCCGAAGCTCGAGTCGGTGCTTTTCACGCTCGCGACTGTGCCGAAGCTCGAGTCGGTGCTCTTAGTGCTCATGCCAATGTCGACAGCTAGCCCATCAAACTCGAAATGCCTCGTGCACCCTCTGCTGTGAGCACGGGGTATTCCCCGAAGGCATTGGAGAGCCAGCGACCCAGCACTTTGATGACCAATCTGTGAGCCCCTGCGTTCAACGGTTTCGTTGCCCCGCCTATCCTCACCGAGTGCGTGGAATATTTTTCAGGACTGAGCCCGCAGCTAACTGCAGCTTCTTTGATAACGCAGGACACCATCTTCGAAGTGATCCCTGACTGCCGGGATGTCAATAGTGCGGGTTCATCGGGCGACGTGCCATAACTTCGAGCTGCCTTGTAGATCCAGCGCGCCGTCACAACTGGACAGATGACAAGGTCCCCGGAGCGATGCAAGAACAGCAGCTCTTCCCTTCCGTACTGATTGTTTTTCGCCCCGCCGAGTTTCACGCTAACGACTGAAGCCTGCCGAGGTGTCGCGACGTCACAGTTGGAATCTAGGAGGGATATATCTCCGAGCCGTAGGATGTAGTCGTGATGCGCGTTACCAATAAACAAATACTCCGACCGCCGAAAGAGGAAAAAGTACGCAAGGAGCAGCCCGCCCCATAGCAATTGGTGGCGGCGCTGAGCGAGATTCAGCTTCGATCGAATCACCCGAAGTAACGGCACCGTGATAGGCTGTTTCTTGTGTACCGGATCTGTGAATCTGCGAATTCCTCTTAACCCACCGGCGACCGTTATCCCGATTTTGCAGGGATAAGAAAAACCTCGGGGGAAAGTGCCGTTTCAAGCCAACGGCCGTGGCGACCTTTCGAGATCCCGCCGACTTGGTTCCGGCCAATCAAATTGCATTGCGGATTTCGTGCGTGGTACGTCGATTCGCGTGCGCGAACGCGTTCGCGCCTCGATTGGGTGTCACGCGTGGTTTTACGTTTGAAAGTGCAACATGAGCGCCACATTTTAGCGCTTCAACCTAATGTAAATTTCTGAAAATTAGCGGGAGGTGGACCGCACACTATCATAACCAGTAATGCGACCATAGCGTTGCTCGTGTATTAGACGCTCAGAGGCCCATACCTTTTGGTGCATGCCTGCAAGACTTGGTATGGGCTTGTCTTGGGTAGGCGTCGTGCTGTGGACAATGCTATCCATACTCCCAACAAGTACTTTACACGTCAGCATGTGGACATGAGGATCATAGTAGTTCCCAGAAGCATAGTGATTACGGAGCGATGAGACTAGTACATGGGATCACCAGGAAGACGTCACACATGCGTAGAATATATCATGTGTATTCAGCTACCACAGCGGATTCTCCTTCGTTATCGGTCGCTCCGCCGGCCTGTGCTCTCCAGCTGCTAATCCCCGGGACCGTGGTCTCGTGATGCCCTCGCAGCGCGAGGTGATCGCGTTTTCCCAATGTGCTCTCAGCCGCGGGGCTGAGGGCTAACTCCAGAGGTGGTTGAGGCAACGCCGGGAATTCACGAAGGGTAGGTCGACCAGGGCTTGACTGCGTCGATCTTGGGACCAGCTCTTGTGGAGACCGCCGTGGCGTGGACTGCGTCGACGTCGGACGCGACGACTCCGCCAGCGCGAGTTGTTGCTCGACTCTCGCCGACATTCCAGGATCCTGCGCGGGCTCTGGCAGCGGCGCCGGCAGCTGGAGCGTCTTGAAACTTGGTGCGCGCCTCGACCGCGACCTCGAGCTCCAGCGCGACGTCCAGGACTCGCAGCAGGTACAATGTTGTTTTCAGGCGTAGACATCTTGAACTCCTTGAATACACGCTTGACTTCCAATCCCCAATCCGGGCACGCGCACCAGCTGTGACGAGGCGCGAGTGCCTTTTGCGATCGGTAGAGCAAAAGCAAGTCTTGAGAATGTGACTCGATAGGCAGACGACCACGCGCTAGAGAGCTAGGATCGTCCACGCAGTGAGCTGCTTGAGAAAATATCAGCACACCGCTGGTCAGGCGCACGCTTGTGTATCCCCTTGTGGTTGGTTCTTTTGATCGGCGATTAGTATCAACCCCGCGACTCAAGAATCCACACCAGTCAACGCCAACAAACACTTCAATCCAAATATACAGAGTTAAACACAATATACAATCACACAGATACCTCTTGTCCTCTCTTCTTTTTCTAGGCCCAGGACTAAGGCCAAATCTCCAAGTCTTCGGGTCCAAACCCAAGACACTTGGACACTCTTGTGGACGCACACCACTCCTCTAAGAGGAGAACAGCAATTCAATCAAATATCGACTGATACAGCCTAATACCGATACAAATCGCTCTCAGGAGCCTCACTATACGCTTACTCCCGCAATATATAACACACCAAGCCAACACGGCGTATGTGCAGAATATGGAATAGACAAGTTCACGCCCAGGCTTTCGCAATGGATCCCTTACCTAAAGAACTTTAACGTTTTGGTGGAGAACGCTCTCAGGGCTTCGGCCCAACACGACTTCGGCACTTGAGGGAAAAACGAACTCTGTTTTGGTTAAAGGCTACATGCAAAGACGATCTTTTCAGCGACGCCTGGTCGCTGGGTTGACTACTGGATCTTTCTCCAGAGTGTTGGTCCTGATTTTTATTGAAACTTGAAGGGCCGCCGTCGTGGGTAAACCTCAGATCTTGAGATGATATGAGATCATCGCGAGAGTCTTGGGATTCCCGTGATTCTTGAGTCTGGGTCTGGGAGGAACCTTGGTTGAAGGCCTTCTCGAGTTTTGTGCGAAGCAAGTCCGGGATAGCAGGCTCCATAGAGTGGCAATCTTGAGAATATATTGGGCAATCTGGAAAGCACCCCGAATACCGGTCGATAACTCGTGCCGAACTCCACCTTATTCCAAGATTCAGGGAAGGATCACACGCATTCCCATGTGCTTCTGGGAACGAGATCAACTTGACCGCAGCAATGCCCTTTTCAGGGGTGCCGGGTACCCCAAAACCATGCTCTTGTTTTGTAGACCAGACCTCGAGACTCCGCGAATAGGTGTCCAACCTCGGGAATCCATCACCACCTTACGCGACAACACCAATCGCCACATTGGGGAGCTGATCATGAAGGCAGGCTTCACATCTCCATGGAATGCACCGCGCCACATGAGTCTAGCAATTCAAACGGCTTGATGTATTGCTCCGTTAATCTAATGTAAGCTAAAACTATCCTGAGCTTCGGTCGTCCGCCGATCTACGAGCCTCACTGGGAGCTACGACAGGCTGTCCATATGGGGCTGGTCAAGGCCCGAAAGCGCATTGTACATGTCCGGCTTCTGAGAGACCGCGGCCATGCTGTCCACGCAAGGCCTCTAGAGGGGCGCGGGCATGCCGTCAGTGTCGAAGTTGTCGATCGCCACGAACGTGCGCTCCGTATCGGGCTTGGCGGGGACTGCAAGCGTACTGTCCAAGTCGATGTAGCAGAGGATCGGCATGCAGCCCGAGTTGGGCTGATCGGTGGCCGCGTGCATGAGATCCGCTCCGGGCCGGACTGGTCCGCGAGCATGCAGTCCATTCCGGGCTTAATCAAAGCCGTGGACGTGCCGTCCGTATTGGGGGTGCTTTGGGTCCGCGGGCATGGGGTCCGTGTCGAGCAGATCGGGGGCCGCGGATCTGCCATTCGTGTCGTGATGGTCTGGGTCCGCGAGCGTGCTGCTCGCGCAGGGCTGGTCGGGGACCACGGGCGTGCTGAACTAGACGAGGTCGTCGGCATGGCGTTGGTGCCGGGTATGTCGGGGGCTTCGATCGTGGATTGCTTGCCGGGACCATCCGGGGCTGCACACAGGCTCACTGAGCCGAGCTTGGGGAGGACACCGAGCATGCTGTCCGTGCCGGGTATTTCGGGGGCCTTGGGCATGCCGTCCGTGTCGTCCGTGGCGTCGGTGCCGGGCATGTCGGGGTCAGTCGGCGTGGCGTCGGTGCCGGGCATGTCGGGGGCAGTCGGCATGGTGTCGGTGATGGGCATGTCCGGGCCCGCGAGCATGCCGCCCCAGTAGACAGCAGCAATTTGGTTCGGCAGAGGTCGGATGAGAGGACGCAGGAAGCCGGGCGCGATCACGACATTGTAGGCGCTTGAGTGCTTGTCAGCATTTTTAGAAAGGATCTTTCGATGCGGGGCGGCGGCGAGTTTTGGTTCCGTTCATATGCCCACGAAGACGCCTCTAGATTCCGAACCCAGGGGGGAAGTTGTAAGCAAATCTATTGGTTATTTCAGGAGTAATTGGCGATCATTGGTGGAATCGTTTGAATACGTGCGATTATTGGTGGAATTGCTTGATGGCAGCAGGAACCGCTCAAGCAGGATGGCGCGAAAGGTGATGAAGATGTGCACGTTGAAGATTTGCGCGTTGAAGTGATAGCGTGACGTGCATAGCGTGACGTGCATAGCGTGACGTGCATAGCGTAGCTTAAGTGTGGAAGTCATAAATGGCAGTAGTGCCACAAACTAAATTCTCCCGCATTTTGCTACCCTACAAGATGAGTCCATTTTGGCCGCAGTAGCGGTCACCGGCGGTACGAAATCACAGCCGCCTGACGTCTTAGCTTTAGTACCGCGCTCACACCCATGTAGAAGATGTAGTACGTGTATTCTAGGCCGCGGCGCCGGCTCCCCTCATGTCAGTGGCGCTGCCGGCGCCGCGATTCCTTCCTTCTTGCTACCTTAAGTACCCATTTTGGCCGAGGTGCCGGACACCGGCGCCATGACGGCCTAGAATAGTTTCATTGCATCATTGGCTTGGTGTTTAGCTAGGTTCTACAGCTACTTAGGCCGGCTGCTAGGATTTCATGGCGCCGGTGTCCGGCACCTCGGCCAAAATGGGTACTTAAGGTAGCAAAAAGGAAGGAATCGCGGCGCCGGCAGCGCCACTGACATGAGGGGAGCCGGCGCCGCGGCCTAGAATACACGTACTACATCTTCTACATGGGTGTGAGCGCGGTACTAAAGCTAAGACGTCAGGCGGCTGTGATTTCGTACCGCCGGTGACCGCTACTGCGGCCAAAATGGACTCATCTTGTAGGGTAGCAAAATGCGGGAGAATTTAGTTTGTGGCACTACTGCCATTTATGACTTCCACACTTAAGCTACGCTATGCACGTCACGCTATGCACGTCACGCTATCACTTCAACGCGCAAATCTTCAACGTGCACATCTTCATCACCTTTCGCGCCATCCTGCTTGAGCGGTTCCTGCTGCCATCAAGCAATTCCACCAATAATCGCACGTATTCAAACGATTCCACCAATGATCGCCAATTACTCCTGAAATAACCAATAGATTTGCTTACAACTTCCCCCCTGGGTTCGGAATCTAGAGGCGTCTTCGTGGGCATATGAACGGAACCAAAACTCGCCGCCGCCCCGCATCGAAAGATCCTTTCTAAAAATGCTGACAAGCACTCAAGCGCCTACAATGTCGTGATCGCGCCCGGCTTCCTGCGCCCTCTCATCCGACCTCTGCCGAACCAAATTGCTGCTGTCTACTGGGGCGGCATGCTCGCGGGCCCGGACATGCCCATCACCGACACCATGCCGACTGCCCCCGACATGCCCGGCACCGACGCCACGCCGACTGACCCCGACATGCCCGGCACCGACGCCACGGACGACACGGACGGCATGCCCAAGGCCCCCGAAATACCCGGCACGGACAGCATGCTCGGTGTCCTCCCCAAGCTCGGCTCAGTGAGCCTGTGTGCAGCCCCGGATGGTCCCGGCAAGCAATCCACGATCGAAGCCCCCGACATACCCGGCACCAACGCCATGCCGACGACCTCGTCTAGTTCAGCACGCCCGTGGTCCCCGACCAGCCCTGCGCGAGCAGCACGCTCGCGGACCCAGACCATCACGACACGAATGGCAGATCCGCGGCCCCCGATCTGCTCGACACGGACCCCATGCCCGCGGACCCAAAGCACCCCCAATACGGACGGCACGTCCACGGCTTTGATTAAGCCCGGAATGGACTGCATGCTCGCGGACCAGTCCGGCCCGGAGCGGATCTCATGCACGCGGCCACCGATCAGCCCAACTCGGGCTGCATGCCGATCCTCTGCTACATCGACTTGGACAGTACGCTTGCAGTCCCCGCCAAGCCCGATACGGAGCGCACGTTCGTGGCGATCGACAACTTCGACACTGACGGCATGCCCGCGCCCCTCTAGAGGCCTTGCGTGGACAGCATGGCCGCGGTCTCTCAGAAGCCGGACATGTACAATGCGCTTTCGGGCCTTGACCAGCCCCATATGGACAGCCTGTCGTAGCTCCCAGTGAGGCTCGTAGATCGGCGGACGACCGAAGCTCAGGATAGTTTTAGCTTACATTAGATTAACGGAGCAATACATCAAGCCGTTTGAATTGCTAGACTCATGTGGCGCGGTGCATTCCATGGAGATGTGAAGCCTGCCTTCATGATCAGCTCCCCAATGTGGCGATTGGTGTTGTCGCGTAAGGTGGTGATGGATTCCCGAGGTTGGACACCTATTCGCGGAGTCTCGAGGTCTGGTCTACAAAACAAGAGCATGGTTTTGGGGTACCCGGCACCCCTGAAAAGGGCATTGCTGCGGTCAAGTTGATCTCGTTCCCAGAAGCACATGGGAATGCGTGTGATCCTTCCCTGAATCTTGGAATAAGGTGGAGTTCGGCACGAGTTATCGACCGGTATTCGGGGTGCTTTCCAGATTGCCCAATATATTCTCAAGATTGCCACTCTATGGAGCCTGCTATCCCGGACTTGCTTCGCACAAAACTCGAGAAGGCCTTCAACCAAGGTTCCTCCCAGACCCAGACTCAAGAATCACGGGAATCCCAAGACTCTCGCGATGATCTCATATCATCTCAAGATCTGAGGTTTACCCACGACGGCGGCCCTTCAAGTTTCAATAAAAATCAGGACCAACACTCTGGAGAAAGATCCAGTAGTCAACCCAGCGACCAGGCGTCGCTGAAAAGATCGTCTTTGCATGTAGCCTTTAACCAAAACAGAGTTCGTTTTTCCCTCAAGTGCCGAAGTCGTGTTGGGCCGAAGCCCTGAGAGCGTTCTCCACCAAAACGTTAAAGTTCTTTAGGTAAGGGATCCATTGCGAAAGCCTGGGCGTGAACTTGTCTATTCCATATTCTGCACATACGCCGTGTTGGCTTGGTGTGTTATATATTGCGGGAGTAAGCGTATAGTGAGGCTCCTGAGAGCGATTTGTATCGGTATTAGGCTGTATCAGTCGATATTTGATTGAATTGCTGTTCTCCTCTTAGAGGAGTGGTGTGCGTCCACAAGAGTGTCCAAGTGTCTTGGGTTTGGACCCGAAGACTTGGAGATTTGGCCTTAGTCCTGGGCCTAGAAAAAGAAGAGAGGACAAGAGGTATCTGTGTGATTGTATATTGTGTTTAACTCTGTATATTTGGATTGAAGTGTTTGTTGGCGTTGACTGGTGTGGATTCTTGAGTCGCGGGGTTGATACTAATCGCCGATCAAAAGAACCAACCACAAGGGGATACACAAGCGTGCGCCTGACCAGCGGTGTGCTGATATTTTCTCAAGCAGCTCACTGCGTGGACGATCCTAGCTCTCTAGCGCGTGGTCGTCTGCCTATCGAGTCACATTCTCAAGACTTGCTTTTGCTCTACCGATCGCAAAAGGCACTCGCGCCTCGTCACAGCTGGTGCGCGTGCCCGGATTGGGGATTGGAAGTCAAGCGTGTATTCAAGGAGTTCAAGATGTCTACGCCTGAAAACAACATTGTACCTGCTGCGAGTCCTGGACGTCGCGCTGGAGCTCGAGGTCGCGGTCGAGGCGCGCACCAAGTTTCAAGACGCTCCAGCTGCCGGCGCCGCTGCCAGAGCCCGCGCAGGATCCTGGAATGTCGGCGAGAGTCGAGCAACAACTCGCGCTGGCGGAGTCGTCGCGTCCGACGTCGACGCAGTCCACGCCACGGCGGTCTCCACAAGAGCTGGTCCCAAGATCGACGCAGTCAAGCCCTGGTCGACCTACCCTTCGTGAATTCCCGGCGTTGCCTCAACCACCTCTGGAGTTAGCCCTCAGCCCCGCGGCTGAGAGCACATTGGGAAAACGCGATCACCTCGCGCTGCGAGGGCATCACGAGACCACGGTCCCGGGTAACGGTGCACCTGTGCGTCTTGGGTTGGCCCCGGGAGCCCAAGTTCTTGGACCTGAGGTTCCTGCACCGCGTGGCCACGCGCTTCCGAAAGGAAGTCTCCCGGTGATCCCCCGAGGAGTGAGTGGCGAAGCTGGAGCTGGAAGTGGACAACTGGTGTCGTTCGCCGATGACGAAGCTCGTGCCTACGGCGTGGAACAGCTGAGGCGCTGGGTCGCCCTGCCTGGTGAAGTGATCTCTCCGGTCGACGTAGTCTATGACGAGGCCGAGGACGAGTACGACATGGAGGCATGGGTGAAGGCTGCGCTTGAGACCAGTCGCTATCTGGGGCTTTTGAACGCTGGCCGCCTCTCGGAGCCTTGGATCTGTTGGTTCGACGCCGGCGTCAACCCTTGGTCACTGACCTGAGAGCGATCTCGGTGTCGCCGAAGCTGCTCCCGCCGCTGTCGTGTGTTGGGCTTCTCCAGACGATGCTCATGGAAGCTGGCTTCGAGTTCTGCAATGTCGTTCCGATATGGAGCTCGATTCCTGAATTGGCCGCTGTCTCGGAGAACCAGATACGCCGCGGAGTCGAAGAAGTTCAGGCGCGGATTGCCGTGGAGTGCCTCGAGTGGAACAAGTTGATACGTGGTGTGGGGTTCCACATTCGCCAGCCACTCGACCCACTGCCTGAAGTCCGCCCTGTGTCTCCGGCTGACAACCAAGCGTGTGACGAGGAAGGTGACATCCTGATGATCGACGACACAGTGGGGCTCCTGGGGCTTGAGTTGGTCCGCAGACTGCGGATCACGAGAACTCGCCCGAAGACCGTGTGAACTGGTGGGAGCGTTTCCATTACGCTGCATCCCTCGGTGCATGACCAGAGACGATGAAGCTCAGGCAGCTGCAGAGCCGCCTCCCTGCTCCGATTCGTGCCTGGTACAAGCAACTTCCGGAGCGTGACCAGAAGAGCCGTCTTTCGATGCTGTTCCGCCGCGAGTACTGTCGCACTGAGGCGTCCCCATATGGCCGGTACTACGAGTTGAGCCCGGACTCCGGAGAAACAGCTCGATCGTTCCTCTATCGGCTCAACGCTGCTGCGAAGCGTGCTGACGTGGACTACGAAGGTTCAGCCAGTGACCGCGAGCTACACATCCGGAGATTCATCAAGAAGATCTCGGATCGTCGTCTCAAGATTACGTTGCAAGGCCAGAGATTCCTGTCAATTCGCGAGTTGGAGAAGACATTGAAGCGAGTTGAAGCATTACAGCGAAATGACGACGGATATGAGACTCCGCCCCCCCCCCCCCCCCCACCGATCCCGTGATCACAAGACTCATGGAGTTCGATTCAGCAGATTCCCGTCGCAGCGCCGAAGGCAACCCGAGAGGTCCTACCTGTCAGCAGGTGAAGACTCTGACTCTGGTGATGAAGATGCGCAAGCTCAAGAATCCGAAGATAAGCCTGAGTCCGCACCTCGACCAGGAACTCCTCCTCCGGTCTCGAGCCGTCCGACGGCGACTGTGAATATCGCGAGAATTCCTGAGGCTCCTGTTCCGACACCCCGAGCTCCAACGACAGAGGAGATTTTCCGAGCCGTGGAGCAGATGGGCTGGCGTCCGCCACTTCCCCCTGCACCTCCTCAATCGCCACGTCGAGACAACAACGTCTTCTGTGAAAAGTGCCGCGCATTCGGCCACTCAGCCCAGTACTGCTGGCAAGACGTGATTTGTGACCGATGCCATGAGACTGGACATCCGACACACCGATGCAACCGTCGACCGTGCTAACTCTGTGCTGACTGGGCTGCCCTCAAGGCGGTCCGTGAGCTGGCGCGGAAGGGTGCACTTCAAGACCTGCCTGACGGTGTTCTGAAGTAATTGCTGAAGAATGAGACGGGCAAGTCTGGGACGTCGTTAAACGACTAGGCTCGCTGGGTAGGGACCCAGTGCGTGCCGAGCCTAAGTCCCAAGATTATTGTGCCCTTGCATTTGTTGGTCCAGACCTTAGGTATCAGCGCAATAATCCCAAATGCATGTCTGCAATTGCCCGTGATGAATCGGCCTACGCTGCTCGTGATGTTTCTCGAGAATACGCTCCGCGTGGAGCGGAGTTTGAAGACGAGAAACCCGTTCATTTTCCGCTGTTGTTTGGGGAGGGATATGGCTGGTGGTCGAATCATTCGCTGGAAGACAAGCATGCGGTTGCGTTGGTACATGGGGCGATCAACAATCACCGAATCCAGGTCATCCTTGACTCTGGGGATATGGACGACTATCCTGAGTCCTGGCCTTGCACGCAGGTCGGGCCTCAAGCGGAAATCGCACGAGTCTCTCGTGCGATTCCAGCTTGAGGCCCAACTTGCGGACTCGGTGGCGTTGTGACGTATATCAACGCGCAGACTCAGGTGAAGTTAACCCTGGGAGTGCGCGTGGTGTACGTTCTCAAGATGTGGGTCGGAAACATTGGAGATGGAGTTGATTGTTTGCTCGGGATGGATTTGGGCCACCTGCATTGACGAGGACCGGGTTATTAGCCGTTGCTACCACCCGATCACTGCCGCATGCATCGTCGCCCATGGGCTCCTTCTCTCTTGGCTTTGGCGCGCTGTTTCCATGCTCGGCGGGGGTCCTGCTCTGCGCTTCCCTTGGACCCCGCAGCACCACTACCGACGTCTACAAGTGCGCTCCCGCTAGTATTGGCAAGCACCAACGCCCGGTTCTTGCCCTTTTCGTCCAATGGCGTGCCGGAAATGGGTCCGGCGGATTTAAGCGTGCTTGTGCGCGACATAGCTGCCGCTGGCGCACCGGTCTTGTGTCCGGCGTCCATAGGCTCGCTACGGCTCGACTCGGCGGCGGTCGCGGGCGGGAGGAGACACGGTTCGGCGGACCTGGGCGTGGTTTTGGGGGGGGTGCTTGGTGGCCGTTGCCACGCCCCGGAACGGCGCGGTGGTGGTCAGGGGCGGGACGATGCTTGCCTCAACAGGAGCAGGTGTGCCGCCTTTGTGCACCACCAGCTCGGGCGACGCACTGATTGGCGCCGTGGCCTTGGGTGTGCCACTTACATGGCTGCGCTGCTCCGACGGCGCGCTGGCACCCTCGGGCACCTCGGCTTCGGGGCGTTTCCCCCGCGCCTGCTCTTGTTGTAGCTCTTGGATAATATCGCGGCGGTAGTGTTTGATAAACCGTGCTGCCCAACTTAGTTTCGTGTTGTCATTCCGGGCAGCGAATTCTGGTATTTGTTCACAATAGCGCTGGAGCTCCGCAGGCGTCACCGAGCCGCCGTCGCGCAAACATTTCTTGAAAAAGTCGAGCACGCGCGATTCGTACGGCTGGATTTGTCGGTCTGGTCCGGCACCTTTCTTTCTCTTCCCGCTGACAGATAAGCGAGGCTCTCTAATGAACGAGAGTTCCTTGTCAGAGAGCTCGTCTCTCCAGCCTACAAGCGTAGTTCTCTTTATGCCCATGGCGACCGCCGCCTTTGAAGCGGTTTTCCATTGCTTTCGGTTCTGTTGCCATTTTTTCAGCGCCTTAATCTTTTCCTCCTCCGTGGCCTGCACCTTGCGCTTCTTCTCCCCGGCGGCCTGGCTCTGTTGGATCCGGTGTGGTTCAGAAAGGAAGGCGGGGAAGGAACGGTTAGGTTGTAACCGGTTACGCAACTCCTTTCCGGTTAATTGGAAGTACCGTACGTCAAGTTACTCAACCGTGACGATTTATCCTGCATGCAATATGCAGGTTTACACGACAGTGATGACTTAGCTTGCATATGGTATGCAGGTTTACTCGACAGTGACGACTTAACTCGCATACGGTATGCAGGTTTACTCGACAGTGACGACTTATCTTGCACACTATGCCAGTTTATTCGACAGTGACGATTGATGCTGCATGTATGACGATAATTGCACTGGGGATCTGCGCTCAGTGCCAAGCTCTACCGGGGTGCCGAGACTACACTTGCGGAAAGGATCGCATGGTGGTGAAGGCAGGGGCCACCTCGGCCGACATCTACCCAGCATCCGTCGATGCCATGTGCGGCCTCGGAAGCGGCATCGACTATGTCGGGAGTGACATTGGTAGCAAGTTAGCAGGTACGACCAGGGAGTGCTGCGCCATTTGCCAGGGCTGGAATGGGTGCCGCGCGTTTTCGTGGAAGACAGGAGTGTGCTATTGCTGTAGGTGAACGCCTTGCAGCCTTGGTTATTCTTGCTGTGATCGCAGCAGTAGCCCGGACTGATGGCCGGCACGTTGGTGAGGTCCTTACCGACGTAGTCGAATCCGTTCTCCATGCTGCAGACCGGGTGGGCTGCGATGGGAATCAACTCACGCAGCAATGGCGGGTTGCGGGCCTCGACACAAGGAAGCCGCAGCGCTGCCACCAACGTGGAGAGGAAGGAGAAGCTCGTCATGGTTTCACTTTGTATTTTTCCTCGAAAGCGACGGACCTATCTACTACCGCAGGCAGCTACGGTACCAGCCTTCTCGGTTCAAGACGACCTGAAGCGCCGACGGGAACACAATGTGCAGGACTGCAAGAAAGCCAAACAGAGTTGCATAGAGCCCGCATCTAGTCGGACATCGACACGATGTCGTTGCCGACGTAGTCGATGTTGCTTTCGAGCGCGCAACCGTTCAGCGCCTCTGTCGACATGACTGCCGAAACCACGTATCGACTCTGGCTCACCGTGTCGCGGCCACTTTTGAGCTAGCACGTGCCGTTGTTGTGCGACACCTCCTCAGCGTTCATATGCTGTGGATATGTACGACTTGCGTGGCTATATTGTGAGTAGTGGTCATACCATGAGAGATACATTGGACGGCAATCAATCTACGAAGAAATATGTAATTTGTGCAAACAATCATGGTGGGTTAAGGCTCCTAACAGTCCTTTTGGAGTGCGCGACTTGCTAGCGGAGGTCAACCACCGCGTCGAGAGGAAGACGGTCCGAATATTACTTCAGGACTCATAGCGGGTGCATCCGTGAGCAGTGTTGCGTTTGGTTGATTAGCAACCCCAACATACGGGTAGGGTCCATGATGAATGGTATCCACTGCCGCATTGGAAACCCCCGTGTGTTGAGCAAAAGGGTTGCTTGAGTATGCAGTTGGCCAGACGCTAGCAATGTCTGAGGAGTAGCCGCGGGTCATCAGTGCTGTGTGTGTGTCGGGTTCGGTGGATGGCATGACGGATGGTGTATACGCCAGGTTGCCGCTAAAATGCGTTTGACCGAAAGCAGTCCCGTCTAAAAGCGTATCTAAGCCTTGAGCTCTTGAGGTATCTTGATACGCGATGTGAGCTTCGTCGGTACCCACGAACTCCCCCTGTGCGTACCTAAAATCGTCGAATTCCTAATAATCTGTCCTAAACACAATCTCCTAAATTCTTGCCTAAAATCCGGAGAGACACACATTAATAAACATCTTATATTCAGTATAGCTTGGCAGGACACTCGCGCGTTGGTTCTCGTCTGCGGACTTAGCGACGGGGCCGCGGGGGGCCCGCCCCTCTCTCGCTTCGCTCTGGGGGCGCAGCTACGCGGCCTGCCCCACCCCCATGCCCCTTAAGCTAAGTCCTCGTCTCGGCCAGGCGCGGTGTCTGAAAAAAAAATATCGGGTTGCAGCGCTCGCCTTCGCTCGCTCGCGCAGACACGCCCCCGCCTAATCGGCGGGTGTTGGCGATCGGTGAATGCACCGAGCGAGTCTCGCGCTCGCATCCGCTCGCCCTCGCCCTAATGTTACTCACGGTACTTAATTTTCAAGCATCTTGACCTAAAATCAGTCCTAAAATTTGGGTGGTGCACATGAAACATATGTCGAATTTTAGGAAAAATCCTTAGGAAAACGACGATTTTAGGTAGGAACAGGGTTCTCCCGGTACCCATATGCTGGTAGCTTGGTAGCGAATCATAACTGCACGTAGTATGAGACGGTTTCCAGGCCCCGTAGCTATTCGTACACGCTTCACTCTTCGTAATATCCTGAGCTCCAAAACTCGCAAACCCTTGACCGCTAGCAATACCCTGAGCTCCAGATCTAGCATGGCTGCATGTTCATGAAATCTTGAGCTCCAAATTATCCAGTAGTGCTTTGTGGCTGGTTCCACGATGCAACTAGCCTTTCGGGAGCGACGTAGTTTCCAGAAAATGCTATCCGATCCTGGATCGTGTCCCCAGTACTATGTACACACTACGTAGGTTGTCCCAGTATTGCACCCGGTCCAGAACTTGTAAGTAGATTCGACCAATTTGAAGAATCAACCGCGCCTGTTGAATCGACTGCATTCCGCGTACGTTGTTTTTTACGTGCACGTCTACACACAAGCTTCTCTCCGACTCCATTACCGAGGCCAAGGACAGATCGCGCTACGACAACATGTGCACAAACCCCAAATTTGAAATGGATCGAACAGCCACAACTATTCTCCTCGACATCAACCAGCCAGCCGTTTGTAGGCATATTGACCCGGTGTGCGCGGCACGTAGACCACTTCACGCTGTCCCTGTACAATCGTGCTGTTTAAGCTTTCTCAGCCTTTGCCAAGAAAATGGAATCAAGAGCAGGTTCTTCATCGGCTCCTACAGCAATCAAATGCGCGAGTCGACGCATTGTCTCCATGGCTGCAACGTCAATTGCCACCTCCAGAATATGTAGTACTGGCACTTTTGACGCATCAGGAGTAAGAATTACAGCCACCGCTTTAGTTTTTTGCATCGATTTCGCTGCATGCTTGAGCTCCACATTAGGACCCGCAATGCGGACGGTAGGTGAAGGTACGTCGCAGCCAACATCCTCCGCCAGTGTGATCATATTGCGCAAAAGTGAGCAGATCTCGTTAGTCTTACGATGAACATGACGCTTCACACTGGCGTTGAAAACCTCACACGGGTTATTTGTGGTGGCATAACTAGACGGAGAGTGAAACACCTGCCATCACCAGTAACGGCTCTCTGTCCATTGCTCTTCAAAGTATTCCGCGAAGGATCGCAAACAAGGGTGTACTCTCCAACCAGAAATGACCCGTTCCTTGACATCGCAATACTCAGTGTAGCTGGTGGTGTAGTGCATATCCATGATTCCCTTAAAAACAGCGACGCCAGGCGCGGTATCGAGATGCCGTGTTCTCTTGTGAACATTGTAAAGGACGTGAAAAAAACACATAAGGTCCTTGGCCTCACTGAATACGCCAACACTCCGAAGCGCATTGAACTGGGCATCTTCGGCATCACCCAAAACAGCGTCGACGCGAAGAGGAGTCTTAAACAGTTTCTGGTACAGCTGAGCGACACACCCAAACGCTAATTCGTATTCACGATGTGTTCGATCACTCACAACGAGTATAGCTGATAGATGGTAGACCCTGGACCGATCGGTAAAACCACACGTAATAACAGGATACTCAGGTCGCTCAGTTTAAAAGTGGCGTCGGTGTGGAATAGCCGGAAATGTTCATCACTTCGAAGTTGGTTCACTTTAGTGAGTAGACTCAGCGTTGTCACACCCAGGACAAACAGGTTTTCATCGCTTCCCGTCCCAATAAGAGGATGGCCATCATCATCAGCATCTGTAGGCCCAAAAAGAAAAGCCTTGCCGCTGTCAGTACCATCATAGTACGGGAACTATTTTCTTTAAGTTCTTCACTGCTTCCCTCGTGTTTCGCGTAAGGTTCTTTTTTCGGAGCCGCTTCACACAGTCAGATACTTGCTGCCGCGACGGTAAACCCAAAGGAGGTGCACGAACATCAGTCGCTCGCCGAAGATTACTCCAGATATGGCGGGGTCTCACACCGCACGAATCCATTCGCGTGATAAACGCTTTCACCTCCGTCGTTACTGGAACTCGATGTTTTCCGCTGCATACTTCATCGCCGCGCAGGTGCGCTTTGTCGTTAGCGTACACTCTCCACGCTGGCTTCGTCTCACATTCCCAGTACTTCCATTGAACACCACACTGCCCACCTCCATGCGTTGCCTCCAGTCTAGCGCACGATGGGCTAATGCATTCTAGCCGCCGCTCGGTCATACCGTGGTCCGCTGCACATAGCCTACAGTCTATTTGCCGCGTTGCGTACACCCCCGACCAGCAGAAACCGGTTGCACGATGCCTCACGAAGTCGTCCTCAGTTGCATGCTCCGCTAGTTTCTTCCACGCGGGGCGTGGCATTGGCTTTGGAGAGGCGTTCTGAAATGAATCAGTGGTGGTGAGACTTCGTGCGGGTAAGGTTTCCAAGAGCCCAGCTGTCCAGTAATGCCACATTCACGGGTTAGAGCCGTCTACCAAGAAAACCTGCATACCGTATGCAAGCTAAGCCGCCACTGTGTGTGCAAGATAAGTCGTCACTGTCGAGTAAACCTGCCTAGCACTATGAAGAAAACAGGCACCGCGTATGCAAGATAAGTCGGTAACCTGCATACCGTATGCAAGATGGGTCGACACACGTCTTGCCTTGGAATGCTAGTTAAACCGACACAGTTGAGGAAAGCCGCATTGCCTATGTATGTTGGCTATGCGGGGTAAATCGTCACTGTCGAGCTGGTTAAGCCATCTGATGCAAGATAAGCCGGCATTGTCAAGTATATCTGCACCGAGTATGTGGGGTAAGTGACTGACGAGTACACCGGCTTTGGAATTAAGAGAAGGCACCAAAGGCGAGTCCTATGGAGTGCAGAATAAATCGACAGAGCGGGGCAGACCATTGGCGCGATTATGCCCTCGGGACTTGCCCCGGTTGCGCACCAAAATCAAATCCATTTTGCCAACGCCCGCAAATCTGCTTGCTGGCGCCCCAAAACCGCGGTTTCTGTTTGCTGGAGCCCGTTTGGTTTTGCTGGCGCCCCATTTCGTTTTGTTTTCACCCTAAAAGGTGTTTGTGCGGTCTCGTTCCGCGTACTAAACGGATTAACCCCACGTAGTTTTCTGGAACGGATTAGCTCCGCGTAGATTATCAGGTGGCATGTCTAAAAAAAACACATCGAGGATTTGTTGGCAGTGCCAGTGCAAGCTTGTTGGCTGGCTTCGTGAAGGACTACCAATTGGTACAACATGCACTTTGGACGCTGTTTTGGGCAGTGTGAAGCGAGAGCTGATGTAGCTTAATGTATTATGCATGATGCCTGTCACCAACGGTGCAGCTTCCGTCAGCTTCGGTTTGGTAATGTACTGCTCAATTGTGACTGCCGATGTGGTGAATGGTTACACACAACAGGTACGACCTGAGATGCACATGCATATACTCTACTCCCGCTTTGGTCGTCCCTCACCTCTATAATGCCGCCGCGTGGGTCGCAGAGCCACTCGGCTAGTCGATATTATCTTATATTATCTTCGAGGCTTAAAGCTGCAGGTCTCTAAACGCTATTGGCGAAAGTGTTAAGGTCAGGGAGCCATTGGAGAGGCTCAAACCTGTTCTCACCACCCCATCAGTTTTGTTTTGGCTTAGCCGTTAGGTCTACTGAAGGCGTCGTTGCAGTAGCAGAGAGGGGTGCCAAGCTCCCGGATGAGCCCTACGCGCAAGCTCCCGGATGAGCCCTACGCGCAGGTAATCTCTGTTTTAAACTCTACGTTCTGATAATCCGAATGAATTATACACTCAGAAGTAATCCCTTTTCTACGTGGTTTTAATCTTCCCTCGTCCTGGCCGTGCAGAGGAGCATGCCGAGCAGGTTGGGCACCATCACGAACATGTCCCCGACCGTGATGCTGTAGAGCACCCAGAGCGCAGCGTTTCCGAGGAAGACGGCACTGATCGTGATCGGCAGCGAGGACGCGTCCTTGGTCTCAATGACCTTCTTCATGTTGGCCAGGGGCGACGCGTACAAGGCGATGTTGATCGCCACAGCGATGAAGCCGAAGGTGGAGGCCACTTGATCGAACGTTTGGCCCGTAGCCCCGCAACTCCCGAGGATTAAGTACAAAGTCCCAGCGGCGAGAACGCACGCCGCGCGGGCCCAGATCTTGTGGATGGCCGCTCGGTCGGTGCTCCAGCGGTAGTAGATAGAGCTAAAGAGTCGTCATGCCGTACATGGTGCAGACCAGGACGGGGAAGATGTTGTTCGTGGAGCCGCCGTAGATGGCCCACATGAAGCTGTTGCCAGCACGTTGACGACGTCGGCGAACCCGTGCTCTCCGGCGATGTCCATGGCGCTGCGGCCCTGTTGGTCCTGCACGCTGGCGTCCGCGCCGTGGGCCAGCAGCTTCTCGACGTGCTTGGTGAGTCCGTAATCGGTGGCGTTCAGCAGCGCCGTGTCCCCGGACTTGAAAACGACACGAGCGTCAGGCACGAAAAGAAGTAGCCCACCGCAGTCAAGTCACAGGCCGATCCACGGAGACTCTACCTCGTTGGGCTGATCCACGCAAGCAGCAGGTCCAGTACGCTGGTGTCGATGTCCCGATACGCGGACCGATCGCGTTTTTGTCGGCGCTTGGACATGGCCATCTACAGGCAGTTGCAGCAATAACAAGAGCAGAGGGCAGCGGGTTAGTCCGAGTCTTAAAGGTGCAGTGGCAACGGCAGTGAGGAGGCGGTACCGCAACGGGCGACTGGATGTCGATGCAGCGCGAGCGCAGCAGCAGCGTGGGTCGCATCTTCTGGAGGCAGATGCGCATTACGTCGATCTGCAGCGCCGTCATGCCCGCCTAGTAGCGAGTAGATGCGGGTGGGTGGTGAAGCAGCACAAGCAACAGAGGTAAAAGTTTAGTCACTTGACCTATGTACTGGTAGAGTGCTACAGGCAGACAGGCAAATTGCCAGCTCTGAACATAGCTAGCCTAGCACGGCAGAGGGGAGTCAAAGGTCGGGACGACGAGGCTCTTTGGCTCTCGTTCGTCACCTTAGGTAACAACGGCGCTTCAACGCACATAAAGGGATCGAGCCGTCTGCAGTCTCCTGCTGGCAGGGGCACCGCTGGCAGGAGCTGGTGGTAGCAGCTCTACGGCTTTGGGCATGCACGGGAAGGCGGAGCACAAGGCGGGCACCAAGGGAGGCCCCGACAACATGTACAGCAGTACCGTATTATGCTCGGCCTAAAACAGTTGCAGCCGCCTGCTGTCAAAAATCGCTTTTGGCTTGGCATCCGCATAGCACGCGATGCAGTCAAGGAGACTACGCTTACGGGCAGGATTGCCGTGTGCCGGCGCGATACAGAGGAGCGATATCTTCTACTGTAGATTCGCACTAACACTTGCTTGCTGCCTTGAAGCTCGCGGCCAAGAGCTGATACTCTGCGGGTAGCTAGCTACTAGCCTCTAGCCTCCGTAACGATGTCGTAGCGGTCGACAGCGCTTCGACTTTTCGGGGGACCCCTCCGGACCGCGCGCCGGCCACTGAGCCGCTGGCGATGGCGTCAATGACGACCACCACCCCATTCATTCAAGAACTTTCGCGCTAGGAACGCAACGAACGCGACGATGACATCCATGGCAACTCGTCCACCGCCACCAGCACCAGCGCTACACTCGTCAAACTCCGATGTGGAGCAGAGGTGGATGGACGCGGCCGAGGCCGGCGACGTGGCCACGCTGCGCTCGCTGCTGGCCGGCTTCCCCTACCTGCTCAACGCGCCGCTCCACCACCAGGTTGGCCCCCAACAGAGAGGAGGAAAATGGAGGAAGGAGGAGGAAAGAGTGAAGTAGCAAAGCCCATTCCGACTAACGACATGCACTACTACTTGTCCGACGTTGCAAGACCTTCAAGCGCTCCACGGCGCTGCACCTGGCCGTCTGGAGGGGCCACAGCGCCGCCGTTGAGTTCCTCATCGACCGCGGTGCCGACATCGAGCTGCAAGACCAGGTGCCTGTCTGCCTATAGCACTCTACCAGTACATAGGTCAAGTGACTAAACTTTTACCTCTGTTGCTTGTGCTGCTGCACCACCCACCCGCATCTACTCGCTACTACTAGGTGGGCATGACGGCGCTGCAGATCGACGTAATGCGCATCTGCCTCCAGAAGATGCGGCCCACGCTGCTGCTGCGCTCGCGGCGCTGCATCGACATCCAGTCGCCCGTTGCGGTACCGTCACCATCAGCTCCGCAGTCTCTCAAGGCGAAGTCTCAAGTCTAACTCGATTCGTGTGCTGTCCTCTGGCTCTTGTTGCCGCTGCCGCTGCCGCTGCCTGTAGATGGCTATGTCCAGGCGCCGACAAGAGCGCGACCGGTCTGCGTATCGGGACATCGACACCAGCGTGCTGGACCTGCTGCTGGACCACAACGCCTGCGTGGACCAGCTCAACGAGGTATCCGTCCACCCGCCTGTGACTGGATGCTGCCGAGCTTCTTCAGCTTCATCATCATCATCGTCCTCTTCTTGTGCCTGACGCTCGTGTGTCCGTCTTCTAGTCTGGGGACACGGCGCTGCTGAACGCGGCCGAGTACGGACTCATCAAGCACGTCGAGAAGCTGCTGGCCCACGGCGCGGACGCCAGCGTGCAGGACCAACAGGGCCGCAGCGCCATGGACATCGCCGGAGAGCATGGATTCGCCGACATCGTCAAAGTGCTGGCGGAGAACTGTCCCGGTTTGGTCAACTCTGCCGGGGTAGAGTGTCGTCGATCTCCTTTCTTCAAGGGGAGAGCGGAGCTCGCGAGACTGACATTTGGGCTGTTGTGTGGGCTGCGCTCTGACGCAGGACAAGACGCTGGTCATGGCCGTGCGGCATGAGTACTCGGGGATTCTCGAGGCGCTCTACGACCGCGTGCACGACAAGCTGTCCGAAGAGGACGGCAATGAGGTGGGCACGCAGTGGGAGACTTGGGGGTCTTCCTCCTAGTAACGATCGACTTGTTCAATGCTGCTGACCATCGCTCTCTGTTGCGCTCGCCAGCTTGGCAGCCGCCTGCTCAACATAGCGGCCGAGTACGACGCCCCGTCCTGCGCACTGTTCCTGCTGAGGCGCGGCATCTCCGCGGATTGGACGAACGCCAGGGGTGAGAACGCCGTGCAAGTCGCCTGCGCGCGTGGTCGTCCCGAGATCCTCGAGATGCTGCTGCAACGGAAGGAACCGGACGACAGCAGTACCACGGACCCCGCTACCGTTCGCAACGACGCAGCCGTGCTGAGCCATCCGTACATCAAGATGGACGTGCTCCAGAAGTGCAACAGCAGTGTCAGCTTCCTCGACCACGACAACCGGGTACGTTCGTCCCTCCGTGAAACATTGCCAGCACTGATGACACTAACAATGCGAGTGTGTGCAGCGGCACCCGTTCCCAGTGTTCGTTGCCGTGAAGATAGGTGCTGATCCGTCACAGCGCCAAGTTCGACTTCCCCACTCGACGAAGCCGCGACTCGGTGCGTGCCTCCTGCTCGCACTGGTCCATCGTTCTCTCGCCTCTCACATTGTCTTGGCGGTTCTCGTTTCTTTTAGATCGTGCCGTTGCTGGCGTCCTGGTTGCTGTGCGTTGCGCCGTCGGAGGTGTCCAAGCTGCTTGTGGATCTCGCGTGCTCCGAGGCCATTCGGCACAAGGTGAGGTTCAGTAATGCGTTCACGCTGGAGATGTTATAGCTGCGCGCTAATGGCCCGGCCTGCATGTTTTCCCTGCATGACTGTTCGTCGTAGCAGCTCCGCCATGTCATCCTGGCCCTCACGTGGCAACAGTACACACACGAAGCGCTCACGTTCGCGCTACTCATTATCTTCTTTCCGCAAGCCGTGGAGGTGGAGCAGGTAGGCGTCCCTTGTACCGACTCCGCAGTGCTCGGCTCAGTTCAGATAACCCGTGCTTGTGCTTGGTCAATGATGCAGACGCTGGCCATCGTTAGGCCCTGGATGGTGCGTTGTGAGGTGAACCTCGTGACACGGACACTGCTCACAGACGCATTGAACGCGTGACACGATGTATATAACCGCCCTACGTCGGTATGGGCACCAGATCGATCGTCCGCATTCGCTTGTAAGCGAGTTCCTTAATGCGACGGCTTCGGAGCGAGTAACGCGGTCTATTCTGTCACGAGCAGCGTGCTGAAAAAGAAGCCACGTAGGAGTTGCAGTAGTAAGAAATCAATTTCGATTCGTCGGCCGTCTTTGATGCACTCACGTTCGAGTTTCACTGCAGACTGCAAGCTGCAGCGTTGTGGTAGTGAAGCGCACGTGCAGCAGTTGATGCGATACTTCACCTCGGTGCTTTGCGCCTTCGCGGCAGTCTAACGCTGCGATGTCTAACGTTTGACTTGCAGCTGTGCTGCAGGAGGCTCGACGCGGAGTGCGCTTGCGCGTGTTTGAGACGTTAACAAACACGGCGAAAGCTCAGGACGGAAGCTCCCCATTCAATATAGTATTACTTTCCTCGACGGCCTTGCAGCTTGTTACTTTCTAGCTGCTCAGGCAGCCGTCACCTGCACACCCTTGGATCCGTAGGTCTCCGGCAGCAGCGACCTGGCCTCACCTCGTCCCGCCACGAGAGGCGTCAACGACGTCGGTTCCGGCAGGAACACGGGCCCTTGCACTGCGACCTTCACACTGAGCTCGTCGCGCTCGGAGGCGGTCGTGATGACCGGTAGCGGCCGCGCGCGCTCGGAGCGCAGAACCCCCACGTCCGCGTCGGGCAGCGGCGGGTACGCGAGGTAGAGCCCCACCTGCACCAGACTCAGCATCGTGCCCAGCGCATTGGGCGCCAGCACGAACATGTCGTTCTGGGCGATGGCCAGCGTGGACCAGAGCGCGCCCGACGTGAGGTTGGCCACGCACAGCGCGATGGGCATCGACGCCGCCGACTTGAGGCGGACGACCTTGCCCATGGTCTCCAGCGGCGACGCGAACAGACAGATGTTGGCCGTGACGCACACGACTCCGAGCGTGGCTGCGACTTGGGCCGGCAGCTGGTTAGTGACGCCCTGCACGCCGAAGATGCCGTATGCGGTGGCCAGCGCCATGGCGAGCCCCGCGCAGATCCAGAGCTGGCACGCGTACTGCCGCTGGTCCGCGGAGCTGCAGCGCACGTAGACGACGGAGAAGAAGACGCTCGTGGCCACGCCGAACGCGTTGACAACCACGAGCGGGAAGATGCTCTGGGCCACGCAGCCGTAGACGCACCACATCCACGCGTTGCAGAAGAGCATGACCACGGGCAGTAGCGACGTGTCCCCGGGCGAGCCGCGCCGCTGGATGCGCTGGAAGTCGGGCCACGGAGACACGTAGAGCACCACGGACGAGCACGTGGCCAGCACGCGCAGCAACTCGAAGGCCAGCGTCATGGCTGCAGGAAGGGAGGAAGGGGGGAGTGGAGGTGCAGTAAGTACAGGTCCCTGGTCCCTGGACGTCTGTCAAGGGGGGACCAGCCGATCGTAACGGTCGAAACAGAACCATCTGAGACCGAACAACAGCTGGTGTACCTCTCGAAGCGGTACAAGTTGAAGTTGTCATTGCGCGAAGCTCGCTGGGTTTGGCTGGCCGCTCCAGCACGCACAAAGTCGACAACTACTGAAGCTAGGGCCTAGTAGAGCGGGAGGCCAGAGTAAATGTTAGGTGCCGAGCTGCAGCGCTGCGTTGCTGTGCTACTTGAACGCTGAAATAGTGGCATTACGTGCTTGAAGGGCCACGAGTCGACCACCCGAAGATAACTCGGTCCGGCCAGCACGCATCTCTGTGTCCGACCGCACAATCCCATGGGCCTGAAGATATTTGACTGGTTGCGGCGTATCGACATCATTCAAGACGTTTGGAAGGACTCGAATATGGGATCGTGTACCCGTTTCAGGAATTCGGCGAGGAAAGCATTGACTGCCAACTACACGCCGCTGCAACGCCGCGGATCTTCTTGGTAGAGTCGTCCTCGCTGCAGCACCAAGGCGCGCAGCGAAACGGGAGGATGCCAAGGTCAACTTGACTCTAATTCAGTCCCTACATCAGACGCATAATGAAGCAGCTTGACCACCTTCCATCCCCCCCTTCACTCCACTTCCCATCTCGACACTGACAGCTCAAAGCTCAAAACTTGTCGGCAAACGCTTCAAGTGCAGACCGAATGCTCGCGCTCTCCATCGTCAACGTCGCTGCGACGATCTCGTCTGTGGCGCTATGCCTGTCGCCGTACCCAGACTTCCGCCGGATCCACACTCAAACGAGCACGGGCGAGGTCCGCATCCTCCCCGTCTTGATGCTCTGCTGCAACTGCGTGTTGTGGGGTCTGTACGGCCTCGTCAGCGGCAGCTACTTTCCCGTCATGTCCATCAATATTTTCGGGACGCTCACGACGGTCTCGTTCGCCTCGGTCTTCTACCGCTGGTCGACTGATCGAGCCACGTTGAACAAGATGGCGGCCTGCACGGGGCTGGGGCTTCTGACGGTGGTGGCTTTCACGATCCTGGCCCAGACGGGGGCCATCCCAGTGTCGACCGACGGACTGGTGGAGATCCTCGGCTACTGCGCGGTTGCGATCAACATTTGTCTGTATGCGGCTCCGCTGCAGACGATGAAGCTCGTGATCCGAACCAAATCGTCGGCGTCGCTCCCGATGACAATGTGCGTCGTGAACCTCTTCAACGGAGCGCTCTGGTGCGTGTACGCCATCCTCAAGAGCGACATGTTCGTGCTGACCCCCAACTCGGTGGGCGTGGCGATGTGCATTGTCCAAGTGACGCTGGGTCTCAAGTATCACCCCAAGACGCAAGAGATCGACGAGGCTGAAGTGGTCGAAGTCGCCGTTGTAGAGGCGCAGAGGCCCAAGATGATCGAGGAGATCGTCCAGCTAGAGGAACCGCTGTCCCGCGCCAAGAGCGAGATGGCGCTGGCAGTCACCACGTGCGCGGAGGCCGTGGCGTTCGAGTTCGCGCGATCTAAATCGTACAGAGTAGTAGCGACACCGCAGACAGCTTAGACTTGCACTCGGTTTAAGATACGAAAATACTAATGTATATTTTATTCAGCCATGGCTATGGCGTCTCGTGTTTGAATGCAACTCCTGCTTCGTACAACTAGGCGGGTGTAGTAGCATGTGAGTGAGCAACTGAAGAATTGGACAAACGCTTCGACAAATGACCTATTGCCGACAAACAACCCCCAATGTGCATCGTTCAGACAATCGTCCCAAGCAACAACGCCGAAGACCATCGTATCAGCTACTTAACTCCTACGAAGTATCCACGAACTGCGTAAATGAATCGATGGTTACCACTAAGACAACTAAGACATTTCCCTTCGTCTTCGTTCATAATCAACTAAGCTCTTCTAGCGTTCGACTGGGAACCAGAAGCTGGCGATTCCAACGCTGTCAACGGATATGCTAGACCTTATTTTTGCGCTCAAGTCGAGGAATGCATTGGCTGCTGGTATTTCAGGATCCTGGCTTCGGTGTCTGAGCCAAACGATCCTGCAGCAGGATTCCTGCTCCTTCGCCTTGGTTGTTGATCGAGTATGGGGTCATTCCCAGTATTGCTGGCTACTTGTGCTGGTAACAGGCTGCAACATGGCAGCCGTCCTTGGAGCGCTCCGAGTGCTCACGACCGTCGCAGCTCTCATGGTGGGCATCTCACCCCTGCCGGACTTCTACCGCATCCACAAGACGCACACGACAGGCGAGGTGTCCATCTTGCCGATCACGCTGCTCTTCTGCAACAGCTTCATGTGGGCCATCTACGGCGGCTCCGCGAACAATATCTTCCCCGTGCTGGTCTGCAACATGTACGGCATGGCGACCTCCGTCGTCTTCAGCTCCATCTACTACCGCTGGAGCACCGACCGAGCGGCCATCCACAAGATCTGGGCCCGCGCGGCGTGCGTTCTCGCCGCTGGGACTTTGTACTTAATCCTCGGGAGTTGCGGGGCTACGGGCCAAACGTTCGACCAAGTGGCCTCCACCTTCGGCTTCATCGCTGTGGCGATCAACATCGCGCTGTATGCGTCGCCCTTTGCCAACATGAAGAAGGTCATCGAGACCAAGGATGCGTCCTCGCTGCCGATCACGATCAGTGTCGTATTCCTCGGAAACGCTGCGCTCTGGGTGCTCTACAGCATCACGGTCGGGGACATGTTCGTGATGGTGCCCAACCTGCTCGGCATGCTCCTCTGCACGGCCCAAGTGGCGCTCTACATCAAGTATCGACCCAAGGGTGGCCAGGACGCGGACGAGTCGACCAACTTCAACAAGAGCAAGCTGGCGGAAGGACCTCAGAGCTACTGGGACCACATCGCTCACTGGGTCAAGAACCCCTTGGGCTATGAACTACTGAGCACGCCGGTGGCCCCGCTTCCGAGATAACGTACATGCAAGCTAGTGACGGGAAGGCATTATTTGCTCTAAGACCACCGATTTATCAGCCTACTCAACACTTGTGCGACCAACTTTCAATTGATACATCACTACTGTTCACAGGCCGTCCGCACACTTGCGTTCTGGCCGCCGAGCAGACTCAGCACCGTCAATCCTCGAGTGCCGGCATAGCAGGTCAGGAGGGGTGGAAGCAGAGTCACCCCTTTCAGCAGCAGCGGGTGTCAGCAGAAACGGAAGCAAGAAGACGCAAAGTGTCACGGATACATGGTTTCCAGAGTTAACCAAGTAAATGAAAGTCCGACATGCAAAAGCATCAACAGCCTGCGCTTCGGCTGAAACGCGAACTACACGGTAGAGCTACATGGGCCTTACTGCGACTGCTGCTGCTGCTCCTGGATCTCGTCCGGGAGCGATGTCACGGGGCAAGGAGTCGTCGCAGCAGGCGTCGAGGTCGGGGCCGTCGTCGTGTCCGGAAGCGAAGTGATAGGGCACGGCGTGGTGGACGAAGGTGTGGACGGAGCCGTGGTCGTGTCCGGAAGCGAAGTCACCGGGCAAGGCGTAGTGGTTGAGGCTTGCGACGCACCGGTATCCGGAAGCGAAGTAATAGGGCACGGAGTGGTCGACGAAGGCGTGGAAGGAGCCGTCGTTGTGTCCGGCAGCGAAGTCACGGGGCAAGGAGTAGTCGACGAAGGCGTCGACGGAGTCGTGGTCGTGTCGGGAAGCGAGGTCACCGGGCAAGGCGTGGTGGTTGACGCCTGCGACGCACCGGTATCCGGAAGCGAGGTAATGGGGCACGGCGTCGTCGCCGAGGCGTGCGAGGCGCCCGTTTCCGTGTCGGGTAGCGACGTCACGGGGCAGGGGGTAGTGGCCGCGCCCGAAGCAGGAGCTGCAGTGTCCGGCAGCGAGGTAATGGGGCACGGGGTCGTCGCTGAGGCGTGCGAAGCGCCCACGTCCGTGTCGGGGAGCGAAGTGACCGGGCAAGGAGTGGTGGCCTCCGTGTCGGGCAACGACGTTACGGGGCACGGGGTCGTCGCATTCGTGTCCGGCAAGCTCGTCACCGGGCATGGCGTAGTCGCATTCGCGTCCGGCAAGCTCGTCACCGGGCATGGCGTAGTCGCATTCGTGTCCGGCAAGCTCGTCACCGGGCATGGCGTAGTCGCGTTCGTGTCCGGCAAGCTCGTCACGGGGCAAGGCGTGGTTGCGTTCGTGTCCGGCAGTGAGGTGACGGGGCACGGGGTGGCGGCGCTGCCCGAGCAGCCCACGGACGGGAAGACGCAGCCCCAGGTGTTGCCGTTCACGATGGTGCACTGGGCGTCCTCCTTGGCCGCGCACTGGGCGCCGTTGAACGACGGCAGGTACGAGTGGCAGTCGGCCGTGGCCACGTCGCCCTTGAGCGGGCAGGCCGTGCCGGCGGGGGCGTCGCCGGCGCCGGAGCAAATGGCGCCGCGCGAGGCCGCGATCGTGTAGGTGGCGTCCCGGCAGACCGACACGTCGGTGTCGGCCGAGACGGCCCCGACGGCCAGCGCGGCCGCAAGGAGCGTCTTGGCGGTGATCACCTTCATGCTAACGCAGTGGCTGGGTGGGTAGGTACAGGGGCCGAGTCGGAAGTTCCTGTGTGCTGAATTGGGAAGTGGCCATGGAGAGGCAAAGCGAAAGCACGAGCAGCTCCGCTATGATAGCATAGTTGCAGTTGCGCGGGAACGAAGCAGGGCCGCCTGCGGTTGTTCACTTGGGCTCTGTATGGGCCGATCGTCTGCTTGGTACCGAATTCCTGTGACAGCCGGATTGAACCGAAAAGGGAATCCGTGCGTAACTCGCAGCAACTTTTCAGTCTTTGACCCCATGGTGATCGCCGAAGTTCGGCCTCGGTGCGATCGGTCGGGAGTTCATGGAGGCGTGTGTGGCTTTGGTGCTGGAGGTGGCGGCTCTTTGGATGATAATGGACGAACACGTTCGATCGCGGTAGGGATCTACACGGCATCGACAATGCGCAGCAGCGTCTTTGCGCGTGCAAACCGGTGAGCTTCAAATTGACTCACCAATTGAATCTCGCCGGGTTTTCAAGTTGTAAGCGATAATGGAACGAAGCTGGCTAGAGCGCAAAGGTGTCGCCGAGGTAGAGGCGGCATTAGCAGGATTGTCAGCTAACATAGGTATTATAGCAGATGCTCGCCTGTCGAGAGTTTTGACTTGCAGCGAATGCCAAGAATCATGCTTGCTGTACCCGTACTGTATTGTTGACTTTGCAATGTTGATGTGGTCCCGCGTTGAGTTGTCTTCACTACTGTACTTGTAGTGACAAGAAGTTGTTGACATTTTTGCCAGTTTAGCCAGTAGTGCGCCTCGTATCGAGGTGCCTCCGTTGGTGTCCGCTGCCGTAGAAAATTAGATTCTGGCTCGGGTACAAACAGTTTTAGTTCATTCCAAACATATATTTCTGGAATAATCATCTAGAAAGTTTAGAAATGAGTTAGAACATCTCAAAACATTGAATCTGAAACGTCAAACGCCGTGGATACCGGTAAATCAACTTCTGTCGAAGCTTTCGATTTATCAACTCTTGACTCATACTTAATCCCTGCTTTCCTGGTAGGCAGCCGATTCCAGCCAATTCCATCACCATGAGCGACGCCGCCGCCGCCGCCGCCGCGCCGCCGTCCACGGAGACGGCGGACGTGCCGCCCAACCACACGCTCTATTTAAACAACCTGAATGACAAGATCAAGGCCGACCGCATGAAGGCCACGCTCTACGCGAGCCTCTCGCAGCACGGCAAGATCCTCGAGATCGTAATGGGCCGCGCGCGGCGCCTGCGCGGCCAGGCCTGGGTCACGTTCGACGACATCCCGAGCGCCTCCAACGCGCTGCGCGCCGTGAACGGCTCCGTGCTGTTCGACAAGCCCGTGGTCATCCACTTCGCCAAGGAGAAGGCCGACGTGATCGCGCGCCGCGAGGGCTCCTTCGTCCCGCGCGAGAAGCGGAAGCGCGATCCCAAGCCGGCGCAGCAGCAGCAGCAGGCCAAGAAGCAGGCGGGTGAGGGCGGCGCAGCAGGGTCCTCGGGCTCAGTGCCCCCTCCGCCCCCGCCGGCGCAGAACGTGCCCAACAAGATCCTGTTCCTGGAGGCGCTGCCCGAGTCCTGCAACAAGGAGATGCTGAGCGTGCTGTTCAAGCAGTACCAGGGCTTCAAGGTGCGTTCTGGTGGCTCTATTGCAGTGCTGTGCTGCTTTGCCAGGTTGTGTGTTGTTTAACCTGCGTTGCTTGTTCTTGTGGCTCGTAGGAGGTGCGGATGGTGCCCGGCAAGAAGGGGCTGGCGTTCGTGGAGTTCGGCGACGAGGCGCAGGCCGCCATCGCGCTGCAAGGACTCTTCGGCTTCAAGCTCACGCCGACGGACGCGCTCAAGGTGTCGTTCGCCAAGAAGTAGCTAGGTTGGGTAGATCCGCGGGGGTTGAAGAAGGAACCGCAGCAATTCAAGTCTCGTCGAGTCGAAGGTCGACGGCCAGCGGCAGACCAGTTGACCCGCTTGGAGCTTAATGGAGCAGCCGTCAATGTCGGTAGCGACTACGTATGCATTCTCTCAATACAGTAAAGCAGGCCGCGAGCACCGATAGCGCGGTTCCGATCTTCCTTCCCTGCCGACGCTTTGGGCGTCAGCGTCCCGAGCATTTTCGTGTGGCCGATTGACTTGGCCCCGGTATGAAATCCGTGCCAGAGACGCTCCTCGATATCCTCCATTCACCAATCCGCATCCCTCCGCCGCCGCCCCTCCTCCCTTCTCCACTCCCTCCATGGCGAGCCCCAGCACGACCCCCGCGACCAGCGGCCTGGAGGCGCGCGACATGGCGCTGGCCAAGAACTCGCCGGAGCAGCTGGCCGAGCACCAGCGCGTGACGCAGGGCAAGGTGCGCACGCGCTTCCCGCCCGAGCCCAACGGCTACCTGCACGTGGGCCACGCCAAGTCGATGAACATGAACTTCTTCGAGGCCTTCGAGAAGCTGGGCGTGCCGCAGGACAAGCGCGAGACGTACTTCCGCTACGACGACACCAACCCGGAGGCCGAGAGCAACGAGTACATCGACGCCATCGCCAACAACGTGCACTGGCTGGGCTACACGCCCACCAAGGTCACGTACAGCAGCCAGTACTTCCAGGAGCTGTACGAGCTGGCGCTCAAGCTCATCCGCAAGGGCAAGGCCTACGTGTGCCACCAGAGCAAGCCCGAGATCGAGGCCTCGCGCGTCGTGCTGCAGCAGTTCCACGCCACGCCCGGCGCCAAGGACGAGAAGGACGTGCCCGAGGCCGGCAAGTCCCCCTTCCGCGCGCGCTCGGTGGCCGAGAACCTGGCCGAGTTCGAGAAGATGCGCCTCGGCCTGTACGCCGAGGGCGCGGCCTGCCTGCGCATGAAGATGGATCTCGGCAGTCCCAACCCCAACATGTGGGACCACGTGGCCTACCGCATCAAGTTCGTGCCGCACCCGCACATCGGCGACAAGTGGTGCATCTACCCCACGTACGACTACACGCACTGCATCGTGGACGCGCTGGAGCACATCGACTACTCCATCTGCACGCTCGAGTTCGAGACGCGCCGCGAGTCGTACTACTGGCTGCTGCATGAGCTCGACCTGTTCAAGCCCAATGTGTACGAGTTCGCGCGGCTCTCCATGACCTACACGGTGCTCAGCAAGCGCAAGCTGCTCAAGCTCGTGACGTCCAAGACCGTGCGCGGCTGGGACGACCCGCGCATGGGCACGCTCAACGGCCTGCGTCGTCGCGGCTTCACGCCCGAGATCATCAAGCAGTTCTGCAAGGAGATCGGCGTCACGCGCGTGCAGTCGACGATCCAGATCGAGCGCCTCTACTCGGTGGCTCGCAGCATTCTGGGCGAGTCCTCCAAGCGCGTGATGGCCGTGCTGGACCCCGTGGAGGTGGTCATTGAGAACTTCGGCGAGGCCCCTGACAAGAGCGCGCTGTCGCTGCGCGTGCCGGACTACCCGCAGGACGTGGACCGCGACGGCGGCAAGGCCTACCACCAGGTGCAGCTCACGCAGAAGCTCTTCCTGGACCGGAGCGACGTGCGCGCGGAGGACTCGAAGGACTTCTACGGCGTGGCGCCCAACAAGCAGGTGCGTCTCAAGTACGCCTTCCCGTTCACGTGCACCAAGCTGGAGACGGATGCCAGCGGCCGCGTGACCAAGGTCGTGGGCCAGATGGACTGGACCAACTCGGCCAAGCCCAAGGGCGTGCTGTCGTGGGTGCCGGCGAACAGCCCGAAGGTGGAGGTGCGCGTGTACTTGCACCTGTTCACGGTGCCGGAGCTGCCGAGCGACGTCAAGGACTGGGAGTCGTTCGTGGACTCGAAGAACTCGGAGCGCGTGTACGCCTCGGCGCTCGTGGACCCGGAGTCGTACGCCAAGAACCTGGGCGAGATCGTGCAGTTCGAGCGCATCGGCTACTTCGTGCCGGACCAGGACTCGACCAAGAACAAGAAGGTGCTCAACCAGATCGTGGCGCTGCGCGAGAGCGGTGGCGAGACGGCCAGCGGCGCAGCCGCGTCGGGCGCCAACGCCAGCCGCAAGGACGCGCAGATGCAGCAGCTGGTGCTCAAGATGGAGAAGATGAAGCTGTCGCCCGCCGACATGTTCAAGAAGCAGCCGGAGCTCTACTCGCAGTTCGACGCGGAGGGTCTGCCGACGCACAACGCCGCCGGCGAGGAGCTGACCAAGAACCAGCGCAAGAAGCTCAAGAAGGAGCAGGACAAGCAGAAGAAGCTGCACGACGCCTACCTGGCCAAGGAGAAGGCGTAAAGATTCGGGTAGAGCATCTAACAAACAAAACACGAGTGTCTTCGGCAACAAAGATATACTTCGAAGTACTACTCATGTATGACGTGTATTGCCTGTCCTGTTGTAACATACAGTACTCACCGAACAACTTGTTGCGCACTCATGCGGGAAGCTGTCACAAACTAAGGGCGACACCACAAGAGTTTTCCTCAGGATGATCTCCAGCAGTGCTTCGCTCCTGACTTGAGGGAGACCGAGGATTTCAACTCAGCAAGACCCGATCAGCAACGGAAACGCTCGGCAAGAGCAGGATAGTGTCCCAGCAATGTTGTGTCTTTTGATCGAAAGGAGTTCACGACATATATGCTTCGAACTCGTTGATCATGATCACCACGCGAGGGTATCAGAAGCATTGGGAAGCACGGACCATTGCCAGTACTGAGAAAGTAGCGGTCAGAGGGAAATGACGTCAGGACCGCAGCGACTGATTTATCGGGCAGTACGTCGAGAAGGAATGGCCCTGGACTTGACGGCCTTGATCTGCAGCGCTCACTTGAGTTGACAGTAATGCTGCAGCTCGAGAAGAAGACGCTGGGTACATGAAGCTTGCGGTGACGAGTTTCGGCGAGGGCGAGGCGACATCTTGAGCGCGAGTTTGACGCACATACGTTAACTTTATTAGTTAGGGCTCGCGTTGGGTGGAGAGACTTGACTCGCTGGGCTACTGCGGGGGCGTGGGGTTATCGTATAATACATCTTGTCTCTTGGGCGTCCCCAGCCTCGCTCGCTCCTTGTCCGCATCAACGCGAGCTGTCGGGCTTGGGCTGGAAGATGATGAGCAGGATCAGCGCCATGGCCATGATCACGATGAGCCCCACGAGGAACTGGATGCACTGCTTGAAGCTGTCGGCCTCGTCGTCGGCCTCGCTCGCGTTCGCCGGTCTCCGCACGAGGTAGCCCAGCTCCACGTCCGACTCGGAGCCGGCGTCCGACGCGGACGAGCTGTAGCAGCACAGCAGCGCAGGCGGACACGCGGAGGCCCTCTTGCCGGCGCTCGCTCCTTGTCGGCGGCGGCCAGGGTTCCTCGCGGGCGGCGGCCGCCGGGTCCACTCGGGGCTGCGGAACCACGGCAGCGGGTAAATCTCCTCCTCCGGCTTGGGCAGCAGCGGCGTGCGCTCGCTGCGGGCCGTCGCCACCTTGGATCTGCTCACGCCCACCACCTCCACGCGCGACGAGCTCGCGGGCGGCTCCGCGCGACGCGCATCGGCGGCCACCATGGCCTCGTCAGTGAGAGAGGTACTGTTCCGCTGCGGTCTCCGTCGATTATTCCGTCAGTCACTAAAGCGGGGATTCCGAGGTATTTCAGGTGTGGCACACAGGTGTACCATCGCCTGTACCAGTCGCCCCGCCAGCCTTTCATACACCGGACGCCAAACAAGCGGCCAGCAGCGAGCGACCCGACCGACCGACGGCATCAAGATGGCGGCCATGCTCGTGAAGAACGCACTGCAGCTGAGTCTGCGCGCGCGACAAGCCGCGTCGGGCGCGCGCGCCCTGTCCAGCGTCTGCAGCGGCAGCTTCTCCTCCTCGCCCAGCGCGCTGCCGCACCCGGCCGTGCTGATGATGGCCACGCCCTCCGCCCACATGAGTGCGTGCTGCTGCCTCTCTCTCTCTCTCCTACGTCTCTTTGCTGTGTCTCGCTAACACTATAGCTGTGTGCCAATGTTGCAGACGCGCTGGTGCAGAACCCGCTGGTCTTCGAGACGGGCGTCACGCGCGTGCAGATCGACGACTTCCTGCCGCAGATCAACCAGATCGGAGAGCTCGAGTGCCCCACGGAGAACCTCAACGGTGAGGCTTATGCCGCTGCTGCCTAGTGGACGAGATAGCACTCACACGATTCTCACACAATTATGGATTTTTGCTGTTGTTGCTGCTGCTCGTTCAGAGCCCCTGCAGGCCATTAAGCGCACGTACCAGCCCAGCGTCCTGCGTCGCAAGCGCAAGCACGGCTTCCGCACGCGTCGCGTGTCCATCTCGGGCCGCAAGGTGCTCAAGCGCCGCTACAACAAGGGCCGGTGGCGTATGTCGCTGTAAGGCGTTCGAGTAGAGACGGCCATAGTAGCAACGAGGGGGGGGGGACAGAGTCGACGTAGAGAGGAGGAGGCAGGTTGCGGCTAGAGGACGATGTATTGAGCGACGCTTGCTTCGAGGACTCATGCATCTCCACGCTCCGCGATTCAGGGGTGACTACTGTAAGCAGCGCGTCCCTGGTCTGCATAAAGCGAGAGGCTGCAATAGACGCACCGAGTGAACATTAGCTGGTACTGTAGGTCGTCAGATGTCCGTCTATTACGTTGAGGTGGTTCATAAAGCTTTCTAGGTATCCATCGCGGCTCGATGCGTGCACTTGTCGTCTACAGCAGCACATTGCCCATGTACTTCTCCAGCGCCGGCGAGAAGACCTCGTAGATGAAGGTCACGGGTCGTCCGCCGTTCCAGAAGAGGTAGGAGCGGCCCCAGAACGGCCCCGGCATTCCGAAGGCCTCCTCCAGCTCGGCCGAGTGGCCGCAGAAGACGCTCTTCATGTCGCGGTACAGCTCGGTCTTGTGCTGGAGGATGTTCTTGCCGATGGGGATCTTGGTGTCCTTGAACACGGCGCCCACGTCCTCCACATTGATCCACGACGCCGCGTAGCCCAGACGCTCGCCGCGCGCGTTGCGCAGAAAGACCTGGCGCCTGCAGCGTGGAGCAGCGATGGCCTCCACTTCGCACGGCGCGTTGTCCGGGCTGTCCCCAACCGGCAGCATTCCGAGCACGTCCACCTCGGTCGGGGAGCCCGTGAGCAGGCCCAAGTGGTGCGTGGGCGAGCCGTTGCCGAACAGGAAGAGCCTCCAGGCCGCGCTCATCGGCGGGTGGCCCAGCTACAGTCAGTCAATTGGCAGTCAGCACCAGTGGGTTAGTCGCTGTCGAGGTGGAGCTGCGCTATCTGCAGCAGGGGCTCTGGTACCAGCATCGCGTCCGGGGAGGCCTCGAACGTCACCGCCAGCTTGTTCCAGCCGTTGTCTTCATCGGCCGCCTTGTCGGCCTGCTTGGGTACTGCCGTGGGGTCCGTCGCCATGGCTGCTACGTCTACAACAGCAGCGTCTCGATGTGCGGTGCTCGTGTCCCCCGCGCTCTGATCGAGTGTTGGTTTCGATTGACGGCCAGAAACGGGTGAAAAGAGCAGTTGGGTTTGATTGGCATCGGCCCGACGGCGTTGAAGTCCGAGGTGCTCCGACAGGGGCCGCGCGCTGTTATTTACTTAGTGCATGAACTCATGGCTGGCCACCAGCCTGGTACAGTGCTGTGGTGCAGTAGGCTCAACTTTCAGCTCTTTCAGGGCATTTGCGACTAGCAATACTGCAGTTTTAATCTCCTGCGCCTTGTTCCGAAGTAAACGCGTAACTTGGCGGTCGAGTGAACGAGTCCTTCAATAGGTACGTACAGCTTACCCAGCGAAGTGTTCATGATGTGGACTCTACGTTGACCCTTGGTGCGTATCCTACCTACTCTGGTACAGTAAACAACCCTGCGCGCCCCACCGATGCTGGCAGAGGTGTTGATCTTACTCATTAGTACCAGTCAGCAGTGGTGTCAATTTCAGTGAAAGTCGGTCAGTTTCGCATGGGTTTGGAAAAGCGCGAGTTAACTCTCCACTTCGCAATTGGTATCGTCGCGTTGGTGAGCTGAGACCCACCGCACTTGGCGCTGCCGATTGCAACGCCCCAAACTAACTACCACGTGCAAACTTTGCAAGCTTTGAGTGTAAATTACTCTGGAATGGTAAAAACAGAAAAGTTACCTTTCGTAAAAAGCCGCTCTCGCGAACTCCAGAATATTGTGCTACGATACCCGAGGACATATTTTGTCCGAGCTTTTTCAAAATATTTGATATCGTCATACGTAAAATCAGTTTGCCAAATATTACAGAAATATCGTCAATCTTCGGACAATGATCAGATGTGGCAGGGTCGGACAGACGAGGCGGGCCGACAGCCATTCAAGAAACAGCAATGTCAACCAAGGCGTAGATCACCGGGAATTCCCAGCGGGCCCGAGCCACAGCGCTCAATGCGTTCGAGCGTTCTGCGACTACGGAACAGCTCACGGTCAAGGAAATCTGCGAGTATGTAGGTGCTGACGCGTCGGGCGACACGCTCTACCTTGTGCTCGATAAATTTGCTATGTTTCTAGCGTTCAGAGAAACCTCGAAAGGCATGTTTCTGTCGAAGAACTCCGTTGCTAGCTACTTTGGCAACGTCAAGAACAGCTCTGGGTGCTGTATCAGGTTGGCGCCTCCAAAAAATCGCGTCGATTCTGGACAAGCACTGCGCCAAACGCGGCACTGAGTATACGCTGCAGGCGCCACCGCGCACAAAGTCCGACCTTCGCGCGCTCAGCACAGCTATTTTGAAGGGCGCAACGTCAGCAGATGACTACAAGGACGCTGCGCTTCTGAATATGCTGTGGTATCTTCTTGGTCGTTCATCGGATACACTGGCATTGATGAAAAACCAACTAGCGGTTAATCCAGGTATGTAGTGACATCTCTATTGTTGTTAACCTTTAGCTAATCAAGCTGTGTTTTTTTATTAATGCAGGCGGCAGTCTATACATCACGTTCAAGCGCATGAAATCGGCATCAATGCAGGGCGCTTCGCTATTTCACGACCCCAACAGCTTTGCGTCTTGTCCTATCCACGCGCTAGCTGTGGCTACCATCATGCAGACAGCTCCGAGCGAGTTTTTGCTCGATCACCTTCCGCGAGACACCCAACCAGCACAGCCATTTCTCAGTCGGAGACGCCTCTCCGTGAGCTGCTCGATGCTCGCAGCCAACCCGCCATATCTATGAGTACTCACGAGAAGGATGGAGCTGTGCGCGAGAAAGTTGTGGCGGCTCCTGGTATCCATGCATACGTAAACCGCCTCCAGAAATGGAGCGCTTTGTGCGTTGTTGGTGGGGGTGGTGTGACCAAGGGGTTGTCGTCGCACTCCTTTCGCAGAGGTGCAGCTCAAAATGCCAACGGAAACAGCAGCATCAGCAAGCCGTGGATTTTGGACAGAGGGGGATGGAGTATGACTGCAGTGAGCAAGGCTTTCAACTATATTGTAAGTACAACGCACGAGGATCAACAGGTCGCGAAAACATTAGCGGGATGGGCTGTCAATGCAAAGGCGCAGCTTCCTACCTTGGAGTGCTTTGACGAGGTGGTGCTGCACAGAATCCGCCGTCTCCAGAGCCTACTGTTTGGAGCTGTCCACGGTTTCACTAGCGATTTGAGCCTGCGCGACGACGTGGTCCAGGTACTGATGGCGGTGGTGCTGCTCTACTATCCCGACATGCTCGAGCTTGGGCCTGGGTCACCCTACACCATCCGCGTACAACAGGCAATGGGGCGGCTGCAAATTCACGACGCCGAGATGACGGCATGGTCAGGAACTATACACAGCTCTATGCTTCAGTGTGAAAGGAGCGCACCTGTCGATGTCGAATCCGGCTGCCGGCACGAAGAGACCAAGCTTTCGAGCACTCACGAGCTTCTGCGGAAGCAGTCAGCCATGCTTGTTCAGCAGAGTCGAAGTCAGGTCGCTGAGTCAGCGCGTCGAGCGCCTTGAAGGTCCCACAGCAAAGCGCAAGACTGTCGTAGACCACGAAGGTTCACTGATTCCGAGCGCAGCCCGAGCAACCCTCCGTGTCGACTCGCTCTCATTCTCGAGCGAAGCAGCTATCCTGTATCTGGTACGAGAGGTGCTGTGATCTGCTTCCATTTTCACACGCAGACAGAAGGCGTTATCACGAGTGCAAGGTTGCTGTAGCGTTCATGAGAATTTTCTTACCGGGAGGGTTCAACGTAAAGGGCAGCGACGACGAAGCCAAAGCCCATATCCTGGAACTGGGACGTACTGCCGAGACCAACATTCGCGCTTTTCTTGAGGAAGCAAACATCAAGGCCAAGTCAGTCGGAACGATCGTGAAGATTCTTAAGCGCATGCATACCGAAGGTAAGCTAAATCACCGCATCGAGGCTTACCAGAGACTGGTGAACGAAGGACGGGTTGTGGATGTGACACCACCCAAGTCGTTGCACGTGCTGCTCCCTCGCTATACTTGATAGCCGCGCGACAACAAACTAGAAACATAAGGAGTTGTGCACAATACATTAACCATTTCATGTTAGAACAAATTCTCCAGCTCGAAGCCAGCGAGACAATCATGCAAACATCACGCAACCTTTTCATACTGCTATTGATGTCGGCCCCTTCGGCGGTTGCCCCGCCCGGACCTGAGCCCAGTCCACGCCCTTCCTTCTTCTCCTGTATCTCCTCTAGCCGTGGCCCCGATACGTCACCATCCGATGTTGCCGCCGCCGCCACCCCGCATGTCACCAAGTCGCTGCTGGCAGCGAGGTCCCAGCACTCCACGCACCCGGCGTCCCGCACGGCATCTCCCACCTCCGTCGTCCCGCACGACGTCGGCGCCGACCTGCTGCTGCTGCTGGCCACCAGGGGCCCGAGACCACGCCCGAGACAAGGCAGCAGTCCGCGTCGTCGCCGTCCATCTGTCCGTTGTCCTCCTGCAGCGGCGGGAGGCCTCCCTCCTCCCTGACCGAGGCCAAAACGCCGTCCGCGTCGTTGCCGTCTGTACGTCCGTGTGTCCGTGTCTGTTCTGCTGCGGGGCTTCTCTCGAGTGCAGCCTGGATTGCAAACACAATTTAACGTAAACCACATAGTATTTGCCATATTTAATAAACTATATTGAATTTAAAGGGTTGTCCGAATTCTCATGCGGACACGATATTGTCCGAACCTGCACGGTACGGATGGCATCGGTAGCTATAATACGCGTGCTATCGTAGGTACATGTACGGAGCTATCCCGCACACGCCTGGTCGATTAGCCGAATGGAACTCCGAAGTCGAAATGCGGGAAGTAGAAGTATCCTTTGAAGATTCTCTTTTCCGTGGTATGCAACTTGGCGTGGTGGAAAGAGTAACCTCGCACAAACGAGTGTGAGGGGCTGCAGATATTTTTATGTTAACATGTAAAAAAGCTCAATCCAGACTGACAAGACTTTCGCTTAGTTGGAAAAGCACCCTACAAAACTTTCGTTAGTAGCCGCATCGAGTCAGACACGCTTTCGACCAATAAGATGCTACGTTCGAAGTTTTTCTTTTCCATAAAATGGATTCGTTTTGGTACATTTGAATCCCCAAACAAGGTCGGTTTAAGAAAAAGTTGTCTGAACATGGGAGGTTGCTTGGTTTGTTTCAGGCGCGAGGTCGAGATCGCATCCGAGTCGCAGCAAGTCGAGACCGCGATCAAGCTCCCAAAGCTCCGCGGTGCTGACAGCAGAGCAGAGTGCATCATTGTGCCGAAATTTTGGCGTCGTACCTAGCGGGAAAACGCGGATATCATACATGCTTGTATCCAGCGCGCGGTTGATACTTGTGGTGTATCAATCCTGATACACCAGCCACGCTCAACCCATTCGCCATGCGCTGGTGAGGGCTCGGCCGCAGCATAGAGCGCTGCAAACTACATTACCAGAGCCCGAGGCTGTGAGGCTGAGGCTCAGCCATATTGCCGACCGGCCGGTGGTTTTGGCTGTGTGGCGCACACCGCCCTAGCCCTTGCCTAGCGGTTGCGCGCATACTGAACGCAAGTCGTTCCCTCTTCCGTTTCTTCGCGGAGCCAGCCGGGGCTCCTCAGTGCAAAAGCGAACCGGCCCCGCTCACTCGTCAGTCGCTAGACAGCAGCTAGCTCCAGCCTGCAACCCCACGCGCGCGCGTTCGGCCACGAGGACAGCAGCAGCGTACACAGCCACAGCAGCGCAGCCAACAGAGCCATGAGCACCTCGGGACGCCCCAGCGGCGTGGGCCGAGGCTCCTTCTCGGCCGGCCGCAGCTCCGAAGTCGAGCGCATCATCGCCGCCGCCGAAGTGGACACGACCTTCGCCGGCAAGAAGGCGCGCTACCGCGGCCGCCGATCGGTACGCCCGGCCCGCAATCTTACAGGTTTTATATCCCTCTGACGCTCGTGTTCGCTGTGTGGGTTTTCAGACGTGGCCCGGCGCGCTGGCGCTGTTGCTGCTGGCCGTGGTGTCCGTGGCCGGCCTGACGTACTACGGCATCCAGACGCACAACGACGTGAACGAGACGGTGGCCAGCAGCGAGGCGTCGGACGAGGCCAAGTACTCGGACGGCACGCAGATCGACGACGGCAGCCCCACGGACACGACGTCGGACCTGGCCACCACCAACCCCAAGATGTACACGGACAAGGGCTGCCAGCAGCCCAACTACATCAGCAAGAACGGCCGCATCTACGCGCAGCTGGCCGACGGCACGTCCACGCAGATCGACATCAAGGGCATCAACTGGAAGGGCATGGAGGACAGCAAGGGCGTGCCCAAGGGCCTCTGGGACAACACGGTGGACGGCGACTCGCTCTACCGCTACGCCTACTTCCTGCACTACAACAAGTTCAACGTCGTGCGCTTCCCGCTCTCCATCGACGCCGTCATGCGCAACACGGACATCGACACGAACCTCATCAACACCAACTCGAACCGCGCGCTGGCCACGGCCTCGCGCTACAACACGCTGCTGGGGCTCATGGTGCAGGGCCTGGGCCAGTTCAACATCGGTGTCGTGCTGGACTTCCACGTGCTCTCGACGTCGGACGACGACAGCTCTGGTCTCTGGTACGGCTCGTCCATCAAGCTGGCCGACATCAAGACGGCCATCACGAACTTGGCCGAGGCCATGTGCGACTCGACGCACTTCAACATCATCGGCATCGACCTCAAGGACGGCCTCAGCACGGACGCTACGTGGGGCGACGGATCCGACACGGACTGGTCCGTGGCGGCCACGGAGCTGGGCAACCACCTGCTGACCAAGTGCCCCAAGTGGCTGGCCTTCGTGCAGGGCGTGCAGGGCGAGAGCCACAAGGACACGTACGGATCGCGTTCCATTAAGAACACGTTCCTGCCCGGCTCGGACCTTTCGGGTGTGAGCGATGCCCCCATCACGCTCGATACGGACAACAAGGTCGTCTACTCGCCCAAGTACTACTCGAGCTCTTACATCCCCCGGCTATACTACTTTGAGGACGGCACGACCAGTGGCGACCTCTTGGAGGACTACGTCGAGTACGGCGACGCCGACCTGCTGGCCAACGTGAAGCTGAGCATGAACTACTCGTTCGGCGCGGCGTTCGACACTGGCATGGCCGTGGTGTTGTCGTCGTTCGGCGGCCTCGTGGGAGACCTTGACGCGACGGACAAGCAGACGAGCACGCGAATTGTCAAGGACGTTATCGCGCAGATGGCTGGCACTACGGAGCCGTACCTCGCCGGCGGCTTCTGGTGGACCTTGAACCCGGACACGACGTGGCCGTACCCGGCCCCCGATGACACGAACGCCACCGCGCAGGGTCTGGTGGACGACACTTGGCGCGTGGCGAACATGGATGTGCTGCAGGTGCTGGCCTCAATGAACAAAACCATGGACCACGTCAAGTTCATCCCCTGCTCTACTTAAGCCAGTGAGTAGCTGAGGCCTGCCCCTCGAGGGATACACACGACCAAGTTGCTCCTTGGCGCTTTCATTACTACTTCAGTTGCGGTTCGCTTGTTTTTCTCTTTCTTAGCCTCTGGAGAGGAGGAAGACGGTAAGATATTAGTACACACTTCTTTTTCTCCATCCGAGACGTTCTCCGTTGAGAAGTCCTGCAGTCCTGGCCAGAAGCGCATCGCGCTGTGTGGTGGTCATTAATTACCTCTGCCGGATGGCTGTCTACCTCACGTGAAGCATGAATCATGAGCTATACTTCTACTTCCGCATCTTCTGAGCGCGGCCGCCGCGCTTAGTGCCAGCGGAGGCGCCCGTGGCGGGCGGAAGGAACGACGAAGTGATGCTGCCGAAGCCGCTGGTGGCTACTGTGGGCGCCGTAAAGCCTCCTGCCGTTGACGCAGTTGCAAGCGGTGCCGCTGTGACGCTGGTAGTTGTGGCCGGGGGTGCCACCGGAGTAGCCGTTGTGCTGGTGAGGTTGAAGGACACTGTCTTGGCCGCTGCAGACGACGCCGTCGAGCCAAAACCGAATCCGCTGGTAGGAGCCGCAGTTGCTGTAGCTGCAGGTGCTGCGGTTCCGAATCCGAAGGCCGACGTGGTAGCGGCGGGGGCGGCGGCTGTAGGCTGCGACGGCGTCACGATTGTGGGCGCAACGCTGGTGCGGAAGCGGATCTTGTCGATGGCCTGGCGCTTGTCTGCCTCGCTGCTCTTCTTGCGCTTGTCGAACGGGTTCTGGAAGGCGGCCGGGTTCTTCTCGCCACGGCGGGCCAAGTCCTCCTGCATCTTGGCCAGGAACAATTGCCGCATCTCCTCCGCCTTCTCGTGTACTTCGGCCACGCGCGCAGCGGCCTGCATCAGGGCGGCGTTCTGGGCCAGCAGAATCTGTTGCAGTTGGGCTGGAGCCGGCAGCCCAGCCGCTGCGGAGCTGGCAGAACCACCCCGTCCATCATAGAGCGGCTTGAACTGCGCCTCGACATCTTCGATCTGCGCCTTGACCGCCGCCATCTTCTGTTCATAATGGTCCAGCAGCTCCCAGTAGTACGGCGACGGCATCTCGACGCGGCGCATGACGTGATACATGTTGGGGGTGCCTCCGTTGCTGGTGTCCAGGCTGCGACGCGTGAGCGTGGCAGCATCCACCTGGTGCAGCAGTTGCCGGACGTCCTGACGCACGTGCTGCACGGCGGCGGCCTGTCGGTCCTGGCGGTTGCGCCTTGCGAGCACCTCCTGCTCCAGGCGAGCCATGTTCTCGCGCAGCACCTCCATCTGGCGGGGCGACACCGTCTTGAGAAAGGCGTCCGACTGGTCCTGCTCCTTGAGGAAGGCGTGGAACTGCGTCATGTTCTTCTTCACATCGTCCGGCAGGCTCTCGAACGCCGTCTCCAGCGTAATGGGCGGGCCGCTGCAATGCACAACAAATACAAGATAAAATACATCAAAATCACCTTCCTCCGCCCTCCAAATACTAGCAACGAGCAACGTACGCTGGCTGTGCAGGGGCTGCAGGCGTCGCCGCGCCGGCCCCGAATCCAAATCCTCCGAATCCGCCCGTGGCTGGTGCTGGCTGCTGCGTGGCGGTGCTGCCAAAGCCTCCGAAGCCAAAGCCGGTAGCGACCGGCGTCGTGGTCGTCGCTGCCCCGCCAAACAGACTGGGGGCCGCCGATGCAGGCGCAGCGGACGCGCCGCCGAAGCTGAATCCCGTGGATGGAGCGGCGGCGGGTTTCGCCCCAAAGCTGAAGCCGCTCGAGGCCGCGGGCGTGGCGGCCCCAAAGCTGAAGCCGCTGGAGGTCGCGGGGGCCGCCGGCGTAGCGCCGAAGCTGAAGCCGCTTGAGGCCGCAGGGGCCGCCGGCGTGGCGCCGAAGCTGAAGCCTGCGCAGGCAGAGAGAGACGTTAGAGGGATGCAAGCAATGGGGGAGACCCATGGGGCTGCGCGCGTACCGGAGGAAGCGGCGGGCGCCGCCGCGGTGGCGCCGAACGAGAAGGCCATGTCGGGGCGGGACTGGTGGGCTGCAATTGTGCCCTTGGCAGCGCGAGTGGTGTGCGGTACATAGTTGTGTGTGAAACACCAAAAATAACTTCAATGTGCGGATCTGTGGCAGAAGGCTGCCGTGCTTGTGGAAATGACGTGGTCTATTTACAATACTTCCCATTACGTGCCGACTCTGGTGGTGGTTCTACAGTGAGCTAAGGCAACCGACCCTATGGCTGTTGGCTGGGGGTGTACGTCGTCTTGAATAAAGCAGCGAGCAGGAATAGTGCCACGGTAGCAAGCAGCATTGAGCCGTTCTATCAGAGAAAACATTGCTTTCGAGTCCTGTGTATCTTCCATTGGTTCCGCCGCTACCCGCCGGAAAGTACTGATGGCATTATTTAGAGCATGAGGACAGATCTTCTGTTGCTTGGCGAGTACGAACGGACCCAGTTCGTGCTCTTCTGTGATTGTCCAAAACGAATCGATTGATACGACTCGTCCTATTAGTCGGAAGCTGCTTATCGATGAGAACAAGTGGCGGCGCCTTTCGACGGCGCCAACTATAACGCCCTTCTTTATAGGCACTATGGACGAGTAAGAACTTCTTACTAAGAAGTAAGGCCAATCAATGTGCTGCCCCATTACGTGTGGTGTCAGGTGTCTAAAACGATGCTGCACCTTGACGACTATCATTATTCGTAGCTGCTACTTACTTTAATTTTTAATGCCGCTGACACGGAGAATCTGGTAGGAGTTGTTCTTGTGCAATTCACAGGCTATGTTTCGTCATTTTTTGCCTTGCGTACTTATTTTATTATATGTACCTATCTGATAGCTTGCGTTACATGTAGATACCACTTCAACCAATTCACGATTGCAATGCGTTGAGCGTGTTTGCATGTGAAGGCTTCAATTGCAAACAACGGCTTGCTCACAGGCCACCGGTACATGTACGGTGGTGCACGTGATGGTTCGATGGCTCCGTCTCAGTGCGACGGAAGTGGCGGCCAGCCACTTCCGCCTGAGCAGCGTGTTCCGCTCAAGAAAACAACGAAGTGACGGGGTCTGATCGCTTGAAAAGAAACAGGCAACTCGTAATCGTCATTCCAAAGCGCACGTGTGCGCTGATGGCCTGCCCAATAAAATCTGCACACAGAAGCCTCTCTTCCTCTCGTGCACCGCTCTCACAGTGTTACCTGTGCTGGTACATTTCTCCGATCCGATGCAAGCCCGCGTTTTTCGTGCCGACAGAGCAGAACTGGTCTTGAGAATCTTGCAGCGCGTTTCGAGAGAAAACGTCCCCCTGATTCGCCGGCGAGATCGCAATGGATAGGCAGACAGGTCGCAGGCACCCAAGCAGCCAAACGCCAGCTTTAGATCGCTTGCTTGGGCCGCCTAACGCCGAGATCTAGCTTGCGGTGTCCGTCCGGCGGAATAAATACGCGTCCGGCGGAAGTGGACAATATCTTTTTGACGCTTCGTCCCGGCTCTGATCCCCTGCGAGACGCGTGCAACGCAATTCAACGACCGACCGACACATGGCTACATCAAGGCATGAAGCAAGCAGCCTGTCAGGTCACCAAAACGCCAGCCGGGCTCTACGTCGGTTGGGCGATCACGCTGCAGCGACTCAGGCCCGCTTGTCGTCGGCCAGCCGCTCGCCTGGCGCCATCTGCATGTAATTCAAGCGCGCCGCAGATGGCCAGCCCAGCGCCGACAGCGGAGCCTATCCACGCTCCTCCCTCGTCGTAAACGCGTGCACACATTGCCAAACCCGACGTAAGTTGAAGTTGCACTTTAGTAAAACCCGAGGCAAACACCCTCGACAGACGGTTTCTGCACCGGTGTAAACGGCGAGGCGCACATTTGCAAACCCGACGTCCATGCCTCCCACATTCCTGCAATCCGAGTTGTCTCGCTGCCAGCACCGGACCAGCAACAGCACCGCACCGAAGACACGCGCGCATGCGTCGCCTCCGCCAATGTGGTGCGCTTACAGCGCTGCGCTGTCGACGAACGCTCGACCTGTTCCTCCCACACGAGCGCTGTTGCTGGTCCCCAAGTGCCGTGCCGCGGCCCGCGGCCCGCGGGGTGCCAGGCCAGTCTCTGGTGCTCGCGGCCTTCTGCTGATTATGGTGCTCGCCGCGGGGCTTCAGAGTATTCCGAGTGCCCGGCCCAGCCCAGCTGCCGCGCGGCCAACCGGAAAGCAAACCAGCAGCAGCAGCAGCATCAGCTCGCCCACTGGCCCAGCGGCGCTGGGTTCAGCCGCAGCGTGAACCGAATGCTGAGGACATCGGCCTCCACTGCCATGGAGCTCTCGCTGGTTTGCTTCTTTGGTGGGTCGAGTCTTTCTTTGCTCGACGCAAGGCTCCAGCAGAGCCAATGCAAGCGGCCGCAGCTCGCTCCAAGCAGAGCCCGCTTCAACCTGTGGTGAAGACTGCTGCTTCGTGGCGAGCGGCGCAGCAGATGGAAGGTGGGGCTACCATTACCGGCACGAGCGTAGGACACAGCCTCAATTGATGCTCTCTACGCTGGTAGGCTTCTGCAAAAGGGGAATTGTTATAAAGACGGGCCAGGATTTCCATTTTAAGATCCCGGAGACGCCCCATTTTCAAGTACTGCAAGGTTTGAACAGGGCTTCGCATTAAGTGCCTTCCGAGCTATAACACCTCAGATCATACAGATGGATGCAGTGCAGTACCACTGTAGCATATAGATAGAAATGAGCAAGTGTATGTAGTAATACTGAACTACAGTAGTAGATACAGCAGTAATCTACTGGAGTTGCTGGCGTTGAAGCAGGTTCTTGTACTCCGCCCAGTTTGCCTTCATTAGGCACAGTATCTCGGCGCGTTTGTCGTCAAGAGATGTACGTAGATCATTGACGACGTAGCCTGACAGGCTAAAAATCCTTTCTTGGGCTGCTGTGGACATCGGCTTGCCTAAATAAATTCTAGCAAGGAGCGCAATAGCCGGGTGATCGCGTTCTCCATGGTCGCGGAACCAATCCAGTACGTCAACGGATTTATACAAACCCAACAGGTTGAACTTGCCATCCCGAGGTTGGCTGGGCCAATTCACTGACAGTTCCTTCCAATCTGACTACGCCAATGCCGCTGCCTTGGAGCGCTTACGACTCGCCGTGCTACGTTCCGAAGGCACATCAATGTCCAAAAGAGCGATACTAGCGTACTAAACCAGTCTTGCGGAGAATCAAAACCCCTCTCAGAAGTACTGGGTGCGTTGGTCGAGGAATTCTTGGCCTTCTGCAGATTGTAGATATGCTCGTGTTCATGCTCTAATTCTTGCTCGACTCGAGCGAAGCGCGGAGCGTCATCGACAATAGAGGCCGCTTTAGACTTGATTCTGGGGTCTAGAAGCAATGCCTTGATCTCGTGGTCCTCTGGCTCTGGGAAGCGTAGTTTCCACTGCTCTTTGATTCGCAAAAGACACTGTTTTCCTTCATCCGAAAAGTTGGACACTTCTTTCAAAACACGGCGCTGAGTGAACTCGCTACACAACGGATCAGGTCTCTTCAGCACGAGGCAAGGAAAACGCTGCATGTCAAGCGTGATGGCCAGGATTTTACGAAAGAGAAGAACGTAAGAACTGGATACACCTTCTTTCTGTTTCGGATTCGGCGGTCGAGACTGCAGCGTCGTGGGCTTGATTTTTTTTATCTTTGCCTTTTGTTTTGCTTTGGCTGCCTTCACCGAGAAGGGATGGTCTTCGTGCTCGCGAAGCATGTGCAATGCTGCGTTGGACGAGTTGGCTTGTCGTTGAAGACATGACTGCCACGATATCGCTGTTGTGTCCTTCGTCTTGAGATCTTCAGCACACACGAGGCAGACGTGTGTGAATGGCCGCTTGGGATGGTGCAAGTTTGGCTGGGGCGCTTTCAGCTGGTGAATGAAGTGCCACACAGCCGTGAACTCATTCTGACACTCGTGCTAGATGCTGGTGGGGATGCCGTACTTGTCGACGAGGCCCGAATCCTCGCCCGTAGAGCTGGTAGAGGCATCCATGTGCGCAGAAGCGCCGCCAGGAGCGATGCCGTCGCTCATCGGAGACTTGCCGAATGGGGAGCCAATGTGAAGAGTCGCAGCAGTGGTTTCGGTCGTGTATGCACCAATTTAAGACTCTTAGCTCTACCATGGGACGTTGCTGCTTCACATATAACCTGGAGAGCGCTTTTGTGTGTCAATATTAAGACGCTAGTAATATAGCATGCGGCGGTAGGAGTACTGATAATACACCAGCCAGATGCAGGAGCGCGGCGCAGCACTACAGTAGTTCAGAGGCTCAGTATTAATACTGTAGTGAGTATTACCACCTAATGCGAAGCCCTGGGTTTGAAGCTCTACAGTGCGGTTGGTCCGAAGCGTGTACGAGTTCATAAAGACTTTGGGAGCTTTTAGGAGGCCCGCAAAGGATGTATGCCTGATCTAACACGATATAAAGCGAAATACACGAGAAATGGACTGCCTCGGCCCCTGTGGCCGCCCTGACAATGCTACAAATGTACTCAAGTAGGCAGCATACTGGCGAACATTTCTATTAGGTGTTCCATTCCAAGGTTTTCTGGACGCCCCATTTTGACTAAAAGTGGGAAAAGGGACAGAAGCCTGCGAATCCTGTCTGTACCTGTGTGTAGCACATGCGCTACACTAGCCGTAATGGCCGATGCTGTACATGTTCATGCACCTAGAATGGTACCGGTACAGTACGCCAGCAGATTGAGGACATGTGCTGGAAGTAACTCGATCATATCCAGCCTGGGATTGCGATAAATTTGTGCGTCGCGCATGCGGTGTGGGGCGGCGCTGTTATATGGTACATGTACTTCCGCAACACGGCGACGGTGCCCTCGTCCGATCCTGGGCATCGGTGAATCTCTTGAAGAGAATCTCTTCACGCAAAATATGTTCAAGATTTTTTTTCGAGTCACACAACGTAACATGCGAAAAGCCTTGGAGCGGGTAGAGCTTGCTTGGAACTTGATGAGACCAAGTGTCGATGGTGCTTGGAATTTTTAGTTGGTGAGACCGAGAACTCAGTGGAGGACTCAGCAGAAGATCGCAGGGGGAGGAGCACCTCGGTGGATTCAAGTTGATTCAAGTTGAGGGCGGCCGTCGTGTTGTTGCCGTTGCCGTTGTTGCTCGAATAACAGAGCTGCGCGACATTCGTACAGTATCTGTCCTGATCGCGAGCCTTGTAAGCGTTTTAGGCGCTTACACTTCAGCTCACTATTTGACGCCAACGGGATCACTTGGAGCTGCGGATTCACTCCCAGCGCCGCGCACGCTCTAGCCGCGCCAGGGGCTCCAAACACGCCGAAATTGCTCGACGAACGCCGTGTATGGCGCTCATACTTTGATGTGTCCTCCGCAATGTCTCTCGGGACGACAAGAGACGATACAGGGGGATGCTCTGACCCGCACACGGCTTTGCGTCCGGCGTGGAGGACCCCCTACCCTACAGTATGTCTTGGTGCTGACCGCGGGCGCCGCACTCGCCTCAAGTCACTTTTCGATTTGGAGCGCGCCTGTCGAAACACCTCCCAGCCTCCAGCCCCCTCCTCCGTCATGTCCGCCAGCACCGCCGTCCGCCCCAAAATGACGAGCCAGCCGCGCTTCCGCGACCCGCAGCAGGATCGGCCGTTCGCGTGCCCCGTTCCGCTCTGCGGCGGCCGCTTCCACCGCAAGTTTACACTGCACGAGCACATGAAGACCCACACGGGCGAGCAGCCGCACCAGTGCCCCATCAAGTCCTGCGGCAAGCGCTTCAGCACGTCCGGCAACCTGGCGCGCCACAAGCGCCTGCACTCGCTGCACAAGATGGAGTGCCCCGTTCCAGGTTGTACTCGTATCTTTACGAGCAAGGACATGCTGGCCAAGCACCAGAAGGTGCACAACGGCAACACCATCCACACCTGCGTCGTCGGCGGCTGCGGCAAGACGTTCAGCACGGCCGGCAACCTCACGCGGCATATGAAGACGCAGCACCGCTCCGTGCCGCTGCCGGCGAACGCGCGCAGCTCGCGGCAACAGCAGCACCGCCAGCACATCCAGCAGCAGCAACAGGCAGCCAAGGTCGTGTCCCCCGTGCTGACGTCGCAGTCACCGTGCGACGAGTTCCCTATCATGGACTTCGACATGATGATGTTCCTGCCCCCCGTCGAGGAGCAGCAGCAGCAGTTCTCGTTCCTCAGCACGCCAGCGCAACCGGACGCACTCTCGGACGAGGACCTCAAGGACTTGCTCGAGTGCCTGTTCTAGGTGGACCCGCAGTACATTAAGTCTGTGCTAGCTTGTGTAGCATGTATGTGTTTGTAGAGTCGGCATTCCTAGCCAGAGAACCAAGCGCCAGCTCCGAATGGCGTGTTTATTTAATGTATTACTCGCATGAGACCCAACGCGATGTTAATTGTCTCCTTCATTTAGATATCGGTAAGAGTTTTGCGATCATTTGAGTTTTTCGAAGCCGTACACTCAATCTTACCGCAAAGCAATGAGTTGCCGCGTACGTTTCGGCTTCGTCCAACCAAGCCTTGAGCCATTAGCGATCCGAGCCAGCTCGGCATCTGAGTCCGATCGAAGCCAACGATCGGTGTTGCCTCGCGCTTTCGAGTCTCATTTGTGCGTCGTGAAATTGCGGGGTCTCATTTAACGGCACAGTGGGAGCAGCGAGCGGTACTGAGTATCATCACGCGCACGTGGTTGCCGTCGGGGCTGCTTGGGTGGCTGGCGCGAAGTCTCGGCCGACCGCGCAGAGCCAGCGCCCGGCGTGCCACCTTCAGGCACTCGCCCAAGCTGCCTGAGATGACGGCCAGCGACAACGCGCGCACGCATGGTCCGTGAGGTCATCGCTTAGGTCGAGGGCATCGCGTCCGTCGCTCTAATGCCTCCAATGCTACAAGTGAGCCGGACTTCTAAGGCCTCTCAACCAGGGGAAGCTGTTCAAGTTGCAGCAACCAGTGCGCGTGAGTCGACTAGCAAAACCGCTCCAGTTTGATTGGCCAGTAGAGTGAAATAGAAACTGGAATCATTTTCGGTGGAGTGGCGTTATCGAGTTAACAAGGCGCACAGTACCTTGCAAGAGCTCACCTTGTCGCCACCATCTAATCAGTCTAACTTGGACGACGCGCGGCCGCCAACGTGGGCCATGGCAGAGCCCGACGAAAGCGCGGCCAACAGCGACTTAACGCTCTGGCGCAGCTTATTCCGCAGCGCTGTGAACTGCAACGCCTCCGCCTGACCACGGTCTTCCTGTTTCTTCTCCTTCTTCTCGTCGTCAGCGTCATCCTTTGCTTCAGAATCGAGCGCTTGTTGCTCGAACTGCTGCTGCTGGCGAGCAGCCTCCGCGGCAGCAAACGTCGGGTACTCGAACGACCGCGCAAAGCCCGAGTAGATCTGCTGCAGACTGTGCTGTAGCTCCTTTTGCATCGCGGGCCTCAAGGCCGGGAGCACCTTCTCCAAGCAGTCCAGTATGAACACAGCATCCTGGAGCTGTAGAGACAAGGAAACATGATGTTAGAAGGCATCGGCGAGACACTACATCAAAAGAGCAGGTGCTTACCTTCTTCATCGCGTAGAGGTACGACTCGCACTGCTGTGGAAACAGAGACTCCGAAGTGAACACCTCCCAAATGTTGACTTTCGCGGTAGTTGAAGTAACGGAGGCGCGGACCTGCACTTCGTGTTGGTGGAACGCGAGCGCGAGCAGCAGCACTTCAGCCACGAGCTGCTCGCGCAACATCGGAAGCAGCGCGACGAACTTGGGGACTCGAACGATGTACGCGGCAAAGCCGGCATGCCAAAGTGCACACTCCCCAAGAAGGCGAAGCAGAGCTGGGAACCATCGCTTCTGCAGGTACTCGGATTGCTGCTCGCTATCTGTGGTGATGGCTGGAGTAGGTGGCAACAACGAGAGAAGAGTTCGAAGCATACCGCTCTCGTGAAGCTTCTCGGTGGTGGTACGCGCGTTGGGAGATGCAAACAGCATAAAGTGCAGCAACTGCAGGAAAACGACTGCCAGCTCGTCGTCTCCGTCGTCATCGTCATCACCATCAGCACGTTCCGAGTCCTTCTCTGATGTGGTAATCTTCTTTAGGCGGCTGGTGGCACTCGGGACTGAAGCAAGCTTATGAATCTCCTGGGCAATGAGAGGCAGCAATTCTTGAATAGCCAGCGCCAGCCCTTGTTGTGCTCGCTGGGCCGCCCCTTGGTGGAACTCCCGCGAAATTGCCAGCTCAGCCAGCACTCGATACACGAGGTGTTGGGGTTGCTGGACCCGGCGTTGTGGATGCTTCATCACCGTGGGGGCAGTTTGGTGCTTCTGGAGGAACTCTACCAGCTCCTTCAGTCGCCATAAAGCATTGCGACTGGAGCCAGGAAAGCGCAGCACACGGTCTCGCAACACATACAAGTATCTGCTCCACTCGCCGCGAGGGCCGTATAGTGTGGTAGGCTCGCTGTCCTGCTTGCTTCCCTTCCGTTGCTCATCATCTTCCGGCGGCCGATCTACCAGCAACTTCATGATGGCGACAAGCTCCTCATCGAGGCGCCACTGCTCCCACTTCTCCATGGAGACCGACTGAAAAGAGGACGAGAACGTGTGCGTCGCCATGAGCCGCAGCTTGTCAACCGTCGAGGCCTTCGAGATCGCTGCTGTCTGCTGGTTCCACGTAGGGATGCGGTGGGGGCGAGGCTCTGGCAAGTGTCCCTCGTAGACCTCACTCAGGTCGTCCGGGTCTTCCTCAGCAGCATACTTCACCACGAAGAAGTCATCTTCCCCCACCTTCTGCTCTTGGACTTCCTTCTCTTCAGCTCCAGTCAATCCTTGTTCCTTGGGCGTATCCAGCTGCAGAGACCTCACAGCCAACGACGGCAGCAGCGTCTCCACTCGCGCGTCTTCTGGCGACTCCAAACACTCCCGGAACACCACCAGCAGCAACGAAGCGGCGAGCAAGCCGCTGGCCTCTGAGCTGCGCGATCTTGGAGCTCCAGCAGCGCCAGAAGACGGCCCTTGGTTGTTCAAGAACGCCACGCCATCCAGCAGCGTGGCCGTGACAGGGATCTCGGCTGCCTCTTGTTGAGTCGATTTCTCCGCTGCCACTCGTCTGTAGAGCTCCGCGAGGGCCTCAATCGACGCGTCTTGGACCTGCGGGAAGTCAAACTGCAGTTGCATGTACGCATCGCGCGCCAGTCGCTCGCTATCGGCGGTAGAAGTGGAGAAGGCCCCGGACAGGAAGAGACCCGTGTACTCTTGCGGCGATTTCTCGTCTTCCGCTGCGCTGTCGGAGCTGGAATCGGCCTCAGCAGATGTGCCGGACGGAGGCGAAGGTGGGGATAGCGACGGCACGCCCCCGGCCAGCGCCGTGTTCTCCTGCAGCGCCGCCACGAGCTGCTGGATGAACAGCTCCCGGTCCATGCTGGTCAATGACGCAGGCAATAGTCGTACTTTAGCGCACACACACAAGAAGTTGCCATATGTGAAGATGGCTACACTCATGCACCGCCGCACCCACAGTACCTGTCTGTAAGCATTTGCGCCACGCTGGCCGTAATGGCCGAGATATTTGAGACTTTGTTGCCGTGATGCATGATACACCAGCAGATTGCGGGCATATGCCGAGGACTTACTGCAGTAACTTGCCCATATCCAGGCTGGATAGAGCAACAAATTTGAGCGCTGGGCCATGGAGTGTTCATCCCCGCCAAAAGCCCTGGCGTTCGCCGTCTACAGTGTAGAGAGCACGAAACTTGCGGAAGTGTGGACGTGGCCTATCCGCTGTTGCCATTCACCCACCTTGAGCTGCCGCGCCGCTAGCCACCAAGCAGCAGTGCTTCACCACAGGTTGCTGCTTGGACTGCGGCCGCTCTGCGCGCTGGAGTCTCGCGTCGAGCAAAGAAAGACTCGACCCACCAAAGAAGCAAACGAGCGAGAGCTCCATGGCAGTGGAGGCCGATGTCCTCAGCATTCGGTTCACGCTGCGGCTGAACCCAGCGCCGCTGGGCCAGTGGGCGAGCTGATGCTGCTGCTGCTGCTGGTTTGCTTTCCGGTTGGCCGCGCGGCAGCTGGGCTGGGCCGGGCACTCGGAATACTCTGAAGCCCCGCGGCGAGCACCATAATCAGCAGAAGGCCACGAGCACCAGAGACTGGCCTGGCACCCCGCGGGCCGCGGGCCGCGGCACGGCACTTGGGGACCAGCAACAGCGCTCGTGTGGGAGGAACAGGTCGAGCGTTCGTCGACAGCGCAGCGCTGTAAGCGCATCACATTGGCGGAGGCGACGCATGCGCGCGTGTCTTCGGTGCGGTGCTGTTGCTGGTCCGGTGCTGGCAGCGAGACAACTCGGATTGCAGGAATGTGGGAGGCATGGACGTCGGGTTTGCAAATGTGCGCCTCGCCGTTTACACCGGTGCAGAAACCGTCTGTCGAGGGTGTTTGCCTCGGGTTTTACTAAAGTGCAACTTCAACTTACGTCGGGTTTGGCAATGTGTGCACGCGTTTACGACGAGGGAGGAGCGTGGATAGGCTCCGCTGTCGGCGCTGGGCTGGCCATCTGCGGCGCGCTTGAATTACATGCAGATGGCGCCAGGCGAGCGGCTGGCCGACGACAAGCGGGCCTGAGACGCTGCAGCGTGATCGCCCAACCGACATAGAGCCCGGCTGGTGTTTTGGTGACCTGACAGGCTGCTTGCTTCATGCCTTGATGTAGCCATGTGTCGGTCAGTCGTTGAATTGCGTTGCACGCGTCTCGCAGGGGATCAGAGCCGGGACGAAGCGTCAAAAAGATATTGTCCACTTCCGCCGGACGCGTATTTATTCCGCCGGACGGACAGCAGGACTTACGTACACAGTCTAGTTTCGGTGATATCTTGGAGTTTGTAATTGCAGCCCATCACCCCACAATGTGACGACCTTCCCGCAGGACGGATGTCATCCGCGAGAAATGGCTTTGCTCCGCTGCGCTCCTGCGATAAAAAGATTCTCTCACCTGGCGAGAACAGTGCTCGGCTCGCTGGAATGCTCGTCGCTGGGCCCGCCTCCGCAAATACCGCGCGGCCCTGCTGCGCGGGCACCCCGCGCGGGTTTGCTGCGGCTACGCTCCTCGCAACCGCGAGCCTCCGTTGGTCCTCATCTAAATCACGTTCACCCCCCCTCGACCCCCATAAAAAAAACTGTGTACGTAAGCACTCCCCGGACACCGCAGGTAACATTGTAAGAGCGGTGCACGAGAGGAAGAGAGGCTTCTGCGTGCAGATTTTATTGGACAGGCAATCAGCGCACACGTACACTTCGAAATGGACTCCGTTGTTTTGTTTGAGCGGGGATACGCTTCTCAGGCGGAAGTGGCGGCCGGCCAGTGCTGAGACGGAACCTTCGCGTGCACCACAACTGCCCCATGAGCAAGTGGTTTGCCATTGGAGATGTATTACACGCTCGATGCATCGCCGTCGTTTCAATCGCGGCGAATAAACTTGGAGGGCATTTCCGCCTTCCGAGGCAAGCTGGCTCATACTACATGTAGTAGCGATACTAGACTAGTATAATATCAGGTAGTACCAAGTGATCTCTTGAACACGCTCAGCAGCTTGCCCACACACCCTCAGAAGAGAGAAATCCGACGTATAATCCATGGATGCGAACGCTTTATTTTCGACAGGGGAGTGGCCACCGGGCCTGCAATACAGGTATCGCTTGCACTGAACGAGCCGTGTTAAATCGTCAAGCACCGCCAACGTGTTGTTACTGAACATGAGCACCCAGAGTTTTTACCGGCAAATGGAAGCAACAATGGCACTTAAAAAGAGCAACGTCGTTCTGAACGAACAGCTCAAAAGCTGCTCGTAGCCGTGCTACCGCTGCCACTATTCCTGCCCACCACCTTCGCTGCGCCGTCGAAGGCCGCGATGTATCCGATCGCAGCTTCCAGCATTGTGGCGTAGTACCCAGTCTCTCCAATCATCAGCGCCGTGATCATTGTCTCGCTGATAAGATGGCGGGCCACGATCACACTGCGCAAACGGCAACGCGCCAGAACGAAGATGAAAATGGGCAGGAAATCGTCAGCAGCCATAGGCGTCGGCTGCTTCTGCGAGCTTGTCTTGGAACCAGCAGCAGCGTCCACACCATGCTCCCTAGCGTGCGTTTCGTAAATACACCGCGCCACCTCCACGAGCACTGCAGCCTTTTCAGACGGTAGCGAGTAGTTGTCCATCGAGTCGAACAGCGCAATCGCCGACTTCCACTCGGACGGCGATTGATGCGACGGCTGGATCTCCAGGAAGCTCTGTGGCTGAGCGGCAACGAGCGCGCGCAAACGCTCGAAGCGCTCTTCTTCCTCCTGCCGTTGACCGCGGCCCGGTCCAGTTCCAGCTCCCAGTAGTTGATAAATAATTTCTTGCAGCGGGATGAATGTACGCCGCTCTACTTTGTACAGGGCAGCACGACGAGCGAGAGCCCACTCATCATCAGTCGGCGCGCGTTTTCCGTTGAGCGCAGCATCTCCAAGCTCTCGGGGAGCGCTCGGGTCTGCCGCTTTGGCCAAATGCTCCATCACAAGCTCCAAAGACCGCTCCAGAAAGAACCGATAGTTCTTGAGTGCTAGCAGGCTGCGCGCATCTTGTAGGTTCGTAACATTCTGCAGCTCTTGAGGAGTAGCACCTAGTGAGCCTTCTCGAAGCTCCTGATCGCTATCCGATTCATTGCCGCTTGGCACCCAAGGTTCCGACAGTCGCGTCCAAGCTGATGTCCCCATCGCTGCGACGGACGAACCCGTCGGTTGAGCGTACTTCTGACGAAACATGACAAGGAAGCCGGCAATGTGCTGCCGCATGGACATGCTCGCTAGGAACTTATCACACGCGCGCAGCAGCGAGCGCAGCGTAGGAGACGCAGAGCTCACGGCACTCAGAACGCCACCAGGTTTCGCGTGCAGCGATGCCCACAGCCGAAGAACATCGCTACCGTTACTGCCACTACCGCCTCGGTGGCCACTTCTCCTTTGCCCCTGCGATGACGAAGACTCACTTTGGTCATCGAATTCTTCATCGTCACTGTAGTCGCCGCTTACTGCTCCTCCATGTGCGTGACTGATCCCACCCAAGTTGTCACGGAACGAGCTGCCGTCCAGTGCCATCGCCTCTGCACTAAGCAGTCTCCGTTGCGCCACACTCTCACGCAGGTCGAAGTACGGCTCAGGGCCCTCGGTCATCCCTTGCGGATGATACGAATCTCGACACAGCAGTGCATCTTCAATACAGTACATCCAGTTTTCACGGTCACGGAGCTGGGCAGCCTGTAGCAGCAGCGTGTAGTCCGGGCCCACTTGAATGGCGAAGCTGGCGTCGCGGCCACCAGCAACGTGAACGTCCACGTAATGCACTCGAGTCTGCGGGTGGAAGAGCAGCACTTCACCCTTGAGCTTCGAGCAACTGGAGTCTGTGTAGTAGCGCAGCACCGACTTCTCCAGCACGAAGTAGCGCGCCTTCCAGTTCTTGCGTACATGGCCTCGCTTGCGCAGCCAGCCGCTCATCGAGTCCAAGAACGCGTCGTCAAAGGCGCTAGAAGACGCGCCACTAGACAGCGCACTGCGCCCCGATCGCAAGCGTCGGTAGCGGACCCATTTCCGTCGTCGGACTCGCAGTCGCTTGCCCGACGCGCTGGCTGGCGACGAGGACGGCATCTCGCCCGAATGCGACGAAGACTGACTCATCGAGTCGATTGACCGGCCGCGCGAGCGCAGCGACGGCCGCGGAGTGAAGTGCGAGAAGCTCGAGGCGTACTGCCAGCCGTCCACGGCGTCGCTGGGGCTGTCCACGGGCACTTCAAGGTGCCACGGGCTCACCCACTCCCACCTGGGGCCCACTAACGCGCTCGACACGGACGTCGACGTGTTGTGCATCTCCTGCTGCCGCGCAGCTGCGGGCGCCCTGGACGCGCTCGTGGCCGAGCGACTGCGCTGCTTGTAGGCGGCAGTAGAAGCTCCTCCTGCCGCGGGCGGGTCGGGCAGCGAGATGTCCGGGAACGTGGAGGACGGGACCCACTCCAGCAGGACATCGTCGTCGTCATCTCCGACTCCTGCTGCACTATGTTCGTGGCCCCTGCGGCGACGGCGCGAGTGGCGCACCACGCGCATGTACTTGTCCGGGTCCAGCGGCAGCAAGTGGCCCTTGGCGCCCCAGCCCAGCACCATTTGGTAGCGCTGGTGCTCGAACACCTCCTCGGCCACGATCACGGGCCGCTTGCTATCATGCTGCTTGGTCTTGGTATTGGTATTGGTATTGGGCTTGGCTCGGCGCGCTCGGGCCGCGAGGGGCGCGGGCCCGAACAGGTCGCTGTCGTAGAGCGACGAGGGCGGCGGCGCGGGCGCGCTCTCCGCGGCCGGGGGCTTGTGCGCGTCCTGCTGCTGCGCCGGGAGCGCGCGCAGCTCCAGGAGGCTGCGGTTCTGGCTGCTGCTGCGGCCGCCCCCGGGCGCGTCCAGGAAGCTGAAGTTGGCGCCGCTGCTGTTGCTGCGGAGGCTCAGGAGGAAGCTGCTGGCGTCCAGGCTGCGCACGGAGGCGGAGGAGGCCGTGGCGCCCGAGCGGGAGGACGAGGGCGCGGACGCCACCGCCAGCCAGTAGCTCGCGTCGCGCGCGCTCACGGGCGGCGCCGAGTCCGCGTGAGGCGGCGGAGGCGGCGGCTTCATTCTCGGCATCACGAGTCTTACGCGAATGCGGAACGATCACTGGGTTCGAATCGACCAATGAGATGGCGAAGTCTCTGTAGTAGAGCGATAAAATGGGCTTTGTAGAGGGAGGTTGAAGTTGTTGTTGTTGTGACTTGTGATGAAGGTGCCTACCTGCCTTGCTAGTTGTTAAGCTGGACGTGGTGTAGGTAGAGCTACAGAGGAATCCGGCACCGCCCACTGCAGCAGAACGCTGGGCGACATCGTCCCACCGCCACACGATAAAGATCCGGCTTTTGATGCGTGATGCAACATGAATTTGGAGTGGATTAATCAATGTGTCGACGATGAAGTGACGACGGACAGCGCTGTGGTAACTCGGTCCCCGGCACGCCTGGATATTGCTGCGTACGTCTTTCAGTTCCTGCTTGGCTGCTGCCTTGAGCACACCAACTGGCTGCACTCGTGGCTGAAGACGAACCAATGTCCGCACCACAAGTTTGTACAGTAGTGCCTTGTCGATGGACTTTTTAAAGACGGAGTGCAGTGAGAGTGAGATCGAGCAAGTGCTCAAGCGGACGAGATGCAGGAGCCGGCTTTCGTGGCCCGAAAACTACTGTAAATGAAGAAAACTATCTTGAGGCGTTGCGAGCTCGAGAACGAATCGTAACCCTGGATAGCTGGAGAGAACCCTCTTCACATGAGGACTTCGTTTTGAATATGCGAGCATCTTGTATGATACTAACCTTTTCGCTTGTTTTGGCTAGATCTGTTTGTCATTGAAGACTACGCAACACACATTGACTCCTTGGCAACGATTCGATTGACCATACTTCTTCATGCATTCTGAGCGGGAATTCTCCAAATAGTCTGCAGCTCGCTTGTCTTGCAAAATAGATTGAGTAACAGTAAGAAGAAACATGACGCGAGCAGCAGCGTGGAGCGCCTGCAACCGGGTGCTGGACGAACGCTGGCACGAGTCTCAGTGGCAGGCGCACCGCGACCGCATCGAGTTCATCCAGTCGGCCAGCTCGGTATCCGCGCAGGCCTTTTCCTCCGCACTCGCAGCTTCCGCCCACCCTCACCGCATCCACACCAGTCGAGGCAACCGGAGCTCGTCCAGCCCCGTGAAGCTCGTGGCTCGGTCCAAGTCCCCCGCCGCAAAGTCTCGACAGAAGCAGATCGACCACGACAACCTCGTTCTCATCAAGAAGATCATCGCGCTGGACAACGCTAAAAGCTCCAAGAAGACGAAACCCAAAACTACTCGAAAATCATCCCATAGATACTCCCAAGCCACCGCGTGCGCTACAGCTCGAGGCCACGACAAGAACACCATTGCAGTCCCCAAACCACCTCATTCCAACCACGAATGCCCCCAACCGCTGCCAGAAATCCCGCAGTCGGCCGCTAGCCACGCACTGTACACGCGCGCTTCCGCGACCGTGAAGAACAACTTCGTCGAGTACAACGCGCCCACCATGATGCACGCGTCGAACACGACTTCGGCGGCTGCGCGCGTGCGATCCCGAGCTCAGTCGAAGATTCTGGACGAGAACAAGAAGATCCTCCGGCGGATCCTCAGCGCGCGGACGACAGTCGATCGCTCGGCGCTGCAGCAGCACGAGCAGAAGCACAACCGACTGCTCTCCATCATGTCACGGCATCACTCGACGTCCAAACTTCCTCAGGCTTCGCAGTCTCAAGCTCGGCCATTACGGACCTCGCGCAGCCAAAGCACTTTCGCTACCGAGGACGTCAGCGACTCAGTCATCCGCGTTGATCAAACTAGTCATCTCACGCAGCAAACAACCAAGCCCCGCCCTCGATCCGCTTCACACGCCTCGTCCAGAACTCGGATAGCAGCAGCGTATCCGCAGTCACTTCATACCGCGCGGAGAAGCACAAGCAGCGAGTCTCTAGTATCGAGGATACGGAAGATGACACTCGAATCTCAACGCGATGGCACGTAAACTCTGGTCAAACATCGGCATCCTTTTGAATCACATAGCAATTTTCTCCCTTTATTGTCGCCCTGTACTTCCTTCCCACTTCATCATCCAGACAGCGAATGTTTGTTACTGTACTTGTGCTAACTAACGCCGACAGCCTAGAGCTTAGAGCTCGACTCCGCCTTCCCAGTCGTTCGGACACATCCGCTGGAACGTGAGTCGGATCGGGGTTTGCGCTGTCAGCTTGGCGAAGAACTTAGTGAGCACGGTCCCAGACCCCTCCAGACCGAGGTCCGACACGTACGAGTCGCCCACACGAATCAACACGTCGCCGAGACGCACGTCGCGGAAGCTCTTGCACGTGCTGCGCTCCGTGTTCAGCAGCATGCGCAGGAAGAGCTGCGGCTCCTGGTTCCGGTCGTCGAACTCGAACTCGTTCTCCTCCGTGTAGACCCGCTGCACCGAGAACGCAAACTCGCCCGACTTCCACGTCACGTCGTAGAAGCACGACGGGTCCATCACAAAGGTGGACGAACCGCTCGATAGTCCCGACAGCACGCCAATCGACGGTGGTAGCTGGTTTTTCAGATCCATGGGCGCCCGAGCACGAGATCGACGAACGTAACTGGACACCGACGTCGTGGATGATGGAGGGGGCACACGATCGCGCGTACGGCCTGTGGTGGCTGGGGCTGGTGGACGGCCGGCGCGGGATCGCGGGAATGCCGACGACGCTGGCGCGTACGACATGGGCGCTGGCTTGGGCTTTGGAGAGGTCTTACCGCTTGCTGACGAAACAGGGGAGCCGAAGTCTGAAAACGAGGTGCTGCTGGCACGCCCCAGTGCTAAGAAAGCCAGATCCCTCGCTGTCAGCCTCGACGCTGGTTGGGGGTCATCGTCATCCTCTTCTTCATCAACGGTGGATAGCTCGGATGCTGGAGGGGGAGGTACCTCTTCGTCTTCGTCTTCAGACTCCTGGTTGCTGACAATCATTGGCTTCTCTGGTAGAATTTCCTCCTCGCTGTCGGATTCTACGTCCACTTCCAGCACGTGAGCATTGAACATCGAATAGCCAGACGACATGTACTCCGAGTCCGTGTCGAAGTCGGAGCGCTCGTAGAGACTGTCGTCTGAGTCGTAGTCTGCCGCTCCATCATCAACTTCGTCTTCCGAGCTAAAGGTTGGGTCGTTGGGTTTCGGCACCACGGACGGCAATGGCGTCTGCACCGCTACAGGCGACGGCGGTGAGGCCGGTTCGGCCAACTTCTCCTTGACTGTCTCTTGCTTTGCAGTCTCCTGGTTGTCTGACTCGGACGAGTGTCCTTCAGCATCTGTCTCAGCCGCAGCAACCTCCGCAATGTCCACGACCTCCGGTGTGTCATCAACCGGTTCTTCCTCCTTTGGCTGCTCCGGCTCAGCAGCTTTCGGCGCGCTGTCCTGCCCACTCGAGCCGCGTCGACGAGGGATGATGTCGTCAAAAGCCGAGATCTTAATGTCCGACTTGGGCGGCGGGTTGTTGATGGAGCTGCGTCGAGGGCGACCCACGGGTGACGTCGGGATGGCCTGCGCAATGTCCTCATAGGCCGAGAGCTTGATGGCCGAGCTCGGAGGGTTCTCCAGCGACCCGGAGCGTCGTCCACGCGTGGCCGCGGCAATGGGGGACGCCGGGCCCGCGCCCTTCGCTCGGGCGTTGATCTCCTGCTCTCGGTGGCGCAAATGCCGCGCCTGTCGGAGCTTCCTCTCAGCCTCCTTCTCCTTCTTCTTCTCGTTCTCCTTTTCCTTCTCCATCTTCTCCTTCAGTTCGATGGACTCCCTCGTGTTCTCATGTCCTTCGAATCGCACGCGGGAGCTGGGCGCCCTCGGCACGCCGGACCTCAAAGCCGACGGTGGGGGGTTCATGCTGCTGTATGTGGAGCTGGGGGGCACGCGGTGTCTGGCCTTGTTGTCTTCCTCTCGGTGAGGGGTCTTGGACTCCGGCGCGCGGCCGCTTCTACTATGGTAGGACCCCGTCATGGGGGGTCTCGTGTTCGAGTAGACCAGGTAGGGCGACGACATGGGTGGGGGTCCTCCATTCAGAGGGTCCGCGTTGTCCTGCAGACTACCTTGGGCGTACTTGGACCTGCTCTTATACTGCTGCGCGTAGTGTCTCGACGACGACGAAGAAGAAGAGGTAGAACCCCCCACCCTCGACTCTGGCGGTGGGTACTTGTGATGGTGATACTTGGACGACGGAGGGGGCGGCGGCATCCGTCTAGAGGACGGAGGAGGAGGCGGTAGGCCGTGGTGCCGTATGGTAGAGGGCGGCCCCACCGCGTAGCTGCTCTTGGAGGTAGAAGACCCTACCATGTCCTCCACGCGCACACTTCGCACAGGCGGCCGGTGCATGGCGCTGCGGTACTCGGACGACGGGATGTAGTTGCTGCTGCTGCTGGCCGTGGACGCCGAGACGCTGCCCGGCGCGTTGCGCGCGAGTCGCCGCTGCGCGCGCTCCAGCTTGTAGCGGATCTGGTCCATCATGGCGCGCTCGGCGGTCAGCGGCGCGTCGGCCGTTGCCGTTGCCGTTGCCGTTGCAGTGCTGCGGCTGCGGCTGCTCGGGTGCATCACGACGAACGAGCGCTGGACGCTGCAGTGGCTGGGAAATGCGCGACTGCGGGCGCGCGGGAGGCCCGGGCTTCTCTTCTCTGCGCAGCCCTAGCAGTAGGGGTAGAACCATCGGGTTGCGCTGACAGAGGGATATGTAGGTTTCGCCTCTGCCGTGGTGGGGCGAGTAATGACGGTTTTACCCCCCCCCCCCTATCGGCAACTGCGACTGGGAGAGATTCGAACGCCCCCCACTTCAACCGGAAGTTGCCTTTTTGTGATTGGCGAGGAATTTTGGCCCAGCGGTTTGGCGGTTGGTTACGCTCTGGATACTGTGACGTAGCGCGCGGCGAGCATGGCACTGCAGTGCACAAAGTAATGTGGCAGGCAGGCAGTTAGTCGACGGCAACGCCCGCGCTTTCGGTTGCCGCGAGGTTTCGACACGCGCCTTTGGGCGGTCGTTGGTGGTTGCTTCTTGTTGATGGTTGCACTCTGTTATGTATTATTAATAGTACTGCCGCGGTTGGAGGAGGGGGAGGGTGTTGGGCGCAGGTGTCGCAATGGCGCTGTCGCATTTCGACAGACACTTTGCTGCCACGAACTAACACGATGGGCGTCTCCATCTGTCTTGAGACGGACAGAGGGTCAATCGACTTTGAACGACAGTACTCGAGCAGAGCAGAATTTGATCGGGGCCGAGCCATTAGGGGATTTTCGTGTGGCCTGTGCGTGTAGCTTGGCCGAGTGATACTTGCCGATGAAGTTTATGGAGCGGCGAGGTGGTTTGAGCGAGGCGCTGGTTTGCACATTGAGGCATCCGTTGAAGCCCGTCATGGTCGACAATGCATCAGCGTACGATGCGTGAGGCTTATTCCTAGTGTTCGCGCAAAGAGCAATTGTATAGCAAGCGTTAGTATTCAGGAACTGTTTGTTCTTGTACTAGTGTATCGAGCGCTTCCATAGAATTCCGTTCGTCTGGAAGCTCACTCTGTCTGAGAAAGCTAACTAAAAGTTCTTCTTCTCTGGGTGATATTTATGAGCTGTTACTTTAGCACTATTCGGCTGTTGCCCACCTACAGCCCCTGTTCACCCGTCATGAGCCCTGTTCTGCTGTTGCTTTCTGTTTAACCTGCTACTTTCTTCATGGATTTCTCCTGAGATGTGTGTGGACTGTGGATTACAGACCCCAGCAATAAATCTTACTCCGAGCTGTGGGGGCAGGCCCATTCGCAGGAATGCTCGGCAATGGTTTCCGCCTCTGGAAATTCCGGGCGGCCCTAATTTGCGAGTACAGTAGGGTTTTCTTCGGCTACGTGCCCTTGCAATCGCTCACTACCTTCTGCTACATGAATTTACTTAAGTACAGCGCTATTGTTTTACTTCTGTATCCTACGGATTCTCAATAGCAAAGAGCAGTCCATTTGCAAGTTACTAGCTATGGGAGTTGCCGATGTACGTTTGACTGAAGTGCTTTGGATGAAGCGGTTTTGAATTATCGAAGCGAATCGCAGCTTGAGCCCGCAACTGGCGTTTAATCTAAAATACTACGTAGTATTTGTTGGAGAACAACAGCAGACCAGGGTCCTTGACAGGTCAGTAGGTACCAACAGCTCGACAGTGCTGGAACAACAGGTATTAATTATTTTCCTTCTTCGCTTCTCGAAGCTACAACCCAACTTTTATCGCCTTAAATCCATTGTAAGTGCGTGAAAGATGGATTCCGCTTTGGGGGACAGCATCGCGATATATTACAAGCAACTTTTGTCTGTTGAATCGCGAGCACGTTTGCAGAGTTCATTATTTATCCACCGATGGATTGCCCACTTGGGTATTCACATTTCATGTGTAAACTAAACCACAAAACTACATTGTTATTGGAAGCAACGTTAGTGCTATTTTGAAGCGGTTCGCTACCGACAACACTGGAAGGTCTCCCAAAAGTCTTTATGCGTGGATATGTCTAACCAGTGTGGAGGTGGACGAGATGCAACTGTATAGATGAATATTGCTATTTTCCTAACAGATCTCGAGCAAAGTTCGTCTTCTTAGGTTTCATTGTCACCGTTTTCGAATTACCCCCTTGTCGCCAGTTTCGGTAATATTCCTTGGCGCAGGGCTGACCATGAAACAATTAGCTCCGATCGAGGCCCCGCAGATCGCGACGACGATGACGGAAATGGCTCCTTGGATAATCTTCATTATATCTTGATTGTGGCTGACGTCCGTGATCACTTCGAGTCGAATTGAAGAATGAACACGGAAGTGCGGCGCTGACAGTGGCCGAAGTAACTCCCAACTCATAACATGCAAACACACTGCGTTGCTGGAATCCATCGACTTTCATCTCCGCACTATCGTGTTTACCCTTCAATTCACCTCGAAGTGATCACGCCGCAAGCACCAACTATAATATAAACTGAAGATTGTGCAAGGACCCCCTTCAACACGTGTCATCAGAACTGCAAAGTGCATCGGCTCCTCGGGCGTCTCGTTGCAGCAAGACTGCGGTTGTTTAGCACATGCACGAGAAGGAAAGTGTGGGTTTTAGCGATCTTGAAGCGCACTCCTATGGGCAGCCAAACCGTATCGACGGCAGCAAAACTTGATTCGACGGAGGCGTCGTCACCGGCGGATTAAGTACATGCATGTTAACATCACTGCGAAATCGATTCCTTGGTCGATTTCCTCCTGAACGAGTTCTACAAAGGAAGGCGATTGATTTATTTTATGTTATTCTCCATCAATCGGATTCTGGCAAATTGAGGCAAGAAGTTTCGGCGTGACTTCTTCCTCTAATTCTGAAATTCGCTTGGCACTTAAGAAGGATGGAGGCGCTGCAGCTCGAGCTTCCATCTTCCGACGCCCCTTGTCTGGAACTACAGTGCTTGATTATCGGGAATTGGTCCAGCGGCACGTTCTCGATGATGAACAAGTCGGACCGAGTTCGAGACCTACAACTAAGACTAAAGAAACTCAAGTTTGACCACGACTTGGACGTCCGCGTCGATGGGTTGTACATCTACCGCGCTCGACAGACGAACAAGCGGCGTTTCTCCTCTACTACAACGGAATGGTTAAAGGAGGCCAACGACATCCAGCAAGTGAAGAACGGGAACAAGTACTTTGTCCCTCGATGGACCCGTGAAAAGCTCGACCCCGAGAACACGATCGGAGACGCGTTCCCCTCTCTCGAGCCCGACTGCATCCACGTGCTGGTGTCACCGCCTGAAAGCTTTTCCTTCCAGCGAACGCAAGACCAGCAGCTCCTGCTTCCGTTCCAACAAGCCGCGAGGAGACTAAAGAACGCAGTGGAGGTGGTCGAGCTTGTACAACTCGTGAAGAAGTACAGTGCCGTCGAGAGACCGCCGTTTATTCTGCTGCAGGGCTCGGCTGGAGAGGGCAAGACGCAGACGGCCTTCAACTTGATGGCCAGAGATGATGTTGAGGTCTTTTGCGTTCCCTGCTCGCAAATGCCATGGGAGTTTGCCGATCGCTTTGAAGCGTTCAAGTGCTGTCTGGAGACGGACCTCCCAGAAGTCGGCGAAGCGACCGCCTCTGATCTCTCGAAGCGGCCGCTATTGTACACTTACGGGTTCATTTGTGCCATGTTGACTGGGTCGTCCGAGTTCACTGGCCCGCGAACGCGTGAAGAAGTTTTGGTCGCGCTGGAGTTGTGGCGAGCGCAAGGTCCTGGCAAATGTTGCGTGTTTTTCCTGGATGAAATCCCCGCTCTGTGGTCTGAGGACAGGGAAAACCGTGTACTAAAGTACCGTATGATGACGAATGTGTTTCGGTCCTTGGGCATCGTGGCTATACTGAGTGCTACGCATGCCCCCGCCGGCGACTTGCTCCAGATTGCGAGAGGTTTGACAGGCGATCGCGAGTTTTGGGGCGTGGTTTTCCCCCGATTCCCCCGATTCCAAGACCCGGCAATGAGCTCTGTTCGCTACGATTTACGGTTAATCATTGCGCGTAGCCGACCGTTGTTCGCCAAAGTGGCGCTGGAATACGTGCTAGAGAACCCTCTGGATGACGAAACCAGTTTGGCAGTTTACTTGGACAAGATGGCGAAATTTCTGGCTCGAGGTGGACGCATTGATCCAGACTTCTGTGGCCAGGTCTGTATGTTTTACGCCGCTTGTTACATCGGCAAATACAATGGTTTCTGCCGAATCGTTGGTCATTACGCTCGTCTTCGCGACTCGGACAAGTTTGAGCTGTGGATCAATACCAACGGAGACCTACTGAAGAAGGTGGAAAAGGGACTGGTGGGGTGGTATTGCTGTTGTTTCCTCCCGACGCCAGCGCAAGACTCGCTCCTGCATCTCTGCTTGACAGGCGGCAAAGGGTTTAGCGCCTTCAAAGACAGGATAGTGGAGAATATGTCATTCACTGCTGCTGTCAACAAGGAGTGGCGGATTAACAACACATTCGATTTCTCCCGTGATACTGGCGCACCTCGACTGGAAGCACTGGCATCAGGAGCGATTGTAGCAGCAAGCCACCACAACGGGTTTGCCGGCATTTCGTTTGTGAGTCTGTTCACGGGTTTGATGTACGAGCTGAACATGCAGAAGTCGAGCGATGTCCAACTGCGTCTTCCGGCCAATGTGCGGAGTTTCTCTCTTCTCTCTTTGCGCCGTTCTTGGCTCCACCGAACGCCAAGTGGCCAAGTTTCCTGACGGAGATGGCTTTGAAGTTGGGGACTCTCGCGCTTGACGTTCAAGGACAAAGGAGACATCAGCTTCTTGGACGGCAAAGTCTCCGTTGAGTGCATTTCTCCGCGTCGCCCGATCAGCCAAGGGATTATGCGGAGACTGCTGACGTGGGTCCCTGACGACAGTGCGGTCCATTTGGTGGTGACGCACTCGCTTCAACGACACTACTTCCGTAGTCGACAGCACCGTCTGGACGGTGGTAAGCCTGTGTACGAAAACATCCGCAAGGACCTCCCGAAGTCGCTACGTGACGCGCACTTTTACCGTATCGGCGTTCTGTCGGGACTCGGGGAGAAAGATGGGAGTTGGGAGATGTGGCGTAGCGATCTAGAGGAGATTCGAGGCATGGAGAATGCGTATCCTAACGACGGGCTGCACATGTGAAAATTTCTGCTTTCTATTAATTTCCAACTCATTACGTGTAAGCCGACTGCGTTGCTGTGATCCATCGATCCAACGCGGCACTTTCGTGTTCACTCTTTAATTCGACTCGAAGCGGTCATGGACGCCAGCCCACAAGCACCAGCCCCCGAGATATACTCCAGTAATGAAGATTGTCCAAGGAGTCATTTCCGTCATCGTCGCCGCGACCTGTGTGGCCTCTGCTAGAGCTAATTGTTTTATGGTCATCCCTGTGCCAAACCCCAAGGCCCAACCCGTCCATTTTCAGGAATATTTGACCGACTTGTAATCACCTGGACTGCCAAGACTGGACTGTAGAGATATTACCGAAACTGGGTTCAAACGCAAACCAAAATCAACTAATACGAGTGTACGATTTCCGAAGTAAGTCGTTCTACCATGATATTACTTAAAGCACGGATCACACCTACCTTAGATGGTGTAGATTTAGCGTGCTGTCGACTACGGAAGTAGTGTCGTTGAAGCGAGTGCGTCACCACCAAATGGACCAAACTGTCGTCTGGGATCCATGTCAGCAGCCTCCGCATATTCCTTGGCTGATCGGGCGACGGGGAGAAATGCACTCAACGGAGACTTTGCCGTCCAAGAAGCTGATGTCCCCTTTGTCCTTGAACGTCAAACGTGAAAGCGTCCCCAACTTCAAAGCCATCTCCATCAGGAAACTGGGCCACTTGACATCCGATGGCGCGAGGAACGGGGTCCAGAGGGAAGACACGAACTCCACCACATTGGCGGGAAGACGCAGCTGAACATCGCTCGACTTGTGCATATTCAGTTCATGCAATAAACCCAAGAAGAGATCCACGAAAGACATACCAGCAAACCCGTCGTGGTGACTTGCTGCTACAATCGCTCCTGATGCCAGTGCTTCCAGTCGAGGTGAGTCGATATCACGGGAGAAGCAGAACGTATAATCTTCGCTGTCCTCGAGAGCATCCGTTAAGGACATATTGTCCACTAAGCGTATTCTGTCTTTGAAGGCGCAGAATCCTTTGCCACCTGCCAGACAGAGATGCAGGAGAGGGTCTTGCTCTGATGTCGGAAGGAAACTACAGCAATTCCACTTCACCATTCTATCTCCCTCTTTCTTCAGTAGGTCTCCGTTGGTATTAATCCACAGCTCAAACGTGTCAGAGTCGCGTAGACGAGCGTAGTGCCCGACGATTCGGCGCACCTTGTTGTACTTGCCAACGTAACTAGCGGCAAGAAAGAGAGCAACTTGACCACACAGGACCGGATCAATGCGTTTATCACGAGCCAACACTTTCGCCAAATTATCCAAGTAGCCTATTAGGCTCGCGTCGCTATCGAGTGGGTTCTCCCGCACATGTTCCAGCGCCACCTTGGCGAACAGAGGGCGGCTACGACCGATATTTCCACGTAAATCATACCGGACAGAGCTCATTGCCGGGTCTTAGAACCGGGGAAACAACGGGAACACCACGCCCCAAAACTCACGATCATCTCTTGAACTTCTCGTGATCCGAAGCAAGTCGCTGGCGGGTCCGTGCTTGGCACTCAGGATAGCCACAATGCCCAGCGATTGGCAAATATTTGTCATCATTCGGTACTGCGGGACGCTTTTTCCCAGTACCTAGACGACAGAACAGGGATGTTATCCAGGAAAAATACACAATACTTGCCATTCGCCCGTTCTCGCCACATTTCCAGTGCAGCCAAAACTTCGTCGCGCGTTCGAGGGCCAACGAACTCGGACATCCCAGTCAGCACGGCCCAAATGAAGCCGTATGTGTACAATAGTGACTGCTTCGAGAGATCCGAGGCGGTCGCTTCACCCACGTCACCAACGTCTTTCTCCAGACAACCGCGGAATGCCCTGAATCGATCAGAAAACTCCCATTCTACGTCCTGGCACGGGACGTAGAAGACTTCCACGTCGTCCCGAGCCATCAAGTTGAAGGCCATTTGCGTATTGCCCTCTCCAGCCAAGGCCTGCAACAGGATAAACGGTGGTCTCTCGACTGCACTGCACTTCTTCACTAGCAGCACAAGCTCCACCACCTCGATCGAGTTCTTCAGTCTGCTCGCGGTTTGTTGGAATGGACGCAAGAGCTGGTGGGCTCGGTACCGACTAAAGACAAATCTTTGTGGTCGAGACACTAGCACATGGACGCAGCCTTGCTCGATAGAGGGGAACGCGTCTCCGATCGTGCTCTCGGGGTCCAGCTTGTGGCGTGTCCACTGAGGAACTTCGCACTCATCCCCCTCCTTACCTGTACATCGTTATCCTGCTTCAACCATTCCGATATGCTAGGTTGAAAAAAACCGAACTTGTATGTGACTTGGGCGCGGTAGACGCACAAACCGTCGACTCGGATCTCCAGGTTGTGGTCAAACTTGAGCTTCTTCACTCTCAGCCGCAGGTCTTGAATTAGGTCCGACTTCTTCATCTTCATCGAGAAGGTGCTGCCGAGCCGATCCCCAACAACCAAACACTGCAGATCCAGCTCTTCTTCTGAGCCACGTCCATCAGTCGACATGGGCTCGTTTTCTCTTACGACAAGGTGGAGCTTCCGATGCCCCAACGCAATCGGTGTGAAGTGCTGAAGTAGCTCGGCACTTGGAGCGAGAGCTGACACGCATACTCTGGCGATTGCATCCTCGTCCCCGCTCGTTAGAGCGTCCACGACAACTGCATCGACAGACATCCAGTCCCCATTGTCTTGCTTGGCAAGGAAAATCTGCACTTGAGACGGTTTAGTGAGCTCGCTTGACTTTTTAATGGCTGCAGCGAGAGCTTCGACGTCGCTGCCTGGCTGGACGACGACACTTTGCGGGTATCCTCGGTCCCCGACGAGAATGTAGTTGAGCTGCATCCCAACCTCGGCCTCCAAGGAGGTGATGATCAGACTGCAAATTCCGGAGATGTTTCGCCCCCTTCAGTCCAAGCAAACACTTTCCTTGCAATTTCGGATCCGTATTCAACAGATCTGGGAAAGTGACTCGACCTTGTCCTTCGCGTTGTGCCGTTAACATGCTCGCATCGCTCTACGACGTGGTGTTCTCTGTTGCCTCCCTCGCCGCGCTCTATGCGGCGTGGCGAGTTGGCTCCAGAGTGTACTCGCAGCGTATCATCGATGTCGCACTCGCCAACCAGAAGCTGCACAGCCCGCCATCGACGATCCCCTTGCTTGGCAACACGCTCGACGCCTTGTTCCTGCAGAAGACGCGATTCTGGGACTGGATCGCCGAGCAGAGCGAGCTCAGCGGGGGCAAACCGTGGGTGCTGCGTCTCGTCGGTCGACCCACGACCCTCGTGTGCACGTCGCCCGAGGCGCTGGAGGATATCTTCAAGACGCACTTCGACACGTTCGAACGCGGCGCCGACCTTCGAGACCTTCTCTACGACTTCTTCGGTGATGGGATCGTCGGTGCCGACGGCGAGAACTGGCAGAAGCAGCGTCGTGCTGCGAGCCACGACGAGAGCGCTGCGTGACGCCATGGCCACAGTCGTGAAGGAGAAGGCGCTGCACCTACGCGACGCGTTGGCCAAGTGCGCGAAGGAGGGACGCACCGTGGACATGAAGTCGCTGCTGGAGAAGTTCTCAGGCGACACGTTCACCAAAATCGCCTTTGGGGTCGATCTCAATGGGATGGAGAGCGATCATCCGTTCAACAAAGCAGTGGACGTCATGTCGGAGACGCTGGACTCGCGACTGCTCTCGCCCACTTGGCTGTGGAAGATGAAGCGGTTCCTGAACGTCGGAGACGAACGCAAGCTCAAGGAAGCCTGCGCTATCGTGCACGAGTTGACCCACCAAGTCATGACCGAGTCGATGCAGCAGCAGCAGAAGAAGAAGAACAAGAACAAGAGTGACGTGCTCACTCTTCTCTTGGACTCGAGTGGCGACTTGGACGTTGCAGTCGTGCGCGACGCCGTTATGAACTTCTTGCTGGCAGGGAAGGACTCGACCATCTTCAGCTTGTCGTGGATTCTGGTCAATCTCAACCGGCACCCGGAGGTGCTGCGGAACGAGATCAACGAAAAGCTTCCAGGCCTTGTGTCTGGAGAGATGGACGCTCCAACCATGGACGACTTGAAGGACCTGACGTACGTGGAGGCAGTGGTGAAGGAGAGCCTCCGTCTGCACGGGATCGCCACGACCCGCGTCCCGAAAAAGTCGATCATCTTGAGCGACGGCACCTTCGCGCCCGCCGGCTGCGCAGTCATGATGCCAGCCTACGCCTCCGCTCGATTGACGAGTGTGTGGGGTGAGGACGCCTCGGACTACAAGCCCGAGCGATGGATCGACCCCGGGTCAAGCCGGTGTCGCCGTTCAAGTTCGGCACCTTCATCGCTGGCCCTCGCCAGTGCGTCGGCATGCGCTTCGCTCTGCTGGAAATGCGCTTGGTCACCGCCGTGCTCTTCAGCCGCTTCGACCTCAAGACGGTCAAGGACCCATTCGAGATCTCGTACGAGTACGCGTTCACACTGCCAATCAAGGGGCCTCTTCTTGATGTCACCGTGCGGGCTGTATCTGCTGCGTGAGTACTGTAGGAAACTGGAAGGTGAAGTTGAACCGCCCAATGTCAAGTCAAAACTAGTGCTATTTTCTTACCGCCGTACCAGCGAACATTCCATGCCACTGCATGACTCATTCTTCCTCCTCGGCCGCCGACTCCTCATCCTCCTCGGCCGCGGACTCTTCTTCTTCGCCCGACTCGCTTTCACTGTCCTCCTCGTCGTACTCCTCTTCGTCCTCTTCGTCCGCATCGTCGTCCTGAAGGGCCTGCTTGATTTTCGCCTCGAACTCGCCCTCCTTTTCGTGCATGCGACTCACAGCTGCCGTCTTGCTACGACGAGATGAAAGCTCACGACGTGCCGGGGCAGCGGCCGGTTCGTCATCGTCTCCCTCACTCTCCTCGCTGTCGCTCGAATCCGACGAACCAGACGAAACGTACCGCGCTGTTCGCCGTCTCTGAGCCTTCTTCTCCCTCTCTTGCTGCTTCAGCCACTTCTCGTGGTCCGCACTCGCCGTCAGCAGCACCTTGTGGAGCACCTCCTCTCGCTCTTTAACAAGACCTTGGGCCCATGTCTGATCTTGCTCCACAGCGGACGCCTGCTGCTCATTATCACCTTCGTCGGTGCTTTGCTCATTGAAGCTTGCCGACGTGCGCTTAAGCACTGCCTCTGCGCTGCGAAGCAGTCCTCTCTGAGAGCTGAAGCACTTCGAAGAGATCTCTTCCAGCAGGAACTTGAACAGCGCAGCAGATCGCTTCTCATCGAGCGTGACCTCCACCCACGCAATCATCTTTAGCAGAGCTTTCTGTCGCCGAATCACCACGTCCGAGTGAATATCGTCCATTGCAGCCACCTTTTCCAGCGCCAGCATCTCCAGGCAGATCGTGATGCCGATCCGGTTGTGGTGAGCGCAGCGGCGCCGCTCTGGCTTCTTCGAGCGCTTCTTCCTCGCCGGCTTCACCGAATCGATCGCGGCCTCTTCCTCTTGCTCGTTGTGGCTCAGCAGATGCATAACGTACTTGGAGCAAGCACCCAAATCGAGCATGGCTTCACTCTCACTGTCCGTCTCCATCTCCAGCTTCTCCATAGACTTCTGGATCAAATGCGTAGCAGCTTCCTCCAACAGCATGCAGTTCGCCGCAGTCGCCATGACAAAGGCAGGGAAGAAGATGCTAAGCAGCTGAAGCGAGCGTGACTGGAACCCATGCTCGCCGAGTTTCTGCACCTTCTGAAGCTTTGGGCTGAAGTAAGTCTCGAGCAGGATGGCCAACACGGTGATGTTATCAATCCGGTTCAACATGAACAGCCTGCAGAACCCTTCCACAATCGTACTCTGCAGATCCAAATCATCGACGGCGATCAACTGGCCCAGACCGATGAAGATGGTGTCCATATCGAGCTTCTCAGGGGCTGCAGGAGGCTCAGGCTCCGCGTCCTTCTCCATATCCACGTCCTGGTCTGCAATGCTGTCGGCATCGACTTCGTCCTGGCCGCTGCTCTCCTTAGCCTCTTCGTCTTTATCTTCTTTAGCTTCACCACCATCCTCAGTTTGCTTTGTCCCGAAAATATGCGGCTGCAGATTCAAAAAACTAAACGCCATGTCCAGGATGGACTGCACGCACGTGTGCTTGACCTCGCTCTCTTCTTCTGGGTTGTTCAGCGCACGCCAGAAAACAATCAAGTAGCGCTCAGCGAGGCGCTTGTCAAGCAAACAGAACAGCCCGAGGTTCTCCAGACCAGCTTCGCGCAATGCAGGAACATCACTGTCGATTGCAGGCAAGATATAGCGACCCATTCCTTCGACAACGGGGTCGCTTAGGTTGTGCGACGTGAGCTTGAGGAGCTGAGCCACGATCTCAAGGCATCGAAGCCAGCTCAGCACTTTCGGGTCCTGCAGGAGCGTCTCCAATTCCACCATTTCCGCTTGGACCTTGTTGTACTCTTCCGAATCAAACTCGAGCTTCTCAAGACGCTTTTCCAGCTCTTCGAACCGATCCTCAGCTTCTTCGCGCTCCTCGTCACTTAACTTTTTCAACTGAGGGCCAAAGTCGACAGCTGGCGCTTCATCATCGGCCGATTTTGGTTGCGACGACGAGATCTCCGAGTCTTCGGGCTGCGACAACGAAATCTCAACGTTTCCTGCCTCGACAGGGTCGTACATGTCGGACACGATTTCGGCGACAACCTGGATGAACTCCTGTTCCGAGCTTCCAGAGTATACAAAGGCCATCAACTCCATGATCCCTTTAATCAGCTGGCTATCCGTCTCTAGCTCACGCAGGAGTTTTTCTGCAATACAAAAAGGCACAAAGTATCAGTGTTAGACACAGTATGCGAAGAAGTGAGCGGGCATGCGGCACGTACGAAGGGAACCCAGCAGGTTGCGCCGTCCAAACTCGTCTTGGAAGTCGAGCAAGTGTCCAAGCTCCAGTAGCTGCTGCGCAATGAAGAGGACGTCACTCTTAGCCTTACACGTCTCCACCAGCATCTTGCTGAAGTCCGAAACGTTGGGCAGTAGCATCGCCGACTTGTCCGGGTTGTTGTCGATCTTCTGGTAGTAGTAGCACTGCTCTCTCCAGAAGAAAACGCCTTCAGCGCTGAACCCGTCGCTGTTCTCCGACATGAGCTCCAGCGCGTTGAACTCCACGACGCCCTCCTTCTCCAGCATCGCTCGGGGCTGCTCCGAGAAGTGCTTCAGCAGCAGGCGCGACACCTTCGAGCCGATCTCCGGGTACTGCTCAATGTCCAAGGCTTGCAGCAGCAGCACCGGCGACGACTCGCACTCCGGGAACCACTTCTTGAGCACCATGTGCTCGCACGCCCTCTTCACGCGCGGCGCGCGGTCCTGCAGGCCTTGGTCCAGCAGCTGCGCGCGGTCACTCATCGGGATGTCCGCCAGCGGGACGGAGCTGCCGATCGTGCGGAACGCCGCGTGGCGCACGTCTTCGCTCGCGTCGCGGATGCGCACGAGCAGGTCCTGGTACAGCTTCTTGCTCAAGGTCAGGCTCAGCAGCGCCGCCTTGCGCACGTCCTTGGACGGGTCGGACACCATGAGCTTCCTCAGCTCGCGCGTCACTTCGTCTTCTTCTTCCTCCTTCTCTTCTTCTTCTTCGTCATTGGCCGGCGTCCCCTGCAGCTTCTTGAGGCCATAGACGCTCTGGATCCTCACGGACGTCAACTTGTCGTTCAGCCGACGCAGCAGCGTCTTCCTCAGCTGCGCCGCCAGCTCCTCCCTGCAGCAACAAAATAATAACATGTAACATGTTAAATAAATAAATAAAAACTTATAACAGAACGAGGCCGCTCCTTACTCGATGTACTCGAGGCGGTTGACGACGACCTGCAGCATGTGGCACGCGCGCAGCCGCACGACGCGGTCCTCGGCGGCCGTGGCGTCCATGAGGCGCTTGAGCAGCTCGGCGCGCAGCTCGTCCTTGCCGCGCGGCTCCTTGCTCTTGGCGCTCGCGCGCCGCAGGAACTCGCCCGCGAAGGACGCGACCGCCAGCAGCACCACGTCGCACGCCTTGGGCGCCGCCAGCACGCGCGCCACGGCCAGCCACGTCTCCTCCAGGAACAGCGCGAAGGCTTCCTCCGCCACGCCGCGCTTGCCGTCGCGCACCGCGTCCGCGAAGAGCGCGCCCAGGCGCCGCACCGCCGGCACGAGCGTGCGCTGGTGGGCCGCGCCCGACGGGTTGCGCACGTAGCTGCTGACCTCCACCGCCTGCAGCTGCACGTCCTGGAACACCTGCCGCAGCGCCAGCGTCCACTCGGCCTCGGCATCCGCGCCCGCCTCGGCCATGGTCATGCTTTGCTGCAAAATAATTATTGCGAAAGAAAATGTTGCTGTGGTAAAACATTGGGTTACCCAATTTGGGTAAATCTCTCCAAACATCTATGAAAGTCCGTGTGAAGCCCCATGGCGACAAAATTAGGGTGGTCCACATATCGTACTTGCGACGGCGGCGTTAGGCCCCGCTATCTCCGGCGAGTTTCGGCTATCTCCGGCGGAGCGGCTCGAAGAGTCGCTCCACTCTAGATAAATTCGGCGGATCAACAATTGGGCCCGATGTGCGAGCAAGCTAGCGGTGATTTAGTACGAGATCCCGACGTTATCCCGCTCAATGAGAGAAGAAGATTGGTACAACAGGCTCTAGACACGTGTTCGTTCCCACCTCAGATTGTCTTTCCTGAATCTGTATCGTGTGGAGCAAGCTTGGTTCGTTTTTTTCTCGGCCGGTGTTGGAGTGGGTTCCAGAAGCAAGAAGACGATGGAAGCGTCCGTTCTGTGTGGTGCCAGGATGTCAATGTGAGCCTGACGTGAAAGAGAGGAAGCGGCGTGTCATTGAGGACGTCGGATACAAGTATAATGTTCTCTATGGGAAGTACCAGTGCACCCGCAAAGTTACAAGCGGAAAGGCCAGGACGTTTCAACGTTGAGCTCTAGCTTTCTCGAGGCTAACCCAGACGTGGCAGTACATCTCCCGTTCGTCATTAGCAAGAAAATGGGGTTTTCTAAGGGGTTAATGGAGCACGTTCATGAAGGAATTCTCTCTCCCAATGGATTATCGCGTGCTTTGAGTCACTTGGAGAGACGTCGACGCAACAGGTACTACGAGTTGCTCTCAAAGTTTGTTATGCAGTCGGCCAGAAGTACCGCGAAAATGCCGCTTATTTGCCGCCGATCCCGCCCACCGTCGATGCATACCTGAAAAAAAACAAGGTGGTGTCACAAAGCTCAATGACCGACGCCTGGATGGCGTACACTGAATTATACGGCTCTCTGTGTGAAGTAGTAATGAAGCAGACCAAAGTGAAGAAGGTCCTGCGTGCTGATCACTCGGTGAAGTTCTGCAAACGATTGAAACTGTGGAGCGGTCATGGACAACGTGATAATCTAGCAGACGCAAAAATGTTGCTTCTGTTGCAAAATGAAATCGGGCAGATAGTTGGTCGGCGTCTTACGAGCTCCGAAAACAAAGATGAGACCATGCAACTACTCTCTGACGTTCGACCGCAGCTCGATGCAGACGGCGACTGCTATTTCATCTCTGATAATGCGGCAGCCGTGCGGAAATTCGTTGTGGAAGCGCTGGGCGATTCTGTCGTTGTCAAACATGATCCTTTCCATGTGATTCAACGCTTCAGCGAAAAGCTGAAGTCAAAACCCAAGCGGAAGTTGCTGTGCCAGGAGTTGTCAAGTGCGATGTATGACGTAGACCGTGAGTTAAGACCCCCGGTGGAAATGGAAGCTAACTTGCGAGCAGTGCTTAGCAAGATAAGTGATAGCGAGTTGGGGTGTACTCCAGAGAAATGGAGGAATTGCATCGAGCACAACATTGCTCAGATCAGCTTGGGTGAGCTGCATGTTGCTGAGAACGTGTACAATGAAGGTGGTGGTCCTCCGGTCCGAGTAGTATCAACAAGTCAATTGGAAGGATTTCATTCCGCTCTGAAAAAATTATTGGCTCGTGAGGTGCGCGTTGAACTTGGTTTGCGCATTTTAGATGTGTTTATCGTGCAGCACAACTTCAACGTTGGAGCTCGCTTTGGTAGGAATCCGCGCATGGAGAATATTGATTTGATAGCGGCGTGTCGTGCTGCCACAGTGTGCAAGTTGTATGGTGAGCGCTTAGTTGCAGATACAGCTAAACAAGAGTTTGTGTCGAACCTCGTTTCAGCTTCTCTACCTCGTCCGCAATATCGCTCGAGTACAGAACGCGACTTTGCGTTCACGTCGTGGCAGCAGATATTTGCTTGCGCTGACCTCGATGCGTCGGGCCTAGAGACGAACCTGTCGCGGCCAAGACAGCATCTCCACACGATAAAAGAGTTGCTGTTCAAGAATGCAACTACACTACAGTGTGGAACCGTTGATCGTGTAGAATTCATGCATTCGCTTCGCATGGAGGAAGATAGTGCAGATGGAGCTGCCGGGTTCTCGCCAGAAGAGCACGAGCTCCTGCGCCAAGTTCTACGAGAGCAAAAGGAATGTGGTAGAACTTGGGCGGACTGCGTGCTGGTGACCACCATCATGTTCAACCTTGTTGTCGCTTCGAACAGGAATGCACGCATTAGACTGTATCGGCGCAGTTATCGTACTCTCGAAACAAAAGTCAAGGCAGTGCGGGCTGAGTCTAAGCAAGCTTCAAAACAGTCGGCTGATACGCGGAAAACCTTATTTCATTTTCGGAATGAAGCAGAATGCACTGGTAGAGCAACCGACCACGAGCGAGCGCTGCAGCAGCAACTATTTGACACTCTTCGACGGACCAATATTGTCTCGCAGAAACGACTGGCGTTTTGTAGACTCTATGACTTCGCGAGCTGTGTCTGCGGTGGAGTTCGAGCATTTGACAAAGTATCACTAGAGAGGAGATGGGGCGCACTCAAAAAGTCAAGCTCATCCTTCACGATTAAGTTTAAAAATGTTCGAAGCGCGTTACGACAGAGCGAAGCAGACACTTCATCGTCACGCAACGATGCCCGTGAAGCTGACACCTCATTACCACGAAACAGTACCAGCGAAGGTGACATCTCCACGCACAATACAGCCAGCGAAGATGACACCTCCGCTCGCAACACTGCCAACGATGTCCAGTTGGACAAATATTGTTGCAGCGTTTCAGCTGAACTTGTGGTTTCTGCACCCCCGGCGTTGATTGGCGATGCGTCTCGCCTCGTTTCCAGTGATAATGGACTTGTTGTTTCTGGAGAAGTTGTGCGTCCTCCCCCTCCCGTAGTAATATCTAGTGAGCACATGGACATACTACGTCAAGAAGCGGAAAATTTTAAGGGTACACGTAGAAAAGCTGCTCACCTCATGAACGTGTTCAACCAGTACTACCCGAAGTCTGTGTTGACCCCCAATCAAGTGCGAATGAGGATCCGAAACAGCACACGAGAGTCAACCCACGCAGGCGCTCCAGGCGAAGCACAGACCACGCCTGATCCGGAAGTGCCATCCGTTTGTTTGGGAGGTGCCACACAAACCAGAAAACGGAAGGCAATCTCCTGCCCCGACTGCAGGCAAAAGCACGTGAAGTGCGGCGACAGCAAAAACCCTCAGTGCTTGAAGCTGGTTAGCAAGTCAGCAAACACGTTAGGCAGCTATTTCTCCACTCCATCTTAAGGTTAATACACTAGCTTGCAGCATACTCATGGATACGTACTCGGGCCTGCGGCATTTCCGCTGCTCCATGACACTGTTGGTGGTCAGGCAGTGAGTGTTCTTTGTCTTCAGCTTGTGGTGAAGCGATTGACGGAGGTGCGGCAGTCCTACTTGGACTAAGCTCGGTGTGCCAGCGCTACCCTTGTCTGTCCTTCCGAGTAGGGTCGTCGCCGCAGCCGTCGCCGCGTCTGGTTGCCACTGCACGCACTTGCGTTCCTGCTCCACATCTCGCTACACTGCCCTCGTTTTGAACTGCGTTGTCAAATTCAGCTTGCGTCGTATAAAGCATCCTGATTGGCTAATAGCATACTGGGGAGTTAATCGGGAAATCGGGAACGTGGTCAACCTGGTCCAGGTGGTCCGGATGGTCAAAGTGGTCCCGGGAGTTTCCCCTCTATCTTTAACAAACCGCCGAAGGCGACCCCCTCATACGATATTGCGGGACCGCAGCGCCCGCCCAACCTCTGTAGTAGTAACTAAACATTGAGAGTAGTGTAGCGAGCCGACGAGGCGAGCGGAACGGGTCCGCCACTGCCGTAGCGAAGCGTAGGCAGCCTGCTCCAATAGCGGAGCGAATATAGCGAGTGAGCGCCAACTAACTAAAAATCCCCGCCGCGTAGCGGCGGCGCTCGGCTAGTCTTTGAGTCAGTCAGTGAGTAACTTACAAGATGCACCATATATTGAGTCATGAGGAAGCCGTTGTGAACTTGGCGCTTTCACGCAGGTTTGCACGCTGACGATGCCAATGGGTTGGTGGGGAAAAGAGGGAGCGGTGATGGCATCGAGATACACAGTGTCTGCGAAGAAAAGTCGTTCACAACTTGCGTCTTCACTGTTATTGTGCGTGGCACTCTTCGAGCTGACCTAGTCGACGAGCATCCTTGTGGTTCTTGCTCGGTAGAAGTCGTTCATCCCCCGCTCCCGCTCGGCTGGGCGTAGGCGCCCTGGATGCGCAGGGCTGGCGCTGACTTAAGCCGCACAAATCGCGGCAATGAAGGCGAAAGTCGCTGCTTGGATGATCTTCATTGCGGGTCGACGCTTGTAGCTGGCGTGTTGGGGACTCGAGTCGAGTTGCAAAGTGAATAAACAACGCTGCTGGACAGGGATATCTCGGTGGGGATAGTTCATGAATCACAACAGCACGCATGCGTTGGAGGCACGGCACGGTAAAAGTGCTGATATTCAACCACACAGGCATCGGATGGACATGCTACATGTACTCGTATTAAAGTTAAGAATCCCACAGTACAGTACATGTACATGTGCTTGGAAATTTCATCGTCAAATCTTCTGATGGAGAGGGAGGGCGCCTTCCATACACTTCCGATCAACGAAATCACTTTTGTATTTGTCCAAACAAAAGGGTACATCTAGTGGGTTGAAAGAAGCAGGTATCATCAGAGGACTTGATCAGATTAGAAGTGTTTTCATGGAATTCTTTGACTTTCTGTAGCTATAAAAACGGCTACCGGTACCTCCATCTTGAGCAACTAAAAAAAAATACAAAATACAAAATGAGCAAGGGAAATCTCACCCCCCTCCAGTAAAATCAAACTCCTTCAGTAACATCAGATCAATCCAGGGCTATGACTCGTGCTTTCGGTACCATTGAGTGTGGTGCGCTTGCGTCGTCATTCGAGAGTTACTCCGACGGAGGATCTACTCTCGTTACTCAACAAGCAGTACTTACTCCGGATAATATGAGGTGGAGCACACCATTTTGAGCCTCTTCCACCGTTTTACCGTGATTATCATCGAGCGACCATGGCGGGCGGCGGCTTCGGCTTCGGGCTGCTGACGGACGTGCAGATGGTGGGGTTCTACCAGGCGCGGCACCGCAGCGCGGGCGGCAAGCCGTTCCTGGCCTACGTGCTGCAGGTGGCCACCTCGAGCGCGCACTTCCTCGTGTACCGGCGCTACTCGCAGGTCGCGGCGCTGGCGGCCAAGCTGCACTTCCACCCGCCCGTGGGGCTGCCGCCCAAGTACGCGCTGCAGGTCTTCCCGCTCTCGGACGCGCAGCTGCAGCAGCGCTTCGACGGGCTGCGCGCCTTCCTGCGCGCGGTCGTGGACCACCTGGCGCGCCAGCACGCGGCCGGCATGCACCACGACGCGCAGTCGAGCGCCGGCCTGGACATGCAGATCTTCTGCGACTTCGTGGCGCACCACAGGAACCGGCCGCCGCGGCCAGCCAGGGGCGAGCTGCCCGACTGGGCGCGGCCCGAGACGGCCGCCAACTGGGCGGATGCCGACAGCGTCACGGACAGCGAGGACGTGGGGCTGCTGGAGAGCGACGGCGACGACGTGGAGGACCACGGAGAGCAGGTAAAGCAGGTAGAACGGGGAGAGCAGGCGGGCGACGCGTCCGCGCGGTTCCGGAACGAGGTGCTGCAGGCCGAGGGCAACCTCAGCGCGCTGTGGTACTGCGTGCGCGCCTACATGCAGGCCACGACGGCCTGGTGGGGGGCCACGCAAGCCGTGCTGGACGAGTACAAGCGCGTGGCCGATATGTCGCTGTTCGCTGAGGTGGAAGTGGACGGCGAAAGGAGGAAGAGCGAGGACGACGGGAGGACGCACGCGGCGCGGCTCGTCAAGGCGCTCGCGCAGATGCTGGAGGCCGTGCAGCCAGAGTTCGACAAGAAGTGCGAGGACGCCGTGTTGACCCCATTGGAGCAGTTGAGTCGCGACGTGTTGCCTGAGGTGAAGCACACGTACTGGACCAGGCATAACAACAGCATGGGCGAGGACACGGCGAGGGAAGTGAACGTCCGCCGCCTGCAGCAGGAGCGCGAGACGCTGCACGCCAAGCTGCGCGCGGACGTGCAGAGCAGCATGACGGCGCTGGTGGCTCTGCAAAACGAAATGCTGGCTGCGATGCACGACCAGCTGCACGGCTTCGAGCGGGTGGAGCGCATGCCGCGGCAGCGCAGCCAGTCGCAACCGGTGCTCAACAGAAGAAACAGTCGCCGGGGCCGCGGGAGTATCAGCTTTGCAGTGTCAAGAGCCGCGCAGTCCTTACGTGAGTATGACGCGTCGACGAACAACGCGCATCTCGTTGATGAAGCTCACGAGGAATCATCCGCGGCAACTGGTGTGGACGATGTTGATGATGTCGTGGAGGCCGACAGGAGCGATCAAAGTGAGGAAGGGGACGATGGGAACGAGAGTGACGATGAAGAAGGAACGGCCGAAGACGACGCAGAGGTGGAGGACGAAGATGAGCGCGAGCTGGACCATTTGAACGATCATCAGAGCGAGGAGCCGAGCTCGCATATGTGGGTGTGGGGGCGGCCTCCTAGCTTGGAAGGTGGAACGCCGCTCGTACTCCGTCCGAAGCAGGTGTCTCTGCTCAACGGTCAACCGATCGTCCAAGTGGCGTGCGGTGGCGAGCACTTGCTGTACTTGACGTCGACAGGGGATGTCTACAGCTACGGCGATAATGAAGACAAGAAAGCCGCTGCAGTCACTATTGCAACCAACGCCAATTCAGCTGACAATGACTATACGCGAAGCATCTCAAGTTCGTCATTTCTGGCACCGCATCTTGTAGAGGAACTTGCTCTGGAGAAGGCACTTCATCGCACGACGATTGCCATGATATCGTGCGGCGCGCAGCACTCGTTAGCTATTACAGACGCCGGGGAGCTGTACACGTGGGGCAGTGGTGAAGATGGACGTCTAGGTCACGGCGACATGCGCGATCGTGCGGTGCCAAGGAAGGTGATGAGCTTGCTACGAGAAAGCGTGGCGAGTGCTAGCTGTGGTGGGGCTCATACGGCGGTGCTGACGGCCAAGGGCACAGTGTTTACGTTTGGACGAGGGCGAAATGGTCGGTTAGGCCTTGGTGACAACAAGTGGCGTGATACACCGCATCAAATTGTCGGTTTTCCGCAGGGGACGCGCATCTCGAATGTAGTTTGCGGCTGGAACTTCACTGCTGCGCTAGACCGACAAGGCAATATTTTCACGTGGGGCAAGACGGGTGAGGGCCAGTGTGGCTTGGGATACGTGGATAAGGATCAAGTGGTGCCGCGGTGTGTCGAGAAGCTCCGCGAGGTAGCCGCAGGTTCAGCGGCGGTCGATGTTGCGTGCGGGTACACCCACACGGTTGTGCTTACAGCAAGTGGCGAGTTGTATTCGTGGGGCTTGGGAGAATACGGACAGCTTGGTACGGGAGACGTTTATCAACCTTTACCAGCCCGTGTGCAGTTGCCTTCAGACGCGCTTTGCGCCCCCGATCAGTTGACGAGAGTGTATTGTGGTGCCTTCCACTCCATTGCGACAACGGAGAAACGTGTGATGTTCGCGTGGGGACTAAACTCGTACGGAGCGTGCGGACTCGGACACACTGCGAACAAAGACAAACCGGAGCGCATCGATTGTTTCTCCTCTCAAACTGAGCTTGTCGTGGCGTGCGGTCATAAGTACACGATTGCGCTTGAAGTGGATCCAGCTCTGTACGGCCACTCGTCGTCGTCGTCCCATGCAATGGTGCGGACGGGGGCGGCAGTGGATGGATTAGCAATACCGAGGACTCAACGACAGGTTTCGGAGGGCAGTGAAGCGAGTGAAGACGACCCGTTCTTCGGTCGGGGCTCGCCGGGACGGCCAACAACCCCAACAGTTGGAACCCGGCGTCACCGACGAGGCTCTCCTCCAACCTTGGCAATGGATCTTGGTGAAGCCCCCCGTGAGGCCATTCACGAGAAGGAAGAAGAGCTGCGGCGTGCCAAGAAGCTTTGGCGGACACGCATCCTGCGCGACTGGGAGGAGAATAAAGATACGCCGTTGGCGCACTCGCTGTGGCGACAGGGAATCCCCCCATCTATTCGCGCGCGCGTGTGGCCCATGGCGATCGGTAACAAGCTGAAGGTAACTCCAGAGATGTTCAAGATTTATCGGCGACGGGCGGCCGCGTACAAGAAGGACCGGGCTGCGAAAGAGAAGAACGACGACGTGGACGGAGGACGCGAGCATACCCTGGCGCTGATTGACACGGACTTGCCACGGACCTTCCCGTCGCTGAAGCTCTTCGATTCAAGCGGGCCGTACTACGCGTTCTTGCTGGAAGTGCTCGAGACGTATGCGTGCTACCGACCGGACTTGGGATACATCCAGGGCATGTCGTACCTGGCGGCCATGCTGTGTCTGCACATGCCTCAAGACCGCTACCTGGCGTTCCAGTGTCTCGCCAACCTCATGGTGAACGAGCATCTCTTCACGTTCTACCTGCTGGACGCCGACCTCGCGAACGTGTACTACACGCTGTTCGATACGTTTTTGAACTCGCGGCTGCCCCACCTGCATGCCCACCTGCGGGAAATCGGCGTGTTCTCCTGCTCCATGTATCTGATGAACTGGCTGCAGACGCTGTTCCTGCAGGTTCTACCGCTGGAATCGGCGGCTCGCGTGTTTGACAACTTTCTGCTGGATGGTACGGTGTTTCTCTTCCGGACGGCCATGGCTATTCACGAGCTGTTGGCTCCGCAGCTGCTGGCGGCTGAAATCGATGTCGCGCTCCCGCTGCTGCAGCGCAACGTGATCTACCAGGACGAATGGAACGCGCGCGTATCGGAGCAGTCTCTGTTCGACACTGTGGCCACCATCGCTGTCCCCAGCCACATTTACTCGGCCTTGGATCGTGTTGTGAACGATGTTTTCTTCTACGAGAAGCGCGGCGACCCGGACAGCATCGGCGGGAAAAAGATGATGGCGTTCGCTAGTGGCGGCCAGAGTGTTGGCATCGGCCACGTGAAGCACGAGCGCCGCCGCATGTACGCTATCAGCGACGCACTGAACGGCGTCCTGGGTGGCTTTTGAGTCGTGGGTATATTATTTGGAATTCTAGTGTGCAGATGAACCGAGTCTGAAATGTTTCGCTATGAAATTGAAGATATTACAGGAGTTTGTCTTCCCCTCGGTGGCGTGTTGCACGCGTCTATAATCAGTCCATGTGCGTGAGTAGTGGGTACAGCAACTGGAGCCCGGTTGTGTGTACAAGTTGAAGTTCTTGGTTGTATTTCGAAACGAAGGTGCGCTTGCCTATTGCGATGCTCGCGTGGTATGAGTCAGGTTGGTATCAGACCCTATCCAGAGAGTTTCTCGGCACGCATCATTTCTCGAGAATGCCCCTCCATGAAGAGGAGGAGAATTCCTCATGCGAGACACTGTGGGGGGGGGGCTTCTGTCACCCGCTTTGCCAAGACGCTGCCGCAGGCTACAGCAAAGCTCAACGAAAACTCCCTGGTGAAGCACCAAATATGCAACTTGACGAACAAAACATAAATTGCTGGAGCGTCCCCACTTGACGGTTAGCCCAAAAGAAAAAGAAGAGAACGCGAATGGAGGCGATCCCTGTCGCACAAGTTCTCTCTTCATTCATAAAATACCGTTAACCGTTAAGCCACAAGGATGGAGACGCCCCCGCCGCTATCGAGCGCTAGGTTGGCGATCCCGATCCAGTTGCGAGCTCTCCCACATGTCGCTGACCTCGTGAGCTCGTTCCTGATGCCCAAGACCGTTGACGCTGCCGTGTACAACGACTTGCACCGTGTACTTGAGGTGTATGGAGATATCTGTCCCTGGACGGCTAGAGCTATGAAGGGAGCTGCTGCTCGAGGACGTGTCGATCTGCTTCAGTGGCTGCGTGACAACCGAACGGAGGGTTGCTCGATCGAGGCGTTTACCAGTGCAGCTGCCTATGATCACCTCGATGCGCTGCAGTAGCTTATCGCAGCTTATCCAAACATGTTCAATCATGAACGGGAGCTCACGACTGCTGCAGGACGTGGTCAACTATCAGTCATTGTTTTCGTGCGGCGGGGCATGACGGGAGATATGGTGAGCGGCTCTGGATGCGGCAGCGGCTAACGGGCACGCCGCTGCCATCGAATGCCTGCTGCCAAGTGCGGAATGATCGTTTAGCGGGCTTTTGTGTGCCGAAAGTTGTGGAGGACGTCGGTATTTTATCAACTTTGACGAGGCGTTGGTGGTCGCTGCCGAGGAAGGGCATGTGGAAATCGCGGTAATAGCGCGCGGTTATGGATGCTCTGTGGAGCTAGCTTTGAGTTGGGCCGCTCGGCACGGCCGCAGCGATGTGGTCGAGCTGCTACTCGACAGCGGCAGAATGAATCAGTGTGATGTTGCGATTACTTTGGGGGAGCTAAGAATGATATCGTAAGACTACTACTCGAGAGGTGGCTGCTGCAGGAAGGTACTCGAGCAGACCGCCAGGAGATGGTTCGGGTTGCCGCTAGCAATGGGTTGCTCGGTGCGGCAAATGCTGATCGGGTCGACGTGGCGAGGTTAGTCCTGGAGAAACTCGGCCCAAGCGACAGCGACATTCTGTGCGCCTTGGTGCTATCGGCCGATGCTGGATATGAAGAAATGGCGGGATTCAGCATTTGCCTCGGAAAAAGACCCCACACTATTTAGCTTACCAATTCGGTCTCTGACTTTACCACGATTGATCAAGCCGCTGCTCGCTGCGTCAAGCAATCTGATCAAGCCACTGAGTGGAAGTGCGAGCAGTGGGTGAGCTGTAGCACGCTGCTTCACACATTAATTTTGCTTTTTGTGTTTTCATAGTAATTGCGAAATGAAGCTTCTGCTATTACATGCTAGGTATGGAATTCGTACAAACTCAGGGAAATGTGGCAATTTGGGCAGGCTGCTTCGAGCAAACGCTCACTAGATGTGTCCATGCTGATGTCGGGTAGTAATGATGGCGATTGGTATGTACGTGTATGCTGCCAGTGTGTACTTATACCAGTGCAGTATGATCGATAAACTATGCTTTATTGCTCTTATCTTTCTCAAGATGACGATACCATACCGAAAGAACAGAGCAGCACAATATGGCTTAAAGTACCCAATCTCAGCTCAAGGCTGCGGCGGTCTCCCCTCCGCTCGACTTCCTCGCCGATTGCGAGCAAGTTGCCAGCAGTATATCGGCCCCCCACCAAAATGCATGGGACGGCCGCGGTCTTAGTCTTAGGAGGACGCCGAGCGTCAGCCTCCACCGAAGCCATGCACAAGTCGTGTCGAGCGTGGAGGGCCAAGCTAACGCCAACGGCAACGGCAACGGTGGGCAGGCGGGCGCAACACGAGACTCCCTCGCTCGCTCGGATGGATGACGTCCGCCCTGCAACGCGACGACGGGTTGAAACGCACAGGTTGAAGTTGCGCGTCCCTTGACGGGCCAATCAGCGCGCGCCTTGCCGAAAAGATACCTATAATTTACGTTTCCGGACTAAGCGGCCTGCGTTACGTGCCAAACGGCACTTGAGCAGCGGTTTCAGCGCGAAACGGGCGCTCTCTTGGCGCTCAGTATGGTGGGGGCGGTCATTCGAAATCGGTGCGCTGCTGTGGCCTGGTGCTCCCGGCCGGGGGCTAGTTGAGTGGTGGTGGCGCTGGTGCTGCCGCGATCAAAACGGTCCAGCGCCGACTGGGGGCACGCCGCGGTGACGCCAGCAGATTTATGTCCGAGGAGCCGCTGGCGACGCGGCTTCGGCGTTTCGCTCCGGCGGCGGCGGCGGCGCACATGAGCTGCGTGAGCGGCTAGCTGGTATCAAGGGCCCGTGTCCCAGTGTACGTGCCTTGCCACCGTGGCCTGACTGCCTGGTTGGAGCGCTGAGCCAAGCTTGGCACATCAGAACCTTGGGGAGACTCTGGTGACGGTAGAGTTCTCTCTGTTTGATCCTCATCACGGGAGTCAGTGCGGCATAACGTCAGGAGTCAAGGGGGTGGACTGCCACCGGAGAGCCCCACGAAGGATCTGGTCATGTGCGTGAACTTACGCGTTGCTTACGGGGATCAACCTATCTGAGGCTTTCGTCTACAACCAAAAGTGCACGGGGACTGGCGCTTCGTCAAGCAAGTGCCGAATGCTGCCGGTGATTTCTTGCTGAAGCGGCGCGTGATACCGTAGCATGGCGATGCCGCCTGCGGTGATCTTGAAGGCCTCGCTCTATGCATGTCGACACAAGCGATATATCTGCGAATGCATTTAGAGATCAAGCACTGCATTCAACAACAACCAGCCCAAACACTTGTTTTTTCTTGACAAGAAATAGTTGCCCACTCAGAGTCTTCGTAAGACTAAGAAATAAATGTTAGTACTTGCATGTATAAACCCCGTACCCCCGCCCGCCGTCTTAGAGCGAGAGGCGCAAACGTGGCTTATTATCGGACGCAGCAGTCAAGTGGATGCCTGCTATGTCAACACGCCCCAGCGGAGCCCTGAATAAAAAGCGTAGTACTTCTGCAGTTGAAGTAGAACTTCTCTAGCTCTTTGAGCTTGATATGCGGAGTACTGTAGCTATTCCTGTGTGGCAGCTGGGCTGTGGTTGCTCAGTACCAGAGCTGTAGGCATTTCCGAGGATCGCCACGAGCACGTTGCACGCGTGAGTCAGTCCTGTTCGCCGCCCACCACGCCCAGCGTGGCGGATGGCGCTGAAGATCACCCGAAGAAGAAATCCAGCGGCATCACCCATGCTGGCTGTGTACATGCTACCATGGACAAGTAGCAGAGAGCGACGGGATCTTGAAGTTCGTCGAGCGAATCAAGCAATCATCTCAATGCCACGACGCGCCGCTTGAGCAAGAGCAAGAGAACGCAGGCAGCGTTCGGCGGTTCATTGAAGACGTACCAGTCTAGCATGTTGTAGACGAAGGACGTATCAACCTGTGCCCCACGCCGCAACGCCTGAGTGCGCACGCATGGACAGGGAATTTGCAGAGACAGCGCGGCTCCTTCTCTGCGGAACTGAGCTGAGTTTTCTTTCTTGGCTCCCACCACCTTGACCCTCAGCGTTATGCTGCGCTGACTACTATCCGAAGATGATCACGAGGAGAGAACGCTGCCGTCGTCGGTCCTTCCAGGGTTCTGATGTGCGGAGCTTGGCAGCTGCCCCGTGGTCAAGTCCGGCATCCGCAACGCGTCCGAGGCTCTCACACCCAAGCTGTTGTAGGCGTTTGAGGGCAAGGTCATCACGCAACGAGTTCGGCGCTGGCTCAGCGCTCCAACCAGGCAGTCAGGCCACGGTGGCAAGGCACGTACACTGGGACACGGGCCCTTGATACCAGCTAGCCGCTCACGCAGCTCATGTGCGCCGCCGCCGCCGCCGGAGCGAAACGCCAGCGGCTCCTCGGACATAAATCTGCTGGCGTCACCGCGGCGTGTCCCCAGTCGGCGCTGGACCGTTTTGATCGCGGCAGCACCAGCGCCACCACCACTCGACTAGCCCCCGGCCGGGAGCACCAGGCCACCAGCCAGCCACAGCAGCGCACCGATTTCGAATGACCGCCCCCACCATACTGAGCGCCAAGAGAGCGCCCGTTTCGCGCTGAAACCGCTGCTCAAGTGCCGTTTGGCACGTAACGCAGGCCGCTTAGTCCGGAAACGTAAATTATAGGTATCTTTTCGGCAAGGCGCGCGCTGATTGGCCCGTCAAGGGACGCGCAACTTCAACCTGTGCGTTTCAACCCGTCGTCGCGTTGCAGGGCGGACGTCATCCATCCGAGCGAGCGAGGGAGTCTCGTGTTGCGCCCGCCTGCCCACCGTTGCCGTTGCCGTTGGCGTTAGCTTGGCCCTCCACGCTCGACACGACTTGTGCATGGCTTCGGTGGAGGCTGACGCTCGGCGTCCTCCTAAGACTAAGACCGCGGCCGTCCCATGCATTTTGGTGGGGGGCTGATATACTGCTGGCAACTTGCTCGCAATCGGCGAGGAAGTCGAGGGGAGAGGAGACCGCCGCCGCCGCCTTTGGCTGAGACCGATCACCTCCGCGTTGGATACTTCAATCCATCGCGCGTTCCAGTGCTCGAGGGCGCCGGGTGGGTGTGACCCGGTGCAGAGCAGACACGCGGGGGCTGGCAGTCCAGCACGCCTTCTACGAGCGTACCGGAGAAGATGGTTCGGCGTGCTTTCGAAGAACCCAGCGGCCCAGCGCGGGCGCAGCACGATGTATAGTCTCCGTTACCGCGGCATGATTCTTGCGAGCATTACGGCGCCGTGGTAGTCAGTGATTTCAGTTCGGAGCCAGCGGGGACTTCAAAGTCCGAGACCAACGTACGAAGGTTAGTGGCGGCGCAAGCCCTTTGGCCGAGCAAATGCGGCTTATTCGGCCGCTTCAAGACGGTGACAGCTCGGCTCTGCGCGGCGTGAGTGCTCGGCCCTTACCCACGCGTTCCGGCGGCTGCAACTGGTCTTGTAAGAAGCAGCAGGCAGACCGGCCTGATGGCGGGGGCTGGAAATTTGCCGGTATTTCAGTGTATCGCCCACGCGGGTCAAGCAGCGCTGCAATCGAACGAGCTTCTACAGAACGCGCGCTGGCCGTTGTGGCAAAACCGCCGCATAATAGAAGAAAAGCAGCCACTACGTACGTGCGCGCCCATAGGCCGGCGCCCCTCCTCGATCTGCCTGCCGGCGCCTCACGATGGTCACTTTCCATTCAACTGGCTCGGCCTCAAGCAGCTCAGCAGCGCCACTAGCTCAGCTCAGCAGCACTACAGTAGCCGCAGCGCCGTGCAGACGATGTCGCACGCCATGACGCCCGCCGACTGGCGATCCAGCAGCGAGGACGCCGAGTATGCGTTCATGCTCTTCCACGCCGACAACACACAGACACAGTACCAGCAACCAGCACAGGCAGCAGCAGCGCAGTACGCCCACGCCCCCAACATGCACCCATCGCTATGCGGTGGCGCCAACCAGGCCCTCAGCGACGAAGAGATCTTGGACGAGATCTTCCAGGAGATCATGTCGCCCGGCCCACAGGACCAGGAGCTGCCGGCCACCGACATGACCGGCATGGCCAGCAGCCCCGCACTTTTCAGCCCCGTGCTCACGCCCACCTCAGCACTCACAGCCTCGGCCCCCTCCACGCCACAGCTCACCAGCACGTTGCGCCGAGGCAGCATCCCGTCCGCCTCGCTCGGATCCATCTCGCCCAACATGGCCGCGGCCCTGCGCGTACCGGCGTTCCCCATGGGCCACACCGCTACAGGCTCGGCCCGCAACACAGCCTTCTTCCCCATGCTCCCCGAGCCAAAGGCTCGTGTCGGCGCCGGCCTCGGCGCCTTCGGCGTCCACCACAGCTCCATGCTATTCACGTCGCCGACGGCCGCCAGTCGTCGCGCCTACCGACGCACCAACCGGCCGAGCCGCCTGCAGAAGAAGAAGCCGGCCTCGCGCATCTGCCGCATGCCCGGCTGCACCAAGGGCATCCGCTCTCGCGGCCTGTGCAAGGCCCACGGCGGCGGCCGGCGGTGTACGACGCCCGGATGCGAGATCAGCGACCAGGGTGGAGGCCACTGCATCGCGCACGGCGGCGGCCGCCGCTGCTCGGTCACGGGCTGCCAGAAGTCGGCCCAGTCCAAGGGCCTGTGCAAGCTGCACGGCGGCGCTCGGCTGTGCCGCCTGCCGGACTGCAACAAGAACGGTCAGATCAAGGGCCTCTGCAGGCTGCACTACAGCCTGACCATGGCGGCCAAGAGCTCTGCGGCCAGCAAGGCGGCCACTGCCGTGCCGTCGCCCATGCCCATGGCCATGAAGCTCGAGCCCCCGGCCAACTGCGGCCCGTGCGACTTCGAGCTGCGGGTGTAGAGTGCTCGCCTGGCCTCCCGTACGTACCCGGCCAGCGTACTCGTGTAGTTAGTAGAACCCCCCCCCTCCCCCATATACAAAATCGCGCCCGAACATAGCTGTAAATACTCCCAGCACTACAAAATATAACCCATAGATTCCCCATTCGAAATGCTGTGCTTGTCCTGCGTGGCACAGTCTCCGCCTGACTTCATGGTGATGTACATGTAAGTTGCCGACGACGCTCATGTTCGTCGTCGACGACGAACAAGTCGGAGAGATAGCCGGAGATGCGGACACAGCGAGACAATGAGAACGCCGCTCACTGTGCGCCGAAAGCTAAGCACGTTGAAGTTGTCGTAGGTCTCATTCGAGGCATTCGATCGACTGGGTTAACCGCGTTGCATTCACCAGCGACGGTCTCTGCAAGCGAATCCTTGCTTCTACACTTCGTCGTCAAAGTTTGCGTCGCCAGGCCAAGCCACCTGGCGCTCGACCGAGTGTTCAGGCAACTTGACGCGGTCATCCGGCCACGCATGCTCGTTTGCCGGCAAAAAAGACAAACAAACACCAGCTCATTCTATCCTGGATAGTCCAGACAGGACGCGCCGCAGTCCAGTGCTGCAACGAGACATCCCTCCGTCGTGTAGGCGCTTGCATCGTACCCCCGGATAAGGGCATTGAGCCCCCTGCATAAGGGCAACCTGCACACCACCTGCACACCATGCACTTCAACTTGTGCATTGCGTCATCTTTCCTCGCTAATAATAGCAGCCAATCATTCATTGTGTCGTAAGTCAGCCGAAAGCCGACAATCATGGCGACGGCGGCCGACCGCGCCGAGCAGCTCAAGCTGCAGGGCAACCAGTGCTTCGGCAAGGGCAAGTTCCACGCGGCCATCGACATGTACACGGAGGCCATCGTGCTGGCCCCGGGCCGCTCCCTGTACTACTCGAACCGCGCGCTGTGCCACTCGAAGCTCGAGCGCTGGGAGAGCTGCCGCGACGACTGCCAGCTCGCGCTCAAGTTCGACGCGCTCAACGCCAAGGCCAGCTACATGCTGGGCACGAGCCTCATGCACCTGCTGGCCTTCGACGCGGCCGTGGAGGCGCTGCAGACGGCGCTCAGCTCGGCCGAGAAGACCCACAAGTCCAAGGCCTTCCAGCTCGACATCGCCACGGAGCTGCGCCGCGTCAAGAAGCGCCAGTGGCACCACGTGCAGAAGCAGCGCGTGGCGCGCCACGAGAAGGTCAAGGGCCAGCTGCAGGCGCTCTTCGGGGCCAGGCACACGGCCGAGCTCTTGGACGCGCGCCAGTCTGGAGCTGGAGCCACACGCACGGGCGCGGACGAGGCCGATGCGCTCATGGCCTACGTGGAGCACATGGCCGCGTGCTACGAGAGGGACATGTACCCGGGCGAGGTGCCCGACTACTTCATGTGTCCAATCAGCATGGAGATCATGCACGACCCCGTGACGACTCCCAATGGCGTCTCGTACGTGGGCACCATATTTTTTGTTGTAGTTTATTTTAGGTGGTGCAGTTGCTGAGTTTTTATATTTTTTGTTGCGTTAGATATGAGCGGCGGTGTTTGGAGGAGCATTTGCGCCATAACGGGGCGATCGACCCGCTGACGCGCAAGAAGCTGACTCTAGACATGCTGCGGCCCAATACGTCTCTGCGCGCTGCGATCCAGGATTACCTCGACAAGAATTTGTGGGCGTACGAGTATTAGCGCCGGGCGTGAAGTGTAGGAAAAGAAAGAAAGAAAGACGCGTCTTGTCTGGCGAATGCACCCTAGGACAACGTATCACTACAGTTAGCGCTAACAGACGCAGATTAATTACGTGCTGCAGGACCCGCTTCGTCGTCGTTTTCCTCTTCCTGCATGAAGGGCTAGCTGCAGTTGGACGTCGAGTAGACTGATTAAATTGTGTGTTATGTTGATGTAGGTTAGCCGCGGCCACTTGAAGCCTACACGTTTGGGGTATCACGCAGAACTACGACACTGGACGTGACTTTGATTTTCTCGTTTTTTTTTCTTTACAGGTGGGGCGGCACCACGGTTTGTCGATTGTTCTACACGCAGATGGCGACGTTACCCTTTGATACTCACATAAGCAACGGCTCCAGCGTCGCTCACGGTCTCGCACGCTGAAGAACTTGCTGAATCGTAGCCCTGAGGACCCACCACCGATCGACAAGTTTTGCGAGGACGGTAGATCATGTACAGCGCCACTTGGACAATGCACAGCACGATCCCGACAGCATTCGGGATCAGCACGAGTGCATTGCCCTGCGCTACGCTGAACACGACCCAAACGACGGCGTTCGCGAGGAAAGCAGACGCTGGTGGTGATCGGAATTGTTGACGCGTCTTTCGTCTCGACCACCTCTCTAACCGACTCCAGAGGCGAGGCATACAACGCCAAGTTGATGAGGCCACTCATGACTCCGAGGGTGTTCTCCACTGCATCACCGGACTGACTCGTGGCCCCGCTGGTGCCGAGGCTATAGTACAGCGTTTATGCGGCGAGTACTTTGAACGCGAGGCCGTAGAGCTTGTGGATCTGAGCATGGTCCTGCGCCCAGTGGTAGTAGATACCAGCGAAGGCGATCGAGGCCAGCATACCGACCGCATACGCCACAAATAGTGGGGGAACGCTGTTCACGACACGCGCGTAGCAGACCCAGGCGTAGCAGTTGCAGAAGATGAGGATGGCCGGGAGGACGGACACGGAGCCAGTCGAGCGAGTCTTGTAGATCCTCCAGAACCCTGGAGACGGAGCGAGCACTGCCGCGATGGCGCTGGCGATGGAGAGAACATGGAGGGTGGTGAGAACTGCCGCCGACATTGTGATGTGACGAGGCTGGGCGGAAATGGGATGTGGTGGGGTGTGGACATTAACGAGAGGCGACACTGAATCGGTCATCTTTGCTGAGTGGACTGTGCTGGAGGTCTTCAAGGCGACATGCACACAAGTCCTTCAAATTGGAGCGATTGAACTTGCACTGCTGCATGTACCGTACGAAGATCCATTCGACACTTCACCTTGCAGCATTTGAAGTACGTGAAAATCGTCCACGCAGAAACGAAGTGCGGTGCTTGGCTGCACTTGCGTTGTTGCTGTATGCGGAGACCTTACACGCCATCAAAGATTGCATGAAGCAACGACACTCGCTCCTGATATTCTCCTCCATCCACATATCAAGTACTGTTTGGTATCGGCGGAAGTACTGGTAGCTCGGAATTCACAGAACCTCTTAGTTCTACAGATTTGCTCCTGTGTTGATGATTGATCAGCAGGCGTCGATACTTCCTGCACGTCATCGTGTCTTATCGAATAAACTAAAATCTTAGTCCCGGCTTGAATTCTTACCGGAGGCACCAACACACTTGCTAGCACACTTATTCTTGCAGTGAACACCGGCAACTTCAGTTACTATCGATGGCCAGCCTAACGGCACCTTTCCAGCCTGGATGTTTCGTTTGGTTTCCGTGGAGACGCGTGTGGTATCTGGCAAGGGTCGAGAAGACTCGTGACGCAGGCCTGGATGATGTGGAGTTGTTGGTTCACGTTCACGGAGAATCAATGACAAAGGACAAGTGGTTAACTGTGCATCGTGATGGCACACCCGCGGCCGGTATGCCTCCGTTGACTCTGCTCCAAGTGCCGCCCTCCGCGCTCACTGGTGTCGGGTCCCTGCCAGCCGTAGGGATTTATGTTCAACTTCTCGTAATGGACCAGAAACTCGTTGACCTCATTGCATCCCGACGCACTCCCGACCATTTGGATGCCGTCGACGTTCCGACATTAGTAGGCGTTGTGGTTAAGGCGCTGCCAGCACGAGATGCGTCGCTGGTCGACGTCGCATACCCAATCGAGCTTTCGGGATCTACCGCTGATGAAGCACAATGGCGACGCGTCCAGATCGGCAACGGATACGTGAGTTGGTGTCGTCGTGATACCTGTTTGGCTTGATCATTGCTCACTGCCGTGCCTGTTTGTGTGTTCAGATTAATGAGATCTCGGAATCACGCTTCGTCATGCTCCAGGAGCAACTTGCACTCGCCATCGGAAAAGCGCCGCTCGATTCACCTGACCATTAAGGGTTAAGCCACCCACGGGAAGAGCGCAGCAAAGAAATGTTCCTTCTATTCGGGTGGACCATTCTGCGAGCGCTTGAAGACATCTATGGCGCTCTCCGTCTCTACGTTCTACAGGTCGCTGTTGAAGCTTCCACTCCTCTTCTTGGCGTAACTGGTGCGCTCCGGGGAGGAAGTTCCTGTTTTGGTCTGGACTTGGTTACTCGCCTTGGTTTTCACTGGTGCGCCGTACGCGAACTTGCGGATGTCAGTGCGCTGGATGTTGCGGAAGTCGAGGTCGTCTTCGTCGTCGTCCAGCGCGAACTCCTCCAGATCGTCTTCGTGCATGGGGACTTCCAGGTACGGGTTGACCGGCAGCGGGCGGAAGCGGTAGCCTGTGATGGTGAAGAAGGCCAGCGCTGCTAGCTCGCTGACGGCCACCGCGACCCACGTAGCGTCGTAGGGCAGGCTGGCCTGCAGAAGCTGTATCACCAGTCGAGTCACGTAGATGTAGCTAATCACCAGTAAGTAGAACGACCGGAATTGCGTGAGCTTTTGGAGGTTGGCGAACGCCTTGCCGTCCGTTGCGGCCGCTACTCGCAGTTGTCGAATGGACCACACAATGGGCAGCAGCACGGCCGCGCAGCAGGCCACGTCCGTCAGCAGCAGAACATCTCGCCAGCTCACCCACGCCCGAGTGCCGACGGCCGTCTCCGCCTCCAGGATCTGGGCCGTGTTGCTCACGACCTGCAGCACCAGCACGAGCGACAGCACGGACTTGTCCCTCTGCGACAGATGCGGCTTCAGCAGCGACCAGCCCGTGCCGATGAGCAGCAGCACCGAGAACAGCAGCAGGCCCTTGAGACTCATGAACGCGTACGACACTGCCGTCCAGGCCGTGAGCGTGTCGCCGTTGCGCCTCATGTAGTACGCGCGCATGGCCTCGGCGAACAGCGCCACGGTCTTGACTCCCACCAGCATGGCCATGAGCCAATGCACCCTCTGCACGAAATCTCGACGCGTCGCCAAACACCAGCCCCAGGCCGCGGCCGCGGTCAGAAACAGCAGACTCGTCGTCAAGTACACCACCGGCAATGGGGCATCCCCCACGGAGAAGAAGTCCTTAGCCCCATTCTTGAACATCGCGTCCATCTAATTAATACAACACACACAAATTAATAAGTCAGGTAGAACAATTCTACCACTCTACCATCATCAGTAAAAAAAAGTTGACCTACGTGGAAGGAGACCTGGAGTCCGGGCGTGCACTGCGCGTAGAAGATGTAGTAGAAGCCTACTTTGAGCGGCCCGTTGTGGCCGCCCCCCTCCGGGCCATCAAGGGCCACGTGCTCCGCCCCACGGCTGACGTTCCACGTGCGCTCGTCCGCGAGGTCGACCCAGCGACTGTCGCGGCGCAGCTGCAGCGCGCACTTGTCCTGTGCGTCTCCGTCCTGGGCCTGTTGGTCCTGGCCCGTGGCCAGCATCATGGGGTCGTCGTTGTCCTGCAGGTCCACGTCGCCCACCACGTCGTCCAACAGGGCCACGGCCTCCCAGAGCTCGTCCTGGTGCACGAACAGCAGGCCGGCCTGGATGTCGGCGCCTTCGGTGGAGCCGTCGGCCGCCTCGATGGCCACGTCAGTCACGCGCACGTCCATGCGGCCCGACGGCCCGAAGCCGAAGCGCTCGATGAGGAAGTGCGACCGGTCCTCGCGCTCGAAGCTCCACGACTGCTTCATGGCCGCGGCCCCGGCCGCGTAGAGCGCCAGGTAGAACAGGTAGAACGCCCACGGTGCCGCCACGCATCCGCGCATTATTACAACGGTTTTTTATTGACACAAAGTTCAGCCAATAGGGAACATGGATACATGTGGCTGACGGAAGTGCAGTCCTTCAGACTTTTTCGGACTCGGAACAGGAATACTACTTACATTGCTGAGGTTGGACGCCGCCAGAATGCATCGCGAGTGAGTGAGTGGATGGATGCAAGGCATTTCAACTTGCCCAGGCTGTATCCACCTCGCGACCATCGATTCATGCTCAACCTTTTATTGTCGAGATATCTCTACCGTGCACACTACGCGGTTGCATTCGAACTCGATTTTAACTGAGTTTCAAGTTAGGATGAGAGATGCTTTTGTGCTTTAGGACAAGCGCTTCGGGGATGCATGCTGCTTAAGAATTGTTGGTTTTGAGCGAGCATGAAGGCGGCGAATTAGCTGAGCTCGATGGGTAACCTCCTAGCTATGATATGACTTCGAGTAGTGGGAAGCATCAGCATGATCGAAGAGATCACGACAATCAAAATGGAATTATTTGTCCACGAGAAGCGTTTACTGCTACGAATCCTTTGTCAAGCCCATCTTTCTCTCATGTGATCGAGAAAAATTCAGAAGCGGCTGAAGTGTCTATCCTACATGGAATTCATTCACCGTAAAATGGTTGAAAACGTAAACGCGAAGGGCATTCCTGTGGATGTTTCATACTGAAAGCAACAACTTGAACGCAGTATCAAAGCTCGCGATAAATTTCGAGTTAGAACGCACATTTATCCAGATGGTCTGCGGCGGAGTTCGATTCTAATACTGTGATTCTTCTGGTGAATTTTAGTATAATAGCAGTCAATGGAAACAAAATGCATAACGTGTTTTTTGGTGGATACATCACGTACAGCACCACTTGAGCGATACAAACTGCCATGCCAATGGGGTTGGGGGCCATCACAAACATGTCGTCGTCCACGATGGCGAACACCGTCCACACCACCGTGTTCGTGAGGAAAATGGTGCTGATGATGATCGGCAACGTCGTCGCGTCCTTGGTTTGGATCACCTTCTTCATCGTCTCAAGCGGCGACGCGTACAGGACCAAACTCACGACGTCGCTGATGACGCCGAGCGTTTTCTCCACCGAGGCATCCGACTGGTTCGTGACGCTGCTCGTCCCGAGGACGTAATAGATCGTGTAGAGCGCCATCGCGACGAAGGCGACGGCGCAGAGTTTGTGGATGTGGACGCGGTCGTCGCTCCATCGGTAGTAGATCCCACCGAAGACGACGGACGTGAGCATGCCAAAGACGCAGTTGGCGAAGAGCGGCAGGAAGTTGCCGACGAGGTACGCGTAGAGCACCCAGACGTAGCAGTTGCAGAAGATCATGATCACGGGCAGGATTGAAGACGGTCCGGTCGATCGGGTTTTGTAGATCTTCCAAAAGTCTGGCGCTGGGGAGATGGCAACCAGCGCGGCCGTGATCGTGGAGATCACGCGAATAGCATCGAGGAAAGTCGACATCGCTTGTGTCGATGGTCGCTTGAAGACTGCGACTGGCGAACGTTGGGGCAAAATGGCAAGTGCCCTCCCTCTTAAAACTCTCAGGAGATGGCCCTGCTTGTTGGAGTTCTGCGTCAAAATTGTTGAGTGTAGGCTGCGTAAGTATTGTATGGAGCTTGCTTGGGTTTTGAAGTTGCAGTCTGACGTTCCAGTGGCAGTAACGTTGGTCAGCATTGCATGCGTTAAGCTTATCGCGTTTTTTTTGCCACGACATTCCACGTGTCAGCTTGCTGCCTCGATTCTCGTCCCCTCATCGATGCTGAATAACTTGTTTTTGTAGTTGGTTGACCCACGAGTCGTGGCTTGTTGGTGATCTTTAATGTCGTGGGCCACGACATTAAAGATCACCAACAAGTTTTAGAAGTCATCCAAGAAGCGACAGGGTCTTTGGTGCATGGAACTGGTGGGTGGTCTGGTCTGTCTTCAACCAACACGGCCCGCAAACTCAATCGATCCGATATTAGTAGACGCCCCACCGCTCGCAGGTACAGACACACATCTTTAATGGCGTGGATCGACATAAGCAGGTTTGCCAGCTTCCGGGCGCAACTCAACGCGGTACTGTACACAGCGCGCGCCACGATCACCCACGCGAATATATTGCAGCAGTATAGCGCTCGTGTGTCGTCTGCATGCAGCCCATACGCGTGTGCGGCGTTCCCTTCGAGTTCTAGTTCAAGTCTAGGCAGGCGCCACTAGCAATCCATGTCGCGTTCCCATTCTCATGGAACTGGCCCCCAACGCCACGCGCGACTTGCTGCGGGTCCGTTACAATTGGATTTGCGCCATGGGCGACAGCACGGGAGCCGCCACCTCCACGGGGGTCTATCCCGTTAACGTCGACGTCGCCAAGCGCGCACACATCCAGAGCCTGGAGCAGTATGAAGCCATGCACAAGCGCTCGCTCGAAGACCCCGACGGCTTCTGGGGTGAACTGGCCCGCGAGAACCTGCTCTGGTTCCGAGACTTCGACGAGACGGTGGTCGGCTCCGTGAGCAAGGGCGACGTGGCCTGGTTCCTCAACGGCCTGCTCAACGTGAGCGTCAACTGCATCGACCGCCACGTCAAGACGCACCCTGACAAGACCGCCATCATCTGGGAGGCGGACGAGGTCGGCCAGGGCCGCGAGATCTCGTACACGGAGCTGCTGGAGGAGACGTGCCGCATCGCCAACGCCATGAAGCTCGCGGGCGTTCAGAAGGGCGACACGGTGGCCATGTACATGCCTATGATCCCCGAGACGGTCTTCGTCATGCTGGCCTGCACGCGCATCGGGGCCGTGCACAACATGATCTTCGCGGGTTTGTCGGCCGAGGCGCTACGCAGCCGCGTGGTGGACGCGCGGGCGCAGTGGGTCTTCACTGCAGACGAAGGCCGACGCGGAGGACGCACTCTACCGCTCAAGAGGACGTTGGACACGGCCATTCAAGGCCTCGACTTCGTCCGCAACGTCTTCGTGTTCAAGCGCACGCACAACGCAGCAGTCGAGATGCATCCAGGGATCGACGTGGACATGGAGAAGGAGTTAAGTCGCCACCGTCCTTATTGTCCCGCAGAGTCCATGAACTCCGAGGACCTCTTGTTCATCCTGTACACTTCCGGGTCCACGGGTACCCCCAAAGGTATCGCCCATACTACGGGTGGTTACTTGCTCTACGCCATGATGACGGCCAAGTACGCGTTCGACATCCACGACGACGACGTGTTTGCCTGTGTGGCCGACTGCGGCTGGATCACGGGCCACTCCTACGTCGTGTATGGCCCGCTGGCCAACGGTATCACCACTGTGCTGTTCGAGAGCACGCCAACGTACCCGGACCACGGCCGCTACTGGGACTTGGTGCAGCGCCACAAGGTCACGCAGTTCTACACTGCGCCCACAGCTATTCGAGCTTTGATGGCCCGAGGCGTTGATAAGGTCCGAGAGTACGACCTCTCTAGCTTGAGGGTGTTGGGCAGCGTGGGCGAGCCGATCAACCCGGAGGCGTGGAAATGGTACTACGAAGTGGTGGGCAACCGCCAGTGCTACATCGTGGATACGTACTGGCAGACGGAGACTGGCGGCCACATTGGCGTTGGCCTGCCGGGGGCGATCCCCATGAAGCCGAGCTCATGCAGCAAGCCCTTCTTCGGCATTGACTTCGTTCTGACGGACGAGAATGGCGTTGAGATCGAGGGGAATGACGTCGAAGGCCAATTGTGCATCCGCTCGCCGTGGCCCGGATTGGCCCGCACGGTGTACGGCGACCACAACCGGTACTTGCAGGTATACACGTCCTCGCACAAGGGCCTGTACTTCACGGGTGATGGCTGTCGCCGAGACAAGGACGGCTACTACTTCATCACGGGCCGCATCGACGACGTCTTGTGTCCTTCGGGCCACCGAATCAGCACCACGGAGCTTGAGAGCACGCTCATCGGACACACCGCAGTGGCCGAAGCGGCCGTGGTCGGCATCCCGCACCGCATCAAAGGTGAAGGTATTTGCTGCTATGTCACGCTCATGGATGGCGTCAATCGCTCGCCAGAGCTCGAGAAGGAGCTGACCATGGAGATCCGCGCCAAGATCGGGGCCTTCGCTACTCCCGACATCTTTGTCATGGCCCCGCACCTGCCCAAGACTCGCAGCGGGAAAATCATGCGCCGCATTCTCCGCAAAATCGCCCAAGGCGAAGAAGACTCGCTCAACGACTTGTCGACTCTCGCCGAGCCCACAGTGGTGCCGGAGCTTATCAGTGCCATGCGCGCAGCACTGGTGGGCAAGACGTTCTAATTAGCTGGCCCGAATCTACCGATCACAAAAATATGGAGAGCAACGAGCTTCCGGACATAATACTGAGATAGCAAGTGTACCGTAAGGTATGCTGCTGCGCAGATCCGTCGATAAATGCTAAAATTTATGCACATTATTTACCAAAGGTTGATACTAATCGTTTATTATTGACCAAAACCTGCATTCAAACACTTACAGTATGAGAGCGTCACGGCTTCGCTGAAGGCGTATCAATTTGCGCCATAATCGACCAAGCTTAGCTTTAGCTGAAGATGAGCAACATTACTTGTCTAGCTGCAGGCTGCATTTTTTTACATGTCAATTTGCTCAATACAATCACTCTTAGCCGAAGATGCCCAACCTCGTGTCTGTCGCCAAACCAATCAGCTCAACTCGACAGTGACACAAGCATCGTTCATTTGAACAAGACTTTTTTCCCTGCGTTGAAGCACCCACTCCAAGGAATCGGCACATTAGCGTATATCTCATTCCGCAATTTATCCCCCAAGCCCACAAGTTAAAAGTTTGTTTGTTTGTTTTGTTTTTGAATTGAGGATCATTATTGTCACTTAGCTAACATCCTCAAGTTAAATGGTCAAGATCAGCGCACCATGCGTCTCTCCTTCGTTCCACTACTGTAGCTCTCTCGTCTGGTCGTTAGCACACAACATAGTACGAAAATGAGCACAGTGTATCGTACCTGCAAAATGAATGAAATAGCTCTCTCGTTGCTGGCGCCAACGCAGCCATTGGACGCTGACCAGGGTGTTATGTCACCGATGGCCTCATCAGACCAGGCAACCTCAATTGGTGACTTTCGGTTCCTGAGAACCCACCGCGATAAAAAAGAGCGGGGCTTGCTGGTTACCAGCCTCACAGGTTTGGCTGAAACATCATTTCCGTATCGATACACTTCGATGTGCGCAACTATTTGTTCAATTTCTCGGGCAGATGCTGCGGCTGCGAAGCAGGCGCAGTAGATGCCCACGTTAGAGTCAACTAAAGAGTTGGGCTGGTAGTGCCTTTTTAAAGGATTAAAAACAATACAACTTTGGGATTTACTCAATTATTAATCGTTATCATCGTCCATGAAACTATTCGTCGACCTGTGTACCCTCCCGGAGCATTGCCTATTCGGTGTCGCATGAAGCCGTGCGTGTAACGCGTACTCGCAAAAGTATAGATTAAATATGACATTTGTATTGAATATACTTAAATGAGCATCTTGTTTTTATTTCTTTACCCGCATAAGTAAGCTGTATACATAATGAAAATATAAAGGTCGTCTCGCGTCAATCCTTCTCATCATCCGGATCCGTCATTCTGTAGCCCTGCAGGGGAAATCAGCAATATAGCATTCGAAAGCTTAGAATGTGGAGAATACACCTGGCTAGCTCATTCTGCATAAACCGCACTGAATTGACATTATATGGGTACTTGTGTTTTCACCATATGATTTGCTGATACAAATCCCAAGTAATAAGTGTTTCAGAATAGTGGACTGCTTCACGTTTTGTCCGCAGGGGATATCAGTCTCCTGAATATAATCACGTTCTACACTTTGTATCAACTGATCCGATGCAGGAAGTGTTGTTTCCTCGTAACTCAGTCGTGTGTGGGGGAAACCGCGTATTATATTCAGTGAGAACTTACGAAATCAACTTCAACTCGATCTTGAGAGCGGGTTGAGCCCCCCCATTTGATGAAGTCGATTCCGTAAGCTCTTACGGAAGGCGATTCATGTCCTTTGACCCCGAGACGATCTTGGAGGCAAGCGCGCTGACGGATTCCTGGCAGAGCCTTGCATATTGCTTGAATGTGTCGGATGCCCACCTGCCGTGGAATTGAATCGTGAGGGCATTTATGCCCGCGCGGTACATGTGCGTGGCTCCTCCAGCTCTCAGTGAATGAGCGCTGAATTCTGCTGGGCTGTAGCCAAGGTCTGCGGCTGCTTGGCGAATTGATCTCGTCACTGATAGCGCCGACACGCACTCTGGACGCCCGAACTTGTTGGTGAACACGGCTGCAGGGATGTCAAGCGGCAGCACCCGATGCGCTTGCATTAGATAGAGCGCACCAAACACCGGGCACAGGAAATTGTGACCTGAGCGGTTCAGCACCCGGAGCGTTGGCGTGCCTCGTTGGTTTGTCTTCGATCCTCTGAGTCGAATGTGTACCGATGAAGCTTCGCGTGCCAGGAGCCCATTGATGTCGAGCACGGCCCCATCTTCCGCCTTGAGCGCAAACCACGCGAACTTCTTGCCGGATGAAGCGATCTCTGAACGGCGTAGAAGAAAGAAGAAGGAAAGACACAACACCCCCCAGAGAGCTTGGTCGGAGGGTATCGACATGTCCAGCGTGAAGAAGCAATGCTCAAGCAGCCGCAGTGGCACTGGCGCCTTGTGTCGAACGGGGGCGTCGAGACGGGAGATGCTCTTCAGAACCATGCGAATTTGTGGATAAGTGCAGGGAAAAGTGAGGCCCGCAGCCTGCGACCAAGCTGAACCCGCAGGTGGGGTTTGACATCAACTACCGCGAGCTTCTGTCCTGCGCCTTCGCCGTCCACACCTGGGGTCGTCGCTGGGCATCACAGCGCCGCCCTGTGGACCCGTCACTGCATGTCCAATTCAAGAGCGACAATACATCCGCGGTCGCTTGGCACAGCAGGATGGCTTCATGCAATTTTTGAGCCCAAACCATCGTTTGTCTACTCGGCTTTTGGGAAGTGGGGCTTAAACTGCGTTTCTCGGCGGCGCACTTGGCCGCCGCGGAAAACCGGATTGTAGATGCGGGCTCTTGTACTAACAGTGGCGCCGCTACGGCATTGCTTTTTCAGGAACGAACATCGGGTTGGTCGCAGGTCGCGATACTGCCGGCCATCGCGGAACTGGAGATGCCATGGCATTCTATCTCCGAGCGCATTCAGTGGCCGCGTCAACCTACTCCAAGTATCTGGCCGCGCTCCGCGCCTGGTACACCTGGACAACCCACCGAGGCATGCAGTCCGCGCTCCTCGGATACCCCAAGGACGTTCAACTACAACTGATCTCCGATTTCACGATTTATGGCTTCCAGTATGGCTTCGGTTCAGGTCGCCCCGTCCGCGGCTCCACCATTGCCGCGACGCTTCATGGCACTCTCCCCTCGATAAGCCCGCGCTGCGCCGCCGAAAACGGGTAGAGGAGTACACAACGGTCCGAGGGAAAGAGGGCGCACAAGCCAGAGTCTGAGGCGTCCATTTCGACGACGACAGCCGGTTCCGGGCTACGATGGAAGTACTCCATTGAGGAGCGGAGACTGAAGTATGATCGCCCACCAGCGCAGATCTTGTTTCATGGGAGCTGTCACCGGAACACTTTGCCAACGACGAAGCCAGCGCGCTTTCATGCGAAGTCGCTGCAGGAAAGGACGGGCAGGACGAATGCAAGTTGCCACGTGGCGCAACCGACCGAGGAGCGAGCAATACTCTGTGCGGCTCAGATCGGAGGAGCGGTAAGCGGCAGCGACCCACGCTATGGCCTTGACAATCTTGGCCGGTAGCATCGAGATTGTACCAGCAACCGTGTCGAAAATGACCCCGAGCGCCTGCTGACGCGTGCCCCACTCGACGAACTTGTCTTCGTTGACCGCGTCGGGCCCTAAAATCGTGGTCATGGCATGGCGAAGCGAGTGCTCGGCATCCCTACAGTTGGTCCCGAGATCGGCGGCAACGTTGATATGGTCATCCACCCAGTAGTAGTTGAACATGCTGTCTGGTTGGTAACGATTGGCCGACGCGCCGTGGGAAAAGGCAATGGCACCACCGACAACCCCGTAACTGGCCGGAGATCCTGACTAGCCAAACGCAGCCGACATATCGATGACTAGCGCGTTGTCCGGTTCGAGGCGGCCGCCAAAGAGAAAGACGCGCTGGCTATGAGTGCACACGTTTCGGAACGCAGAAGCAACATCACCAGCTTGGAGTTTAACTACGGCACCGGGATAGACGCCGCGCTGGCGGAGAACTTCTGCAGCGATGGCATCGCACCGCTCGAACGTAGGGGTGCAGATACGGGAAGTGTCGGTGCTGTCGTTGAGTGAATGACCGGCTGGAAACGACAGGTCGTGAATGGTCCTGCCCGTCGTCGCTGGGTCCGCGTCGCCCTTGTCCACGACCCCGAAGGGGCTAATGTGCACCTCCGGCCAGATCGCGAGGATGTCGAGATCAACAACAATGCATCTCCATAGGTCTAGCTCTTTACGGATATTCTTGACGAGAACAGGATACCGCTCAACAGCGGACTTATGATTGATAGAGTAGGTGCGCTGCTGCGGGACGGGTCGTAGCAGCGGTACCCGTGCTCTGGAGTCAGCGATATCGACGAGCGCGTCAATGTGCTGGTAACCGACGCATACACGCTGGAGGACCGGGGGAACCATGTTCTTGTTGGGCCTGTAGTCGTCGGCGGACTGGCCGCGCAGGAGTTCCACAAACGCGGGAAGAGGAGTGCGTGTCCGCCGCACGAATTCCGACAACACGCTCTGCAGCGGTTTATTCAGCGCGGGCGGCGCGTCCGCAGCAGGGGGTACAGTCGCCGGGAGGTGAAGCGCGACGCGGCTGAGAGCGACACCGATACGGCGGATACGTATATATTCCCATAGGATAGAGTACGCTGATGCATTGTGGTAGAGGGCCTCCGTTTGGTCGCGGCTTGGCGCCGGACGCCGGGGTAAGACGCCTATACGGCCTTGACACTGACAAGAGTTCGCCGCAGGGCCTTAGTCTGAGCGCCGCCCTGTACGCACGAGTTGACTTGGCACCGGCGCTAATGGAGTGGGCGGAGGTGGGTCGGGATGTACCGAGGGGCATGGACTTGTCTGCCGGGGTTGGCGGGGGCAGACCCGGGGAGTGCCGATGGGCGAAACGGGAGAGTGAGCGCCATGGGGCGGCTCGATGTTAGCGCCAGGACCATGGGGGTCCGTGGCGTCCCGCTGCACGTAGATACAGAGCGGAATCGCAGCGCGGGCCAGAGGAGAGGCCCGGCTGGAAACGGAGTGTGTTCATTTGCATGACCAAGGATGACTGTATTAACATTGGCAATGCTTGAGAACCGACGAACGGGCAGTACCTCGGCCTCCTCATCCGCGGAGGCGGTCGTTCTGGTGGCGGCGGTCCGGGCCGTAGTGGCGAACGACGAACCCTTGAAGCTCCCGGGACAGGCGGCCCTCCCAGCGGTGCGTGCGCTGGTGGTGGGCGCATCGGTCGGCGCTGCCCCCGTAACACATACCGCCGGCCAGGAACCGCAGGCACGCCTCGCGACCATCGCGGTCCCGCGGGATCTGGCGGCGGAGGTGCTCGGGCATGATCGGAGTGCGCGTCGCGGGTACGCGCCGCGGCTAGGCTTGCTGACGTGGCTGTCCCGACGGCCGGGAGGTGGTCTGGCTGGGCGCGGTAGATGTAGCCATCCGCAGTGCATGCCCGTTCAGGGCCGCCTGCCAATCGGGGCTCAACGGCGCGGACAGCGTCGCAGAACTCGCACCATCAATGGGGCGAGTCAACCAGTAGGTGCGCAAGTGCACGACCCAAGAACTGGTTCACATACATCAGAGTGAGCAATTCGCGCTCGGTGGTGTTGCTGTCGCGCTCCATGTTCGCCAGAACAAACCGCTTCAGTCGAGAGAGCAGGCGCCTCGCGTGATCGTACCACAGGACGTTGCCGAAGGAGATGAGGCCGCCCACCGCAGCCAGTAGGTCCTCGTACGTGGGACAACGCACGTCCGTCGCCGGCAGAGTTGCACCGGCCCCGAAGTCGGCCGCAAAGTTGGCATTTGATGAACCGCGTTGCAGCTGCTCCATCTAGCTCTGGGGTCGAAAATGCATAACAGTGAGTCCGCGCGAGCCGAGTCGACCACTGTAGAGTGCCACAAGCACAGCCGGCGGGGCGTCAAACCGGACGCAGTCGAGCTCTCGAACATGCAGGACAAATGACATCGGAGACCACCACCTACCTTCATCGGAGCCGAGGTCACGGAAAAATCGGTGCGCCGCAAGCTGGTGGACTTGAGGCGGATAGTATTCACCTTTCACCTTCGCACGCGGCACCTCGATGCTTGAGCAGCGCAGGTGGCAGACGGCCGCGGCCCCGAGGAGCGGCAGCGTCCACGTGATGGGCCTGTCCAGTCGAAGAAGGCCTGCATCAGGGGTTGAAGGTCTAGCAGCACCCGCGGGGCCAGGCAGCACCGCCGCCGGGGAGCGAGACAGCATGGCCATAGAACTGGCACCGTCCGGCGCGGGCTGCAGCGAGCGACGCAGCTCGCCAAATACTTCGACCAGCTTGTCGACCTTCTCCGCCAGGGAGAGACGCATCGAGAACGAGGGAGGTGTTGTGACGCGCTCCGCGGGGTTGTATGCGCGGCAGAACACCTCGAGGTCGAATGCGGCACGCGCCGCAGGCTCGGGAGCGAGACGCACGGGCGCAGTAACCCTCACGACCGGCAAAGGCGCAGGAGCTCTGGGCCTCTCTTCATCGCCGGCACCACCAGTGGCTGCCGGAGGCACGGGCGAGCCAGCTGCAGCCGGGGCTGCAGCCGAGATGGCATCGTTCTTACCGTTGGCGGGGGACTCGGCCGGGCACGGAGGCGCAGGCGACGCGGTTGATGCTGAGGGAAGCGCCGCCGCTGTATCGAGCTGTGTGCGGGCGGGCGGCTGCCGCTCGGACGTGGTTGCCTCCGGCAGGGCCGGCGCAACGGGCGTGCCCGGCTTGCGCTTCTTCCTACGCGCTTCGACCAGCGCGGTCCTAGTCACAGGGCCGACCCGCTTCGGCTTGCGAGCAGCGGCACACAGGACCTGCGCAACCTTCTTGGCTTAGAGGCGGGTGCTGGCGCGCTCACCTGGCGACGTCTGCGGACTCCGCAGTGGAGACGACTCGCCGTCGTCGACGACGGTAACCTCAGAGGACAAGGCGCCGCGCGGAGGAGACGAGGCGCCGGCCGTGGTGCCACCGACCATCGGGGCAGACGGGGCCGGCGAGGCTGCTTGGGCGACCGGCGGAACGTCCGACGGGGTGTCGGGACTTGCAGATGGGTCACTGGAGGTCGGAGCTGAGAAAAGGTGATTTACACATGTAAATTAAGCAAATCCACGGACGACGGAGGAGGATATCCACGGATCTGTATATCCGTCTGCTTCACTGTGACACTTTCAATTAACCAATCAGCCTTATCTATTTAACAACGTCATTGCTGGTCTCGTTGGACACACTCGCCTGCTTGCTTGTAGCTTGACTGGCATCTCATTCGAGAACGTGCCAGCCACCGCGCACCCGGCCCAGCGCCAGCAGCAGCAGCGAGCCGCCGCCCCCAAATCCTGGGCGGCGCCAAGACCAAGCCCACCGCTCATTTGATCCAGGGCTGCGCCAACAGCAGCACCGAACTTGATTCAGGGCGGTGCAAACTCACCATGATGGCCTTCTTTAGACCGCTCAACATTGCCGAGTTCTGGAACCGAGGCTTTGTCATGCATGACCTACGGCTGTCGGAGGAGGAGTGCGAAGATGCCTTGGGCGAGGTTGAGTCAGCCTATCTTTGGTGACGTATATGACGAAGAGAGGGTCGACTTCCGGTTGCAGGCAACTCTGCCAACCTTTGAAGCAATCCACCATCAGCTGGTAAACCTGCTCCGCATCAACGACGCCTGGCATGTTGACGAGGCGAACTGGCACGCACTGCGTTCACTCCCGGGTGGGCGCGACCAAGCGGTGCACCGGGACTTTCCGACCTTCGAGACGGCGTGTGTGCTCCTTACCCGGAAGTTAGTTCAAGCTTCGGTAATCATCGCGCTCATGGATAATACGTTCATCCACGTCTACCTGGGGTGCTTTGGTGGACAGGTTGACCGTAGCAGACGGCGTACGATCCAGCTAGACCGCGGGCACATGGTCCTTTTCCGCGGAGACCTCGCGCATGCCGGCGCAGGTTTCCGCCGTTTGAACGTCCAGCTACACGCGTACGTCCTCGTGGACGGTATTCCCCAGGAACCGGACTCGACGGAAGCCGTCGCATTCACAGTCCACGACACGATCGAGAGGTTTTTTCTAACCCCTACATGTTTTGGTATCACAAAAACCGCCCCGCTTCCCTGATTCCGAAACTGTGCGTCTCACTGTTTAGCACAGCGTCGTTTCCACAGAAACAGCAGTCCAATTTTCCCTGATTTATATAATAACCACCCCGTAATATGTGCGCTGATTATAATCTGCCTTGCATTTGGGCCAATCATTACCACCCCTATGATTTTTCTCGACCAATGATAAGGCAGCGGATTAGTCGCAGAGTCATGATCGTAGAGAAATGATACTCTGGACGGATGCTCGTTATCCTCATTCTTCCACCGATAGATCGAAAGATGACGTACAGGGCTACAAATGTATCGGATCATATTTCTTAGAATCAGTGTCTAGACTTACGTATGGCTATCTAAAATATTAGCTAGTATAGTCATCACTAGCACTGCTTTCGTCGCTCTCGGAGCTGTCCGAATCCTCGTTTTCACTGCGGCTATCATAACTTTTGATCTGAGCATTCAGATCCACCAAGTGGGCTCTTGCTTTGTCAATGCAGCCTTGATCAGTTTTCGACGACAAAGTTTTGAAAGCTGTATCAAGCCGACTTCTGACCTGTTGGAATGTAGTATCCTTGGTGTACTGGCGCCCAACTTCTCCCTTTACATTTGCCCACACAAACTCAATCGGCTGTAAATCAGAGTAGTGTGGAGGCGTGAACACTACTTCGTGGCCCTTCTTCTTCGCCATAGTCACAATCTCTGGCTCTACGAGCTCAGCAATGTGCCGTGACAACTTTTCCCACATGATCGCCCTTGCATCAGATTTAGCGTAAGGCAAGCCATACAGCTTACAAGCAGCCTGCATGTCGGATCTCCGACTCCCTTTTCGGGGGGTGTTGGGCGGCAACTTCTTGTGATATTTTGCGTTATCCATCACGATACGGCAGTGGTGCAGTTGGCGGTCTTCCAGACAAACGAGCAGCGTTTCAATCCAATGTTTGAAGTAGTCATGATTGAACATCCCGTGATAATCCTTAGTTTGCTTGTCTCCCTCAAAAATGTCAAGCGTCTCCGGCAAAAACTGTGCTTTGTCAGCCTCAGTATGATCGGCATCCGGGAGGTTACGGTCTTTGTCGATAATGGCAGTGATGAAGCAAAATCGACGACCCTTTTGTTTCTCCTTTAACACGTTGGGGTCCGTCGGGTCATAAAGGGAGTCATTATGACTGGAGTAGTTGTGATGTATACAACTTTCGTCGAGATAAACCGTTCGAACGCGATCGGCACTTTCACATGCCATCATCTGCACGTAACTATCGCGCTTAGCTTTGTTTTCAGCTGACAACCGATATGTCGACCCTTTCCGCTTTCCCCGCTTGAAACCACATCGTTTTACGAAGCGTTGGACAGTGCGGAGCGCTGAGGCCGAAGCGGCACTGTTGGTGACGTCGACGACTAACAGCCCTTGCTGTATGAGGTGGTGCATGACGCCCTTGGCTACCGTGCGCTCACGAATCGCGCTGCGCTCACGAATAAACTCGCGCACAGACCTCTCCATATCAACAGTCGCTAATATACGGGACGGCTTCTGCTCACGGTTAGATGGCGCCGATACCACGGGTAGAGACCGATACTTGGCAAAGTCATTCCAAATCTGACGGAGTGTGTTGGCTGAGCGCGACAACAGACGGCCAACTTTGACTGCTAGTGGCTCTTTCTGACGTAATTTCACAGCACCAGACTTCAAGTTGGCTGTGACGATGAGGACGTCAATACGTTCCAGGAGCGTGAGAGCTCTGCCGCGGTTATCTGTTGTGTAAGTTTGAGCTTCTGCGATGATTTCCGCCTCGGCGTCAGGAGTCTCAGTTCGCGCTCTTTTGGAAGGAGGCATCTCGATGCCAGCGTGCTTGCTTTGGAGCGGTAAAGTGGCTCAGTTGTCATCGAACTACACAACCCATATTTAGGTTACGGTAACCCCGATTTATCTGTCAAACTGATACTGTAGGCAATATCTAATTTGGCGGGGTACAAGTTTATCCAGTCAAAATAGCCGGACATCATTGGATAATATACAGGTGTGGGTAGGTGACGATAAATGTGCCCTTGCTGCTCTGTCGCAAGACGCGGTCTATCCATAGCTCTTCCAGCATATTATACACAGCACAATCCAAAGCAGCTCTGAAAACTTGGGTCAAATTGCATGTAATCCGGAAAAGTTATAGCAAAAACACCTCTCGATGCTGTCGCGGTCTGTCAGTTCGTTTCGGTGCAATCGCTGCATGGCGCTAGCGTACTCGCGCGCTGGACTTGTTGAGCATCGCCAAAGCTGTGTCGTTCGTGGGGGTCCGTATCGTTGTCCTTACTGCGGAATTGTCTATGCTATCCGCAACTCGCTGAATCAGCACGTGCGCCGCCACCACCGCGAGCCACAAGAGGAAGAGCAGCCGGCCAGTGAGGGAAGTTGGAGCGACAGCGCTGATCCGAGTGAGAGTAGTAGTGATGAGGAGTAAAGACAGCTGACTCAAATATAAAAACGTTGTTACAGCAACTTGTTATTGCATAAATTCAACTACTCGATTCTGTTAATCGGTGACAGTGTAGAGGCGGTGACAGACCCAATAGAGCTCTCATTTCTTTAAAGACATCTGTCACCCGGTATTGAAACAGTGGTGACATGTCACCGGCCGCTGAGCATACCGGTGACACAGAGATTTCAGTCAAGGCAGGCAAATAAGCTGGACGATAACACATTCCGAGTTTTGCAGCATCAACCTAAAACTCTACTTTAGTGTCTGGACACAGTATGAACTGAACGTCTAACGCTCGCGAGGCCAAAGGCGGGCGTCTTTCGAGCGGCTCCGTCAGAGACAACACTTCCGATGTACTGGGTGCTTCGTGATGCTGCTTCTGCCTCTTCGAGACCAGTGTCTGATTTCCTTGCTACACCTTACGCACTTGACGATTGAATAACTTGGAAGTGAGGTCTTCCGCTCCCGGTTTTCCTAGTTTTTTTGCTTTGCGCTCAACAATACTACGGCAGCATGTCTTGTGCTTACTGTAAAACCTACAGCCACACACACACACTTATCCACGTCCACCACCCATCCACCCTCCGGCATAGCCGAAGTATGAGCATAGCGTAGAGACCGCGTGACTACGCCCTTGTAGAGCTGAGCAGCTCTCGCTCGCTGTTCTCTTATAAGCTCTTGCCATGAACGGAGCGGGTTGCTGAATCTGGCTGTCGATAGCTGGAGTCCTCATCGTTGCGTCTTGAACGACAACACGGCTAATACGTAGTAGACGCTGCATGTAGAAGGGCCATCGCGCAGTGTATTTCTTCAGCAGTGCGTTGAATGTCTCGCATGGATTGTTCGTTGTCGCGTACCTACTAGGTGTGGGGAAAATTTGCCACCTCTAATATCTGTTTTCTAACCACTGGTTTGTGAAGTACGCGACAAAGGACGTCAGCTGCGGCACCATTTTCCACTCGTCTAGTACTTTCTCCTTTTCCTCGTAGTAAGTGTTCATATCAGCGGTGTAGTGAATTCGCATAATTCCTTCTGTCACTGCCTTCCGGTGATTCGGTGACAAGTGCCGAGTCCGATTTCGGACGTTATAGAGCACGTGGAAGAAACACAACAGATACGTAGCGGAGTTAAACTCGGCAATCTGTTGAAACCCGTTCAACTGCGCGTCCTCGGCATCTCCCATGACGGCGTCAATACAGAGCGTGGAAGTCGGGCGGATATTCTTGACTACGCGACTAAATGCACCGAGACATCTCCGCCGTAATAACGCTCTTGTGAGCTTCGTCGCGGATATGATCCACAGTGTTTTGCAAAAGTCTCGTACGGTCGGAAGCATCACACCTCCGTGTTTTCAGCTTCACCCCGCATGTACCAAAAGTTTGACACGTCATACTCGTACACTTCAACCTCCGCTCTACCATTAGATGTTCTCCCCCTGGGCAAATTAGGCAACCACGTAGTGAGTCGGTGAGCGAGACTAGAGAACAGCACAACCCCCCCCCTCAACAAACTCAGCGGCAGCTTCTTTGGTTTCAATCGTACACAGCTCCTCCCACGAATACCGAATCCGTGTCATGGTACTGTACCAGGTACTTGTCAGCCGCCTACCCTCTCCACCTCTCGATCTGTTAGCCTGAGCGTCTGGCCTCGTCACCGGTCTCCCGCTGTCACTGCGCGGCTCTCTCAGGTCCTCTGACCCGGTTACCGACCCCCGCTGTGACGACTTTCCAGTTTGCTGCTGTCTTTGACTGAAGGGCGTGGGGCGTGCTGTTGAGGAGGGGGAGGGGGGGGGATTGGCGGAGATCGATGTATCACTAATTTAGGCTCTGTACTTGCTTCAGGTGTACCACCGTATGCTAGACTCTGCATCTGTGGATTTCCGCTACGAACTGTGTGGGTTTAAGGCACAACCACACCCAAGCCCGCCACTGCTGATTTGCTACAAATCTTTGTGGGTTGTCACCACCAGCACATGGTAGAGGCACGATTTACATACCGCTAGGCGAAGAATTAGCTTGGTGTTGAGCTGTTCGCCAAGTGCTCATGCGAGACGCTCTTTTGTTAAATAAGTAATATTAAAGAATACTAGTCTCCAGACCGAGATACTTCTCCAAGCTCTCGCTTTGCATGTATCTGCGATCAAATAAGTCTGCTAAAGAAGAGGTCAGTGCCGCCTAAGTTGTTGGGCAGTATTTTAGTAGCAGCACCATGCTTTTAGCGTCCTCATGGTGGTAAGTTACTAAAACATATGTCGAACTCGCACAGTTTGATCTCTCCAACTTGGTGGACTCGCAAGTGTTTACCCAGTTCAAGTGGTGGGTTTCAATCTCACAAATTGGTGGGGTTAGGACTAATACCAGCTGTGATAACCCATGTACAGGCGTCCCCGGCCTATTCGCCACAGTGGTACTTATGATGTTTGCGAATCAACAAGATTCACGCGGTCTGAACATAAATGAGTATGTACTGACTACTACAAGCTTAGCTCAAGAATACGGTGGAGGTATTCCCGCAACGTGCCACTTGTCGCAGTAGGTATCGCTGTACACTCATCTAAATCAATATGTTTGCAGAAGTAGCGCGCAAATCTTGAGAGATTGTTGTACTTCCTGTGCGAGGTACATTAAAATATACAGCCGGGACTAGCCCGGGGACGCCTGTAGGTTTTGCTAAAGACCTCTGATATGTGGATTAACTGGCCGAGACAAGTTTGTCTGTGTTGTTTGCTAATGCTTTGTGTGGTTCCACAGAACACCTCCACTGGTGCGCGAGAATTTGGTATTGGGCAAGGGTCTATCTTGTCGATTCTCCATATAGCCGGCTACATGGATTGTCTTCAGAATCAACTCGAGAAGTGCCCCGATCCGGTTCACATCACACATCATCAAGAGGGGAGCGGCATCGATATTAGCAGTACACTGTTCGTTGACGATCAGCTAGACGTATCAACCTCGCATCGAGAGATTCAGGCACGCAGTGCAGTGACGAATGTTTTCACGGGTTAGATGGGTACGGGAGGTGTGTTCGGTGCAGCCAAGTCCTTTATGATGTACTTAGCCCCCATGAATACGCACTACGATGCGGTGGAGCTCAATGATGGCTACAGCGTACCCCGACCAGTCCCAGTTGTTGCGCCGGACGAAGGCTTTAAACACCTAGGTATTTACCAAGGTGGAGGAAACCTGTGGGAAGCCACTATTTCGCCGGTATGGGTACGATTGACGGACGAAGCAGCGCGACTACAGCGCTTGCAGATATCGCTGGAACAGTTTCGCTATATTTTTAACAGCGTGTGGATTCCACGACTGCGGTATCGGATGGCACTCGGAGGAGCAATATCTGTAACAGGGTTACACGCACAAGTAGCTACAGTCCCTTGTAACTCTAACAGACACGACGTCTGTTAGAGGTTCGAACGACTTTCTCGTCCTTGGTGTAGACACACCAAAGGCTACATACATTTACGATCACCACAACGGGTGTAATGGGCCTACTTTGGCCCACTACTTTAGCTTACACGTGTGCGCGTGTATGTGAGGAAGCGTAGCCTAGTTTAAATTACAGTTAATTATACTCGGGCCTCCGAGTATAGATTAATCTAAATAAACGATCCAAATAATGTTTTTGGGTTAAAATGAGAACTGCTATTTTTGTTTTATGTTTCTGATTTCCTCTAAATGTACTATTCTAAGATAGGAATCTGCCAACGGCTGGTTGGCAGAATTCCAATGCTATGCATGTCGCTCATTGGCTAAGAGATGCTGCTCTCAGCCAATAGGAAACCTAAGTCTCTATGGACCACCCGTCGTGGTGGTCGTAAATGTATGTAGGCTTTGGTGTGTCTACACCAAGGTCGAGAAAGTCTTTCGAACCTCTAACAGACGTCGTGTCTGTTAGAGTTACAAGTGACTGTAGCCACTTGTGCGTGTAACCCTGTTACACCATCCCCCCCTCAAGGTTAGACGCGCCGAGTCACGGCACGTCAATCAGGAAATTGACCATTCGTCAATTCTTCACGTTGGGAGAAAGAAAACTCGAGCTCATTCCGAAATGGGCGAGCTCATTGCGGAATGAGCTCGAGCTCGCGGTACTCGGGGATAGAGAGCGTTTCTATCCCCGAGTACCGCGAGCGTCTCAAAGCAAAGCGTGACGCTCTTGCTACCAAGGCTGCGGCGGGGACAACTCAACCAGAGATTGTCCTCGAAGGTTCTTCTGTAGTCAAAGACGCCGTTGACTTTGAAGACGACGATGTGGAGATGGAAGAGGGCGAGGCCTCTTCTAGCAAGTGCAAGGAGTCTATCGACAGCGATAGTCTCGACCCGCATGCGGGTCGAGACGCCCTCGTGAAGGAGACGACTCGGACGCTTCGAGTTCGAAGCGTTCGCGCGGCGAGAGCGACACTCCGCTCTCTGCTTCTGGGGCTTTAAGCTCCCCGCGTGAAATGGCGCCTTCAAGCTCTCTGCGCGCTGCTCAGGCAGCGCGCGATCCGTGGATGCCGTCTGCGTCAGAGATCGCAGACCGTGTGGGCAACACTGTGCCTCCAAACGAAATCCCGCTGTACGTATGCAGCGGTATCCACGACGATGCTGTTGCGGAGGAGCAGCAGTTTGATCCGTTAACGATTCAAAGGCGCGACTACTACATCGGGCTCTTCCACGAGCTCCGGTACTTCTCCAGCAAGAAGACCTCTTCTCGCAGCAAAGTGCCTGAGTGGCAGGCACTTTGTCAAAGTTGGAATGCTTTTGTTGAGAACTTCAACAAGCAACCGGCTGCTTACCGCGAGCGGGTTAAGCATGCCCGTGAGCGCTTCGAGACATTCTCGACGCGCGGGCGGCTGGAGCAGCTCCACAGATCCTCTGTGGACGCTGGTATTCCATGCGCTGTGCCCGAAGGCCAACAGTGCACGTTGTGCCTTCCGGGTGCGGCGCGCTTGAGCGACCGCGACCTAAACGGGTACACGACGATTCGTGTACCTGAGAGTCTCAAGGATCTTCGTGCCAAGTTCTTGGCACGCGAGGAACGCGGCGATCATGGGACCTCGGGCGCTGTAGGTGACCACAGCGCTCGCACTACCTTCGCGTCGGCAGTGCGTGGTGAGCTTCGTACGCCCTCACCATTTCCGGAACGTCCTGCAGCAGGACGTCCCGTGGCTCCCATGTATCTTGGTGGGGGCGGAAACCCTCTCCAACGAATACGATAACGAACCGGCTGCCGGTTCGTTTTCGGGATACTATGGTTCACAATACGCTCAACAATCCAGCGTGTTGAGCCGCGGGCGTCGTGGATCGGAGGCGGCGGTGGTGGGAACACGCCCCGGGTATGGTCAACCTGGGGTTGACCTTGGCCCGACGCTCGAGGAGCGGGTCGCTGCTGTGGAACAGCATCAGAGCCGGGAGTTCGCCGCTCTGAAGCAGGAGGTGGCGCTCCTGAGGGCTCAAGTTGCTCAGGCCTCGCAGACCGCGTCGGACATCTCTGTCGACGTGGGAGGTCGCGTCGCACGCTTGGACCAGCGCGTTCACGCGCTGGAGCAGAGGTTCGCTCCCGCTGGGGCTTCCACTTCGGGCCAGCCGAGCTAGGTGGCTCGTGCTTCCGGTATGGCTTCAGCCACCCGACGTAAAAGGTCGGATGGAGGCGCATGCTAGATGGAATATCTAGCGTGTTGGCGTTGCCAGGCCGTGTCAATACCGTGAACGGCCCGATGAAGCGCGGAGCGAGCTTGCTCGCCCCGAAGTCGGAAACTGCATGTTTAGGCAGGTTTTGAGTTGCTAACAAAACCAATGAACCCTTCTTGATTTCATTAGTGTTGCCCCTACCAACATTGTCTGCGTTCAGCTTCTGTCGGTCGACAGAAGCTGCGATAGCGTCTTCGACAAACCGAATGACGGCTTGTCTGCTCTGCACGAAGTTGATTGCGTCCGAGCTGAACTCGTTCAGCTCGTTTCTAGCAGTAGGCCCGGCCTCTGCGTTCGTCTTCGCGGTGTCTGTGCCCTGCACAGACCCGTTCTTCTTCTTCTTCTTGCTCTTGTCGGCGTCTGTGCCCTGAACAGACGCGTGCTTCTTCTTCTTCTTGCGCGTAGTCGTGGCTGACACTGTGCAAGTGTCAGCGGCCTTCTGCGGCTGCTGCGTCGCAGTCGTAGATCCTCCCCCACTTAAGGAAGGAGCCACCATCCCGAGTAGACTCGG